GCTCGTCTTTCATCTCACAACATGAAGGGATGTCTGAATCCCCTGTGGAGACCTTAGAGAAAGCCCTAGGTCCCTGCCTCATTTTGACGGAATGCCTCACATCCCGTTGACCCCTCGAGAGGCACGCGGAGTTCATTGCTTCAAAAGGTGACGATGCCTGACTCCTCTGGTATATTGATAGGAATCCCAAAATCCATATGGCTACTGGAAAGGTTCCTTGGGTGCCCTGTCTCACCTCGAGAAGTGTCCCTTTTGCCCTGCCAAGCCTCAAAGACATTCCTGAGGTGTCCCTCGTTACTAGACAAGCATCCTGACGTCACGGAAGAAACTCGTGTTTTGAAGGGCCATCCCCGCCTTAAGTCGGTAACATAGCCCAGGTCCCCGCCGCAACTCGAGAAAAACCATGAGACTTCCCCTTGGAGTCGAGAAGAGGCCCCATTCCCCTGCAGTGCATGCAGAGCTATTCCGTGATCCCGTTCAAACAAGTCAGGAGCTTCGACTTGCTTAATCCATCTCGAGAGAGTCCCCAAGAACACTGTCACCAGTCTAGACGGACCCTGAGTTCACCCCAGCAATGCAAAGCAGCTCCATGTGCCCCAAATCAACACGAGATGAGGCCCGATTCCCCTGCATTGACTCCAGAGCCATTCCCCGTTTCCCATTCAACACGACCGGTGGCTCGACTTCCTTCAGGCAACACCAGAGATGCCCCGAGAACACTGTCCCAAGTCTAGAGGAACACCAACTTCAGCACAGCAACTCGAGGAATGCTCCGTGTACCCCAAATCGTCTCGAGATGAGAGCTGATTCCCTGGCTTAGGCTCAAGACGTATGCCAACTGTCCAGAAGCACCTCAGGAGGAGGCTTCTCTCAGAAATAGGTACGTGGGAGGGACCCCGAGATCGCTGCCTCAAGTGGAATATACAGCGAGAAGACCTAACTTGAAAGGAGGCCGGATTTCCTTGCAGTGGCTTGAATACAAGCTCGTCTTTGATCTCAAAACATGAAGGGGTGTCTGAATCCACTGTGGAGACCTTAGAGAAAGCCCTAGGTCCCTGCCTCATTTTGACGGAATGCCTCACATCCCGTTGACACCTCAAGAGGCACGCGGAGTTCATTGCTTCAAAAGGTGCCGATGCCTGACTCCTCTTGAATACTGATAGGAATCCCAAAATCCCTGTGGCTACTGGAAAGGGTACTTGGGTGCCCTGCCTCACCTCGAGAAGCGTCCCTTTTGCCCTGCCAAGTCTCGGAGAGATTCCTGAGGTGTCCCTCGTTACTAGACAGGAGTCCTGACGTCACTGAAGAAACTCGTGTTTGGAAGGGCCATCCCCGCAGTAAGTCGAGAACATACCCAAGGTCCCCGCCGCAACTCGAGAAAAACCATGAGACTTCTCCCTAGAGGCGAGATGAGGCCCCATTCCCCTGCAGTGCATGCAGAGTTATTCCGTGATCCCATTCAAACAAGTCAGGAGCTTCGACTTGCTTAACGGATCTCGAGACAGTCCCCAAGAACACTGTCACCAGTCTAGACGGACCCTGGGGTCACCCCAGCAACGCAAAGCAGCTCCATGTGCCCCAAATCAACTCGAGATGAGGCCCGATTCCCCTGCATTGACTCCAGAGCCATTCCCCATTCCCCATTCAACACAACCGGTGGCTCGACTTCCTTCAGGCGTCTCCAGAGATGCCCCGAGAACACTGTCCCAAGTCTAGAGGAACACCAAATTCAGCACAGCAACTCGAGGAATGCTCCGTGTACCCCAAATCGTCTCGAGATGAGAGCTGATTCCCAGGCTTAGGCTCAAGACGTATGCCAACTTTCCAGAAGCACCTCAGGAGGAGGCTTCTCTCAGCAATAGGTATGTGGGAGGGACCCCGAGTTTGCTGCCTCAAGGGGAATATACAGCGAGAAGCCCTAACTTGAAAGGAGGCCGGATTTCCTTGCAGTGGCTTGAATACAGGCTCGTCTTTCATCTCACAACATGAAGGGATGTCTGAATCCCCTGTGGAGACCTTAGAGAAAGCCCTAGGTCCCAGCCTCATTTTGACGGAAGGCCTCACATCACGCTGACCCCTCGAGAGGCACGCGGAGTTCATTGCTTCAAAAGGTGACGGTGCCTGACTCCTCCTGAATACTCATAGGAATCCCAAAATCCCTGTGGCTACTGGAAAGGGTCCTTGGGTGCCCTGCCTCATCTCGAGAAGCGTCCCTTTTGCCCTGCCAAGCCTCGAAGAGATTCCTGAGGTGTCCCTCGTTACTAGACAGGAGTCCTGACGTCACTGAAGAAACTCGTGTTTGGAAGGGCCATCCCCGCCGTAAGTCGAGAACATACCCCAGGTCCCCGCCGCAACTCGAGAAAAACCATGAGACTTCTCCCTAGAGGCGAGATGAGGCCCCATTCCCCTGCAGTGCATGCAGAGCTATTCCGTGATCCCATTCAAACAAGTCAGGAGCTTCGACTTGCTTAACGGATCTCGAGACAGTCCCCAAGAACACTGTCACCAGTCTAGACGGACCCTGAGGTCACCCCAGCAACGCAAAGCAGCTCCATGTGCCCCAAATCAACTCGAGATGAGGCCCGATTCCCCTGCATTGACTCCAGAGCCATTCCCCATTCCCCATTCAACACGACCGGTGGCTCGACTTCCTTCAGGCATCTCCAGAGATGCCCCGAGAACACTGTCCCAAGTCTAGAGGAACACCAACTTCAGCACAGCAACTCGAGGAATGCTCCGTGTACCCCAAATCGTCTCGAGATGAGAGCCGATTCCCTGGCTTAGGCTCAAGACGTATGCCAACTTTCCAGAAGCACCTCAGGAGGAGGCTTCTCTCAGCAATAGGTATGTGGGAGGGACCCCGAGTTCGCTGCCTCAAGGGGAATATACAGCGAGAAGCCCTAACTTGAAAGGAGGCCGGATTTCCTTGCAGTGGCTTGAATACAGGCTCGTCTTTCATCTCACAACATGAAGGGCTGTCTGAATCCCCTGTGGAGACCTTAGAGAAAGCCCTAGGTCCCTGCCTCATTTTGACGGAAGGCCTCACATCCCGCTGACACCTCGAGAGGCACGCGGAGTTCATTGCTTCAAAAGGTGACGATGCCTGACTCCTCCTGAATACTCATAGGAATCCCAAAATCCCTGTGGCTACTGGAAAGGGTCCTTGGGTGCCCTGCCTCATCTCGAGAAGCGTCCCTTTTACCCTGCCAAGCCTCGAAGAGATTCCTGAGGTGTTCCTCGTTACTAGACAGGAGTCCTGACGTCACTGAAGAAACTCGTGTTTGGAAGGGCCATCCCCGCCGTAAGTCGAGAACATAACCCAGGTCCCTGCCGCAACTCGAGAAAAACCATGAGACTTCCCCCTAGAGGCGAGATGAGGCCCCATTCCCCTGCAGTGCATGCAGAGCTATTCCTTGATCCCATTCAAACAAGTCAGGAGCTTCGACTTGCTTAACGGATCTCGAGACAGTCCCCAAGAACACTGTCACCAGTCTAGACGGACCCTGAGGTCACCCCAGCAACGCAAAGCAGCTCCATGTGCCCCAAATCAACTCGAGATGAGGCCCGATTCCCCTGCATTGACTCCAGAGCCATTCCCCATTCCCCATTCAACACGACCGGTGGCTCGACTTCCTTCAGGCAACTCCAGAGATGCTCCGAAAACACTGTCCCAAGTCTAGAGGAAAACCAACTTCAGCACAGCAACTCGAGGAATGCTCCGTGTACCCCAAATCGTCTCGAGATGAGAGCTGATTCCCTGGCTTAGGCTCAAGACGTATGCCAACTTTCCAGAAGCACCTCAGGAGGAGGCTTCTCTCAGCAATAGATACGTGGGAGGGACCCCGAGATCGCTGCTTCAAGTGGAATATACAGCGAGAAGTCCTAACTTGAAAGGAGGCCGGATTTCCGTGCAGTGGCTTGAATACAGGCTCATCTTTGATCTCAAAACATGAGGGGTGTCTGAATATACTGTGGAGACCTTAGAGAAAGCCCTAGGTCCCTGCCTCATTTTGACGGAATGCCTCACATCCCGTTGACACGTCGAGAGGCACGCGGAGTTCATTGCTTCAAAAGGTGACGATGCCTGACTCCTCCTGAATACTCATAGGAATCCCAAAATCCCTGTGGCTACTGGAAAGGGTCCTTGGGTGCCCTGCCTCACCTCGAGAAGCGTCCCTTTTGCCCTGCCAAGCCTCGAAGAGATTCCTGAGGTGTCCCTCGTTACTAGACAGGAGTCCTGACGTCACTGAAGAAACTCGTGTTTGGAAGGGCCATCCCCGCCGTAAGTCGAGAACATACCCCAGGTCCCCGCCGCAACTCGAGAAAAACCATGAGACTTCCCCCTAGAGGCGAGATGAGGCCCCATTCCCCTGCAGTGCATGCAGAGCTATTCCGTGATCCCATTCAAACAAGTCAGGAGCTTCGACTTGCTTAACGGATCTCGAGACAGTCCCCAAGAACACTGTCACCAGTCTAGACGGACCCTGAGTTCACCCTAGCAACGCAAAGCAGCTCCATGTGCCCCAAATCAACTCGAGATGAAGCCCGATTCCCCTGCATTGACTCCAGAGCCATTCCCCGTTCCCCATTCAACACGACCGGTGGCTCGACTTCCTTCAGGCATCTCCAGAGATGCCCCGAGAACACTGTCCCAAGTCTAGAGGAACACCAACTTCAGCACAGCAACTCGAGGAATGCTCCGTGTACCCCAAATCGTCTCGACATGAGAGCTGATTCCCTGGCTTAGGCTCAATACATAGGCCAACTTTCCAGAAGCACCTCAGGAGGAGGCTTCTCTCAGCAATAGGTATGTGGGAGGGACCCCGAGATCGCTGCCTCAAGTAGAGTATACTGCGCGAATCCCTAACTTGAAAGGAGGCCGGATTTCCTTGCAGTGCCTTGAATACAGGCTCGTCTTTCATCTCACAACATGAAGGGATGTCTGAATCCCCTGTGGAGACCTTAGAGAAAGCCCTATGTCCCTGCCTCATTTTGACGGAATGCCTCACATCCCGTTGACCCCTCGAGAGGCACGCGGAGTTCATTGCTTCAAAAGGTGACGATGCCTGACTCCTCTGGTATATTGATAGGAATCGCAAAATCCATATGGCTACTGGAAAAGTTCCTTGGGTGCCCTGTCTCACCTCGAGAAGTGTCCCTTTTGCCCTGCCAAGCCTCGAAGACATTCCTGAGGTGTCCGTCGTTACTAGACAAGCATCCTGACGTCACGGAAGAAACTCGTGTTTTGAAGGGCCATCCCCGCCTTAAGTCGGGAACATACCCCAGGTCCCCGCCGCAACTCGAGAAAAACCATGAGACTTCCCCCTAGAGTCGAGAAGAGGCCCCATTCCCCTGCAGTGCATGCAGAGCTATTCCGTGATCCCGTTCAAACAAGTCAGGAGCTTCGACTTGCTTGATCCATCTCGAGAGAGTCCCCAAGAACACTGTCACCAGTCTAGACGGACCCTGAGTTCACCCCAGCAATGCAAAGCAGCTCCATGTGCCCCAAATCAACACGAGATGAGGCCCGATTCTCCTGCATTGACTCCAGAGCCATTCCCCGTTTCCCATTCAACACGACCGGTGGCTCGACTTCCTTCAGGCAACACCAGAGATGCCCCGAGAACACTGTCCCAAGTCTAGAGGAACACCAACTTCAGCACAGCAACTCGAGGAATGCTCCGTGTACCCCAAATCGTCTCGAGATGAGAGCTGATTCCCTGGCTTAGGCTGAAGACGTATGCCAACTGTCCAGAAGCACCTCAGGAGGAGGCTTCTCTCAGAAATAGGTACGTGGGAGGGACCCCGAGATCGCTGCCTCAAGTGGAATATACAGCGAGAAGACCTAACTTGAAAGGAGGCCGGATTTCCTTGCAGTGGCTTGAATACAAGCTCGTCTTTGATCTCAAAACATGAAGGGGTGTCTGAATCCACTGTGGAGACCTTAGAGAAAGCCCTAAGTCCCTGCCTCATTTTGACGGAATGCCTCACATCCCGTTGACATCTCAATAGGCACGCGGAGTTCATTGCTTCAAAAGGTGACGATGCCTGACTCCTCTTGAATACTGATAGGAAACCCAAAATCCCTTTGGCTACTGGAAAGGGTACTTGGGTGCCCTGCCTCACCTCGAGAAGCGTCCCTTTTGCCCTGCCAAGCCTCGGAGAGATTAATGAGGTGTCCCTCGTTACTAGACAGGAGTCCTGACGTCACTGAAGAAACTCGTGTTTGGAAGGGCCATCCCCGCATTAAGTCAGGAACATACCCCAGGTCCCCGCCGCAACTCGAGAAAAACCATGAGACTTCTCCCTAGAGGCGAGATGAGGCCCCATTCCCCTGCAGTGCATGCAGAGCTATTCCGTGATCCCATTCAAACAAGTCAGGAGCTTCGACTTGCTTAACGGATCTCGAGACAGTCCCCAAGAACACTGTCACCAGTCTAGACGGACCCTGAGGTCACCCCAGCAACGCAAAGCAGCTCCATGTGCCCCAAATCAACTCGAGATGAGGCCCGATTCCCCTGCATTGACTCCAGAGCCATTCCCCATTCCCCATTCAACACGACCGGTGGCTCGACTTCCTTCAGGCATCTCCAGAGATGCCCCGAGAACACTGTCCCAAGTCTAGAGGAACACCAACTTCAGCACAGCAACTCGAGGAATGCTCCGTGTACCCCAAATCGTCTCGAGATGAGAGCTGATTCCCAGGCTTAGGCTCAAGACGTATGCCAACTTTCCAGAAGCACCTCAGGAGGAGGCTTCTCTCAGCAATAGGTATGTGGGAGGGACCCCGAGTTTGCTGCCTCAAGGGGAATATACAGCGAGAAGCCCTAACTTGAAAGGAGGCCGGATTTCCTTGCAGTGGCTTGAATACAGGCTCGTCTTTCATCTCACAACATGAAGGGATGTCTGAATCCCCTGTGGAGACCTTAGAGAAAGCCCTAGGTCCCTGCCTCATTTAGACGGAAGGCCTCACATCCCGTTGACACCTCGAGAGGCACGCGGAGTTCATTGCTTCAAAAGGTGACGATGCCTGACTCCTCCTGAATACTCATAGGAATCCCAAAATCCCTGTGGCTACTGGAAAGGGTCCTTGGGTGCCCTGCCTCACCTCGAGAAGCGTCCCTTTTGCCCTGCCATGCCTTGAGGAGATTCCTGAGGTGTCCCTCGTTACTAGACAGGAGTCATGACGTCACTGAAGAAACTCGTGTTTGGAAGGGCCATCCCCGCCGTAAGTCGAGAACATACCCCAGGTCCCCGCCGCAACTCGAGAAAAACCATGAGACTTCTCCCTAGAGGCGAGATGAGGCCCCATTCCCCTGCAGTGCATGCAGAGCTATTCCGTGATCCCATTCAAACAAGTCAGGAGCTTCGACTTGCTTAACGGATCTCGAGACAGTCCCCAAGAACACTGTCACCAGTCTAGACGGACCCTGAGGTCACCCCAGCAACGCAAAGCAGCTCCATGTGCCCCAAATCAACTCGAGATGAGGCCCGATTCCCCTGCATTGACTCCAGAGCCATTCCCCATTCCCCATTCAACACGACCGGTGGCTCGACTTCCTTCAGGCATCTCCAGAGATGCCCCGAGAACACTGTCCCAAGTCTAGAGGAACACCAACTTCAGCACAGCAACTCGAGGAATGCTCCGTGTACCCCAAATCGTCTCGAGATGAGAGCTGATTCCCAGGCTTAGGCTCAAGACGTATGCCAACTTTCCAGAAGCACCTCAGGAGGAGGCTTCTCTCAGCAATAGGTATGTGGGAGGGACCCCGAGTTTGCTGCCTCAAGGGGAATATACAGCGAGAAGCCCTAACTTGAAAGGAGGCCGGATTTCCTTGCAGTGGCTTGAATACAGGCTCGTCTTTCATCTCACAACATGAAGGGATGTCTGAATCCCCTGTGGAGACCTTAGAGAAAGCCCTAGGTCCCTGCCTCATTTAGACGGAAGGCCTCACATCCCGTTGACACCTCGAGAGGCACGCGGAGTTCATTGCTTCAAAAGGTGACGATGCCTGACTCCTCCTGAATACTCATAGGAATCCCAAAATCCCTGTGGCTACTGGAAAGGGTCCTTGGGTGCCCTGCCTCACCTCGAGAAGCGTCCCTTTTGCCCTGCCATGCCTTGAGGAGATTCCTGAGGTGTCCCTCGTTACTAGACAGGAGTCATGACGTCACTGAAGAAACTCGTGTTTGGAAGGGCCATCCCCGCCGTAAGTCGAGAACATACCCCAGGTCCCCGCCGCAACTCGAGAAAAACCATGAGACTTCTCCCTAGAGGCGAGATGAGGCCCCATTCCCCTGCAGTGCATGCAGAGGTATTCCGTGATCCCATTCAAACAAGTCAGGAGCTTCGACTTGCTTAACGGATCTCGAGACAGTCCCCAAGAACACTGTCACCTTCTAGACGGACCCTGAGGTCCCCCCAGCAACGCAAAGCAGCTGCATGTGCCCCAAATCAACTCGAGATGAGGCCCGATTCCCCTGCATTGACTCCAGAGCCATTCCCCATTCATCATTCAACACGACCGGTGGCTCGACTTCCTTCAGGCATCTCCAGAGATGCCCCGAGAACACTGTCCCAAGTCTAGAGGAACACCAATTTCAGCACAGCAACTCGAGGAATGCTCCGTGTACCCCAAATCGTCTCGAGATGAGAGCTTATTCCCTGGCTTAGGCTCAAGACGTATGCCAACTTTCCAGAAGCACCTCAGGAGGAGGCTTCTCTCAGCAATAGGTATGTGGGAGGGACCCCGAGTTTGCTGCCTCAAGGGGAATATACAGCGAGAAGCCCTAACTTGAAAGGAGGCCGGATTTCCTTGCAGTGGCTTGAATACAGGCTCGTCTTTCATCTCACAACATGAAAGGATGTCTGAATCCCCTGTGGAGACCTTAGAGAAAGCCCTAGGTCCCTGCCTCATTTTGACGGAAGGCCTCACATCCCGCTGACCCCTCGAGAGGCACGCGGAGTTCATTGCTTCAAAAGGTGACGATGCCTGACTCCTCCTGAATACTCATAGGAATCCCAAAATCCCTGTGGCTACTGGAAAGGGTCCTTGGGTGCCCTGCCTCATCTCTAGAAGCGTCCCTTTTGCCCTGCCAAGCCTCGAAGAGATTCCTGAGGTGTCCCTCGTTACTAGACAGGAGTCCTGACGTCATTGAAGAAACTCGTGTTTGGAAGGGCCATCCCCGCCGTAAGTCGAGAACATACCCCAGGTCCCCGCCGCAACTCGAGAAAAACCATGAGACTTCCCCCTAGAGGCGAGATGAGGCCCCATTCCCCGGCAGTGCATGCAGAGCTATTCCGTGATCCCATTCAAACAAGTCAGGAGCTTCGACTTGCTTAATGGATCTCGAGACAGTCCCCAAGAACACTGTCCAAGTCTAGACGGACCCTGAGGTCTCCCCAGTAACGCAAAGCAGCTCCATGTGCTCCAAATCAACTCGAGATGAGGCCCGATTCCCCTGCATTGACTCCAGAGCCATTCCCGGTTCCCCATTCAACACGACCGGTTGCTCGACTTCCTTCAGGCATCTCCAGAGATGCCCCGAGAACACTGTCCCAAGTCTAGAGGAACACCAACTTCAGCACAGCAACTCGAGGAATGCTCCGTGTACCCCAAATCGTCTCGAGATGAGAGCCGATTCCCTGGCTTAGGCTCAAGACATATGCCAACTTTCCAGAAGCACCTCAGGAGGAGGCTTCTCTCAGCAATAGGTATGTGGGAGGGACCCCGAGTTCGCTGCCTCAAGGGGAATATACAGCGAGAAGCCCTAACTTGAAAGGAGGCCGGATTTCCTTGCAGTGGCTTGAATACAGGATCGTCTTTCATCTCACAACATGAAGGGATGTCTGAATCCCCTGTGGAGACCTTAGAGAAAGCCCTAGGTCCCTGCCTCATTTTGACGGAAGGCCTCACATCCCGCTGACACCTCGAGAGGCACGCGGAGTTCATTGCTTCAAAAGGTGACGATGCCTGACTCCTCCTGAATACTCATAGGAATCCCAAAATCCCTGTGGCTACTGGAAAGGGTCCTTGGGTGCCCTGCCTCACCTCGAGAAGCGTCCCTTTTGCCCTGCCAAGCCTCGAAGAGATTCCTGAGGTGTCCCTCGTTACTAGACAGGAGTCCTGACGTCACTGAAGAAACTCGTGTTTGGAAGGGCCATCCCCGCCGTAAGTCGAGAACATACCCCAGGTCCCCGCCGCAACTCGAGAAAAACCATGAGACTTCCCCCTAGAGGCGAGATGAGGCCCCATTCCCCTGCAGTGCATGCAGAGCTATTCCGTGATCCCATTCAAACAAGTCAGGAGCTTCGACTTGCTTAACGGATCTCGAGACAGTCCCCAAGAACACTGTCACCAGTCTAGACGGACCCTGAGGTCACCCCAGCAACGCAAAGCAGCTCCATGTGCCCCAAATCAACTCGAGATGAGGCCCGATTCCCCTGCATTGACTCCAGAGCCATTCCCCGTTCCCCATTCAACACGACCGGTGGCTCGACTTCCTTCAGGCATCTCCAGTGATGCCCCGAGAACACTGTCCCAAGTCTAGAGGAACACCAACTTCAGCACAGCAACTCGAGGAATGCTCCATGTACCCCAAATCGTCTCGACATGAGAGCTGATTCCCTGGCTTAGGCTCAATACGTAGGCCAACTTTCCAGAAGCACCTCAGGAGGAGGCTTCTCTCAGCAATAGGTATGTGGGAGGGACCCCGAGATCGCTGCCTCAAGTAGAGTATACTGCGAGAATCCCTAACTTGAAAGGAGGCCGGATTTCCTTGCAGTGCCTTGAATACAGGCTCGTCTTTCATCTCACAACATGAAGGGATGTCTGAATCCCCTGTGGAGACCTTAGAGAAAGCCCTATGTCCCTGCCTCATTTTGACGGAATGCCTCACATCCCGTTGACCCCTCGAGAGGCACGCGGAGTTCATTGCTTCAAAAGGTGACGATGCCTGACTCCTCTGGTATATTGATAGGAATCCCAAAATCCATATGGCTACTGGAAAGGTTACTTGGGTGCCCTGTCTCACCTCGAGAAGTGTCCCTTTTGCCCTGCCAAGCCTCGAAGACATTCCTGAGGTGTCCCTCGTTACTAGACAAGCATCCTGACCTCACGGAAGAAACTCGTGTTTTGAAGGGCCATCCCCGCCTTAAGTCGGGAACATACCCCAGGTCCCCGCCGCAACCCGAGAAAAACCATGAGACTTCCCCCTAGAGTCGAGAAGAGGCCCCATTCCCCTGCAGTGCATGCAGAGCTATTCCGTGATCCCGTTCAAACAAGTCAGGAGCTTCGACTTGCTTAACGAATCTCGAGACAGTCCCCAAGAACACTGTCACCAGTCTAGACGGACCCTGAGGTCACCCCAGCAATGCAAAGCAGCTCCATGTGCCCCAAATCAACACGAGATGAGGCCCCATTCCCCTGCATTGACTCCAGAGCCATTCCCCATTTCCCATTCAACACGACCGGTGGCTCGACTTCCTTCAGGCAACACCAGAGATGCCCCGAGAACACTGTCCCAAGTCTAGAGGAACACCAACTTCAGCACAGCAACTCGAGGAATGCTCCGTGTACCCCAAATCGTCTCGAGATGAGAGCTGATTCCCTGGCTTAGGCTCAAGACGTATGCCAACTGTCCAGAAGCACCTCAGGAGGAGGCTTCTCTCAGAAATAGGTACGTGGGAGGGACCCCGAGATCGCTGCCTCAAGTGGAATATACAGCGAGAAGACCTAACTTGAAAGGAGGCCGGATTTCCTTGCAGTGGCTTGAATACAAGCTCGTCTTTGATCTCAAAACATGAAGGGGTGTCTGAATCCACTGTGGAGACCTTAGAGAAAGCCCTAGGTCCCTGCCTCATTTTGACGGAATGCCTCACATCCCGTTGACACCTCAAGAGGCACGCGGAGTTCATTGCTTCAAAAGTTGACGATGCCTGACTCTTCGTGAATACTGATAGGAATCCCAAAATCCCTGTGGCTACTGGAAAGGGTACTTGGGTGCCCTGCCTCACCTCGAGAAGCGTCCCTTTTGCCCTGCCAAGCCTCGGAGAGATTCCTGAGGTGTCCCTCGTTACTAGACAGGAGTCCTGACGTCACTGAAGAAACTCGTGTTTGGAAGGGCCATCCCCGCCGTAAGTCGAGAACATACCCCAGGTCCCCGCCGCAACTCGAGAAAAACCATGAGACTTCTCCCTAGAGGCGAGATGAGGCCCCATTCCCCTGCAGTGCATGCAGAGCTATTCCGTGATCCCATTCAAACAAGTCAGGAGCTTCGACTTGCTTAACAGATCTCGAGACAGTCCCCAAGAACACTGTCACCAGTCTAGACGGACCCTGAGGTCACCCCAGCAACGCAAAGCAGCTCCATGTGCCCCAAATCAACTCGAGATGAGGCCCGATTCCCCTGCATTGACTCCAGAGCCATTCCCCATTCCCCATTCAACACGACCGGTGGCTCGACTTCCTTCAGGCATCTCCAGAGATGCCCGGAGAACACTGTCCCAAGTCTAGAGGAACACCAACTTCAGCACAGCAACTCGAGGAATGCTCCGTGTACCCCAAATCGTCTCGAGATGAGAGCTGATTCCCAGGCTTAGGCTCAAGACGTATGCCAACTTTCCAGAAGCACCTCAGGAGGAGGCTTCTCTCAGCAATAGGTATGTGGGAGGGACCCCGAGTTTGCTGCCTCAAGGGGAATATACAGCGAGAAGCCCTAACTTGAAAGGAGGCAGGATTTCCTTGCAGTGGCTTGAATACAGGCTCGTCTTTCATCTCACAACATGAAGGGATGTCTGAATCCCCTGTGGAGACCTTAGAGAAAGCCCTAGGTCCCTGCCTCTTTTTGACGGAAGGCCTCACATCCCGCTGACACCTCGAGAGGCATGCGGAGTTCATTGCTTCAAAAGGTGAAGACGCCTGACTCCTCCTGAATACTCATAGGAATCCCAAAATTCCTGTGGCTACTGGAAAGTGTCCTTTTGTGCCCTGCCTCACCTCGAGAAGTGTCCCTTTTGCCCTGCCAAGCCTCGGAGAGATTCCTGAGGTGTCTCTCGTTACTAGACAGGAGTCCTGACGTCACTGAAGAAACTCGTGTTTGGAAGGGCCATCCCCGCCGTAAGTCGAGAACATACCCCAGGTCCCCGCCGCAACTCGAGAAAAACCATGAGACTTCTCCCTAGAGGCGAGATGAGGCCCCATTCCCCTGCAGTGCATGCAGAGCTATTCCGTGATCCCATTCAAACAAGTCAGGAGCTTCGACTTGCTTAACGGATCTCGAGACAGTCCCCAAGAACACTGTCACCAGTCTAGACGGACCCTGAGGTCACCCCAGCAACGCAAAGCAGCTCCATATGCTCCAAATCAACTCGAGATGAGGCCCGATTCCCCTGCATTGACTCCAGAGCCATTCCCCATTCCCCATTCAACACGACCGGTGGCTCGACTTCCTTCAGGCATCTCCAGAGATGCCCCGAGAACACTGTCCCAAGTCTAGAGGAACACCAACTTCAGCACAGCAACTCGAGGAATGCTCCGTGTACCCCAAATCGTCTCGAGATGAGAGCCGATTCCCTGGCTTAGGCTCAAGACGTATGCCAACTTTCCAGAAGCACCTCAGGAGGAGGCTTCTCTCAGCAATAGGTATGTGGGAGGGACCCCGAGTTCGCTGCCTCAAGGGGAATATACAGCGAGAAGCCCTAACTTGAAAGGAGGCCGGATTTCCTTGCAGTGGCTTGAATACAGGCTCGTATTTCATCTCACAACATGAAGGGATGTCTGAATCCCCTGTGGAGACCTTAGAGAAAGCCCTAGGTCCCTGCCTCATTTTGACGGAAGGCCTCACATCCCGCTGACACCTCGAGAGGCACGCGGAGTTCATTGCTTCAAAAGGTGACGGTGCCTGACTCCTCCTGAATACTCATAGGAATCCCAAAATCCCTGTGGCTACTGGAAAGGGTCCTTGGGTGCCCTGCCTCACCTCGAGACGCGTCCCTTTTGCCCTGCCAAGCCTCCAAGAGATTCGTGAGGTGTCCCTCGTTACTAGACAGGAGTCCTGACGTCACTGAAGAAACTCGTGTTTGGAAGGGCCATCCCCGCCGTAAGTCAAGAACATACCCCAGGTCCCCGACGCAACTCGAGAAAAACCATGAGACTTCCCCCTAGAGGCGAGATGAGGCCCCATTCCCCTGCAGTGCATGCAGAGCTATTCCGTGATCCCATTCAAACAAGTCAGGAGCTTCGACTTGCTTAACGGATCTCGAGACAGTCCCCAAGAACACTGTCACCAGTCTAGACGGACCCTGAGGTCACCCCAGCAACGCAAAGCAGCTCCATGTGCCCCAAATCAACTCGAGATGAGGCCCGATTCCCCTGCATTGACTCCAGAGCCATTCCCCGTTCCCCATTCAACACGACCGGTGGCTCGACTTCCTTCAGGCATCTCCAGAGATGCCCCGAGAACACTGTCCCAAGTCTAGAGGAACACCAACTTCAGCACAGCAACTCGAGGAATGCTCCGTGTACCCCAAATCGTCTCGAGATGAGAGCTGATTCCCTGGCTTAGGCTCAAGACGTATGCCAACTGTCCAGAAGCACCTCAGGAGGAGGCTTCTCTCAGAAATAGGTACGTGGGAGGGACCCCGAGATCGCTGCCTCAAGTGGAATATACAGCGAGAAGACCTAACTTGAAAGGAGGCCGGATTTCCTTGCAGTGGCTTGAATACAAGCTCGTCTTTGATCTCAAAACATGAAGGGGTGTCTGAATCCACTGTGGAGACCTTAGAGAAAGCCCTAGGTCCCTGCCTCATTTTGACGGAATGCCTCACATCCCGTTGACACCTCAAGAGGCACGCGGAGTTCATTGCTTCAAAAGTTGACGATGCCTGACTCTTCGTGAATACTGATAGGAATCCCAAAATCCCTGTGGCTACTGGAAAGGGTACTTGGGTGCCCTGCCTCACCTCGAGAAGCGTCCCTTTTGCCCTGCCAAGCCTCGGAGAGATTCCTGAGGTGTCCCTCGTTACTAGACAGGAGTCCTGACGTCACTGAAGAAACTCGTGTTTGGAAGGGCCATCCCCGCCGTAAGTCGAGAACATACCCCAGGTCCCCGCCGCAACTCGAGAAAAACCATGAGACTTCTCCCTAGAGGCGAGATGAGGCCCCATTCCCCTGCAGTGCATGCAGAGCTATTCCGTGATCCCATTCAAACAAGTCAGGAGCTTCGACTTGCTTAACGGATCTCGAGACAGTCCCCAAGAACACTGTCACCAGTCTAGACGGACCCTGAGGTCACCCCAGCAACGCAAAGCAGCTCCATGTGCCCCAAATCTACTCGAGATGAGGCCCGATTCCCCTGCATTGACTCCAGAGCCATTCCCCATTCCCCATTCAACACGACCGGTGGCTCGACTTCCTTCAGGCATCTCCAGAGATGCCCGGAGAACACTGTCCCAAGTCTAGAGGAACACCAACTTCAGCACAGCAACTCGAGGAATGCTCCGTGTACCCCAAATCGTCTCGAGATGAGAGCTGATTCCCAGGCTTAGGCTCAAGACGTATGCCAACTTTCCAGAAGCACCTCAGGAGGAGGCTTCTCTCAGCAATAGGTATGTGGGAGGGACCCCGAGTTCGCTGCCTCAAGGGGAATATACAGCGAGAAGCCCTAACTTGAAAGGAGGCCGGATTTCCTTGCAGTGGCTTGAATACAGGCTCGTCTTTCATCTCACAACATGAAGGGATGTCTGAATCCCCTGTGGAGACCTTAGAGAAAGCCCTAGGTCCCTGCCTCATTTTGACGGAAGGCCTCACATCCCGCTGACACCTCGAGAGGCACGCGGAGTTCATTGCTTCAAAAGGTGACGGTGCCTGACTCCTCCTGAATACTCATAGGAATCCCAAAATCCCTGTGGCTACTGGAAAGGGTCCTTGGGTGCCCTGCCTCACCTCGAGACGCGTCCCTTTTGCCCTGCCAAGCCTCGAAGAGATTCCTGAGGTGTCCCTCGTTACTAGACAGGAGTCCTGACGTCACTGAAGAAACTCGTGTTTGGAAGGGCCATCCCCGCCGTAAGTCAAGAACATACCCCAGGTCCCCGACGCAACTCGAGAAAAACCATGAGACTTCTCCCTAGAGGCGAGATGAGGCCCCATTCCCCTGCAGTGCATGCAGAGGTATTCCGTGATCCCATTCAAACAAGTCAGGATCTTCGACTTGCTTAACGGATCTCGAGACAGTCCCCAAGAACACTGTCACCAGTCTAGACGGACCCTGAGGTCACCCCAGCAATGCAAAGCAGCTGCACGTGCCCCAAATCAACTCGAGATGAGGCCCGATTCCCCTGCATTGACTCCAGAGCCATTCCCCGTTCCCCATTCAACACGACCGGTTGCTCGACTTCCTTCAGGCATCTCCAGAGATGCCCCGAGAACACTGTCCCAAGTCTAGAGGAACACCAACTTCAGCACAGCAACTCGAGGAATGCTCCGTGTACCCCAAATCGTCTCGAGATGAGAGCCGATTCCCTGGCTTAGGCTCAAGACATATGCCAACTTTCCAGAAGCACCTCAGGAGGAGGCTTCTCTCAGCAATAGGTATGTGGGAGGGACCCCGAGTTCGCTGCCTCAAGGGGAATATACAGCGAGAAGCCCTAACTTGAAAGGAGGCCGGATTTCCTTGCAGTGGCTTGAATACAGGCTCGTCTTTCATCTCACAACATGAAGGGATGTCTGAATCCCCTGTGGAGACCTTAGAGAAAGCCCTAGGTCCCTGCCTCATTTTGACGGAAGTCCTCACATCCCGCTGACACCTCGAGAGGCACGCGGAGTTCATTGCTTCAAAAGGTGACGATGCTTGACTCCTCCTGAATACTCATAGGAATCCCAAAATCCCTGTGGCTACTGGAAAGGGTCCTTGGGTGCCCTGCCTCACCTCAAGAAGCGTCCCTTTTGCCCTGCCAAGCCTCGAAGAGATTCCTGAGGTGTCCCTCGTTACTAGACAGGAGTCCTGACGTCACTGAAAAAACTCGTGTTTGGAAGGGCCATCCCCGCCGTAAGTCGAGAACATACCCCAGGTCCCCGCCGCAACTCGAGAAAAACCATGAGACTTCCCCCTAGAGGCGAGATGAGGCCCCATTCCCCTGCAGTGCATGCAGAGCTATTCCGTGATCCCATTCAAACAAGTCAGGAGCTTCGACTTGCTTAACGGATCTCGAGACAGTCCCCAAGAACACTGTCACCAGTCTAGACGGACCCTGAGGTCACCCCAGCAACGCAAAGCAGCTCCATGTGCCCCAAATCAACTCGAGATGAGGCCCGATTCCCCTGCATTGACTCCAGAGCCATTCCCCGTTCCCCATTCAACATGACCGGTGGCTCGACTTCCTTCAGGCAACTCCAGAGATGCTCCGAAAACACTGTCCCAAGTCTAGAGGAACACCAACTTCAGCACAGCAACTCGAGGAATGCTCCGTGTACCCCAAATCGTCTCGAGATGAGAGCTGATTCCCTGCCTTAGGCTCAAGACGTATGCCAACATTCCAGAAGCACCTCAGGAGGAGGCTTCTCTCAGCAATAGGTATGTGGGAGGGACCCCGAGTTTGCTGCCTCAAGGGGAATATACAGCGAGAAGCCCTAACTTGAAAGGATGCCGGATTTCCTTGCAGTGGCTTGAATACAGGCTCGTCTTTCATCTCACAACATGAAGGGATGTCTGAATCCCCTGTGGAGACCTTAGAGAAAGTCCTAGGTCCCTGCCTCTTTTTGACGGAAGGCCTCACATCCCGCTGACACCTCGAGAGGCACGCGGAGTTCATTGCTTCAAAAGGTGACGGTGCCTGACTCCTCCTGAATACTCATAGGAATCCCAAAATCCCTGTGGCTACTGGAAAGGGTCCTTGGGTGCCCTGCCTCATCTCGAGAAGCGTCCCTTTTGCCCTGCCAAGCCTCGAAGAGATTCCTGAGGTGTCCCTCGTTACTAGACAGGAGTCCTGACGTCACTGAAGAAACTCGTGTTTGGAAGGGCCATCCCCGCCGTAAGTCGAGAACATACCCCAGGTCCCCGCCGCAACTCGAGAAAAACCATGAGACTTCTCCCTAGAGGCGAGATGAGGCCCCATTCCCCTGCAGTGCATGCAGAGCTATTCCGTGATCCCATTCAAACAAGTCAGGAGCTTCGACTTGCTTAACGGATCTCGAGACAGTCCCCAAGAACACTGTCACCAGTCTAGACGGACCCTGAGGTCACCCCAGCAACGCAAAGCAGCTCCATGTGCTCCAAATCAACTCGAGATGAGGCCCGATTCCCCTGCATTGACTCCAGAGCCATTCCCCATTCCCCATTCAACACGACCGGTGGCTCGACTTCCTTCAGGCATCTCCAGAGATGCCCCGAGAACACTGTCCCAAGTCTAGAGGAACACCAACTTAAGCACAGCAACTCGAGGAATGCTCCGTGTACCCCAAATCGTCTCGAGATGAGAGCCGATTCCCTGGCTTAGGCTCAAGACGTATGCCAACTTTCCAAAAGCACCTCAGGAGGAGGCTTCTCTCAGCAATAGGTATGTGGGAGGGACCCCGAGTTTGCTGCCTCAAGGTGAATATACAGCGAGAAGCCCTAACTTGAAAGGAGGCCAGATTTCCTAGCTGTGGCTTGAATACAGGCTCGTCTTTGATCTCACAACATGAAGGGATGTCTGAATCCCCTGTGGAGACCTTAGAGCAAGCCCTAGGTCCCTGCCTCATTTTGACGGAAGGCCTCACATCCCGCTGACACCTCGAGAGGCACGCGGAGTTCATTGCTTCAAAAGGTGACGATGCCTGACTCCTCCTGAATACTCATAGGAATCCCAAAATCCCTGTGGCTACTGGAAAGGGTCCTTGGGTGCCCTGCCTCACCTCGAGAAGCGTCCCTTTTGCCCTGCCAAGACTCGAAGAGATTCCTGAGGTGTCCCTCGTTACTAAACAGGATTCCTGACGTCACTGAAGAAACTCGTGTTTGGAAGGGCCATCCCCGCCGTAAGTCGAGAACATAACCAAGGTCCGCGCCGCAACTCGAGAAAAACCATGAGACTTCCTCCTAGAGGCTAGATGAGGCACCATTCCCCTGCAGTGCATGCAGAGCTATTCCTTGATCCCATTCAAACAAGTCAGGAGCTTCGACTTGCTTAACGGATCTCGAGAGAGTCCGCAAGAACACTGTCACCAGTCTAGATGGACGCTGAGGTCACCCCAGCAACGCAAAGCAGCTCCATGTGCCCCAAATCAACTCGAGATGAGGCCCGATTCCCCTGCATTGACTCCAGAGCCATTCCCCGTTCCCCATTCAACACGACCGGTGGCTCGACTTCCTTCAGGCAACTCCAGAGATGCTCCGAAAACACTGTCCCAAGTCTAGAGGAACACCAACTTCAGCACAGCAACTCGAGGAATGCTCCGTGTACCCCAAATCGTCTCGAGATGAGAGCTGATTCCCTGCCTTAGGCTCAAGACGTATGCCAACATTCCAGAAGCACCTCAGGAGGAGGCTTCTCTCAGCAATAGGTATGTGGGAGGGACCCCGAGTTTGCTGCCTCAAGGGGAATATACAGCGAGAAGCCCTAACTTGAAAGGATGCCGGATTTCCTTGCAGTGGCTTGAATACAGGCTCGTCTTTCATCTCACAACATGAAGGGATGTCTGAATCCCCTGTGGAGACCTTAGAGAAAGCCCTAGTTCCCTGCCTCTTTTTGACGGAAGGCCTCACATCCCGCTGACACCTCGAGAGGCATGCGGAGTTCATTGCTTCAAAAGGTGAAGACGCCTGACTCCTCCTGAATACTCATAGGAATCCCAAAATCCCTGTGGATACTGGAAAGGGTCCTTGGGTGCCCTGCCTCACCTCGAGAAGCGTCCCTTTTGCCCTGCCAAGCCTCGGAGAGATTCCTGAGGTGTCCCTCGTTACTAGACAGGAGTCATGACGTCACTGAAGAAACTCGTGTTTGGAAGGGCCATCCCCGCCGTAAGTCGAGAACATACCCCAGGTCCCCGCCGCAACTCGAGAAAAACCATGAGACTTCTCCCTAGAGGCGAGATGAGGCCCCATTCCCCTGCAGTGCATGCAGAGCTATTCCGTGATCCCATTCAAACAAGTCAGGAGCTTCGACTTGCTTAACGGATCTCGAGACAGTCCCCAAGAACACTGTCACCAGTCTAGACGGACCCTGAGGTCACCCCAGCAATGCAAAGCAGCTGCATGTGCCCCAAATCAACTCGAGATGAGGCCCGATTCCCCTGCATTGACTCCAGAGCCATTCCCCGTTCCCCATTCAACACGACCGGTTGCTCGACTTCCTTCAGGCATCTCCAGAGATGCCCCGAGAACACTGTCCCAAGTCTAGAGGAACACCAACTTCAGCACAGCAACTCGAGGAATGCTCCGTGTACCCCAAATCGTCTCGAGATGAGAGCCGATTCCCTGGCTTAGGCTCAAGACATATGCCAACTTTCCAGAAGCACCTCAGGAGGAGGCTTCTCTCAGCAATAGGTATGTGGGAGGGACCCCGAGTTCGCTGCCTCAAGGGGAATATACAGCGAGAAGCCCTAACTTGAAAGGAGGCCGGATTTCCTTGCAGTGGCTTGAATACAGGCTCGTCTTTCATCTCACAACATGAAGGGATGTCTGAATCCCCTGTGGAGACCTTAGAGAAAGCCCTAGGTCCCTGCCTCATTTTGACGGAAGTCCTCACATCCCGCTGACACCTCGAGAGGCACGCGGAGTTCATTGCTTCAAAAGGTGACGATGCCTGACTCCTCCTCAATACTCATAGGAATCCCAAAATCCCTGTGGCTACTGGAAAGGGTCCTTGGGTGCCCTGCCTCACCTCGAGAAGCGTCCCTTTTGCCCTGCCAAGCCTCGAAGAGATTCCTGAGGTGTCCCTCGTTACTAGACAGGAGTCCTGACGTCACTGAAGAAACTCGTGTTTGGAAGGGCCATCCCCGCCGTAAGTCGAGAACATACCCCAGGTCCCCGCCGCAACTCGAGAAAAACCATGAGACTTCCCCCTAGAGGCGAGATGAGGCCCCATTCCCCTGCAGTGCATGCAGAGCTATTCCGTGATCCCATTCAAACAAGTCAGGAGCTTCGACTTGCTTAACGGATCTCGAGACAGTCCCCAAGAACACTGTCACCAGTCTAGACGGACCCTGAGGTCACCCCAGCAACGCAAAGCAGCTCCATGTGCCCCAAATCAACTCGAGATGAGGCCCGATTCCCCTGCATTGACTCCAGAGCCATTCCCCGTTCCCCATTCAACACGACCGGTGGCTCGACTTCCTTCAGGCATCTCCAGAGATGGCCCGAGAACACTGTCCCAAGTCTAGAGGAACACCAACTTCAGCACAGCAACTCGAGGAATGCTCCGTGTACCCCAAATCGTCTCGAGATGAGAGTTGATTCCCTGGCTTAGGCTCAAGACGTATGCCAACTTTCCAGAAGCACCTCAGGAGGAGGCTTCTCTCAGCAATAGGTATGTGGGAGGGACCCCGAGTTTGCTGCCTCAAGGTGAATATACAGCGAGAAGCCCTAACTTGAAAGGAGGCCAGATTTCCTAGCTGTGGCTTGAATACAGGCTCGTCTTTGATCTCACAACATGAAGGGATGTCTGAATCCCCTGTGGAGACCTTAGAGAAAGCCCTAGGACCCTGCCTCATTTTGACGGAAGGCCTCACATCCCGCTGACACCTCGAGAGGCACGCGGAGTTCATTGCTTCAAAAGGTGACGATGCCTGACTCCTCCTGAATACTCATAGGAATCCCAAAATCCCTGTGGCTACTGGAAAGGGTCCTTGGGTGCCCTGCCTCACCTCGAGAAGCGTCCCTTTTGCCCTGCCAAGACTCGAAGAGATTCCTGAGGTGTCCCTCGTTACTAGACAGGATTCCTGACGTCACTGAAGAAACTCGTGTTTGGAAGGGCCATCCCCGCCGTAAGTCGAGAACATAACCAAGGTCCGCGCCGCAACTCGAGAAAAACCATGAGACTTCCTCCTAGAGGCTAGATGAGGCCCCATTCCCCTGCAGTGCATGCAGAGCTATTCCTTGATCCCATTCAAACAAGTCAGGAGCTTCGACTTGCTTAACGGATCTCGAGAGAGTCCGCAAGAACACTGTCACCAGTCTAGATGGACGCTGAGGTCACCCCAGCAACGCAAAGCAGCTCCATGTGCCCCAAATCAACTCGAGATGAGGCCCGATTCCCCTGCATTGACTCCAGAGCCATTCCCCGTTCCCCATTCAACACGACCGGTGGCTCGACTTCCTTCAGGCAACTCCAGAGATGCTCCGAAAACACTGTCCCAAGTCTAGAGGAACACCAACTTCAGCACAGCAACTCGAGGAATGCTCCGTGTACCCCAAATCGTCTCGAGATGAGAGCTGATTCCCTGCCTTAGGCTCAAGACGTATGCCAACATTCCAGAAGCCCCTCAGGAGGAGGCTTCTCTCAGCAATAGGTATGTGGGAGGGACCCCGAGTTTGCTGCCTCAAGGGGAATATACAGCGAGAAGCCCTAACTTGAAAGGATGCCGGATTTCCTTGCAGTGGCTTGAATACAGGCTCGTCTTTCATCTCACAACATGAAGGGATGTCTGAATCCCCTGTGGAGACCTTAGAGAAAGCCCTAGTTCCCTGCCTCTTTTTGACGGAAGGCCTCACATCCCGCTGACACCTCGAGAGGCATGCGGAGTTCATTGCTTCAAAAGGTGAAGACGCCTGACTCCTCCTGAATACTCATAGGAATCCCAAAATCCCTGTGGATACTGGAAAGGGTCCTTGGGTGCCCTGCCTCACCTCGAGAAGCGTCCCTTTTGCCCTGCCAAGCCTCGGAGAGATTCCTGAGGTGTCCCTCGTTACTAGACAGGAGTCCTGACGTCACTGAAGAAACTCGTGTTTGGAAGGGCCATCCCCGCCGTAAGTCGAGAACATACCCCAGGTCCCCGCCGCAACTCGAGAAAAACCATGAGACTTCTCCCTAGAGGCGAGATGAGGCCCCATTCCCCTGCAGTGCATGCAGAGCTATTCCGTGATCCCATTCAAACAAGTCAGGAGCTTCGACTTGCTTAACGGATCTCGAGACAGTCCCCAAGAACACTGTCACCAGTCTAGACGGACCCTGAGGTCACCCCAGGAATGCAAAGCAGCTCCATGTGCCCCAAATCAACTCGAGATGAGGCCCGATTCCCCTGCATTGACTCCACAGCCATTCCCCGTTCCCCATTCAACACGACCGGTGGCTCGACTTCCTTCAGGCATCTCCAGAGATGCCCCGAGAACACTGTCCCAAGTCTAGAGGAACACCAACTTAAGCACAGCAACTCGAGGAATGCTCCGTGTACCCCAAATCGTCTCGAGATGAGAGCCGATTCCCTGGCTTAGGCTCAAGACATATGCCAACTTTCCAGAAGCACCTCAGGAGGAGGCTTCTCTCAGCAATAGGTATGTGGGAGGGACCCCGAGTTCGCTGCCTCAAGGGGAATATACAGTGAGAAGCCCTAACTTGAAAGGAGGCCGGATTTCCTTGCAGTGGCTTGAATACAGGCTCGTATTTCATCTCACAACATGAAGGGATGTCTGAATCCCCTGTGGAGACCTTAGAGAAAGCCCTAGGTCCCTGCCTCATTTTGACGGAAGGCCTCACATCCCGCTGACACCTCGAGAGGCACGCGGAGTTCATTGCTTCAAAAGGTGATGGTGCCTGACTCCTCCTGAATACTCATAGGAATCCCAAAATCCCTGTGGCTACTGGAATGGGTCCTTGGGTGCCCTGCCTCATCTCGAGAAGCGTCCCTTTTGCCCTGCCAAGCCTCGAAGAGATTCCTGAGGTGTCCCTCGTTACTAGACAGGAGTCCTGACGTCACTGAAGAAACTCGTGTTTGGAAGGGCCATCCCCGCCGTAAGTCGAGAACATACCCCAGGTCCCCGCCGCAACTCGAGAAAAACCATGAGACTTCTCCCTAGAGGCGAGATGAGGCCCCATTCCCCTGCAGTGCATGCAGAGCTATTCCGTGATCCCATTCAAACAAGTCAGGAGCTTCGACTTGCTTAACGGATCTCGAGACAGTCCCCAAGAACACTGTCACCAGTCTAGACGGACCCTGAGGTCACCCCAGCAACGCAAAGCAGCTCCATGTGCTCCAAATCAACTCGAGATGAGGCCCGATTCCCCTGCATTGACTCCAGAGCCATTCCCCATTCCCCATTCAACACGACCGGTGGCTCGACTTCCTTCAGGCATCTCCAGAGATGCCCCGAGAACACTGTCCCAAGTCTAGAGGAACACCAACTTAAGCACAGCAACTCGAGGAATGCTCCGTGTACCCCAAATCGTCTCGAGATGAGAGCCGATTCCCTGGCTTAGGCTCAAGACGTATGCCAACTTTCCAAAAGCACCTCAGGAGGAGGCTTCTCTCATCAATAGGTATGTGGGAGGGACCCCGAGTTTGCTGCCTCAAGGTGAATATACAGCGAGAAGCCCTAACTTGAAAGGAGGCCAGATTTCCTAGCTGTGGCTTGAATACAGGCTCGTCTTTGATCTCACAACATGAAGGGATGTCTGAATCCCCTGTGGAGACCTTAGAGAAAGCCCTAGGTCCCTGCCTCATTTTGACGGAAGGCCTCACATCCCGCTGACACCTCGAGAGGCACGCGGAGTTCATTGCTTCAAAAGGTGACGATGCCTGACTCCTCCTGAATACTCATAGGAATCCCAAAATCCCTGTGGCTACTGGAAAGGGTCCTTGGGTGCCCTGCCTCACCTCGAGAAGCGTCCCTTTTGCCCTGCCAAGACTCGAAGAGATTCCTGAGGTGTCCCTCGTTACTAAACAGGATTCCTGACGTCACTGAAGAAACTCGTGTTTGGAAGGGCCATCCCCGCCGTAAGTCGAGAACATAACCAAGGTCCGCGCCGCAACTCGAGAAAAACCATGAGACTTCCTCCTAGAGGCTAGATGAGGCCCCATTCCCCTGCAGTGCATGCAGAGCTATTCCTTGATCCCATTCAAACAAGTCAGGAGCTTCGACTTGCTTAACGGATCTCGAGAGAGTCCGCAAGAACACTGTCACCAGTCTAGATGGACGCTGAGGTCACCCCAGCAACGCAAAGCAGCTCCATGTGCCCCAAATCAACTCGAGATGAGGCCCGATTCCCCTGCATGGACTCCAGAGCCATTCCCCGTTCCCCATTCAACACGACCGGTGGCTCGACTTCCTTCAGGCATCTCCAGAGATGCTCCGAAAACACTGTCCCAAGTCTAGAGGAACACCAACTTCAGCACAGCAACTCGAGGAATGCTCCGTGTACCCCAAATCGTCTCGAGATGAGAGCTGATTCCCTGCCTTAGGCTCAAGACGTATGCCAACATTCCAGAAGCACCTCAGGAGGAGGCTTCTCTCAGCAATAGGTATGTGGGAGGGACCCCGAGTTTGCTGCCTCAAGGGGAATATACAGCGAGAAGCCCTAACTTGAAAGGATGCCGGATTTCCTTGCAGTGGCTTGAATACAGGCTCGTCTTTCATCTCACAACATGAAGGGATGTCTGAATCCCCTGTGGAGACCTTAGAGAAAGCCCTAGTTCCCTGCCTCTTTTTGACGGAAGGCCTCACATCCCGCTGACACCTCGAGAGGCATGCAGAGTTCATTGCTTCAAAAGGTGAAGACGCCTGACTCCTCCTGAATACTCATAGGAATCCCAAAATCCCTGTGGATACTGGAAAGGGTCCTTGGGTGCCCTGCCTCACCTCGAGAAGCGTCCCTTTTGCCCTGCCAAGCCTCGGAGAGATTCCTGAGGTGTCCCTCGTTACTAGACAGGAGTCCTGACGTCACTGAAGAAACTCGTGTTTGGAAGGGCCATCCCCGCCGTAAGTCGAGAACATACCCCAGGTCCCCGCCGCAACTCGAGAAAAACCATGAGACTTCTCCCTAGAGGCGAGATGAGGCCCCATTCCCCTGCAGTGCATGCAGAGCTATTCCGTGATCCCATTCAAACAAGTCAGGAGCTTCGACTTGCTTAACGGATCTCGAGACAGTCCCCAAGAACACTGTCACCAGTCTAGACGGACCCTGAGGTCACCCCAGCAATGCAAAGCAGCTGCATGTGCCCCAAATCAACTCGAGATGAGGCCCGATTCCCCTGCATTGACTCCAGAGCCATTCCCCGTTCCCCATTCAACACGACCGGTTGCTCGACTTCCTTCAGGCATCTCCAGAGATGCCCCGAGAACACTGTCCCAAGTCTAGAGGAACACCAACTTCAGCACAGCAACTCGAGGAATGCTCCGTGTACCCCAAATCGTCTCGAGATGAGAGCCGATTCCCTGGCTTAGGCTCAAGACATATGCCAACTTTCCAGAAGCACCTCAGGAGGAGGCTTCTCTCAGCAATAGGTATGTGGGAGGGACCCCGAGTTCGCTGCCTCAAGGGGAATATACAGCGAGAAGCCCTAACTTGAAAGGAGGCCGGATTTCCTTGCAGTGGCTTGAATACAGGCTCGTCTTTCATCTCACAACATGAAGGGATGTCTGAATCCCCTGTGGAGACCTTAGAGAAAGCCCTAGGTCCCTGCCTCATTTTGACGGAAGTCCTCACATCCCGCTGACACCTCGAGAGGCACGCGGAGTTCATTGCTTCAAAAGGTGACGATGCCTGACTCCTCCTGAATACTCATAGGAATCCCAAAATCCCTGTGGCTACTGGAAAGGGTCCTTGGGTGCCCTGCCTCACCTCGAGAAGCGTCCCTTTTGCCCTGCCAAGCCTCGAAGAGATTCCTGAGGTGTCCCTCGTTACTAGACAGGAGTCCTGACGTCACTGAAGAAACTCGTGTTTGGAAGGGCCATCCCCGCCGTAAGTCGAGAACATACCCCAGGTCCCCGCCGCAACTCGAGAAAAACCATGAGATTTCCCCCTAGAGGCGAGATGAGGCCCCATTCCCCTGCAGTGCATGCAGAGCTATTCCTTGATCCCATTCAAACAAGTCAGGAGCTTCGACTTGCTTAACGGATCTCGAGAGAGTCCGCAAGAACACTGTCACCAGTCTAGATGGACGCTGAGGTCACCCCAGCAACGCAAAGCAGCTCCATGTGCCCCAAATCAACTCGAGATGAGGCCCGATTCCCCTGCATTGACTCCAGAGCCATTCCCCGTTCCCCATTCAACACGACCGGTGGCTCGACTTCCTTCAGGCATCTCCAGAGATGCTCCGAAAACACTGTCCCAAGTCTAGAGGAACACCAACTTCAGCACAGCAACTCGAGGAATGCTCCGTGTACCCCAAATCGTCTCGAGATGAGAGCTGATTCCCTGCCTTAGGCTCAAGACGTATGCCAACATTCCAGAAGCACCTCAGGAGGAGGCTTCTCTCAGCAATAGGTATGTGGGAGGGACCCCGAGTTTGCTGCCTCAAGGGGAATATACAGCGAGAAGCCCTAACTTGAAAGGATGCCGGATTTCCTTGCAGTGGCTTGAATACAGGCTCGTCTTTCATCTCACAACATGAAGGGATGTCTGAATCCCCTGTGGAGACCTTAGAGAAAGCCCTAGTTCCCTGCCTCTTTTTGACGGAAGGCCTCACATCCCGCTGACACCTCGAGAGGCATGCGGAGTTCATTGCTTCAAAAGGTGAAGACGCCTGACTCCTCCTGAATACTCATAGGAATCCCAAAATCCCTGTGGATACTGGAAAGGGTCCTTGGGTGCCCTGCCTCACCTCGAGAAGCGTCCCTTTTGCCCTGCCAAGCCTCGGAGAGATTCCTGAGGTGTCCCTCGTTACTAGACAGGAGTCCTGACGTCACTGAAGAAACTCGTGTTTGGAAGGGCCATCCCCGCCGTAAGTCGAGAACATACCCCAGGTCCCCGCCGCAACTCGAGAAAAACCATGAGACTTCTCCCTAGAGGCGAGATGAGGCCCCATTCCCCTGCAGTGCATGCAGAGCTATTCCGTGATCCCATTCAAACAAGTCAGGAGCTTCGACTTGCTTAACGGATCTCGAGACAGTCCCCAAGAACACTGTCACCAGTCTAGACGGACCCTGAGGTCACCCCAGCAATGCAAAGCAGCTGCATGTGCCCCAAATCAACTCGAGATGAGGCCCGATTCCCCTGCATTGACTCCAGAGCCATTCCCCGTTCCCCATTCAACACGACCGGTTGCTCGACTTCCTTCAGGCATCTCCAGAGATGCCCCGAGAACACTGTCCCAAGTCTAGAGGAACACCAACTTCAGCACAGCAACTCGAGGAATGCTCCGTGTACCCCAAATCGTCTCGAGATGAGAGCCGATTCCCTGGCTTAGGCTCAAGACATATGCCAACTTTCCAGAAGCACCTCAGGAGGAGGCTTCTCTCAGCAATAGGTATGTGGGAGGGACCCCGAGTTCGCTGCCTCAAGGGGAATATACAGCGAGAAGCCCTAACTTGAAAGGAGGCCGGATTTCCTTGCAGTGGCTTGAATACAGGCTCGTCTTTCATCTCACAACATGAAGGGATGTCTGAATCCCCTGTGGAGACCTTAGAGAAAGCCCTAGGTCCCTGCCTCATTTTGACGGAAGTCCTCACATCCCGCTGACACCTCGAGAGGCACGCGGAGTTCATTGCTTCAAAAGGTGACGATGCCTGACTCCTCCTCAATACTCATAGGAATCCCAAAATCCCTGTGGCTACTGGAAAGGGTCCTTGGGTGCCCTGCCTCACCTCGAGAAGCGTCCCTTTTGCCCTGCCAAGCCTCGAAGAGATTCCTGAGGTGTCCCTCGTTACTAGACAGGAGTCCTGACGTCACTGAAGAAACTCGTGTTTGGAAGGGCCATCCCCGCCGTAAGTCGAGAACATACCCCAGGTCCCCGCCGCAACTCGAGAAAAACCATGAGACTTCTCCCTAGAGGCGAGATGAGGCCCCATTCCCCTGCAGTGCATGCAGAGCTATTCCGTGATCCCATTCAAACAAGTCAGGAGCTTCGACTTGCTTAACGGATCTCGAGACAGTCCCCAAGAACACTGTCACCAGTCTAGACGGACCCTGAGGTCACCCCAGCAACGCAAAGCAGCTCCATGTGCCCCAAATCAACTCGAGATGAGGCCCGATTCCCCTGCATTGACTCCAGAGCCATTCCCCGTTCCCCATTCAACACGACCGGTGGCTCGACTTCCTTCAGGCATCTCCAGAGATGCCCCGAGAACACTGTCCCAAGTCTAGAGGAACACCAACTTCAGCACAGCAACTCGAGGAATGCTCCGTGTACCCCAAATCGTCTCGAGATGAGAGTTGATTCCCTGGCTTAGGCTCAAGACGTATGCCAACTTTCCAGAAGCACCTCAGGAGGAGGCTTCTCTCAGCAATAGGTATGTGGGAGGGACCCCGAGTTTGCTGCCTCAAGGGGAATATACAGCGAGAAGACCTAACTTGAAAGGAGGCCAGATTTCCTAGCTGTGGCTTGAATACAGGCTCGTCTTTGATCTCACAACATGAAGGGATGTCTGAATCCCCTGTGGAGACCTTAGAGAAAGCCCTAGGTCCCTGCCTCATTTTGACGGAAGGCCTCACATCCCGCTGACACCTCGAGAGGCACGCGGAGTTCATTGCTTCAAAAGGTGACGATGCCTGACTCCTCCTGAATACTCATAGGAATCCCAAAATCCCTGTGGCTACTGGAAAGGGTCCTTGGGTGCCCTGCCTCACCTCGAGAAGCGTCCCTTTTGCCCTGCCAAGACTCGAAGAGATTCCTGAGGTGTCCCTCGTTACTAAACAGGATTCCTGACGTCACTGAAGAAACTCGTGTTTGGAAGGGCCATCCCCGCCGTAAGTCGAGAACATAACCAAGGTCCGCGCCGCAACTCGAGAAAAACCATGAGACTTCCTCCTAGAGGCTAGATGAAGCCCCATTCCCCTGCAGTGCATGCAGAGCTATTCCTTGATCCCATTCAAACAAGTCAGGAGCTTCGACTTGCTTAACGGATCTCGAGAGAGTCCGCAAGAACACTGTCACCAGTCTAGATGGACGCTGAGGTCACCCCAGCAACGCAAAGCAGCTCCATGTGCCCCAAATCAACTCGAGATGAGGCCCGATTCCCCTGCATTGACTCCAGAGCCATTCCCCGTTCCCCATTCAACACGACCGGTGGCTCGACTTCCTTCAGGCAACTCCAGAGATGCTCCGAAAACACTGTCCCAAGTCTAGAGGAACACCAACTTCAGCACAGCAACTCGAGGAATGCTCCGTGTACCCCAAATCGTCTCGAGATGAGAGCTGATTCCCTGCCTTAGGCTCAAGACGTATGCCAACATTCCAGAAGCACCTCAGGAGGAGGCTTCTCTCAGCAATAGGTATGTGGGAGGGACCCCGAGTTTGCTGCCTCAAGGGGAATATACAGCGAGAAGCCCTAACTTGAAAGGATGCCGGATTTCCTTGCAGTGGCTTGAATACAGGCTCGTCTTTCATCTCACAACATGAAGGGATGTCTGAATCCCCTGTGGAGACCTTAGAGAAAGCCCTAGGTCCCTGCCTCTTTTTGACGGAATGCCTCACATCCCGTTGACCCCTCGAGAGGCACGCGGAGTTCATTGCTTCAAAAGGTGACGATGCCTGACTCCTCTGGTATATTGATAGGAATCCCAAAATCCATATGGCTACTGGAAAGGTTCCTTGGGTGCCCTGTCTCACCTCGAGAAGTGTCCCTTTTGCCCTGCCAAGCCTCAAAGACATTCCTGAGGTGTCCCTCGTTACTAGACAAGCATCCTGACGTCACGGAAGAAACTCGTGTTTGGAAGGGCCATCCCCGCCTTAAGTCGGGAACATACCCCAGGTCCCCGCCGCAACTCGAGAAAAACCATGAGACTTCCCCCTAGAGTCGAGAAGAGGCCCCATTCCCCTGCAGTGCATGCAGAGCTATTCCGTGATCCCGTTCAAACAAGTCAGGAGCTTCGACTTGCTTAATCCATCTCGAGAGAGTCCCCAAGAACACTGTCACCAGTCTAGACGGACCCTGAGTACAGCCCAGCAATGCAAAGCAGCTCCATGTGCCCCAAATCAACACGAGATGAGGCCCGATTCCCCTGCATTGACTCCAGAGCCATTCCCCGTTTCCCATTCAACACGACCGGTGGCTCGACTTCCTTCAGGCAACACCAGAGATGCCCCGAGAACACTGTCCCAAGTCTAGAGGAACACCAACTTCAGCACAGCAACTCGAGGAATGCTCCGTGTACCCCAAATCGTCTCGAGATGAGAGCTGATTCCCTGGCTTAGGCTCAAGACGTATGCCAACTGTCCAGAAGCACCTCAGGAGGAGGCTTCTCTCAGAAATAGGTACGTGGGAGGGACCCCGAGATCTCTGCCTCAAGTGGAATATACAGCGAGAAGACCTAACTTGAAATGAGGCCGGATTTCCTTGCAGTGGCTTGAATACAAGCTCGTCTTTGATCTCAAAACATGAAGGGGTGTCTGAATCCACTGTGGAGACCTTAGAGAAAGCCCTAGGTCCCTGCCTCATTTTGACGGAATGCCTCACATCCCGTTGACACCTCAAGAGGCACGCGGAGTTCATTGCTTCAAAAGGTGACGATGCCTGACTCCTCTTGAATACTGATAGGAATCCCAAAATCCCTGTGGCTACAGGAAAGGGTACTTGGGTGCCCTGCCTCACCTCGAGAAGCGTCCCTTTTGCCCTGCCAAGTCTCGGAGAGATTCCTGAGGTGTCCCTCGTTACTAGACAGGAGTCCTGACGTCACTGAAGAAACTCGTGTTTGGAAGGGCCATCCCCGCCGTAAGTCGAGAACATACCCCAGGTCCCCGCCGCAACTCGAGAAAAACCATGAGACTTCTCCCTAGAGGCGAGATGAGGCCCCATTCCCCTGCAGTGCATGCAGAGCTATTCCGTGATCCCATTCAAACAAGTCAGGAGCTTCGACTTGCTTAACGGATCTCGAGACAGTCCCCAAGAACACTGTCACCAGTCTAGACGGACCCTGAGGTCACCCCAGCAACGCAAAGCAGCTCCATGTGCCCCAAATCAACTCGAGATGAGGCCCGATTCCCCTGCATTGACTCCAGAGCTATTCCCCATTCCCCATTCAACACAACCGGTGGCTCGACTTCCTTCAGGCATCTCCAGAGATGCCCCGAGAACACTGTCCCAAGTCTAGAGGAACACCAACTTCAGCACAGCAACTCGAGGAATGCTCCGTGTACCCCAAATCGTCTCGAGATGAGAGCCGATTCCCTGGCTTAGGCTCAAGACATATGCCAACTTTCCAGAAGCACCTCAGGAGGAGGCTTCTCTCAGCAATAGGTATGTGGGAGGGACCCCGAGTTCGCTGCCTCAAGGGGAATATACAGCGAGAAGCCCTAACTTGAAAGGAGGCCGGATTTCCTTGCAGTGGCTTGAATACAGGCTCGTCTTTCATCTCACAACATGAAGGGATGTCTGAATCCCCTGTGGAGACCTTAGAGAAAGCCCTAGGTCCCTGCCTCATTTTGACGGAAGTCCTCACATCCCGCTGACACCTCGAGAGGCACGCGGAGTTCATTGCTTCAAAAGGTGACGATGCCTGACTCCTCCTCAATACTCATAGGAATCCCAAAATCCCTGTGGCTACTGGAAAGGGTCCTTGGGTGCCCTGCCTCACCTCGAGAAGCGTCCCTTTTGCCCTGCCAAGCCTCGAAGAGATTCCTGAGGTGTCCCTCGTTACTAGACAGGAGTCCTGACGTCACTGAAGAAACTCGTGTTTTGAAGGGCCATCCCCGCCGTAAGTCGAGAACATACCCCAGGTCCCCGCCGCAACTCGAGAAAAACCATGAGACTTCTCCCTAGAGGCGAGATGAGGCCCCATTCCCCTGCAGTGCATGCAGAGCTATTCCGTGATCCCATTCAAACAAGTCAGGAGCTTCGACTTGCTTAACGGATCTCGAGACAGTCCCCAAGAACACTGTCACCAGTCTAGACGGACCCTGAGGTCACCCCAGCAACGCAAAGCAGCTCCATGTGCCCCAAATCAACTCGAGATGAGGCCCGATTCCCCTGCATTGACTCCAGAGCCATTCCCCGTTCCCCATTCAACACGACCGGTGGCTCGACTTCCTTCAGGCATCTCCAGAGATGCCCCGAGAACACTGTCCCAAGTCTAGAGGAACACCAACTTCAGCACAGCAACTCGAGGAATGCTCCGTGTACCCCAAATCGTCTCGAGATGAGAGTTGATTCCCTGGCTTAGGCTCAAGACGTATGCCAACTTTCCAGAAGCACCTCAGGAGGAGGCTTCTCTCAGCAATAGGTATGTGGGAGGGACCCCGAGTTTGCTGCCTCAAGGGGAATATACAGCGAGAAGCCCTAACTTGAAAGGAGGCCAGATTTCCTAGCTGTGGCTTGAATACAGGCTCGTCTTTGATCTCACAACATGAAGGGATGTCTGAATCCCCTGTGGAGACCTTAGAGAAAGCCCTAGGTCCCTGCCTCATTTTGACGGAAGGCCTCACATCCCGCTGACACCTCGAGAGGCACGCGGAGTTCATTGCTTCAAAAGGTGACGATGCCTGACTCCTCCTGAATACTCATAGGAATCCCAAAATCCCTGTGGCTACTGGAAAGGGTCCTTGGGTGCCCTGCCTCACCTCGAGAAGCGTCCCTTTTGCCCTGCCAAGACTCGAAGAGATTCCTGAGGTGTCCCTCGTTACTAAACAGGATTCCTGACGTCACTGAAGAAACTCGTGTTTGGAAGGGCCATCCCCGCCGTAAGTCGAGAACATAACCAAGGTCCGCGCCGCAACTCGAGAAAAACCATGAGACTTCCTCCTAGAGGCTAGATGAAGCCCCATTCCCCTGCAGTGCATGCAGAGCTATTCCTTGATCCCATTCAAACAAGTCAGGAGCTTCGACTTGCTTAACGGATCTCGAGAGAGTCCGCAAGAACACTGTCACCAGTCTAGATGGACGCTGAGGTCACCCCAGCAACGCAAAGCAGCTCCATGTGCCCCAAATCAACTCGAGATGAGGCCCGATTACCCTGCATTGACTCCAGAGCCATTCCCCGTTCCCCATTCAACACGACCGGTGGCTCGACTTCCTTCAGGCAACTCCAGAGATGCTCCGAAAACACTGTCCCAAGTCTAGAGGAACACCAACTTCAGCACAGCAACTCGAGGAATGCTCCGTGTACCCCAAATCGTCTCGAGATGAGAGCTGATTCCCTGCCTTAGGCTCAAGACGTATGCCAACATTCCAGAAGCACCTCAGGAGGAGGCTTCTCTCAGCAATAGGTATGTGGGAGGGACCCCGAGTTTGCTGCCTCAAGGGGAATATACAGCGAGAAGCCCTAACTTGAAAGGATGCCGGATTTCCTTGCAGTGGCTTGAATACAGGCTCGTCTTTCATCTCACAACATGAAGGGATGTCTGAATCCCCTGTGGAGACCTTAGAGAAAGCCCTAGGTCCCTGCCTCTTTTTGACGGAATGCCTCACATCCCGTTGACCCCTCGAGAGGCACGCGGAGTTCATTGCTTCAAAAGGTGACGATGCCTGACTCCTCTGGTATATTGATAGGAATCCCAAAATCCATATGGCTACTGGAAAGGTTCCTTGGGTGCCCTGTCTCACCTCGAGAAGTGTCCCTTTTGCCCTGCCAAGCCTCAAAGACATTCCTGAGGTGTCCCTCGTTACTAGACAAGCATCCTGACGTCACGGAAGAAACTCGTGTTTTGAAGGGCCATCCCCGCCTTAAGTCGGGAACATACCCCAGGTCCCCGCCGCAACTCGAGAAAAACCATGAGACTTCCCCCTAGAGTCGAGAAGAGGCCCCATTCCCCTGCAGTGCATGCAGAGCTATTCCGTGATCCCGTTCAAACAAGTCAGGAGCTTCGACTTGCTTAATCCATCTCGAGAGAGTCCCCAAGAACACTGTCACCAGTCTAGACGGACCCTGAGTACAGCCCAGCAATGCAAAGCAGCTCCATGTGCCCCAAATCAACACGAGATGAGGCCCGATTCCCCTGCATTGACTCCAGAGCCATTCCCCGTTTCCCATTCAACACGACCGGTGGCTCGACTTCCTTCAGGCAACACCAGAGATGCCCCGAGAACACTGTCCCAAGTCTAGAGGAACACCAACTTCAGCACAGCAACTCGAGGAATGCTCCGTGTACCCCAAATCGTCTCGAGATGAGAGCTGATTCCCTGGCTTAGGCTCAAGACGTATGCCAACTGTCCAGAAGCACCTCAGGAGGAGGCTTCTCTCAGAAATAGGTACGTGGGAGGGACCCCGAGATCTCTGCCTCAAGTGGAATATACAGCGAGAAGACCTAACTTGAAATGAGGCCGGATTTCCTTGCAGTGGCTTGAATACAAGCTCGTCTTTGATCTCAAAACATGAAGGGGTGTCTGAATCCACTGTGGAGACCTTAGAGAAAGCCCTAGGTCCCTGCCTCATTTTGACGGAATGCCTCACATCCCGTTGACACCTCAAGAGGCACGCGGAGTTCATTGCTTCAAAAGGTGACGATGCCTGACTCCTCTTGAATACTGATAGGAATCCCAAAATCCCTGTGGCTACAGGAAAGGGTACTTGGGTGCCCTGCCTCACCTCGAGAAGCGTCCCTTTTGCCCTGCCAAGTCTCGGAGAGATTCCTGAGGTGTCCCTCGTTACTAGACAGGAGTCCTGACGTCACTGAAGAAACTCGTGTTTGGAAGGGCCATCCCCGCCGTAAGTCGAGAACATACCCCAGGTCCCCGCCGCAACTCGAGAAAAACCATGAGACTTCTCCCTAGAGGCGAGATGAGGCCCCATTCCCCTGCAGTGCATGCAGAGCTATTCCGTGATCCCATTCAAACAAGTCAGGAGCTTCGACTTGCTTAACGGATCTCGAGACAGTCCCCAAGAACACTGTCACCAGTCTAGACGGACCCTGAGGTCACCCCAGCAACGCAAAGCAGCTCCATGTGCCCCAAATCAACTCGAGATGAGGCCCGATTCCCCTGCATTGACTCCAGAGCTATTCCCCATTCCCCATTCAACACAACCGGTGGCTCGACTTCCTTCAGGCATCTCCAGAGATGCCCCGAGAACACTGTCCCAAGTCTAGAGGAACACCAACTTCAGCACAGCAACTCGAGGAATGCTCCGTGTACCCCAAATCGTCTCGAGATGAGAGCTGATTCCCAGGCTTAGGCTCAAGACGTATGCCAACTTTCCAGAAGCACCTCAGGAGGAGGCTTCTCTCAGCAATAGGTATGTGGGAGGGACCCCGAGTTTGCTGCCTCAAGGGGAATATACAGCGAGAAGCCCTAACTTGAAAGGAGGCCGGATTTCCTTGCAGTGGCTTGAATACAGGCTCGTCTTTCATCTCACAACATGAAGGGATGTCTGAATCCCCTGTGGAGACCTTAGAGAAAGCCCTAGGTCCCTGCCTCATTTTGACGGAAGGCCTCACATCACGCTGACACCTCGAGAGGCACGCGGAGTTCACTGCTTCAAAAGGTGACGGTGCCTGACTCCTCCTGAATACTCATAGGAATCCCAAAATCCCTGTGGCTACTGGAAAGGGTCCTTGGGTGCCCTGCCTCATCTCGAGAAGCGTCCCTTTTGCCCTGCCAAGCCTCGAAGAGATTCCTGAGGTGTCCCTCGTTACTAGACAGGAGTCCTGACGTCACTGAAGAAACTCGTGTTTGGAAGGGCCATCCCCGCCGTAAGTCGAGAACATACCCCAGGTCCCCGCCGCAACTCGAGAAAAACCATGAGACTTCTCCCTAGAGGCGAGATGAGGCCCCATTCCCCTGCAGTGCATGCAGAGGTATTCCGTGATCCCATTCAAACAAGTCAGGAGCTTCGACTTGCTTAACGGATCTCGAGACAGTCCCCAAGAACACTGTCACCAGTCTAGACGGACCCTGAGGTCACCCCAGCAACGCAAAGCAGCTCCATGTGCCCCAAATCAACTCGAGATGAGGCCCGATTCCCCTGCATTGACTCCAGAGCCATTCCCCATTCCCCATTCAACACGACCGGTGGCTCGACTTCCTTCAGGCATCTCCAGAGATGCCCCGAGAACACTGTCCCAAGTCTAGAGGAACACCAACTTCAGCACAGCAACTCGAGGAATGCTCCGTGTACCCCAAATCGTCTCGAGATGAGAGCCGATTCCCTGGCTTAGGCTCAAGACGTATGCCAACTTTCCAGAAGCACCTCAGGAGGAGGCTTCTCTCAGCAATAGGTATGTGGGAGGGACCCCGAGTTCGCTGCCTCAAGGGGAATATACAGCGAGAAGCCCTAACTTGAAAGGAGGCCGGATTTCCTTGCAGTGGCTTGAATACAGGCTCGTCTTTCATCTCACAACATGAAGGGATGTCTGAATCCCCTGTGGAGACCTTAGAGAAAGCCCTAGGTCCCTGCCTCATTTTGACGGAAGGCCTCACATCCCGCTGACACCTCGAGAGGCACGCGGAGTTCATTGCTTCAAAAGGTGACGATGCCTGACTCCTCCTGAATACTCATAGGAATCCCAAAATCCCTGTGGCTACTGGAAAGGGTCCTTGGGTGCCCTGCCTCATCTCGAGAAGCGTCCCTTTTACCCTGCCAAGCCTCGAAGAGATTCCTGAGGTGTTCCTCGTTACTAGACAGGAGTCCTGACGTCACTGAAGAAACTCGTGTTTGGAAGGGCCATCCCCGCCGTAAGTCGAGAACATAACCCAGGTCCCTGCCGCAACTCGAGAAAAACCATGAGACGTCCCCCTAGAGGCGAGATGAGGCCCCATTCCCCTGCAGTGCATGCAGAGCTATTCCTTGATCCCATTCAAACAAGTCAGGAGCTTCGAGTTGCTTAACGGATCTCGAGACAGTCCCCAAGAACACTGTCACCAGTCTAGACGGACCCTGAGGTCACCCCAGCAACGCAAAGCAGCTCCATGTGCCCCAAATCAACTCGAGATGAGGCCCGATTCCCCTGCATTGACTCCAGAGCCATTCCCCGTTGCCCATTCAACACGACCGGTGGCTCGACTTCCTTCAGGCAACTCCAGAGATGCTCCGAAAACACTGTCCCAAGTCTAGAGGAAAACCAACTTCAGCACAGCAACTCGAGGAATGCTCCGTGTACCCCAAATCGTCTCGAGATGAGAGCTGATTCCCTGGCTTAGGCTCAAGACGTATGCCAACTTTCCAGAAGCACCTCAGGAGGAGGCTTCTCTCAGCAATAGATACGTGGGAGGGACCCCGAGATCGCTGCTTCAAGTGGAATATACAGCGAGAAGTCCTAACTTGAAAGGAGGCCGGATTTCCGTGCAGTGGCTTGAATACAGGCTCATCTTTGATCTCAAAACATGAGGGGTGTCTGAATATACTGTGGAGACCTTAGAGAAAGCCCTAGGTCCCTGCCTCATTTTGACGGAATGCCTCACATCCCGTTGACACGTCGAGAGGCACGCGGAGTTCATTGCTTCAAAAGGTGACGATGCCTGACTCCTCCTGAATACTCATAGGAATCCCAAAATCCCTGTGTCTACTGGAAAGGGTCCTTGGGTGCCCTGCCTCACCTCGAGAAGCGTCCCTTTTGCCCTGCCAAGCCTCGGAGAGGTTCCTGAGGTGTCCCTCGTTACTAGACAGGAGTCCTGACGTCACTGAAGAAACTCGTGTTTGGAAGGGCCATCCCCGCCGTAAGTCGAGAACATACCCCAGGTCCCCGCCGCAACTCGAGAAAAACCATGAGACTTCCCCCTAGAGGCGAGATGAGGCCCCATTCCCCTGCAGTGCATGCAGAGGTATTCCGTGATCCCATTCAAACAAGTCAGGAGCTTCGACTTGCTTAACGGATCTCGAGACAGTCCCCAAGAACACTGTCACCAGTCTAGACGGACCCTGAGGTCACCCCAGCAACGCAAAGCAGCTCCATGTGCCCCAAATCAACTCGAGATGAAGCCCGATTCCCCTGCATTGACTCCAGAGCCATTCCCCGTTCCCCATTCAACACGACCGGTGGCTCGACTTCCTTCAGGCATCTGCAGAGATGCCCCGAGAACACTGTCCCAAGTCTAGAGGAACACCAACTTCAGCACAGCAACTCGAGGAATGCTCCGTGTACCCCAAATCGTCTCGACATGAGAGCTGATTCCCTGGCTTAGGCTCAATACATAGGCCAACTTTCCAGAAGCACCTCAGGAGGAGGCTTCTCTCAGCAATAGGTATGTGGGAGGGACCCCGAGATCGCTGCCTCAAGTAGAGTATACTGCGTGAATCCCTAACTTGAAAGGAGGCCGGATTTCCTTGCAGTGCCTTGAATACAGGCTCGTCTTTCATCTCACAACATGAAGGGATGTCTGAATCCCCTGTGGAGACCTTAGAGAAAGCCCTATGTCCCTGCCTCATTTTGACGGAATGCCTCACATCCCGTTGACCCCTCGAGAGGCACGCGGAGTTCATTGCTTCAAAAGGTGACGATGCCTGACTCCTCTGGTGTATTGATAGGAATCCCAAAATCCATATGGCTACTGGAAAAGTTCCTTGGGTGCCCTGTCTCACCTCGAGAAGTGTCCCTTTTGCCCTGCCAAGCCTCGAAGACATTCCTGAGGTGTCCGTCGTTACTAGACAAGCATCCTGACGTCACGGAAGAAACTCGTGTTTTGAAGGGCCATCCCCGCCTTAACTCGGGAACATACCCCAGGTCCCCGCCGCAACTCGAGAAAAACCATGAGACTTCCCCCTAGAGTCGAGAAGAGGCCCCATTCCCCTGCAGTGCATGCAGAGCTATTCCGTGATCCCGTTCAAACAAGTCAGGAGCTTCGACTTGCTTGATCCATCTCGAGAGAGTCCCCAAGAACACTGTCACCAGTCTAGACGGACCCTGAGTTCACCCCAGCAATGCAAAGCAGCTCCATGTGCCCCAAATCAACACGAGATGAGGCCCGATTCCCCTGCATTGACTCCAGAGCCATTCCCCGTTTCCCATTCAACACGACCGGTGGCTCGACTTCCTTCAGGCAACACCAGAGATGCCCCGAGAACACTGTCCCAAGTCTAGAGGAACACCAACTTCAGCACAGCAACTCGAGGAATGCTCCGTGTACCCCAAATCGTCTCGAGATGAGAGCTGATTCCCTGGCTTAGGCTCAAGACGTATGCCAACTGTCCAGAAGCACCTCAGGAGGAGGCTTCTCTCAGAAATAGGTACGTGGGAGGGACCCCGAGATCGCTGCCTCAAGTGGAATATACAGCGAGAAGACCTAACTTGAAAGGAGGCCGGATTTCCTTGCAGTGGCTTGAATACAAGCTCGTCTTTGATCTCAAAACATGAAGGGCTGCCTGAATCCACTGTGGAGACCTTAGAGAAAGCCCTAGGTCCCTGCCTCATTTTGACGAAATGCCTCACATCCCGTTGACACCTCAAGAGGCACGCGGAGTTCATTGCTTCAAAAGTTGACGATGCCTGACTCTTCGTGGATACTGATAGGAATCCCAAAATCCCTGTGGCTACTGGAAAGGGTACTTGGGTGCCCTGCCTCACCTCGAGAAGCGTCCCTTTTGCCCTGCCAAGCCTCGGAGAGATTCCTGAGGTGTCCCTCGTTACTAGACAGGAGTCCTGACGTCACTGAAGAAACTCGTGTTTGGAAGGGCCATCCCCGCCGTAAGTCGAGAACATACCCCAGGTCCCCGCCGCAACTCGAGAAAAACCATGAGACTTCTCCCTAGAGGCGAGATGAGGCCCCATTCCCCTGCAGTGCATGCAGAGCTATTCCGTGATCCCATTCAAACAAGTCAGGAGCTTCGACTTGCTTAACAGATCTCGAGACAGTCCCCAAGAACACTGTCACCAGTCTAGACGGACCCTGAGGTCACCCCAGCAACGCAAAGCAGCTCCATGTGCCCCAAATCAACTCGAGATGAGGCCCGATTCCCCTGCATTGACTCCAGAGCCATTCCCCATTCCCCATTCAACACGAACGGTGGCTCGACTTCCTTCAGGCATCTCCAGAGATGCCCCGAGAACACTGTCCCAAGTCTAGAGGAACACCAACTTCAGCACAGCAACTCGAGGAATGCTCCGTGTACCCCAAATCGTCTCGAGAAGAGAGCTGATTGCCAGGCTTAGGCTCAAGACGTATGCCAACTTTCCAGAAGCACCTCAGGAGGAGGCTTCTCTCAGCAATAGGTATGTGGGAGGGACCCCGAGTTTGCTGCCTCAAGGGGAATATACAGCGAGAAGCCCTAACTTGAAAGGAGGCCGGATTTCCTTGCAGTGGCTTGAATACAGGCTCGTCTTTCATCTCACAACATGAAGGGATGTCTGAATTCCCTGTGGAGACGTTAGAGAAAGCCCTAGGTCCCTGCCTCTTTTTGACGGAAGGCCTCACATCCCGCTGACACCTCGAGAGGCATGCGGAGTTCATTGCTTCAAAAGGTGAAGACGCCTGACTCCTCCTGAATACTCATAGGAATCCCAAAATCCCTGTGGCTACTGGAAAGTGTCCTTTTGTGCCCTGCCTCACCTCGAGAAGCGTCCCTTTTGCCCTGCCAAGCCTCGGAGAGGTTCCTGAGGTGTCCCTCGTTACTAGACAGGAGTCCTGACGTCACTGAAGAAACTCGTGTTTGGAAGGGCCATCCCCGCCGTAAGTCGAGAACATAACCCAGGTCCCTGCCGCAACTCGAGAAAAACCATGAGACGTCCCCCTAGAGGCGAGATGAGGCCCCATTCCCCTGCAGTGCATGCAGAGCTATTCCTTGATCCCATTCAAACAAGTCAGGAGCTTCGAGTTGCTTAACGGATCTCGAGACAGTCCCCAAGAACACTGTCACCAGTCTAGACGGACCCTGAGGTCACCCCAGCAACGCAAAGCAGCTCCATGTGCCCCAAATCAACTCGAGATGAGGCCCGATTCCCCTGCATTGACTCCAGAGCCATTCCCCGTTGCCCATTCAACACGACCGGTGGCTCGACTTCCTTCAGGCAACTCCAGAGATGCTCCGAAAACACTGTCCCAAGTCTAGAGGAAAACCAACTTCAGCACAGCAACTCGAGGAATGCTCCGTGTACCCCAAATCGTCTCGAGATGAGAGCTGATTCCCTGGCTTAGGCTCAAGACGTATGCCAACTTTCCAGAAGCACCTCAGGAGGAGGCTTCTCTCAGCAATAGATACGTGGGAGGGACCCCGAGATCGCTGCTTCAAGTGGAATATACAGCGAGAAGTCCTAACTTGAAAGGAGGCCGGATTTCCGTGCAGTGGCTTGAATACAGGCTCATCTTTGATCTCAAAACATGAGGGGTGTCTGAATATACTGTGGAGACCTTAGAGAAAGCCCTAGGTCCCTGCCTCATTTTGACGGAATGCCTCACATCCCGTTGACACGTCGAGAGGCACGCGGAGTTCATTGCTTCAAAAGGTGACGATGCCTGACTCCTCCTGAATACTCATAGGAATCCCAAAATCCCTGTGTCTACTGGAAAGGGTCCTTGGGTGCCCTGCCTCACCTCGAGAAGCGTCCCTTTTGCCCTGCCAAGCCTCGGAGAGGTTCCTGAGGTGTCCCTCGTTACTAGACAGGAGTCCTGACGTCACTGAAGAAACTCGTGTTTGGAAGGGCCATCCCCGCCGTAAGTCGAGAACATACCCCAGGTCCCCGCCGCAACTCGAGAAAAACCATGAGACTTCCCCCTAGAGGCGAGATGAGGCCCCATTCCCCTGCAGTGCATGCAGAGGTATTCCGTGATCCCATTCAAACAAGTCAGGAGCTTCGACTTGCTTAACGGATCTCGAGACAGTCCCCAAGAACACTGTCACCAGTCTAGACGGACCCTGAGGTCACCCCAGCAACGCAAAGCAGCTCCATGTGCCCCAAATCAACTCGAGATGAAGCCCGATTCCCCTGCATTGACTCCAGAGCCATTCCCCGTTCCCCATTCAACACGACCGGTGGCTCGACTTCCTTCAGGCATCTCCAGAGATGCCCCGAGAACACTGTCCCAAGTCTAGAGGAACACCAACTTCAGCACAGCAACTCGAGGAATGCTCCGTGTACCCCAAATCGTCTCGACATGAGAGCTGATTCCCTGGCTTAGGCTCAATACATAGGCCAACTTTCCAGAAGCACCTCAGGAGGAGGCTTCTCTCAGCAATAGGTATGTGGGAGGGACCCCGAGATCGCTGCCTCAAGTAGAGTATACTGCGTGAATCCCTAACTTGAAAGGAGGCCGGATTTCCTTGCAGTGCCTTGAATACAGGCTCGTCTTTCATCTCACAACATGAAGGGATGTCTGAATCCCCTGTGGAGACCTTAGAGAAAGCCCTATGTCCCTGCCTCATTTTGACGGAATGCCTCACATCCCGTTGACCCCTCGAGAGGCACGCGGAGTTCATTGCTTCAAAAGGTGACGATGCCTGACTCCTCTGGTGTATTGATAGGAATCCCAAAATCCATATGGCTACTGGAAAAGTTCCTTGGGTGCCCTGTCTCACCTCGAGAAGTGTCCCTTTTGCCCTGCCAAGCCTCGAAGACATTCCTGAGGTGTCCGTCGTTACTAGACAAGCATCCTGACGTCACGGAAGAAACTCGTGTTTTGAAGGGCCATCCCCGCCTTAACTCGGGAACATACCCCAGGTCCCCGCCGCAACTCGAGAAAAACCATGAGACTTCCCCCTAGAGTCGAGAAGAGGCCCCATTCCCCTGCAGTGCATGCAGAGCTATTCCGTGATCCCGTTCAAACAAGTCAGGAGCTTCGACTTGCTTGATCCATCTCGAGAGAGTCCCCAAGAACACTGTCACCAGTCTAGACGGACCCTGAGTTCACCCCAGCAATGCAAAGCAGCTCCATGTGCCCCAAATCAACACGAGATGAGGCCCGATTCCCCTGCATTGACTCCAGAGCCATTCCCCGTTTCCCATTCAACACGACCGGTGGCTCGACTTCCTTCAGGCAACACCAGAGATGCCCCGAGAACACTGTCCCAAGTCTAGAGGAACACCAACTTCAGCACAGCAACTCGAGGAATGCTCCGTGTACCCCAAATCGTCTCGAGATGAGAGCTGATTCCCTGGCTTAGGCTCAAGACGTATGCCAACTGTCCAGAAGCACCTCAGGAGGAGGCTTCTCTCAGAAATAGGTACGTGGGAGGGACCCCGAGATCGCTGCCTCAAGTGGAATATACAGCGAGAAGACCTAACTTGAAAGGAGGCCGGATTTCCTTGCAGTGGCTTGAATACAAGCTCGTCTTTGATCTCAAAACATGAAGGGCTGCCTGAATCCACTGTGGAGACCTTAGAGAAAGCCCTAGGTCCCTGCCTCATTTTGACGAAATGCCTCACATCCCGTTGACACCTCAAGAGGCACGCGGAGTTCATTGCTTCAAAAGTTGACGATGCCTGACTCTTCGTGGATACTGATAGGAATCCCAAAATCCCTGTGGCTACTGGAAAGGGTACTTGGGTGCCCTGCCTCACCTCGAGAAGCGTCCCTTTTGCCCTGCCAAGCCTCGGAGAGATTCCTGAGGTGTCCCTCGTTACTAGACAGGAGTCCTGACGTCACTGAAGAAACTCGTGTTTGGAAGGGCCATCCCCGCCGTAAGTCGAGAACATACCCCAGGTCCCCGCCGCAACTCGAGAAAAACCATGAGACTTCTCCCTAGAGGCGAGATGAGGCCCCATTCCCCTGCAGTGCATGCAGAGCTATTCCGTGATCCCATTCAAACAAGTCAGGAGCTTCGACTTGCTTAACAGATCTCGAGACAGTCCCCAAGAACACTGTCACCAGTCTAGACGGACCCTGAGGTCACCCCAGCAACGCAAAGCAGCTCCATGTGCCCCAAATCAACTCGAGATGAGGCCCGATTCCCCTGCATTGACTCCAGAGCCATTCCCCATTCCCCATTCAACACGAACGGTGGCTCGACTTCCTTCAGGCATCTCCAGAGATGCCCCGAGAACACTGTCCCAAGTCTAGAGGAACACCAACTTCAGCACAGCAACTCGAGGAATGCTCCGTGTACCCCAAATCGTCTCGAGAAGAGAGCTGATTGCCAGGCTTAGGCTCAAGACGTATGCCAACTTTCCAGAAGCACCTCAGGAGGAGGCTTCTCTCAGCAATAGGTATGTGGGAGGGACCCCGAGTTTGCTGCCTCAAGGGGAATATACAGCGAGAAGCCCTAACTTGAAAGGAGGCCGGATTTCCTTGCAGTGGCTTGAATACAGGCTCGTCTTTCATCTCACAACATGAAGGGATGTCTGAATTCCCTGTGGAGACGTTAGAGAAAGCCCTAGGTCCCTGCCTCTTTTTGACGGAAGGCCTCACATCCCGCTGACACCTCGAGAGGCATGCGGAGTTCATTGCTTCAAAAGGTGAAGACGCCTGACTCCTCCTGAATACTCATAGGAATCCCAAAATCCCTGTGGCTACTGGAAAGTGTCCTTTTGTGCCCTGCCTCACCTCGAGAAGCGTCCCTTTTGCCCTGCCAAGCCTCGGAGAGGTTCCTGAGGTGTCCCTCGTTACTAGACAGGAGTCCTGACGTCACTGAAGAAACTCGTGTTTGGAAGGGCCATCCCCGCCGTAAGTCGAGAACATACCCCAGGTCCCCGCCGCAACTCTAGAAAAACCATGAGACTTCTCCCTAGAGGCGAGATGAGGCCCCATTCCCCTGCAGTGCATGCAGAGCTATTCCGTGATCCCATTCAAACAAGTCAGGAGCTTCGACTTGCTTAACGGATCTCGAGACAGTCCCCAAGAACACTGTCACCAGTCTAGACGGACCCTGAGGTCACCCCAGCAACGCAAAGCAGCTCCATGTGCCCCAAATCAACTCGAGATGAGGCCCGATTCCCCTGCATTGACTCCAGAGCCATTCCCCGTTCCCCATTCAACACGACCGGTGGCTCGACTTCCTTCAGGCATCTCCAGAGATGCCCCGAGAACACTGTCCCAAGTCTAGAGGAACACCAACTTCAGCACAGCAACTCGAGGAATGCTCCGTGTACCCCAAATCGTCTCGAGATGAGAGTTGATTCCCTGGCTTAGGCTCAAGACGTATGCCAACTTTCCAGAAGCACCTCAGGAGGAGGCTTCTCTCAGCAATAGGTATGTGGGAGGGACCCCGAGTTTGCTGCCTCAAGGTGAATATACAGCGAGAAGCCCTAACTTGAAAGGAGGCCAGATTTCCTAGCTGTGGCTTGAATACAGGCTCGTCTTTGATCTCACAACATGAAGGGATGTCTGAATCCCCTGTGGAGACCTTAGAGAAAGCCCTAGGTCCCTGCCTCATTTTGACGGAAGGCCTCACATCCCGCTGACACCTCGAGAGGCACGCGGAGTTCATTGCTTCAAAAGGTGACGATGCCTGACTCCTCCTGAATACTCATAGGAATCCCAAAATCCCTGTGGCTACTGGAAAGGGTCCTTGGGTGCCCTGCCTCACCTCGAGAAGCGTCCCTTTTGCCCTGCCAAGACTCGAAGAGATTCCTGAAGTGTCCCTCGTTACTAAACAGGATTCCTGACGTCACTGAAGAAACTCGTGTTTGGAAGGGCCATCCCCGCCGTAAGTCGAGAACATAACCAAGGTCCGCGCCGCAACTCGAGAAAAACCATGAGACTTCCTCCTAGAGGCTAGATGAGGCCCCATTCCCCTGCAGTGCATGCAGAGCTATTCCTTGATCCCATTCAAACAAGTCAGGAGCTTCGACTTGCTTAACGGATCTCGAGAGAGTCCGCAAGAACACTGTCACCAGTCTAGATGGACGCTGAGGTCACCCCAGCAACGCAAAGCAGCTCCATGTGCCCCAAATCAACTCGAGATGAGGCCCGATTCCCCTGCATTGACTCCAGAGCCATTCCCCATTGCCCATTCAACACGACCGGTGGCTCGACTTCCTTCAGGCAACTCCAGAGATGCTCCGAAAACACTGTCCCAAGTCTAGAGGAACACCAACTTCAGCACAGCAACTCGAGGAATGCTCCGTGTACCCCAAATCGTCTCGAGATGAGAGCTGATTCCCTGCCTTAGGCTCAAGACGTATGCCAACATTCCAGAAGCACCTCAGGAGGAGGCTTCTCTCAACAATAGGTATGTGGGAGGGACCCCGAGTTTGCTGCCTCAAGGGGAATATACAGCGAGAAGCCCTAACTTGAAAGGATGCCGGATTTCCTTGCAGTGGCTTGAATACAGGCTCGTCTTTCATCTCACAACATGAAGGGATGTCTGATTCCCCTGTGGAGACCTTAGAGAAAGCCCTAGGTCCCTGCCTCTTTTTGACGGAAGGCCTCACATCCCGCTGACACCTCGAGAGGCATGCAGAGTTCATTGCTTCAAAAGGTGAAGACGCCTGACTGTTCCTGAATACTCATAGGAATCCCAAAATCCCTGTGGATACTGGAAAGGGTCCTTGGGTGCCCTGCCTCACCTCGAGAAGCGTCCCTTTTGCCCTGCCAAGGCTCGGAGAGATTCCTGAGGTGTCCCTCGTTACTAGACAGGAGTCCTGACGTCACTGAAGAAACTCGTGTTTGGAAGGGCCATCCCCGCCGTAAGTCGAGAACATACCCCAGGTCCCTGCCGCAACTCGAGAAAAACCATGAGACTTCTCCCTAGAGGCGAGATGAGGCCCCATTCCCCTGCAGTGCATGCAGAGCTATTCCGTGATCCCATTCAAACAAGTCAGGAGCTTCGACTTGCTTAACGGATCTCGAGACAGTCCCCAAGAACACTGTCACCAGTCTAGACGGACCCTGAGGTCACCCCAGCAACGCAAAGCAGCTCCATGTGCCCCAAATCAACTCGAGATGAAGCCCGATTCCCCTGCATTGACTCCAGAGCCATTCCCCATTCCCCATTCAACACGACCGGTGGCTCGACTTCCTTCAGGCATCTCCAGAGATGCCCCGAGAACACTGTCCCAAGTCTAGAGGAACACCAACTTAAGCACAGCAACTCGAGGAATGCTCCGTGTACCCCAAATCGTCTCGAGATGAGATCCGATTCCCAGGCTTAGGCTCAAGACGTATGCCAACTTTCCAGAAGCACCTCAGGAGGAGGCTTCTCTCAGCAATAGGTATGTGGGAGGGACCCCGAGTTCGCTGCCTCAAGGGGAATATACAGCGAGAAGCCCTAACTTGAAAGGAGGCCGGATTTCCTTGCAGTGGCTTGAATACAGGCTCGTCTTTGATCTCACAACATGAAGGGATGTCTGAATCCCCTGTGGAGACCTTAGAGAAAGCCCTAGGTCCCTGCCTCATTTTGACGGAAGGCCTCACATCCCGCTGACACCTCGAGAGGCACGCGGAGTTCATTGCTTCAAAAGGTGACGATGCCTGACTCCTCCTGAATACTCATAGGAATCCCAAAATCCCTGTGGCTACTGGAAAGGGTCCTTGGGTGCCCTGCCTCACCTCGAGAAGCGTCCCTTTTGCCCTGCCAAGACTCGAAGAGATTCCTGAAGTGTCCCTCGTTACTAAACAGGATTCCTGACGTCACTGAAGAAACTCGTGTTTGGAAGGGCCATCCCCGCCGTAAGCCGAGAACATAACCAAGGTCCGCGCCGCAACTCGAGAAAAACCATGAGACTTCCTCCTAGAGGCTAGATGAGGCCCCATTCCCCTGCAGTGCATGCAGAGCTATTCCTTGATCCCATTCAAACAAGTCAGGAGCTTCGACTTGCTTAACGGATCTCGAGAGAGTCCGCAAGAACACTGTCACCAGTCTAGATGGACGCTGAGGTCACCCCAGCAACGCAAAGCAGCTCCATGTGCCCCAAATCAACTCGAGATGAGGCCCGATTCCCCTGCATTGACTCCAGAGCCATTCCCCATTGCCCATTCAACACGACCGGTGGCTCGACTTCCTTCAGGCAACTCCAGAGATGCTCCGAAAACACTGTCCCAAGTCTAGAGGAACACCAACTTCAGCACAGCAACTCGAGGAATGCTCCGTGTACCCCAAATCGTCTCGAGATGAGAGCTGATTCCCTGCCTTAGGCTCAAGACGTATGCCAACATTCCAGAAGCACCTCAGGAGGAGGCTTCTCTCAGCAATAGGTATGTGGGAGGGACCCCGAGTTTGCTGCCTCAAGGGGAATATACAGCGAGAAGCCCTAACTTGAAAGGATGCCGGATTTCCTTGCAGTGGCTTGAATACAGGCTCGTCTTTCATCTCACAACATGAAGGGATGTCTGATTCCCCTGTGGAGACCTTAGAGAAAGCCCTAGGTCCCTGCCTATTTTTGACGGAAGGCCTCACATCCCGCTGACACCTCGAGAGGCATGCGGAGTTCATTGTTTCAAAAGGTGAAGACGCCTGACTCTTCCTGAATACTCATAGTAATCCCAAAATCCCTGTGGATACTAGAAAGGGTCCTTGGGTGCCCTGCCTCACCTCGAGAAGCGTCCCTTTTGCCCTGCCAAGCCTCGGAGAGATTCCTGAGGTGTCCCTCGTTACTAGACAGGAGTCCTGACGTCACTGAAGAAACTCGTGTTTGGAAGGGCCATCCCCGCCGTAAGTCGAGAACATACCCCAGGTCCCCGCCGCAACTCCAGAAAAACCATGAGACTTCTCCCTAGAGGCGAGATGAGGCCCCATTCCCCTGCAGTGCATGCAGAGCTATTCCGTGATCCCATTCAAACAAGTCAGGAGCTTCGACTTGCTTAACGGATCTCGAGACAGTCCCCAAGAACACTGTCACCAGTCTAGACGGACCCTGAGGTCACCCCAGCAACGCAAAGCAGCTCCATGTGCCCCAAATCAACTCGAGATGAGGCCCGATTCCCCTGCATTGACTCCAGAGCCATTCCCCATTCCCCATTCAACACGACCGGTGGCTCGACTTCCTTCAGGCATCGCCAGAGATGCCCCGAGAACACTGTCCCAAGTCTAGAGGAACACCAACTTCAGCACAGCAACTCGAGGAATGCTCCGTGTACCCCAAATCGTCTCGAGATGAGAGCCGATTCCCTGGCTTAGGCTCAAGACATATGCCAACTTTCCAGAAGCACCTCAGGAGGAGGCTTCTCTCAGCAATAGGTATGTGGGAGGGACCCCGAGTTCGCTGCCTCAAGGGGAATATACAGCGAGAAGCCCTAACTTGAAAGGAGGCCGGATTTCCTTGCAGTGGCTTGAATACAGGCTCGTATTTCATCTCACAACATGAAGGGATGTCTGAATCCCCTGTGGAGACCTTAGAGAAAGCCCTAGGTCCCTGCCTCATTTTGACGGAAGGCCTCACATCCCGCTGCCACCTCGAGAGGCACGCGGAGTTCATTGCTTCAAAAGGTGACGGTGCCTGACTCCTCCTGAATACTCATAGGAATCCCAAAATCCCTGTGGCTACTGGAAAGGGTCCTTGGGTGCCCTGCCTCATCTCGAGAAGCGTCCCTTTTGCCCTGCCAAGCCTCGAAGAGATTCCTGAGGTGTCCCTCGTTACTAGACAGGAGTCCTGACGTCACTGAAGAAACTCGTGTTTGGAAGGGCCATCCCCGCCGTAAGTCGAGAACATACCCCAGGTCCCCGCCGCAACTCGAGAAAAACCATGAGACTTCTCCCTAGAGGGGAGATGAGGCCCCATTCCCCTGCAGTGCATGCAGAGCTATTCCGTGATCCCATTCAAACAAGTCAGGAGCTTCGACTTGCTTAACGAATCTCGAGACAGTCCCCAAGAACACTGTCACCAGTCTAGACGGACCCTGAGGTCACCCCAGCAACGCAAAGCAGCTCCATGTGCCCCAAATCAACTCGAGATGAGGCCCGATTCCCCTGCATTGACTCCAGAGCCATTCCCCATTCCCCATTCAACACGACCGGTGGCTCGACTTCCTTCAGGCATCTCCAGAGATGCCCCGAGAACACTGTCCCAAGTCTAGAGGAACACCAACTTCAGCACAGCAACTCGAGGAATGCTCCGTGTACCCCAAATCGTCTCGAGATGAGAGCCGATTCCCTGGCTTAGGCTCAAGACGTATGCCAACTTTCCAGAAGCACCTCAGGAGGAGGCTTCTCTCAGCAATAGGTATGTGGGAGGGACCCCGAGTTCGCTGCCTCAAGGGGAATATACAGCGAGAAGCCCTAACTTGAAAGGAGGCCGGATTTCCTTGCAGTGGCTTGAATACAGGTTCGTATTTCATCTCACAACATGAAGGGATGTCTGAATCCCCTGTGGAGACCTTAGAGAAAGCCCTAGCTCCCTGCCTCATTTTGACGGAAGGCCTCACATCCCGCTGACACCTCGAGAGGCACGCGGAGTTCATTGCTTCAAAAGGTGACGATGCCTGACTCCTCCTGAATACTCATAGGAATCCCAAAATCCCTGTGGCTACTGGAAAGGGTCCTTGGGTGCCCTGCCTCATCTCGAGAAGCGTCCCTTTTGCCCTGCCAAGACTCGAAGAGATTCCTGAGGTGTCCCTCGTTACTAGACAGGAGTCCTGACGTCACTGAAGAAACTCGTGTTTGGAAGGGCCATCCCCGCCGTAAGTCGAGTACATACCCCAGGTCCCTGCCGCAACTCGAGAAAAACCATGAGACTTCCCCCTAGAGGCGAGATGAGGCCCCATTCCCCTGCAGTGCATGCAGAGCTATTCCGTGATCCCATTCAAACAAGTCAGGAGCTTCGACTTGCTTAACGGATCTCGAGACAGTCCCCAAGAACACTGTCACCAGTCTAGACGGACCCTGAGGTCACCCCAGCAACGCAAAGCAGCTCCATGTGCCCCAAATTAACTCGAGATGAGGCCCGATTCCCCTGCATTGACTCCAGAGCCATTCCCCGTTCCCCATTCAACACGACCGGTGGCTCGACTTCCTTCAGGCAACTCCAGAGATGCTCCAAAAACACTGTCCCAAGTCTAGAGGAACACCAACTTCAGCACAGCAACTCGAGGAATGCTCCGTGTACCCCAAATCGTCTCGAGATGAGAGCTGATTCCCTGGCTTAGGCTCAAGACGTATGCCAACTTTCCAGAAGCACCTCAGGAGGAGGCTTCTCTCAGCAATAGGTACGTGGGAGGGACCCCGAGATCGCTGCCTCAAGTTGAATATACAGCGAGAAGTCCTAACTTGAAAGGAGGCCGGATTTCCGTGCAGTGGCTTGAATACAGGCTCATCTTTGATCTCAAAACATGAAGGGGTGTCTGAATATACTGTGGAGACCTTAGAGAAGGCCCTAGGTCCCTGCCTCATTTTGACGGAATGCCTCATATCGCGTTGACCACTCGAGAGGCACGCGGAGTTCATTGCTTCAAAAGGTGACGATGCCTGACTCCTCTGGAATATTGATAGGAATCCCAAAATCCATATGGCTATTGGAAAGGTTCCTTGGGTGCCCTGTCTCACCTCGAGAAGTGTCCCTTTTGCCCTGCCAAGCCTCGAAGACATTCCTGAGATGTCCCTCGTTACTAGACAAGCATCCTGACGTCACGGAAGAAACTCGTGTTTGGAAAGGCCATCCCCGCCTTAAGTCGAGAACATACACCAGGTCCCCGCCGCAACTCGAGAAAAACCATGAGACTTCCCCCTAGAGGCGAGATGAGGCCCCATTCCCCTGCAGTGCATGCAGAGCTATTCCGTGATCCCATTCAAACAAGTCAGGAGCTTCGACTTGCTTAACGGATCTCGAGACAGTCCCCAAGAACACTGTCAACAGTCTAGACGGACCCTGAGGTCACCTCAGCAACACAAAGCAGCTCCATGTCCCACAAATGAACTCGAGATGAGGCCCGATTCCCCTGCATTGACTCCAGAGCCATTCCCCGTTCCCCATTCAACACGACCGGTGGCTCGACTTCCTTCAGGCATCTCCAGAGATGCCCCGAGAACACTGTCCCAAGTCTAGAGGAACACCAACTTCAGCACAGCAACTCGAGGAATGCTCCATGTACCCCAAATCGTCTCGAGATGAGAGCTGATTCCCTGGCTTAGGCTCAAGACGTATGCCAACTTTCCAGAAGCACCTCAGGAGGAGGCTTCTCTCAGCAATAGGTATGTGGGAGGGACCCCGAGTTTGCTGCCTCAAGGGGAATATACAGCGAGAAGCCCGAACTTGAAAGGAGGCCAGATTTCCAAGCTGTGGCTTGAATACAGGCTCGTCTTTGATCTCAAAACATGAAGGGGTGTCTGAATATACTGTGGAGACCTTAGAGAAGGCCCTAGGTCCCTGCCTCATTTTGACGGAATGCCTCACATCCCGTTGACCCCTCGAGAGGCACGCGGAGTTCATTGCTTCAAAAGGTGACGATGCCTGACTCCTCCTCAATACTCATAGGAATCCCAAAATCCCTGTGGCTACTGGAAAGGGTCCTTGGGTGCCCTGCCTCACCTCGAGAAGCGTCCCTTTTGCCCTGCCAAGCCTCGAAGAGATTCCTGAGGTGTCCCTCGTTACTAGACAGGAGTCCTGACGTCACTGAAGAAACTCGTGTTTGGAAGGGCCATCCCCGCCGTAAGTCGAGAACATACCCCAGGTCCCCGCCGCAACTCGAGAAAAACCATGAGACTTCCCCCTATAGGCGAGATGAGGCCCCATTCCCCTGCAGTGCATGCAGAGCTATTCCGTGATCCCATTCAAACAAGTCAGGAGCTTCGACTTGCTTAACGGATCTCGAGACAGTCCCCAAGAACACTGTCACCAGTCTAGACGGACCCTGAGGTCACCCCAGCAACGCAAAGCAGCTCCATGTGCCCCAAATCAACTCGAGATGAGGCCTGATTCCCCTGCATTGACTCCAGAGCCATTCCCCGTTCCCCATTCAACACGACCGCTGGCTCGACTTCCTTCAGGCATCTCCAGAGATGCCCCGAGAACACTGTCCCAAGTCTAGAGGAACACCAACTTCAGCACAGCAACTCGAGGAATGCTCCGTGTACCCCAAATCGTCTCGACATGAGAGCTGATTCCCTGGCTTAGGCTCAAGACGTATGCCAACTTTCCAGAAGCACCTCAGGAGGAGGCTTCTCTCAGCAATAGGTATGTGGGAGGGACCCCGAGATCGCTGCCTCAAGTAGAGTATACTGCGAGAATCCCTAACTTGAAAGGAGGCCGGATTTCCTTGCAGTGCCTTGAATACAGGCTCGTCTTTCATCTCACAACATGAAGGGATGTCTGAATCCCCTGTGGAGACCTTAGAGAAAGCCCTATTTCCCTGCCTCATTTTGACGGAATGCCTCACATCCCGTTGACCCCTCGAGAGGCACGCGGAGTTCATTGCTTCAAAAGGTGAAGATGCCTGACTCCTCTGGTATATTGATAGGAATCCCAAAATCCATATGGCTACTGGAAAGGTTCCTTGGGTGCCCTGTCTCACCTCGAGAAGTGTCCCTTTTGCCCTGCCAAGCCTCGAAGACATTCCTGAGGTGTCCCTCGTTACTAGACAAGCATCCTGACGTCACGGAAGAAACTCGTGTTTTGAAGGGCCATCCCCGCCTTAAGTCGGGAACATACCCCAGGTCCCCGCCGCAACTCGAGAAAAACCATGAGACTTCCCCCTAGAGGCGAGATGAGGCCCCATTCCCCTGCAGTGCATGCAGAGCTATTCCGTGATCCCATTCAAACAAGTCAGGAGCTTCGACTTGCTTAATCCATCTCGAGAGAGTCCCCAAGAACACTGTCACCAGTCTAGACGGACCCTGAGGTCACCCCAGCAATGCAAAGCAGCTCCATGTGCCCCAAATCAACACGAGATGAGGCCCGATTCCCCTGCATTGACTCCAGAGCCATTCCCCGTTTCCCATTCAACACGACCGGTGGCTCGACTTCCTTCAGGCAACTGCAGAGATGCCCCGAGAACACTGTCCCAAGTCTAGAGGAACACCAACTTCAGCACAGCAACTCAAGGAATGCTCTGTGTACCCCAAATCGTCTCGAGATGAGAGCTCATTCCCTGGCTTAGGCTCAAGACGTATGCCAACTGTCCAGAAGCACCTCAGGAGGAGGCTTCTCACAGAAATAGGTACGTGGGAGGGACCCCGAGATCTCTGCCTCAAGTGGAATATACAGCGAGAAGACCTAACTTGAAAGGAGGCCGGATTTCCTTGCAGTGGCTTGAATACAGGCTCGTCTTTCATCTCAAAACATGAAGGGGTGCCTGAATCCACTGTGGAGACCTTAGAGAAAGCCCTAGGTCCCTGCCTCATTTTGACGGAATGCCTCACATCCCGTTGACACCTCAAGAGGCACGCGGAGTTCATTGCTTCAAAAGGTGACGATGCCTGACTCCTCTTGAATACTGATAGGAATCCCAAAATCCCTGTGGCTACTGGAAAGGGTACTTGGGTGCCCTGTCTCACCGCGAGAAGCGTCCCTTTTGCCCTGCCAAGCCTCGAAGAGATTCCTCAGGTGTCCCTCGTTACTAGACAGGAGTCCTGACGTCACTGAAGAAACTCGTGTTTGGAAGGGCCATCCCCGCCGTAAGTCGAGAACATACCCCAGGTCCCCGCCGCAACTCGAGAAAAACCATGAGACTTCCCCCTAGAGGCGAGATGAGGCCCCATTCCCCTGCAGTGCATGCAGAGCTATTCCGTGATCCCATTCAAACAAGTCAGGAGCTTCGACTTGCTTAACGGATCTCGAGACAGTCCCCAAGAACACTGTCACCAGTCTAGACGGACCCTGAGGTCACCCCAGCAACGCAAAGCAGCTCCATGTGCCCCAAATCAACTCGAGATGAGGCCCGAATCCCCTGCATTGACTCCAGAGCCATTCCCCGTTCCCCATTCAACAAGACCGGTGGCTCGACTTCCTTCAGGCATCTCCAGAGATGCCCCGAGAACACTGTCCCAAGTCTAGAGGAACACCAACTTCAGCACAGCAACTCGAGGAATGCTCCGTGTACCTCAAATCGTCTCGAGATGAGAGCCGATTCCCTGGCTTAGGCTCAAGACATATGCCAACTTTCCAGAAGCACCTCAGGAGGAGGCTTCTCTCAGCAATAGGTATGTGGGAGGGACCCCGAGATCGCTGCCTCAAGTAGAGTATACTGCGAGAATCCCTAACTTGAAAGGAGGCCGGATTTCCTTGCAGTGGCTTGAAGACAGGCTCGTCTTTCATCTCACAACATGAAGGGATGTCTGAATCCCCTGTGGAGACCTTAGAGAAAGCCCTAGGTCCCTGCCTCATTTTGACGGAATGCCTCATATCGCGTTGACCACTCGAGAGGCACGCGGAGTTCATTGCTTCAAAAGGTGACGATGCCTGACTCCTCTGGAATATTGATAGGAATCCCAAAATCCATATGGCTATTGGAAAGGTTCCTTGGGTGCCCTGTCTCTCCTCGAGAAGTGTCCCTTTTGCCCTGCCAAGCCTCGAAGACATTCCTGAGATGTCCCTCGTTACTAGACAAGCATCCTGACGTCACGGAAGAAACTCGTGTTTGGAAGGGCCATCCCCGCCTTAAGTCGAGAACATACACCAGGTCCCCGCCGCAACTCGAGAAAAACCATGAGACTTCCCCCTAGAGGCGAGATGAGGCCCCATTCCCCTGCAGTGCATGCAGAGCTATTTCGTGATCCCATTCAAACAAGTCAGGAGCTTCGACTTGCTTAACGGATCTCGAGACAGTCCCCAAGAACACTGTCACCAGTCTAGACGGACCCTGAGGTCACCTCAGCAACACAAAGCAGCTCCATGTCCCACAAATGAACTCGAGATGAGGCCCGATTCCCCTGCATTGACTCCAGAGCCATTCCCCGTTCCCCATTCAACACGACCGGTGGCTCGACTTCCTTCAGGCATCTCCAGAGATGCCCCGAGAACACTGTCCCAAGTCTAGAGGAACACCAACTTCAGCACAGCAACTCGAGGAATGCTCCATGTACCCCAAATCGTCTCGAGATGAGAGCTGATTCCCTGGCTTAGGCTCAAGACGTATGCCAACTTTCCAGAAGCACCTCAGGAGGAGGCTTCTCTCAGCAATAGGTATGTGGGAGGGACCCCGAGTTTGCTGCCTCAAGGGGAATATACAGCGAGAAGCCCTAACTTGAAAGGAGGCCAGATTTCCAAGCTGTGGCTTGAATACAGGCTCGTCTTTGATCTCACAACATGAAGGGATGTCTGAATCCCCTGTGGAGACCTTAGAGAAAGCCCTAGGTCCCTGCCTCATTTTGTCGGAATGCCTCACATCCCGTTGACACCTCGAGAGGCACGCGGAGTTTATTGCTTCAAAAGGTGAGGACGCCTGACTCCTCTTGAATACTGATAGGAATCCCAAAATCCCTGTGGCTACTGGAAAGGGTCCTAGGGTGCCCTGCCTCACCGCGAGAAGCCTCTCTTTTGCCTCCCAAGCCTCGAAGTGATTTCTGTGGTGTCCCTCGTTACTAGACAGGAGTCCTGACGTCACTGAAGAAACTCGTGTTTTGAAGGGCCATCCCCGCCGTAAGTCGAGAACATACCCAGGTCCCCGCCGCAATTCGAGAAAAACCATGAGACTTCCCCCTAGAGGCGAGTTGAGGCCCCATTCCCCTGAAGTGCATGCAGAGCTATTCGGTGATGACCATCAAACAAGTCAAGAGCTTCAACTTGCTTAATGGATCTCGAGACAGTCCCCAAGAACACTGTCAATAGTCTAGACGTACCCTGAGGTCACCCCAGCAACGCAAAGCAGCTCCATGTGCCCCAAATCAACTCGAGATGAGGCCCGATTCCCCTGCATTGACTCCAGAGCCATTCCCCGTTCCCCATTCAACACGACCGGTGGCTCGACTTCCTTCAGGCAACTCCAGAGATGCCCCGAGAACACTGTCCCAAGTCTAGAGGAACACCAACTTCAGCACAGCAACTCGAGGAATGCTCCGTGTACACCAAATCGTCTCAAGATGAGAGCTGATTCCCTGGCTTAGGCTCAAGACGTATGCCAACTTTCCAGAAGCACCTCAGGAGGAGGCTTCTCTCAGGAATATGTATGTGGGAGGGAGCCCGAGATCGCTGCCTCAAGTAGAGTATTCTTCGAGAATCCCTAACTTGAAAGGAGGCCGGATTTACTTGCAGTGCCTTGAATGCAGGCTCGTCTTTCATCTCACAACATGAAGGGATGTCTGAATCCCCTGTGGAGACCTTAGAGAAAGCCCTAGGTCCCTGCCTCCTTTTGACGGAATGCCTCACATCCCGTTGACACCTCGAGAGGCACGCGGAGTTATTTGCTTCAAAAGGTGACGATGCCTGACTCCTCTTGAATACTGATAGGAATCCCAAAATCCCTGTGGCTCCTGGAAAGGGTACTTGGGTGCCCTGCCTCCCCTCGAGAAGCGTCCCTTTTGCCCTGCCAAGCCTCGAAGAGATTCCTGAGGTGTCCCTCGTTGCTAGACAGGAGTTCTGACGTCACTGAAGAAACTCGTGTTTGGAAGGGCCATCCCCGCCGTAAGTCGAGAACATACCCCAGGACCCCGCCGCAACTCGAGAAAAACAATGAGACTTCCCCCTAGAGGCGAGATGAGGCCCCATTCCCCTGCAGTGCATGCAGAGCTATTCCGTGATCCTGTTCAAACAAGTCAGGAGCTTCGACTTGCTTAATGGATCTCGAGACAGTCCCCAAGAACACTGTCACCAGTCTAGACGGACCCTGAGGTCACCCCAGCAACGCAAAGCAGTTCCATGTTCCCCTAATCAACTCGAGATGAGGCCCGATTCCCCTGCATTGACCCCAGAGCCATTCCCCGTTTCTCATACAACACGACCGGTGGCTCGACTTCCTTCAGGCAACTCCAGTGATGCCCCGAGAACACTGTCCCCAGTCTAGAGGAACAGGAACTTCAGCACAGCAACTCGAGGAATGTTCCATGTACCCCAAATCGTCTCGAAATGAGAGCTGATTCCCTGGCTTAGGCTCAAGACGTATGCCAACTTTCCAGAATCACCTCAGGAGGAGGCTTCTCTCAGCAATAGGTATGTGGGAGGGACCCCGAGATCGCTGCCTCAAGTGGAATATACAGCGAGAAGCCCTAACTTGAAAGGAGGCCGGGTTTCCTTGCAGTGTCTTGAATACAGGCTCGTCTTTGATCTCAAAACATGAAGGGATGTCTGATTCCCCTGTGGAGACCTTAGAGAAAGCCCTAGGTCCCTGCCTCATTTTGACGGAAGGCCTCAGATCCCGCTGACACCTCAAGAGGCACGCAGAGTTCATTGCTTCAAAAGGTGACGATGCCTGACTCCTCTTGAATAATGATAGGAATCCCAAAATCACTGTGGCTACTGGAAAGGTTCCTTGGGTGCCCTGCCTGACCTTGAGAAGCATCCCTTTTGCCCTGCCAAGCCTCGAAGAGATTCCTGAGGTGTCCCTCGTTACTAGACAAGAGTCCTGACGTCACTGAAGAAACTCGTGTTTTGAAGGGACATCCGCGCCGTAAGTCGAGACCATACCCCAGGTCCCGCCACAACTCGAGAAAAACCATGAGCCTTCCTCCTAGAGGCGAGATGAGGCCCCATTCCCCTGCAGTGCATGCAGAGCTATTCCGTGATCCCACTCAAACAGTCAGGAGCTTCGACTTGCTTAATGGATCTCGAGACAGTCCCCAAGAACACTGTCACCAGTCTAGACGGACTCTGAGGTCACCCCAGCAAAGCAAGGCAGCTCCATGTGCCCCAAATAAACTCGAGATGAGGGCCGATTCCCCTGCATTGACTCCAGAGCCATTCCCCGTTCCCCATTCAACACGACCGGTGGCTCGACTTCCTTCAGGCAACTCCAGAGATGCCCCGAGAACACTGTACCAAATCTAGAGGAACACCAACTTGAGCACAGCAACTCGAGGAAAGCTCCGTGTACCCCAAATCGTCTCAAGATGAGAGCTGATTCCCTGGCTTAGGCTCAAGACGTATGCCAACTTTCCAAAAGCACCTCACGAGGAGGCTTCTCTCAGCAATAGGTATGTGGGAGGGACCCCGAGAACGCTGCCTCATGTGCAATATATAGCGAGAAGCCCTAACTTGAAAGGAGGCCGGGTTTCCTTGCAGTGGCTTGAATACAGGCTCGTCTTTGATCTCAAACCATGAAGGGATGTCTGAATCCCCTGTGGAGACGTTAGAGAAAGCCCTAGGTCCCTGCCTCATTTTGACGGAATGCCTCACATCCCGTTGACACCTCGAGAGGCACGCGGAGTTCATTGCTTCAAAAGGTGACGATGCCTGACTCCTCTTGAATACTGATAGGAAACCCAAAACCCTGTGGCTACTAGAAAGGGTCCTTGGGTGCCCTGCCTCACCGCGAGAAGCCTCCCTTTTGCCTTCCCAAGCCTCCACGTGATTTCTGAGTTGTCCCTCGTTACTAGACAGGAGTCCTGACGTCACTGAAGAAACTCGTGTTTTGAAGGGCCATCCCCGCGTAAGTCGAGAACATACCCCAGGTCCCCGCCGCAACTCGAGAAAAACCATGAGACTTCACCCCTGAGGCGAAATGAGGCCCCATTCCCCCACAGTGCATGCAGAGCATTCCGTGATCCCATTCAAACAAGTCAGGAGCTTCGACTTGCTTAATGGATCTCGAGACAATCCACAAGAACACTGTCACCAGTCTAGACAGACTCTGAGGTCACCCCTGCAACGCAAAGCAGCACCATGTGCCCCAAATCAACTCGAGATGAGGGCCGATTCCCCTGCATTGACTCCAGAGCCATTCCCCGTTCCCCATTCAACACGACCGGTGGCTCGACTTCCTTCAGGCAACTCCAGAGATGCCCCAAGAACACTGTCCCAAGGCTAGCGGAACACCAACTTCAGCACAGCAACTCGAGGAATGTTCCATGTACCCCAAATCGTCTCGAAATGAGAGCTGATTCCCTGGCTTAGGCTCAAGACGTATGCCAACTTTCCAGAATCACCTCAGGAGGAGGCTTCTCTCAGCAATAGGTATGTGGGAGGGACCCCGAGATCGCTGCCTCAAGTGGAATATACAGCGAGAAGCCCTAACTTGAAAGGAGGCCGGGTTTCCTTGCAGTGTCTTGAATACAGGCTCGTCTTTGATCTCAAAACATGAAGGGATGTCTGATTCCCCTGTGGAGACGTTAGAGAAAGCCCTAGGTCCCTGCCTCATTTTGACGGAAGGCCTCAGATCCCGCTGACACCTCGAGAGGCACGCGGAGTTCATTGCTTCCAAAGGTGACGATGCCTGACTCCTCTTGAATAATGATAGGAATCCCAAAATCACTGTGGCTACTGGAAAGGTTCCTTGGGTGCCCTGCCTGACCTTGAAAAGCATCCCTTTTGCCCTGCCAAGCCTCGAAGAGATTCCTGAGGTGTCCCTCGTTACTAGACAAGAGTCCTGACGTCACTGAAGAAACTCGTGTTTTGAAGGGACATCCCCGCCGTAAGTCGAGACCATACCCCAGGTCCCGCCACAACTCGAGAAAAACCATGAGACTTCCTCCTAGAGGCGAGATGAGGCCCCATTCCCCTGCAGTGCATGCAGAGCTATTCCGTGATCCCACTCAAACAGTCAGGAGCTTCGACTTGCTTAATGGATCTCGAGACAGTCCCCAAGAACACTGTCACCAGTCTAGACGGACTCTGAGGTCACCCCAGCAAAGCAAGGCAGCTCCATGTGCCCCAAATCAACTCGAGATGAGGGCCGATTCCCCTGCATTGACTCCAGAGCCATTCCCCGTTCCCCATTCAACACGACCGGTGGCTCGACTTCCTTCAGGCAACTCCAGAGATGCCCCGAGAACACTGTACCAAATCTAGAGGAACAGCAACTTGAGCACAGCAACTCGAGGAAAGCTCCGTGTACCCCAAATCGTCTCGAGATGAGAGCTGATTCCCTGGCTTAGGCTCAAGACGTATGCCAACTTTTCAAAAGCACCTCACGAGGAGGCTTCTCTCAGCAATAGGTATGTGGGAGGGACCCCAAGTTTGCTGCCTCAAGGGGAATATACAGCGAGAAGCCCTAACTTGAAAGGAGTCCGGATTTCGTAGCTGTGGCTTGAATACAGGCTCGTCTTTCATCTCACAACATGAAGGGATGTCTGAATCCCCTGTGGAGACCTTAGAGAAAGCCCTAGGTCCCTGCCTCTTTTTGACGGAAGGCCTCACATCCCGCTGACACCTCGAGAGGCATGCGGAGTTCATTGCTTCAAAAGGTGAAGACGCCTGACTCCTCCTGAATACTCATAGGAATCCCAAAATCCCTGTGGCTACTGGAAAGGGTCCTTGGGTGCCCTGCCTCACCTCGAGAAGCGTCCCTTTTGCCCTGCCAAGCCTCGGAGAGATTCCTGAGGTGTCCCTCGTTACTAGACAGGAGTCCTGACGTCACTGAAGAAACTCGTGTTTGGAAGGGCCATCCCCGCCGTAAGTCGAGAACATACCCCAGGTCCCCGCCGCAACTCGAGAAAAACCATGAGACTTCTCCCTAGAGGCGAGATGAGGCCCCATTCCCCTGCAGTGCATGCAGAGCTATTCCGTGATCCCATTCAAACAAGTCAGGAGCTTCGACTTGCTTAACGGATCTCGAGACAGTCCCCAAGAACACTGTCACCAGTCTAGACGGACCCTGAGGTCACCCCAGCAACGCAAAGCAGCTCCATGTGCCCCAAATCAACTCGAGATGAGGCCCGATTCCCCTGCATTGACTCCAGAGCCATTCCCCATTCCCCACTCAACACGACCGGTGGCTCGACTTCCTTCAGGCATCTCCAGAGATGCCCCGAGAACACTGTCCCAAGTCTAGAGGAACACCAACTTAAGCACAGCAACTCGAGGAATGCTCCGTGTACCCCAAATCGTCTCGAGATGAGAGCCGATTCCCTGGCTTAGGCTCAAGACGTATGCCAACTTTCCAGAAGCACCTCAGGAGGAGGCTTCTCTCAGCAATAGGTATGTGGGAGGGACCCCGAGTTCGCTGCCTCAAGGGGAATATACAGCGAGAAGCCCTAACTTGAAAGGAGGCCGGATTTCCTTGCAGTGGCTTGAATACAGGCTCGTATTTCATCTCACAACATGAAGGGATGTCTGAATCCCCTGTGGAGACCTTAGAGAAAGCCCTAGGTCCCTGCCTCATTTTGACGGAAGGCCTCACATCCCGCTGACACCTCGAGAGGCACGCGGACTTCATTGCTTCAAAAGGTGACGATGCCTGACTCCTCCTGAATACTCATAGGAATCCCAAAATCCCTGTGGCTACTGGAAAGGGTCCTTGGGTGCCCTGCCTCATCTCGAGAAGCGTCCCTTTTGCCCTGCCAAGCCTCGAAGAGATTCCTGAGGTGTCCCTCGTTACTAGACAGGAGTCCTGACGTCACTGAAGAAACTCGTGTTTGGAAGGGCCATCCCCGCCGTAAGTCGAGAACATACCCCAGGTCCCTCCCGCAACTCGAAAAAAACCATGAGACTTCCCCCTAGAGGCGAGATGAGGCCCCATTCCCCTGCAGTGCATGCAGAGCTATTCCTTGATCCCATTCAAACAAGTCAGGAGCTTCGGCTTGCTTAACGGATCTCGAGACAGTCCCCAAGAACACTGTCACCAGTCTAGACGGACCCTGAGGTCACCCCAGCAACGCAAAGCAGCTCCATGTGCCCCAAATCAACTCGAGATGAGGCCCAATTCCCCTGCATTGACTCCAGAGCCATTCCCCGTTCCCCATTCAACACGAACGGTGGCTCGACTTCCTTCAGGCAACTCCAGAGATGCTCCGAAAACACTGTCCCAAGTCTAGAGGAACACCAACTTCAGCACACCAACTCGAGGAATGCTCCGTGTACCCCAAATCGTCTCGAGATGAGAGCTGATTCCCTGGCTTAGGCTCAAGACGTATGCCAACTTTCCAGAAGCATCTCAGGAGGAGGCTTCTCTCAGCAATAGGTACGTGGGAGGGACCCCGAGATCGCTGCCTCAAGTGGAATATACAGCGAGAAGTCCTAACTTGAAAGGAGGCCGGATTTCCGTGCAGTGGCTTGAATACAGGCTCATCTTTGATCTCAAAACATGAAGGGGTGTCTGAATCCACTGTGGAGACCTTAGAGAAAGACCTAGGTCCCTGCCTCATTTTGACGGAATGCCTCACATCCCGTTGACACCTCGAGAGGCACGCGGAGTTCATTGCTTCAAAAGGTGACGATGCCTGACTCCTCCTGAATACTCATAGGAATCCCAAAATCCCTGTGGCTACTGGAAAGGGTCCTTGGGTGCCCTGCCTCACCTCGAGAAGCGTCCCTTTTCCCCTGCCAAGCCTCGAAGAGATTCCTGAGTTGTCCCTCGTTACTAGACAGGAGTCCTGACGTCACTGAAGAAACTCGTGTTTGGAAGGGCCATCCCCGCCGTAAGTCGAGAACATAGCCCAGGTCCCCGCCGCAACTCGAGAAAAACCATGAGACTTCTCCCTAGAGGCGAGATGAGGCCCCATTCCCCTGCAGTGCGTGCAGAGCTATTCCGTGATCCCATTCAAACAAGTCAGGAGCTTCGACTTGCTTAACGGATCTCGAGACAGTCCCCAAGAACACTGTCACCAGTCTAGACGGACCCTGAGGTCACCCCAGCAACGCAAAGCAGCTCCATGTGCCCCAAATCAACTCGAGATGAGGCCCGATTCCCCTGCATTGACTCCAGAGCCATTCCCCGTTCCCCATTCAACACGACCGGTGGCTCGACTTCCTTCAGGCATCTCCAGAGATGCCCCGAGAACACTGTCCCAAGTCTAGAGGAACACCAACTTCAGCACAGCAACTCGAGGAATGCTCCGTGTACCCCAAATCGTCTCGAGATGAGAGCTGATTCCCTGGCTTAGGCTCAGGACGTATGCCAACTTTCCAGAAGCACCTCAGGAGGAGGCTTCTCTCAGCAATAGATACGTGGGAGGGACCCCGAGATCGCTGCCTCAAGTGGAATATACAGCGAGAAGTCCTAACTTGAAAGGAGGCCGGATTTCCATGCAGTGGCTTGAATACAGGCTCATCTTTGATCTCAAAACATGAAGGGGTGTCTCAATCCACTGTGGAGACCTTAGAGAAAGCCCTAGGTCCCTGCCTCATTTTGACGGAATGCCTCACATCCCGTTGACCCCTCGAGAGGCACGCGGAGTTCATTTCTTCAAAAGGTGACGATGCCTGACTCCTCTGGTATATTGATAGGAATCCCAAAATCCATATGGCTACTGGAAAGGTTCCTTGGGTGCCCTGTCTCACCTCGAGAAGTGTCCCTTTTGCCCTGCCAAGCCTCGAAGACATTCCTGAGGTGTCCCTCGTTACTAGACAAGCATCCTGACGTCACGGAAGAAACTCGTGTTTTGAAGGGCCATCCCCGCCTTAAGTCGGGAACATACCGCAGGTCCCCGCCGCAACTCGAGAAAAACCATGAGACTTCCCCCTAGAGTCGAGAAGAGGCCCCATTCCCCTGCAGTGCATGCAGAGCTATTCCGTGATCCCGTTCAAACAAGTCAGGAGCTTCGAATTGCTTAATCCATCTCGAGAGAGTACCCAAGAACACTGTCACCAGTCTAGACGGACCCTGAGGTCACCCCAGCAATGCAAAGCAGCTCCATGTGCCCCAAATCAACACGAGATGAGGCCCGATTCCCCTGCATTGACTCCAGAGCCATTCCCCGTTCCCCATTCAACACGACAGGTGGCTCGACTTCTTCAGGCATCTCCAGAGATGCCCCGAGAACACTGTCCCAAGTCTAGAGGAAACCAACTTCAGCACAGCAACTCGAGGAATGCTCCGTGTACCCCAAATCGTCTCGAGATGAGAGCTGATTCCCAGGCTTAGGCTCAAGACGTATGCCAACTTTCCAGAAGCACCTCAGGAGGAGGCTTCTCTCAGCAATAGGTATGTGGGATGGACCCCGAGTTTGCTGCCTCAAGGGGAATATACAGCGAGAAGCCCTAACTTGAAAGGAGGCCGGATTTCCTTGCAGTGGCTTGATTACAGGCTCATCTTTGATCTCAAAACATGAAGGGATGTCTGATTCCCCTGTGGAGAACTTAGAGAAAGCCCTAGGTCCCTGCTTCATTTTGACGGAATGCCTCACATCCCGTTGACACCTAGAGAGGCACGCGGAGTTCATTGCTTCAAAAGGTGACGATGCCTGACTCCTCTTGAATACTGATAGGAATCCCAAAATACCTGTGGCTACTGGAAAGGTTCCTTGGGTGCCCTGCCTGACTTCGAGAGGCATCCCTTTTGCCCTGCCAAGCCTCGAAGAGATTCCTGATGTGTCCCTCGTTACTAGACAGGAGTCCTGATGTCACTGAAGAAACTCGTGTTTTGAAGGGCCATCCCCGCCGTAAGTCGAGAACATACCCCAGGTCCCCGCCGCAACTCGAGAAAAAACATGAGACTTCCCCCTAGAGGCGAGATGAGGCCCCATTCCCCTGCAGTGCATGCAGAGGTATTCCGTGATCCCATTCAAACAAGTCAGGAGCTTCGACTTGCTTAACGGATCTCGAGACAGTCCCCAAGAACACTGTCACCAGTCTAGACGGACCCTGAGGTCACCCCAGCAACGCAAAGCAGCTCCATGTGCCCCAAATCAACCCGAGATGAGGCCCGATTCCCCTGCATTGACTCCAGAGCCATTCCCCGTTCCCCATTCAACACGACCGGTGGTTCGACTTCCTTCAGGCAACTCCAGAGATGCCCCGAGAACACTGTCCCAAGACTAGAGGAACACCAACTTCAGCACAGCAACTCGAGGAATGCTCCGTGTACCCCAAATCGTCTCGAGATGAGAGCTGATTCCCTGGCTTAGGCTCAAGACGTATGCCAACTTTCCAGAAGCACCTCAGGAGGAGGCTTCTCTCAGCAATAGGTACGTGGGAGGGACCCCGAGATCGCTGCCTCAAGTGGAATATACAGCGAGAAGTCCTAATTTGAAAGGAGGCCGGATTTCCGTGCAGTGGCTTGAATACAGGCTCATCTTTGATTTCAAAACATGAAGGGGTGTCTGAATCCACTGTGGAGACCTTAGAGAAAGCCCTAGGTCCCTACCTCATTTTGACGGAATGCCTCACATCCCGTTGACACGTCGAGAGGCACGCCGAGTTCATTGCTTCAAAAGGTGACGATGCCTGACTCCTCGTGAATACTCATAGGAATCCCAAAATCCCTGTGGCTACTGGAAAGGGTCCTTGGGTGCCCTGCCTCACCTCGAGAAGCGTCCCTTTTGCCCTGCCAAGCCTCGAAGAGATTCCTGAGGTGTCCCTCGTTACTAGACAGGAGTCCTGACGTCACTGAAGAAACTCGTGTTTGGAAGGGCCATCCCCGCCGTAAGTCGAGAACATACCCCAGGTCCCCGCCGCAACTCGAGAAAAACCATGAGACTTCCCCCTAGAGGCCAGATGAGGCCCCATTCCCCTGCAGTGCATGCAGAGCTATTCCGTGATCCCATTCAAACAAGTCAGGAGCTTCGACTTGCTTAACGGATCTCGAGACAGTCCCCAAGAACACTGTCACCAGTCTAGACGGACCCTGAGGTCACCCCAGCAACGCAAAGCAGCTCCATATGCCCCAAATCAACTCGAGATGAGGCCCGATTCCCCTGCATTGACTCCAGAGCCATTCCCCGTTCCCCATTCAACACGACCGGTGGCTCGACTTCCTTCAGGCATCTCCAGAGATGCCCCGAGAACACTGTCCCAAGTCTAGAGGAACACCAACTTCAGCACAGCAACTCGAGGAATGCTCCGTGTACCCCAAATCGTCTCGACATGAGAGCTGATTCCCTGGCTTAGGCCCAAGACGTATGCCAACTTTCCAGAAGCACCTCAGGAGGAGACTTCTCTCAGCAATAGGTATGTGGGAGGGACCCCGAGTTTGCTGCCTCAAGGGGAATATACAGCGAGAAGCCCTAACTTGAAAGGAGGCCGGGTTTCCTTGCAGTGCCTTGAATACAGGCTCGTCTTTCATCTCACAACATGACGGGATGTCTGAATCCCCTGTGGAGACCTTAGAGAAAGCCCTAGGTCCCTGCCTCATTTTGACGGAATGCCTCACATCCCGTTGACCCCTCGAGAGGCACGCGGAGTTCATTGCTTCAAAAGGTGACGATGCCTGACTCCTCTGGAATATTGATAGGAATCCCAAAATCCATATGGCTACTGGAAAGGTTCCTTGGGTGCCCTGTCTCACCTCGAGAAGTGTCCCTTTTGCCCTGCCAAGCCTCGAAGACATTCCTGAGGTGTCCCTCGTTACTAGACAAGCATCCTGACGTCACGGAAGAAACTCGTGTTTTGAAGGGCCATCCCCGCCTTAAGTCGGGAACAAACCCCAGGTCCCCGCCGCAACTCGAGAAAAACCATGAGACTTCCAGCTAGAGTCGAGAAGGGGCCCCATTCCCCTGCAGTGCATGCAGAGCTATTCCGTGATCCCGTTCAAACAAGTCAGGAGCTTCAATTTGCTTAACGGATCTCGAGACAGTCCCCAAGAACACTGTCACCAGTCTAGACGGACCCTGAGGTCACCCCAGCAATGCAAAGCAGGTCCATGTGCCCCAAATCAACACGAGATGAGGCCCGATTCCCCTGCATTGACTCCAGAGCCATTCCCCGTTCCCCATTCAACACGACCGGTGGCTCGACTTCCTTCAGCCAACTCCAGAGATGCCCCGAGAACACTGTCCCAAGTCTAGAGGAACACCAACTTCAGCACAGCAACTGGAGGAATGCTCCGTGTACCCCAAATCGTCCCGAGATGAGAGCTGATTCCCGGGCTTAGGCTCAAGACGTATGCCAACTGTCCAGAAGCACCTCAGGAGGAGGCTTCTCTCAGAAATAGGTACGTGGGAGGGACCCCGAGATCGCTGCCTCAAGTGGAATATACAGCGAGAAGACCTAACTTGAAAGGAGGCCGGATTTCCTTGCAGTGGCTTGAATACAGGCTCGTCTTTGATCTCAAAACATGAAGGGGTGCCTGAATCCACTGTGGAGACCTTAGAGAAAGCCCTAGGTCCCTGCCTCATTTTGACGGAATGCCTCACATCCCGTTGACACCTCAAGAGGCACGCGGAGTTCATTGCTTCAAAAGGTGATGATGCCTGACTCCTCTTGAATACTGATAGGAATCCCAAAATCCCTGTGGCTACTGGAAAGGGTCCTTGGGTGCCCTGCCTCACCTCGAGAAGCGTCCCTTTTGCCCTGCCAAGACTCGAAGAGATTCCTGAGGTGTCCCTCGTTACTAAACAGGAGTCCTGACGTCACTGAAGAAACTCGTGTTTGGAAGGGCCATCTCCGCCGTAAGTCGAGAACATAACCCAGGTCCCCGCCGCAACTCGAGAAAAACCATGAGACTTCCTCCTAGAGGCTAGATGAGGCCCCATTCCCCTGCAGTGCATGCAGAGGTATTCCTTGATCCCATTCAAACAAGTCAGGAGCTTCGACTTGCTTAACGGATCTCGAGACAGTCCCCAAGAACACTGTCACCAGTCTAGACGGACCCTGAGGTCAACCCAGCAACGCAAAGCAGCTCCATGTGCCCCAAATCAACTCGAGATGAGGCCCGATTCCCCTGCATTGACTCCAGAGCCATTCCCCGTTCCCCATTCAACACGACTGGTGGCTCGACTTCTTTCAGGCAACTCCAGAGATGCTCCGAAAACACTGTCCCAAGTCTAGAGGAACACCAACTTCAGCACAGCAACTCGAGGAATGCTCCGTGTACCCCAAATCGTCTCGAGATGAGAGCTGATTCCCTGCCTTAGGCTCAAGACGTATGCCAACTTTCCAGAAGCACCTCAGGAGGAGGCTTCTCTCAGCAATAGGTATGTGGGAGGGACCCCGAGTTTGCTGCCTCAAGGGGAATGTACAGCGAGAAGCCCTAACTTGAAAGGAGGCCGGATTTCCTTGCAGTGGCTTGAATACAGGCTCGTCTTTCATGTCACAACATGAAGGGATGTCTGAATCCCCTGTGGAGACCTTAGAGAAAGCCCTAGGTCCCTGCCTCTTTTTGACGGAAGGCCTCACATCCCGCTGACACCTCGAGAGGCACGCGGAGTTCATTGCTTCAAAAGGTGACGATGCCTGACTCCTCCTGAATACTCATAGGAATCCCAAAATCCCTGTGGCTACTGGAAAGAGTCCTTGGGTGCTCTGCCTCACCTCGAGAAGCGTCCCTTTTGCCCTGCCAAGCCTCGAAGAGATTCCTGAGGTGTCCCTCGTTACTAGACAGGAGTCCTGACGTCACTGAAGAAACTCGTGTTTGGAAGGGCCATCCCCGCCGTAAGTCGAGAACATACCCGAGGTCCCCGCCGCAATTCGAGAAAAACCATGAGACTTCCCCCTAGAGGCGAGATGAGGCCCCATTCCCCTGCAGTGCATGCAGAGCTATTCCGTGATCCCATTCAAACAAGTCAGGAGCTTCGACTTGCTTAACGGATCTCGAGACAGTCCCCAAGAACACTGTCACCAGTCTAGACGGACCCTGAGGTCACCCCAGCAACGCAAAGCAGCTCCATGTGCCCCAAATCAACTCGAGATGAGGCCCGATTCCCCTGCATTGACTCCAGAGCCATTCCCCGTTCCCCATTCAACACGACCGGTGGCTCGACTTCCTTCAGGCAACTCCAGAGATGCCCCGAGAACACTGTCCCAAGTCTAGAGGAACACCAACTTCAGCACAGCAACTCGAGGAATGCTCCGTGTACCCCAAATCGTCTCGAGATGAGAGCTGATTCCCTGGCTTAGGCTCAAGACGTATGCCAACTGTCCAGAAGCAGCTCAGGAGGAGGCTTCTCTCAGAAATAGGTACGTGGGAGGGACCCCGAGATCGCTGCTTAAGTGGAATATACAGCAAGAAGACCTAACTTGAAAGGAGGCCGGATTTCCTTGCAGTGGCTTGAATACAGGCTCGTCTTTGATCTCAAAACATGAAGGGATGTCTGAATCCCCTGTGGAGAACTTAGAGAAAGCGCTAGGTCCCTGCCTCATTTTGACGGAATGCCTCACATCCCGTTGACACCTCGAGAGGCACGCGGAGTTCATTGCTTCAAAAGGTGAAGATGCCTGACTCCTCTTGAATACTGATAGGAAACCCAAAACCCTGTGGCTGCTAGAAAGGGTCCTTGGGTGCCCTGCCTCACCGCGAGAAGCCTCCCTTTTGCCCTCCCAAGCCTCCAAGTGATTTCTGAGTTGTCCCTCGTTACTAGACAAGAGTCCTGACGTCACTGAAGAAACTCGTGTTTTGAAGGGCCATCCCCGCCGTAAGTCGAGAACATACCCCAGGTCCCCGCCGCAACTCGAGAAAAACCATGAGACTTCACCCCTGAGGCGAAATGAGGCCCCATTCCCCCACAGTGCATGCAGAGCTATTCCGTGATCCCATTCAAACAAGTCAGGAGCTTCGACTTGCTTAATGGATCTCGAGACAGTCCCCAAGAACACTGTCACCAGTCTAGACGGACCCTGAGGTCACCCCAGCAACGCAAAGCAGCTCCATGTGCCCCAAATCAACTCAAGATGAGGCCCGATTCCCCTGCATTGACTCCAGAGCCATTCCCCGTTCCCCATTCAACACGAACGGTGGCTCGACTTCCTTCAGGCATCTCCAGAGATGCCCCGAGAACACTGTCCCAAGTCTAGAGGAACACCAACTTCAGCACAGCAACTCGAGGAATGCTCCGTGTACCCCAAATCGTCTCGAGATGAGAGCCGATTCCCTGGCTTAGGCTCAAGACATATGCCAACTTTCCAGAAGCACCTCAGGAGGAGGCTTCTCTCAGCAATAGGTATGTGGGAGGGACCCCGAGATCGCTGCCTCAAGTAGAGTATACTGCGAGAATCCCTAACTTGAAAGGAGGCCGGATTTCCTTGTAGTGCCTTGAATACAGGCTCCTCTTTCATCTCACAACATGAAGGGATGTCTGAATCCCCTGTGGAGACCTTAGAGAAAGCCCTAGGTCCCTGCCTCATTTTGACGGAATGCCTCACATCCCGTTGACCATTCGAGAGGCACGCGGAGTTCATTGCTTCAAAAGGTGACGATGCCTGACTCCTCTGGAATATTGATAGGAATCCCAAAATCCATATGGCTACTGGAAAGGTTCCTTGGGTGCCCTGTCTCACCTCGAGAAGTGTCCCTTTTACCCTGCCAAGCCTCGAAGACATTCCTGAGGTGTCCCTCGTTACTAGACAAGCATCCTGACGTCACGGAAGAAACTCGTGTTTTGAAGGGCCATCCCCGCCTTAAGTCGGGAACATACCCCAGGACCCCGCCGCAACTCGAGAAAAACCATGAGACTTCCCACTAGAGGCGAGATGAGGCCCCATTCCCCTGCAGTGCATGCAGAGCTATTCCGTGATCCCATTCAAACAAGTCAGGAGCTTCGACTTGCTTAATCCATCTCGAGAGAGTCCCCAAGAACACTGTCACCAGTCTAGACGGACCCTGAGGTCACCCCAGCAATGCAAAGCAGCTCCATGTGCCCCAAATCAACACGAGATGAGGCCCGATTCCCCTGCTTGACTCCAGAGCCATTCCCCGTTTCCCATTCAACACGACCGGTGGCTCGACTTCCTTCAGGCAACTGCAGAGATGCCCCGAGAACACTGTCCCAAGTCTAGAGGAACACCAACTTCAGCACAGCAACTCGAGGAATGCTCCGTGTACCCCAAATCATCTCGAGATGAGAGCTCATTCCCTGGCTTAGGCTCAAGACGTATGCCAACTGTCCAGAAGCACCTCAGGAGGAGGCTTCTCTCAGAAATAGGTACGTGGGAGGGACCCCGAGATCGCTGCCTCAAGTGGAATATACAGCGAGAAGACCTAACTTGAAAGGAGGCCGGATTTCCTTGCAGTGGCTTGAATACAGGCTCGTCTTTCATCTCAAAACATGAAGGGGTGCCTGAATCCACTGTGGAGACCTTAGAGAAAGCCCTAGGTCCCTGCCTCATTTTGACGGAATGCCTCACATCCCGTTGACACCTCAAGAGGCACGCGGAGTTCATTGCTTCAAAAGGTGACGATGCCTGACTCCTCTTGAATACTGATAGGAATCCCAAAATCCCTGTGGCTACTGGAAAGGGTACTTGGGTGCCCTGTCTCACCGCGAGAAGCGTCCCTTTTGCCCTGCCAAGCCTCGAAGAGATTCCTCAGGTGTCCCTCGTTACTAGACAGGAGTCCTGACGTCACTGAAGAAACTCGTGTTTGGAAGGGCCATCCCCGCCGTTAGTCGAGAACATACCCCAGGTCCCCGCCGCAACTCGAGAAAAACCATGAGACTTCACCCCTGAGGCGAAATGAGGCCCCATTCCCCCACAGTGCATGCAGAGCTATTCCGTGATCCCATTCAAACAAGTCAGGAGCTTCGACTTGCTTAATGGATCTCGAGACAGTCCCCAAGAACACTGTCACCAGTCTAGACGGACCCTGAGGTCACCCCAGCAACGCAAAGCAGCTCCATGTGCCCCAAATCAACTCAAGATGAGGCCCGATTCCCCTGCATTGACTCCAGAGCCATTCCCCGTTCCCCATTCAACACGAACGGTGGCTCGACTTCCTTCAGGCATCTCCAGAGATGCCCCGAGAACACTGTCCCAAGTCTAGAGGAACACCAACTTCAGCACAGCAACTCGAGGAATGCTCCGTGTACCCCAAATCGTCTCGAGATGAGAGCCGATTCCCTGGCTTAGGCTCAAGACATATGCCAACTTTCCAGAAGCACCTCAGGAGGAGGCTTCTCTCAGCAATAGGTATGTGGGAGGGACCCCGAGATCGCTGCCTCAAGTAGAGTATACTGCGAGAATCCCTAACTTGAAAGGAGGCCGGATTTCCTTGTAGTGCCTTGAATACAGGCTCCTCTTTCATCTCACAACATGAAGGGATGTCTGAATCCCCTGTGGAGACCTTAGAGAAAGCCCTAGGTCCCTGCCTCATTTTGACGGAATGCCTCACATCCCGTTGACCATTCGAGAGGCACGCGGAGTTCATTGCTTCAAAAGGTGACGATGCCTGACTCCTCTGGAATATTGATAGGAATCCCAAAATCCATATGGCTACTGGAAAGGTTCCTTGGGTGCCCTGTCTCACCTCGAGAAGTGTCCCTTTTACCCTGCCAAGCCTCGAAGACATTCCTGAGGTGTCCCTCGTTACTAGACAAGCATCCTGACGTCACGGAAGAAACTCGTGTTTTGAAGGGCCATCCCCGCCTTAAGTCGGGAACATACCCCAGGACCCCGCCGCAACTCGAGAAAAACCATGAGACTTCCCACTAGAGGCGAGATGAGGCCCCATTCCCCTGCAGTGCATGCAGAGCTATTCCGTGATCCCATTCAAACAAGTCAGGAGCTTCGACTTGCTTAATCCATCTCGAGAGAGTCCCCAAGAACACTGTCACCAGTCTAGACGGACCCTGAGGTCACCCCAGCAATGCAAAGCAGCTCCATGTGCCCCAAATCAACACGAGATGAGGCCCGATTCCCCTGCTTGACTCCAGAGCCATTCCCCGTTTCCCATTCAACACGACCGGTGGCTCGACTTCCTTCAGGCAACTGCAGAGATGCCCCGAGAACACTGTCCCAAGTCTAGAGGAACACCAACTTCAGCACAGCAACTCGAGGAATGCTCCGTGTACCCCAAATCATCTCGAGATGAGAGCTCATTCCCTGGCTTAGGCTCAAGACGTATGCCAACTGTCCAGAAGCACCTCAGGAGGAGGCTTCTCTCAGAAATAGGTACGTGGGAGGGACCCCGAGATCGCTGCCTCAAGTGGAATATACAGCGAGAAGACCTAACTTGAAAGGAGGCCGGATTTCCTTGCAGTGGCTTGAATACAGGCTCGTCTTTCATCTCAAAACATGAAGGGGTGCCTGAATCCACTGTGGAGACCTTAGAGAAAGCCCTAGGTCCCTGCCTCATTTTGACGGAATGCCTCACATCCCGTTGACACCTCAAGAGGCACGCGGAGTTCATTGCTTCAAAAGGTGACGATGCCTGACTCCTCTTGAATACTGATAGGAATCCCAAAATCCCTGTGGCTACTGGAAAGGGTACTTGGGTGCCCTGTCTCACCGCGAGAAGCGTCCCTTTTGCCCTGCCAAGCCTCGAAGAGATTCCTCAGGTGTCCCTCGTTACTAGACAGGAGTCCTGACGTCACTGAAGAAACTCGTGTTTGGAAGGGCCATCCCCGCCGTTAGTCGAGAACATACCCCAGGTCCCCGCCGCAACTCGAGAAAAACCATGAGACTTCACCCCTGAGGCGAAATGAGGCCCCATTCCCCCACAGTGCATGCAGAGCTATTCCGTGATCCCATTCAAACAAGTCAGGAGCTTCGACTTGCTTAACGGATCTCGAGACAGTCCCCAAGAACACTGTCACCAGTCTAGACGGACCCTGAGGTCACCCCAGCAACGCAAAGCAGCTCCATGTGCCCCAAATCAACTCGAGATGAGGCCTGATTCCCCTGCATTGACTCCAGAGCCATTCCCCGTTCCCCATTCAACACGACCGGGGGCTCGACTTCCTTCAGGCATCTCCAGAGATGCCCTGAGAACACTGTCCCAAGTCTAGAGGAACACCAACTTCAGCACAGCAACTCGAGGAATGCTCCGTGTACCCCAAATCGTCTCGAGATGAGAGCTGATTCCCTGGCTTAGTCTCAAAACTTAGGCCAACTTTCCAGAAGCACCTCAGGAGGAGGCTTCTCTCAGCAATAGGTATGTGGGAGGGACCCCGAGATCGCTGCCTCAAGTAGAGTATACTGCGAGAATCCCTAACTTGAAAGGAGGCCGGATTTCCTTGCAGTGGCTTGAATACAGGCTCGTCTTTCATCTCACAACATGAAGGGATGTCTGAAACCCCTGTGGAGACCTTAGAAAAGCCCTAGGTCCCTGCCTCATTTTGACGGAAGGCCTCACATCCCGTTGACCACTCGAGAGGCACGCGGAGTTCATTGCTTCAAAAGGTGACGATGCCTGACTCCTCTGGAATATTGATAGGAATCCCAAAATCCATATGGCTACTGGAAAGGTTCCTTGGGTGCCCTGTCTCACCTCGAGAAGTGTCCCTTTTGCCCTGCCAAGCCTCGAAGACATTCCTGAGGTGTCCCTCGTTACTAGACAAGCATCCTGACGTCACGGAAGAAACTCGAGTTTTGAAGGGCCATCCCCGCCTTAAGTCGGGAACATACCCCAGGTCCCCGCCCCAAATCGAGAAAAATCATGAGACTTCCCCCTAGAGGCTAGAAGAGGCCCCATTCCCCTGCAGTGCATGCAGAGCTATTCCGTAATCCCGTTCAAACAAGTCAGGAGCTTCGACTTGCTTAATCGATCTCGAGAGAGTCCCCAAGAACACTGTCACCAGTCTAGACGGAACCTGAGGTCACCCCAGCAATGCAAAGCAGCTCCATGTGCCCCAAATCAAATCGACATCAGCCCCGATACCCCTACATTGACTCCAGAGCCATTCCCCGTTCCCCATTCAACACGACCGGTGGCTCGACTTCCTTCAGGCAACTCCAGAGATGCCCCGAGAACACTGTCCGAAGTCTAGAGGAACACCAACTTCAGCACAGCAACTCGAGGAATGCTCCGTGTACCCCAAATCGTCTCTAGATGAGAGCTGATTCCCTGGCTTAGGCTCAAGACGTATGCCAACTTTCCAGAAGCACTTCAGGATGAGGCTTCTCTCAGCAATAGGTATGTGGGAGGGACCCCGAGTTTGCTGCCTCAAGGGGAATATACAGCGAGAAGCCCTAACTTGAAAGGAGGCTGGATTTCCTTTCAGTGTCTTGAATACAGGCTCGTCTTTCATCTCACAACATGAAGGGATATCTGAATCCCCTGTGGAGACCTTAGAGAAAGCCCTAGGTCCCTGCCTCATTTTGACGGAAGGCCTCACATCCCGCTGACACCTCGAGAGGCACGCGGAGTTCATTGCTTCAAAAGGTGACGATGCCTGACTCCTCCTGAATACTCATAGGAATCCCAAAATCCCTGTGGCTACTGGAAAGGGTCCTTGGGTGCCCTGCCTCACCTCGAGAAGCGTCCCTTTTGCCCTACCAAGCCTCGAAGAGATTCCTGAGGTGTCCCTCGTTACTAGACAGGAGTCCTGACGTCACTGAGGAAACTCGTGTTTGGAAGGGCCATCCCCGCCGTAAGTCGAGAACATACCCCAGGTCCCCGCCGCAACTCGAGAAAAACCATGAGACTTCCCCCTAGAGGCGAGATGAGGCCCCATTCCCCTGCAGTGCATGCAGAGCTATTCCGTGATCCCATTCAAACAAGTCAGGAGCTTCGACTTGCTTAATGGATCTCGAGACAGTCCCCAAGAACACTGTCACCAGTCTAGACGGACCCTGAGGTCACCCCAGCAACGCAAAGCAGCTCTATGTGCCCCAAATCAACTCGAGATGAGGCCCGATTCCCCTGCATTGACTCCAGAGCCATTCCCCGTTCCCCATTCAACACGACCGGTGGCTCGACTTCCTTCAGGCATCTCCAGAGATGCCCCGAGAACACTGTCCCAAGTCTAGAGGAACACCAACTTCAGCACAGCAACTCGAGGAATGCTCCGTGTACCCCAAATCGTCTCGAGATGAGAGCTGATTCCCTGGCTTAGTCTCAATACGTAGGCCAACTTTCCAGAAGCACCTCAGGAGGAGGCTTCTCTCAGCAATAGGTATGTGGGAGGGACCCCGAGATCGCTGCCTCAAGTAGAGTATACTGCGAGAATCCCTAACTTGAAAGGAGGCCGGATTTCCTTGCAGTGGCTTGAATACAGGCTCGTCTTTCATCTCACAACATGAAGGGATGTCTGAATCCCCTGTGGAGACCTTAGAGAAAGCCCTAGGTCCCTGCCTCATTTTGACGGAAGGCCTCACATCCCGTTGACCCCTCGAGAGGCACGCGGAGTTCATTGCTTCAAAAGGTGACGATGCCTGACTCCTCTGGAATATTGATAGGAATCCCAAAATCCATATGGCTACTGGAAAGGTTCCTTGGGTGCCCTGTCTCACCTCGAGAAGTGTCCCTTTTGCCCTGCCAAGCCTCGAAGACATTCCTGAGGTGTCCCTCGTTACTAGACAAGCATCCTGACGTCACGGAAGAAACTCGTGTTTTGAAGGGCCATCCCCGCATTAAGTCAGGAACATACCCCAGGTCCCCGCCCCAAATCGAGAAAAGTCATGAGACTTCCCCCTAGAGTCGAGAAGAGGCCCCATTCCCCTGCAGTGCATGCAGAGCTATTCCGTGATCCCGTTCAAACAAGTCAGGAGCTTCGCTTGCTTAATGGATCTCGAGACAGTCCCCAAGAACACTGTCCAAGTCTAGACGGACCCTGAGGTCTCCCCAGTAACGCAAAGCAGCTCCATGTGCCCCAAATCAACTCGAGATGAGGCCCGATTCGCCTGCATTGACTCCAGGGCCATTCCCCGTTCCCCATTCAACACGACCGGTTGCTCGACTTCCTTCAGGCATCTCCAGAGATGCCCCGAGAACACTGTCCCAAGTCTAGAGGAATACCAACTTCAGCACAACAACTCGAGGAATGCTCCGTGTACCCCAAATCGTCTCGAGATGAGAGCCGATTCCCTGGCTTAGGCTCAAGACATATGCCAACTTTCCAGAAGCACCTCAGGAGGAGGCTTCTCTCAGCAATAGGTATGTGGGAGGGACCCCGAGTTCGCTGCCTCAAGGGGAATATACAGCGAGAAGCCCTAACTTGAAAGGAGGCCGGATTTCCTTGCAGTGGCTTGAATACAGGCTCGTCTTTCATCTCACAACATGAAGGGATGTCTGAATCCCCTGTGGAGACCTTAGAGAAAGCCCTAGGTCCCTGCCTCATTTTGACGGAAGGCCTCACATCCCGCTGACACCTCGAGAGGCACGCGGAGTTCATTGCTTCAAAAGGTGACGATGCCTGACTCCTCCTGAATACTCATAGGAATCCCAAAATCCCTGTGGCTACTGGAAAGGGTCCTTGGGTGCCCTGCCTCACCTCGAGAAGCGTCCCTTTTGCCCTGCCAAGCTTCGAAGAGATTCCTGAGGTGTCCCTCGTTACTAGACAGGAGTCCTGACGTCACTGAAGAAACTCGTGTTTGGAAGTGACATCCCCGCCGTAAGTCGAGAACATACCCCAGGTCCCCGCCGCAACTCGAGAAAAACCATGAGACTTCCTCCTAGAGGCGAGATGAGGCCCCATTCCCCTGCAGTGCATGCAGAGCTATTCCGTGATCCCATTCAAACAAGTCAGGAGCTTCGACTTGCTTAACGGATCTCGAGACAGTCCCCAAGAACACTGTCACCAGTCTAGACGGACCCTGAGGTCACCCCAGCAACGCAAAGCAGCTCCATGTGCCCCAAATCAACTCGAGATGAGGCCCGATTCCCCTGCATTGACTCCAGAGCCATTCCCCGTTCCCCACTCAACACGACCGGTTGCTCGACTTCCTTCAGGCATCTCCAGAGATGCCCCGAGAACACTGTCCCAAGTCTAGAGGAACACCAACTTCAGCACAGCAACTCGAGGAATGCTCCGTGTACCCCAAATCGTCTCGAGATGAGAGTTGATTCCCTGGCTTAGGCTCAAGACGTATGCCAACTTTCCAGAAGCACCTCAGGAGGAGGCTTCTCTCAGCAATAGGTATGTGGGAGGGACCCCGAGTTTGCTGCCTCAAGGGGAATATACAGCGAGAAGCCCTAACTTGAAAGGAGGCCGGATTTCCTAGCTGTGGCTTGAATACAGGCTCGTCTTTGATCTCACAACATGAAGGGATGTCTGAATCCCCTGTGGAGACCTTAGAGAAAGCCCTAGGTCCCTGCCTCATTTTGACGGAAGGCCTCACATCCCGCTGACACCTCGAGAGGCACGCGGAGTTCATTGCTTCAAAAGGTGACGATGCCTGACTCCTCTTGAATACTCATAGGAATCCCAAAATCTCTGTGGCTACTGGAAAGGGTCCTTGGGTGCCCTGCCTCACCTCGAGAAGCGTCCCTTTTGCCCTGCCAAGACTCGAAGAGATTCCTGAGGTGTCCCTCGTTACTAACAGGATTCCTGACGTCACTGAAGAAACTCGAGTTTGGAAGGGCCATCCCCGCCGTAAGTCGAGAACATAACCAAGGTCCCCGCCGCAACTCGAGAAAAACCATGAGACTTCCTCCTAGAGGCTAGATGAGGCCCCATTCCCCTGCAGTGCATGCAGAGCTATTCCTTGATCCCATTAAAACAAGTCAGGAGCTTCGACTTGCTTAACGGATCTCGAGACAGTCCGCAAGAACACTGTCACCAGTCTAGATGGACCCTGAGGTCACCCCAGCAACGCAAAGCAGCTCCATGTGCCCCAAATCAACTCGAGATGAGGCCCGATTCCCCTGCATTGACTCCAGAGCCATTCCCCGTTCCCCATTCAACACGACCGGTGGCTCGACTTCCTTCAGGCAACTCCAGAGATGCTCCGAGAACACTGTCCCAAGTCTAGAGGAACACCAACTTCAGCACAGCAACTCGAGGAATGCTCCGTGTACCCCAAATCGTCTCGAGATGAGAGCTGATTCCCTGGCTTAGGCTCAAGACGTATGCCAACTTTTCAGAAGCACCTCAGGAGGAGGCTTCTCTCAGCAATAGGTATGTGGGAGGGACACCGAGTTTGCTGCCTCAAGGGGAATATACAGCGAGAAGCCCTAACTTGAAAGGAGGCCGGATTTCCGTGAAGTGGCTTGAATACAGGCTCGTCTTTCATCTCACAACATGAAGGGATGTCTGAATCCCCTGTGGAGACCTTAGAGAAAGCCCTAGGTCCCTGCCTCTTTTTGACGGAAGGCCTCACATCCCGCTGACACCTCGAGAGGCATGCGGAGTTCATTGCTTCAAAAGGTGAAGACGCCTGACTCCTCCTGAATACTCATAGGAATCCCAAAATCCCTGTGGCTACTGGAAAGGGTCCTTGGGTGCCCTGCCTCACCTCGAGAAGCGTCCCTTTTGCCCTGCCAAGCCTCGGAGAGATTCCTGAGGTGTCCCTCGTTATTAGACAGGAGTCCTGACGTCACTGAAGAAACTCGTGTTTGGAAGGGCCATCCCCGCCGTAAGTCGAGAACATAACCCAGGTCCCCGCCGCAACTCGAGAAAAACCCTGAGACTTCTCCCTAGAGGCGAAATGAGGCCCCATTCCCCTGCAGTGCATGCAGAGCTATTCCGTGATCCCATTCAAACAAGTCAGGAGCTTCGACTTGCTTAACGGATCTCGAGACAGTCCCCAAGAACACTGTCACCAGTCTAGACTGACCCTGAGGTCACCCCAGCAACGCAAAGCAGCTCCATGTGCCCCAAATCAACTCGAGATGAGGCCCGATTCCCCTGCATTGACTCCAGAGCCATTCCCCATTCCCCATTCAACACGACCGGTGGCTCGACTTCCTTCAGGCATCTCCAGAGATGCCCCGAGAACACTGTCCCAAGTCTAGAGGAACACCAACTTAAGCACAGCAACTCGAGGAATGCTCCGTGTACCCCAAATCGTCTCGAGATGAGAGCCGATTCCCTGGCTTAGGCTCAAGACGTATGCCAACTTTCCAGAAGCACCTCAGGAGGAGGCTTCTCTCAGCAATAGGTATGTGGGAGGGACCCCGAGTTCGCTGCCTCAAGGGGAATATACAGCGAGAAGCCCTAACTTGAAAGGAGGCCGGATTTCCTTGCAGTGGCTTGAATACAAGCTCTTCTTTCATCTCACAACATGAAGGGATGTCTGAATCCCCTGTGGAGACCTTAGAGAAAGCCCTAGGTCCCTGCCTCATTTGACGGAAGGCCTCACATCCCGCTGACACCTCGAGAGGCACGCGGAGTTCATTGCTTCAAAAGGTGACGATGCCTGACTCCTCCTGAATACTCATAGGAATCCCAAAATCCCTGTGGCTACTGGAAAGGGTCCTTGGGTGCCCTGCCTCATCTCGAGAAGCGTCCCTTTTGCCCTGCCAAGCCTCGAAGAGATTCCTGAGGTGTCCCTCGTTACTAGACAGGAGTCCTGACGTCACTGAAGAAACTCGTGTTTGGAAGGGCCATCCCCGCCGTAAGTCGAGAACATAACCCAGGTCCCTGCCGCAACTCGAGAAAAACCATGAGACTTCCCCCTAGAGGCGAGATGAGGCCCCATTCCCCTGCAGTGCATGCAGAGCTATTCCTTGATCCCATTCAAACAAGTCAGGAGCTTCGACTTGCTTAACGGATCTCGAGACAGTCCCCAAGAACACTGTCACCAGTCTAGACGGACCCTGAGGTCACCCCAGCAACGCAAAGCAGCTCCATGTGCCCCAAATCAACTCGAGATGAGGCCCGATTCCCCTGCATTGACTCCAGAGCCATTCCCCATTCCCCATTCAACACGACCGGTGGCTCGACTTCCTTCAGGCAACTCCAGAGATGCTCCGAAAACACTGTCCCAAGTCTAGAGGAACACCAACTTCAGCACAGCAACTCGAGGAATGCTCCGTGTACCCCAAATCGTCTCGAGATGAGAGCTGATTCCCTGGCTTAGGCTCAAGACGTATGCCAACTTTCCAGAAGCACCTCAGGAGGAGGCTTCTCTCAGCAATAGATACGTGGGAGGGACCCCGAGATCGCTGCCTCAAGTGGAATATACAGCGAGAAGTCCTAACTTGAAAGGAGGCCGGATTTCCGTGCAGTGGCTTGAATACAGGCTCATCTTTGATCTCAAAACATGAAGGGGTGTCTGAATATACTGTGGAGACCTTAGAGAAAGCCCTAGGTCCCTGCCTCATTTTGACGGAAAGCCTCACATCCCGTTGACACGTCGAGAGGCACGCGGAGTTCATTGCTTCAAAAGGTGACGATGCCTGACTCCTCCTGAATACTCATAGGAATCCCAAAATCCCTGTGGCTACTGGAAAGGGTCCTTGGGTGCCCTGCCTCACCTCGAGAAGCGTCCCTTTTGCCCTGCCAAGCCTCGAAGCGATTCCTGAGGTGTCCCTCGTTACTAGACAGGAGTCCTGACGTCACTGAAGAAACTCGTGTTTGGAAGGGCCATCCCCGCCGTAAGTCGAGAACATACCCCAGGTCCCCGCCGCAACTCGAGAAAAACCATGAGACTTCCCCCTAGAGGCGAGATGAGGCCCCATTCCCCTGCAGTGCATGCAGAGCTATTCCGTGATCCCATTCAAACAAGTCAGGAGCTTCGACTTGCTTAATGGATCTCGAGACAGTCCCCAAGAACACTGTCACCAGTCTAGACGGACCCTGAGGTCACCCCAGCAACGCAAAGCAGCTCCATGTGCCCCAAATCAACTCGAGATGAGGCCCGATTCCCCTGCATTGACTCCAGAGCCATTCCCCGTTCCCCATTCAACACGACCGGTGGCTCGACTTCCTTCAGGCAACTCCAGAGATGCCCCGAGAACACTGTACCAAATCTAGAGGAACAGCAACTTGAGCACAGCAACTCGAGGAAAGCTCCGTGTACCCCAAATCGTCTCGAGATGAGAGCTGATTCCCTGGCTTAGGCTCAAGACGTATGCCAACTTTTCAAAAGCACCTCACGAGGAGGCTTCTCTCAGCAATAGGTATGTGGGAGGGACCCCAAGTTTGCTGCCTCAAGGGGAATATACAGCGAGAAGCCCTAACTTGAAAGGAGTCCGGATTTCGTAGCTGTGGCTTGAATACAGGCTCGTCTTTCATCTCACAACATGAAGGGATGTCTGAATCCCCTGTGGAGACCTTAGAGAAAGCCCTAGGTCCCTGCCTCTTTTTGACGGAAGGCCTCACATCCCGCTGACACCTCGAGAGGCATGCGGAGTTCATTGCTTCAAAAGGTGAAGACGCCTGACTCCTCCTGAATACTCATAGGAATCCCAAAATCCCTGTGGCTACTGGAAAGGGTCCTTGGGTGCCCTGCCTCACCTCGAGAAGCGTCCCTTTTGCCCTGCCAAGCCTCGGAGAGATTCCTGAGGTGTCCCTCGTTACTAGACAGGAGTCCTGACGTCACTGAAGAAACTCGTGTTTGGAAGGGCCATCCCCGCCGTAAGTCGAGAACATACCCCAGGTCCCCGCCGCAACTCGAGAAAAACCATGAGACTTCTCCCTAGAGGCGAGATGAGGCCCCATTCCCCTGCAGTGCATGCAGAGCTATTCCGTGATCCCATTCAAACAAGTCAGGAGCTTCGACTTGCTTAACGGATCTCGAGACAGTCCCCAAGAACACTGTCACCAGTCTAGACGGACCCTGAGGTCACCCCAGCAACGCAAAGCAGCTCCATGTGCCCCAAATCAACTCGAGATGAGGCCCGATTCCCCTGCATTGACTCCAGAGCCATTCCCCATTCCCCACTCAACACGACCGGTGGCTCGACTTCCTTCAGGCATCTCCAGAGATGCCCCGAGAACACTGTCCCAAGTCTAGAGGAACACCAACTTAAGCACAGCAACTCGAGGAATGCTCCGTGTACCCCAAATCGTCTCGAGATGAGAGCCGATTCCCTGGCTTAGGCTCAAGACGTATGCCAACTTTCCAGAAGCACCTCAGGAGGAGGCTTCTCTCAGCAATAGGTATGTGGGAGGGACCCCGAGTTCGCTGCCTCAAGGGGAATATACAGCGAGAAGCCCTAACTTGAAAGGAGGCCGGATTTCCTTGCAGTGGCTTGAATACAGGCTCGTATTTCATCTCACAACATGAAGGGATGTCTGAATCCCCTGTGGAGACCTTAGAGAAAGCCCTAGGTCCCTGCCTCATTTTGACGGAAGGCCTCACATCCCGCTGACACCTCGAGAGGCACGCGGACTTCATTGCTTCAAAAGGTGACGATGCCTGACTCCTCCTGAATACTCATAGGAATCCCAAAATCCCTGTGGCTACTGGAAAGGGTCCTTGGGTGCCCTGCCTCATCTCGAGAAGCGTCCCTTTTGCCCTGCCAAGCCTCGAAGAGATTCCTGAGGTGTCCCTCGTTACTAGACAGGAGTCCTGACGTCACTGAAGAAACTCGTGTTTGGAAGGGCCATCCCCGCCGTAAGTCGAGAACATACCCCAGGTCCCTCCCGCAACTCGAAAAAAACCATGAGACTTCCCCCTAGAGGCGAGATGAGGCCCCATTCCCCTGCAGTGCATGCAGAGCTATTCCTTGATCCCATTCAAACAAGTCAGGAGCTTCGGCTTGCTTAACGGATCTCGAGACAGTCCCCAAGAACACTGTCACCAGTCTAGACGGACCCTGAGGTCACCCCAGCAACGCAAAGCAGCTCCATGTGCCCCAAATCAACTCGAGATGAGGCCCAATTCCCCTGCATTGACTCCAGAGCCATTCCCCGTTCCCCATTCAACACGAACGGTGGCTCGACTTCCTTCAGGCAACTCCAGAGATGCTCCGAAAACACTGTCCCAAGTCTAGAGGAACACCAACTTCAGCACACCAACTCGAGGAATGCTCCGTGTACCCCAAATCGTCTCGAGATGAGAGCTGATTCCCTGGCTTAGGCTCAAGACGTATGCCAACTTTCCAGAAGCATCTCAGGAGGAGGCTTCTCTCAGCAATAGGTACGTGGGAGGGACCCCGAGATCGCTGCCTCAAGTGGAATATACAGCGAGAAGTCCTAACTTGAAAGGAGGCCGGATTTCCGTGCAGTGGCTTGAATACAGGCTCATCTTTGATCTCAAAACATGAAGGGGTGTCTGAATCCACTGTGGAGACCTTAGAGAAAGACCTAGGTCCCTGCCTCATTTTGACGGAATGCCTCACATCCCGTTGACACCTCGAGAGGCACGCGGAGTTCATTGCTTCAAAAGGTGACGATGCCTGACTCCTCCTGAATACTCATAGGAATCCCAAAATCCCTGTGGCTACTGGAAAGGGTCCTTGGGTGCCCTGCCTCACCTCGAGAAGCGTCCCTTTTCCCCTGCCAAGCCTCGAAGAGATTCCTGAGTTGTCCCTCGTTACTAGACAGGAGTCCTGACGTCACTGAAGAAACTCGTGTTTGGAAGGGCCATCCCCGCCGTAAGTCGAGAACATAGCCCAGGTCCCCGCCGCAACTCGAGAAAAACCATGAGACTTCTCCCTAGAGGCGAGATGAGGCCCCATTCCCCTGCAGTGCGTGCAGAGCTATTCCGTGATCCCATTCAAACAAGTCAGGAGCTTCGACTTGCTTAACGGATCTCGAGACAGTCCCCAAGAACACTGTCACCAGTCTAGACGGACCCTGAGGTCACCCCAGCAACGCAAAGCAGCTCCATGTGCCCCAAATCAACTCGAGATGAGGCCCGATTCCCCTGCATTGACTCCAGAGCCATTCCCCGTTCCCCATTCAACACGACCGGTGGCTCGACTTCCTTCAGGCATCTCCAGAGATGCCCCGAGAACACTGTCCCAAGTCTAGAGGAACACCAACTTCAGCACAGCAACTCGAGGAATGCTCCGTGTACCCCAAATCGTCTCGAGATGAGAGCTGATTCCCTGGCTTAGGCTCAGGACGTATGCCAACTTTCCAGAAGCACCTCAGGAGGAGGCTTCTCTCAGCAATAGATACGTGGGAGGGACCCCGAGATCGCTGCCTCAAGTGGAATATACAGCGAGAAGTCCTAACTTGAAAGGAGGCCGGATTTCCATGCAGTGGCTTGAATACAGGCTCATCTTTGATCTCAAAACATGAAGGGGTGTCTCAATCCACTGTGGAGACCTTAGAGAAAGCCCTAGGTCCCTGCCTCATTTTGACGGAATGCCTCACATCCCGTTGACCCCTCGAGAGGCACGCGGAGTTCATTTCTTCAAAAGGTGACGATGCCTGACTCCTCTGGTATATTGATAGGAATCCCAAAATCCATATGGCTACTGGAAAGGTTCCTTGGGTGCCCTGTCTCACCTCGAGAAGTGTCCCTTTTGCCCTGCCAAGCCTCGAAGACATTCCTGAGGTGTCCCTCGTTACTAGACAAGCATCCTGACGTCACGGAAGAAACTCGTGTTTTGAAGGGCCATCCCCGCCTTAAGTCGGGAACATACCGCAGGTCCCCGCCGCAACTCGAGAAAAACCATGAGACTTCCCCCTAGAGTCGAGAAGAGGCCCCATTCCCCTGCAGTGCATGCAGAGCTATTCCGTGATCCCGTTCAAACAAGTCAGGAGCTTCGAATTGCTTAATCCATCTCGAGAGAGTACCCAAGAACACTGTCACCAGTCTAGACGGACCCTGAGGTCACCCCAGCAATGCAAAGCAGCTCCATGTGCCCCAAATCAACACGAGATGAGGCCCGATTCCCCTGCATTGACTCCAGAGCCATTCCCCGTTCCCCATTCAACACGACAGGTGGCTCGACTTCTTCAGGCATCTCCAGAGATGCCCCGAGAACACTGTCCCAAGTCTAGAGGAAACCAACTTCAGCACAGCAACTCGAGGAATGCTCCGTGTACCCCAAATCGTCTCGAGATGAGAGCTGATTCCCAGGCTTAGGCTCAAGACGTATGCCAACTTTCCAGAAGCACCTCAGGAGGAGGCTTCTCTCAGCAATAGGTATGTGGGATGGACCCCGAGTTTGCTGCCTCAAGGGGAATATACAGCGAGAAGCCCTAACTTGAAAGGAGGCCGGATTTCCTTGCAGTGGCTTGATTACAGGCTCATCTTTGATCTCAAAACATGAAGGGATGTCTGATTCCCCTGTGGAGAACTTAGAGAAAGCCCTAGGTCCCTGCTTCATTTTGACGGAATGCCTCACATCCCGTTGACACCTAGAGAGGCACGCGGAGTTCATTGCTTCAAAAGGTGACGATGCCTGACTCCTCTTGAATACTGATAGGAATCCCAAAATACCTGTGGCTACTGGAAAGGTTCCTTGGGTGCCCTGCCTGACTTCGAGAGGCATCCCTTTTGCCCTGCCAAGCCTCGAAGAGATTCCTGATGTGTCCCTCGTTACTAGACAGGAGTCCTGATGTCACTGAAGAAACTCGTGTTTTGAAGGGCCATCCCCGCCGTAAGTCGAGAACATACCCCAGGTCCCCGCCGCAACTCGAGAAAAAACATGAGACTTCCCCCTAGAGGCGAGATGAGGCCCCATTCCCCTGCAGTGCATGCAGAGGTATTCCGTGATCCCATTCAAACAAGTCAGGAGCTTCGACTTGCTTAACGGATCTCGAGACAGTCCCCAAGAACACTGTCACCAGTCTAGACGGACCCTGAGGTCACCCCAGCAACGCAAAGCAGCTCCATGTGCCCCAAATCAACCCGAGATGAGGCCCGATTCCCCTGCATTGACTCCAGAGCCATTCCCCGTTCCCCATTCAACACGACCGGTGGTTCGACTTCCTTCAGGCAACTCCAGAGATGCCCCGAGAACACTGTCCCAAGACTAGAGGAACACCAACTTCAGCACAGCAACTCGAGGAATGCTCCGTGTACCCCAAATCGTCTCGAGATGAGAGCTGATTCCCTGGCTTAGGCTCAAGACGTATGCCAACTTTCCAGAAGCACCTCAGGAGGAGGCTTCTCTCAGCAATAGGTACGTGGGAGGGACCCCGAGATCGCTGCCTCAAGTGGAATATACAGCGAGAAGTCCTAATTTGAAAGGAGGCCGGATTTCCGTGCAGTGGCTTGAATACAGGCTCATCTTTGATTTCAAAACATGAAGGGGTGTCTGAATCCACTGTGGAGACCTTAGAGAAAGCCCTAGGTCCCTACCTCATTTTGACGGAATGCCTCACATCCCGTTGACACGTCGAGAGGCACGCCGAGTTCATTGCTTCAAAAGGTGACGATGCCTGACTCCTCGTGAATACTCATAGGAATCCCAAAATCCCTGTGGCTACTGGAAAGGGTCCTTGGGTGCCCTGCCTCACCTCGAGAAGCGTCCCTTTTGCCCTGCCAAGCCTCGAAGAGATTCCTGAGGTGTCCCTCGTTACTAGACAGGAGTCCTGACGTCACTGAAGAAACTCGTGTTTGGAAGGGCCATCCCCGCCGTAAGTCGAGAACATACCCCAGGTCCCCGCCGCAACTCGAGAAAAACCATGAGACTTCCCCCTAGAGGCCAGATGAGGCCCCATTCCCCTGCAGTGCATGCAGAGCTATTCCGTGATCCCATTCAAACAAGTCAGGAGCTTCGACTTGCTTAACGGATCTCGAGACAGTCCCCAAGAACACTGTCACCAGTCTAGACGGACCCTGAGGTCACCCCAGCAACGCAAAGCAGCTCCATATGCCCCAAATCAACTCGAGATGAGGCCCGATTCCCCTGCATTGACTCCAGAGCCATTCCCCGTTCCCCATTCAACACGACCGGTGGCTCGACTTCCTTCAGGCATCTCCAGAGATGCCCCGAGAACACTGTCCCAAGTCTAGAGGAACACCAACTTCAGCACAGCAACTCGAGGAATGCTCCGTGTACCCCAAATCGTCTCGACATGAGAGCTGATTCCCTGGCTTAGGCCCAAGACGTATGCCAACTTTCCAGAAGCACCTCAGGAGGAGACTTCTCTCAGCAATAGGTATGTGGGAGGGACCCCGAGTTTGCTGCCTCAAGGGGAATATACAGCGAGAAGCCCTAACTTGAAAGGAGGCCGGGTTTCCTTGCAGTGCCTTGAATACAGGCTCGTCTTTCATCTCACAACATGACGGGATGTCTGAATCCCCTGTGGAGACCTTAGAGAAAGCCCTAGGTCCCTGCCTCATTTTGACGGAATGCCTCACATCCCGTTGACCCCTCGAGAGGCACGCGGAGTTCATTGCTTCAAAAGGTGACGATGCCTGACTCCTCTGGAATATTGATAGGAATCCCAAAATCCATATGGCTACTGGAAAGGTTCCTTGGGTGCCCTGTCTCACCTCGAGAAGTGTCCCTTTTGCCCTGCCAAGCCTCGAAGACATTCCTGAGGTGTCCCTCGTTACTAGACAAGCATCCTGACGTCACGGAAGAAACTCGTGTTTTGAAGGGCCATCCCCGCCTTAAGTCGGGAACAAACCCCAGGTCCCCGCCGCAACTCGAGAAAAACCATGAGACTTCCAGCTAGAGTCGAGAAGGGGCCCCATTCCCCTGCAGTGCATGCAGAGCTATTCCGTGATCCCGTTCAAACAAGTCAGGAGCTTCAATTTGCTTAACGGATCTCGAGACAGTCCCCAAGAACACTGTCACCAGTCTAGACGGACCCTGAGGTCACCCCAGCAATGCAAAGCAGGTCCATGTGCCCCAAATCAACACGAGATGAGGCCCGATTCCCCTGCATTGACTCCAGAGCCATTCCCCGTTCCCCATTCAACACGACCGGTGGCTCGACTTCCTTCAGCCAACTCCAGAGATGCCCCGAGAACACTGTCCCAAGTCTAGAGGAACACCAACTTCAGCACAGCAACTGGAGGAATGCTCCGTGTACCCCAAATCGTCCCGAGATGAGAGCTGATTCCCGGGCTTAGGCTCAAGACGTATGCCAACTGTCCAGAAGCACCTCAGGAGGAGGCTTCTCTCAGAAATAGGTACGTGGGAGGGACCCCGAGATCGCTGCCTCAAGTGGAATATACAGCGAGAAGACCTAACTTGAAAGGAGGCCGGATTTCCTTGCAGTGGCTTGAATACAGGCTCGTCTTTGATCTCAAAACATGAAGGGGTGCCTGAATCCACTGTGGAGACCTTAGAGAAAGCCCTAGGTCCCTGCCTCATTTTGACGGAATGCCTCACATCCCGTTGACACCTCAAGAGGCACGCGGAGTTCATTGCTTCAAAAGGTGATGATGCCTGACTCCTCTTGAATACTGATAGGAATCCCAAAATCCCTGTGGCTACTGGAAAGGGTCCTTGGGTGCCCTGCCTCACCTCGAGAAGCGTCCCTTTTGCCCTGCCAAGACTCGAAGAGATTCCTGAGGTGTCCCTCGTTACTAAACAGGAGTCCTGACGTCACTGAAGAAACTCGTGTTTGGAAGGGCCATCTCCGCCGTAAGTCGAGAACATAACCCAGGTCCCCGCCGCAACTCGAGAAAAACCATGAGACTTCCTCCTAGAGGCTAGATGAGGCCCCATTCCCCTGCAGTGCATGCAGAGGTATTCCTTGATCCCATTCAAACAAGTCAGGAGCTTCGACTTGCTTAACGGATCTCGAGACAGTCCCCAAGAACACTGTCACCAGTCTAGACGGACCCTGAGGTCAACCCAGCAACGCAAAGCAGCTCCATGTGCCCCAAATCAACTCGAGATGAGGCCCGATTCCCCTGCATTGACTCCAGAGCCATTCCCCGTTCCCCATTCAACACGACTGGTGGCTCGACTTCTTTCAGGCAACTCCAGAGATGCTCCGAAAACACTGTCCCAAGTCTAGAGGAACACCAACTTCAGCACAGCAACTCGAGGAATGCTCCGTGTACCCCAAATCGTCTCGAGATGAGAGCTGATTCCCTGCCTTAGGCTCAAGACGTATGCCAACTTTCCAGAAGCACCTCAGGAGGAGGCTTCTCTCAGCAATAGGTATGTGGGAGGGACCCCGAGTTTGCTGCCTCAAGGGGAATGTACAGCGAGAAGCCCTAACTTGAAAGGAGGCCGGATTTCCTTGCAGTGGCTTGAATACAGGCTCGTCTTTCATGTCACAACATGAAGGGATGTCTGAATCCCCTGTGGAGACCTTAGAGAAAGCCCTAGGTCCCTGCCTCTTTTTGACGGAAGGCCTCACATCCCGCTGACACCTCGAGAGGCACGCGGAGTTCATTGCTTCAAAAGGTGACGATGCCTGACTCCTCCTGAATACTCATAGGAATCCCAAAATCCCTGTGGCTACTGGAAAGAGTCCTTGGGTGCTCTGCCTCACCTCGAGAAGCGTCCCTTTTGCCCTGCCAAGCCTCGAAGAGATTCCTGAGGTGTCCCTCGTTACTAGACAGGAGTCCTGACGTCACTGAAGAAACTCGTGTTTGGAAGGGCCATCCCCGCCGTAAGTCGAGAACATACCCGAGGTCCCCGCCGCAATTCGAGAAAAACCATGAGACTTCCCCCTAGAGGCGAGATGAGGCCCCATTCCCCTGCAGTGCATGCAGAGCTATTCCGTGATCCCATTCAAACAAGTCAGGAGCTTCGACTTGCTTAACGGATCTCGAGACAGTCCCCAAGAACACTGTCACCAGTCTAGACGGACCCTGAGGTCACCCCAGCAACGCAAAGCAGCTCCATGTGCCCCAAATCAACTCGAGATGAGGCCCGATTCCCCTGCATTGACTCCAGAGCCATTCCCCGTTCCCCATTCAACACGACCGGTGGCTCGACTTCCTTCAGGCAACTCCAGAGATGCCCCGAGAACACTGTCCCAAGTCTAGAGGAACACCAACTTCAGCACAGCAACTCGAGGAATGCTCCGTGTACCCCAAATCGTCTCGAGATGAGAGCTGATTCCCTGGCTTAGGCTCAAGACGTATGCCAACTGTCCAGAAGCAGCTCAGGAGGAGGCTTCTCTCAGAAATAGGTACGTGGGAGGGACCCCGAGATCGCTGCTTAAGTGGAATATACAGCAAGAAGACCTAACTTGAAAGGAGGCCGGATTTCCTTGCAGTGGCTTGAATACAGGCTCGTCTTTGATCTCAAAACATGAAGGGATGTCTGAATCCCCTGTGGAGAACTTAGAGAAAGCGCTAGGTCCCTGCCTCATTTTGACGGAATGCCTCACATCCCGTTGACACCTCGAGAGGCACGCGGAGTTCATTGCTTCAAAAGGTGAAGATGCCTGACTCCTCTTGAATACTGATAGGAAACCCAAAACCCTGTGGCTGCTAGAAAGGGTCCTTGGGTGCCCTGCCTCACCGCGAGAAGCCTCCCTTTTGCCCTCCCAAGCCTCCAAGTGATTTCTGAGTTGTCCCTCGTTACTAGACAAGAGTCCTGACGTCACTGAAGAAACTCGTGTTTTGAAGGGCCATCCCCGCCGTAAGTCGAGAACATACCCCAGGTCCCCGCCGCAACTCGAGAAAAACCATGAGACTTCACCCCTGAGGCGAAATGAGGCCCCATTCCCCCACAGTGCATGCAGAGCTATTCCGTGATCCCATTCAAACAAGTCAGGAGCTTCGACTTGCTTAATGGATCTCGAGACAGTCCCCAAGAACACTGTCACCAGTCTAGACGGACCCTGAGGTCACCCCAGCAACGCAAAGCAGCTCCATGTGCCCCAAATCAACTCAAGATGAGGCCCGATTCCCCTGCATTGACTCCAGAGCCATTCCCCGTTCCCCATTCAACACGAACGGTGGCTCGACTTCCTTCAGGCATCTCCAGAGATGCCCCGAGAACACTGTCCCAAGTCTAGAGGAACACCAACTTCAGCACAGCAACTCGAGGAATGCTCCGTGTACCCCAAATCGTCTCGAGATGAGAGCCGATTCCCTGGCTTAGGCTCAAGACATATGCCAACTTTCCAGAAGCACCTCAGGAGGAGGCTTCTCTCAGCAATAGGTATGTGGGAGGGACCCCGAGATCGCTGCCTCAAGTAGAGTATACTGCGAGAATCCCTAACTTGAAAGGAGGCCGGATTTCCTTGTAGTGCCTTGAATACAGGCTCCTCTTTCATCTCACAACATGAAGGGATGTCTGAATCCCCTGTGGAGACCTTAGAGAAAGCCCTAGGTCCCTGCCTCATTTTGACGGAATGCCTCACATCCCGTTGACCATTCGAGAGGCACGCGGAGTTCATTGCTTCAAAAGGTGACGATGCCTGACTCCTCTGGAATATTGATAGGAATCCCAAAATCCATATGGCTACTGGAAAGGTTCCTTGGGTGCCCTGTCTCACCTCGAGAAGTGTCCCTTTTACCCTGCCAAGCCTCGAAGACATTCCTGAGGTGTCCCTCGTTACTAGACAAGCATCCTGACGTCACGGAAGAAACTCGTGTTTTGAAGGGCCATCCCCGCCTTAAGTCGGGAACATACCCCAGGACCCCGCCGCAACTCGAGAAAAACCATGAGACTTCCCACTAGAGGCGAGATGAGGCCCCATTCCCCTGCAGTGCATGCAGAGCTATTCCGTGATCCCATTCAAACAAGTCAGGAGCTTCGACTTGCTTAATCCATCTCGAGAGAGTCCCCAAGAACACTGTCACCAGTCTAGACGGACCCTGAGGTCACCCCAGCAATGCAAAGCAGCTCCATGTGCCCCAAATCAACACGAGATGAGGCCCGATTCCCCTGCTTGACTCCAGAGCCATTCCCCGTTTCCCATTCAACACGACCGGTGGCTCGACTTCCTTCAGGCAACTGCAGAGATGCCCCGAGAACACTGTCCCAAGTCTAGAGGAACACCAACTTCAGCACAGCAACTCGAGGAATGCTCCGTGTACCCCAAATCATCTCGAGATGAGAGCTCATTCCCTGGCTTAGGCTCAAGACGTATGCCAACTGTCCAGAAGCACCTCAGGAGGAGGCTTCTCTCAGAAATAGGTACGTGGGAGGGACCCCGAGATCGCTGCCTCAAGTGGAATATACAGCGAGAAGACCTAACTTGAAAGGAGGCCGGATTTCCTTGCAGTGGCTTGAATACAGGCTCGTCTTTCATCTCAAAACATGAAGGGGTGCCTGAATCCACTGTGGAGACCTTAGAGAAAGCCCTAGGTCCCTGCCTCATTTTGACGGAATGCCTCACATCCCGTTGACACCTCAAGAGGCACGCGGAGTTCATTGCTTCAAAAGGTGACGATGCCTGACTCCTCTTGAATACTGATAGGAATCCCAAAATCCCTGTGGCTACTGGAAAGGGTACTTGGGTGCCCTGTCTCACCGCGAGAAGCGTCCCTTTTGCCCTGCCAAGCCTCGAAGAGATTCCTCAGGTGTCCCTCGTTACTAGACAGGAGTCCTGACGTCACTGAAGAAACTCGTGTTTGGAAGGGCCATCCCCGCCGTTAGTCGAGAACATACCCCAGGTCCCCGCCGCAACTCGAGAAAAACCATGAGACTTCACCCCTGAGGCGAAATGAGGCCCCATTCCCCCACAGTGCATGCAGAGCTATTCCGTGATCCCATTCAAACAAGTCAGGAGCTTCGACTTGCTTAATGGATCTCGAGACAGTCCCCAAGAACACTGTCACCAGTCTAGACGGACCCTGAGGTCACCCCAGCAACGCAAAGCAGCTCCATGTGCCCCAAATCAACTCAAGATGAGGCCCGATTCCCCTGCATTGACTCCAGAGCCATTCCCCGTTCCCCATTCAACACGAACGGTGGCTCGACTTCCTTCAGGCATCTCCAGAGATGCCCCGAGAACACTGTCCCAAGTCTAGAGGAACACCAACTTCAGCACAGCAACTCGAGGAATGCTCCGTGTACCCCAAATCGTCTCGAGATGAGAGCCGATTCCCTGGCTTAGGCTCAAGACATATGCCAACTTTCCAGAAGCACCTCAGGAGGAGGCTTCTCTCAGCAATAGGTATGTGGGAGGGACCCCGAGATCGCTGCCTCAAGTAGAGTATACTGCGAGAATCCCTAACTTGAAAGGAGGCCGGATTTCCTTGTAGTGCCTTGAATACAGGCTCCTCTTTCATCTCACAACATGAAGGGATGTCTGAATCCCCTGTGGAGACCTTAGAGAAAGCCCTAGGTCCCTGCCTCATTTTGACGGAATGCCTCACATCCCGTTGACCATTCGAGAGGCACGCGGAGTTCATTGCTTCAAAAGGTGACGATGCCTGACTCCTCTGGAATATTGATAGGAATCCCAAAATCCATATGGCTACTGGAAAGGTTCCTTGGGTGCCCTGTCTCACCTCGAGAAGTGTCCCTTTTACCCTGCCAAGCCTCGAAGACATTCCTGAGGTGTCCCTCGTTACTAGACAAGCATCCTGACGTCACGGAAGAAACTCGTGTTTTGAAGGGCCATCCCCGCCTTAAGTCGGGAACATACCCCAGGACCCCGCCGCAACTCGAGAAAAACCATGAGACTTCCCACTAGAGGCGAGATGAGGCCCCATTCCCCTGCAGTGCATGCAGAGCTATTCCGTGATCCCATTCAAACAAGTCAGGAGCTTCGACTTGCTTAATCCATCTCGAGAGAGTCCCCAAGAACACTGTCACCAGTCTAGACGGACCCTGAGGTCACCCCAGCAATGCAAAGCAGCTCCATGTGCCCCAAATCAACACGAGATGAGGCCCGATTCCCCTGCTTGACTCCAGAGCCATTCCCCGTTTCCCATTCAACACGACCGGTGGCTCGACTTCCTTCAGGCAACTGCAGAGATGCCCCGAGAACACTGTCCCAAGTCTAGAGGAACACCAACTTCAGCACAGCAACTCGAGGAATGCTCCGTGTACCCCAAATCATCTCGAGATGAGAGCTCATTCCCTGGCTTAGGCTCAAGACGTATGCCAACTGTCCAGAAGCACCTCAGGAGGAGGCTTCTCTCAGAAATAGGTACGTGGGAGGGACCCCGAGATCGCTGCCTCAAGTGGAATATACAGCGAGAAGACCTAACTTGAAAGGAGGCCGGATTTCCTTGCAGTGGCTTGAATACAGGCTCGTCTTTCATCTCAAAACATGAAGGGGTGCCTGAATCCACTGTGGAGACCTTAGAGAAAGCCCTAGGTCCCTGCCTCATTTTGACGGAATGCCTCACATCCCGTTGACACCTCAAGAGGCACGCGGAGTTCATTGCTTCAAAAGGTGACGATGCCTGACTCCTCTTGAATACTGATAGGAATCCCAAAATCCCTGTGGCTACTGGAAAGGGTACTTGGGTGCCCTGTCTCACCGCGAGAAGCGTCCCTTTTGCCCTGCCAAGCCTCGAAGAGATTCCTCAGGTGTCCCTCGTTACTAGACAGGAGTCCTGACGTCACTGAAGAAACTCGTGTTTGGAAGGGCCATCCCCGCCGTTAGTCGAGAACATACCCCAGGTCCCCGCCGCAACTCGAGAAAAACCATGAGACTTCACCCCTGAGGCGAAATGAGGCCCCATTCCCCCACAGTGCATGCAGAGCTATTCCGTGATCCCATTCAAACAAGTCAGGAGCTTCGACTTGCTTAACGGATCTCGAGACAGTCCCCAAGAACACTGTCACCAGTCTAGACGGACCCTGAGGTCACCCCAGCAACGCAAAGCAGCTCCATGTGCCCCAAATCAACTCGAGATGAGGCCTGATTCCCCTGCATTGACTCCAGAGCCATTCCCCGTTCCCCATTCAACACGACCGGGGGCTCGACTTCCTTCAGGCATCTCCAGAGATGCCCTGAGAACACTGTCCCAAGTCTAGAGGAACACCAACTTCAGCACAGCAACTCGAGGAATGCTCCGTGTACCCCAAATCGTCTCGAGATGAGAGCTGATTCCCTGGCTTAGTCTCAAAACTTAGGCCAACTTTCCAGAAGCACCTCAGGAGGAGGCTTCTCTCAGCAATAGGTATGTGGGAGGGACCCCGAGATCGCTGCCTCAAGTAGAGTATACTGCGAGAATCCCTAACTTGAAAGGAGGCCGGATTTCCTTGCAGTGGCTTGAATACAGGCTCGTCTTTCATCTCACAACATGAAGGGATGTCTGAAACCCCTGTGGAGACCTTAGAAAAGCCCTAGGTCCCTGCCTCATTTTGACGGAAGGCCTCACATCCCGTTGACCACTCGAGAGGCACGCGGAGTTCATTGCTTCAAAAGGTGACGATGCCTGACTCCTCTGGAATATTGATAGGAATCCCAAAATCCATATGGCTACTGGAAAGGTTCCTTGGGTGCCCTGTCTCACCTCGAGAAGTGTCCCTTTTGCCCTGCCAAGCCTCGAAGACATTCCTGAGGTGTCCCTCGTTACTAGACAAGCATCCTGACGTCACGGAAGAAACTCGAGTTTTGAAGGGCCATCCCCGCCTTAAGTCGGGAACATACCCCAGGTCCCCGCCCCAAATCGAGAAAAATCATGAGACTTCCCCCTAGAGGCTAGAAGAGGCCCCATTCCCCTGCAGTGCATGCAGAGCTATTCCGTAATCCCGTTCAAACAAGTCAGGAGCTTCGACTTGCTTAATCGATCTCGAGAGAGTCCCCAAGAACACTGTCACCAGTCTAGACGGAACCTGAGGTCACCCCAGCAATGCAAAGCAGCTCCATGTGCCCCAAATCAAATCGACATCAGCCCCGATACCCCTACATTGACTCCAGAGCCATTCCCCGTTCCCCATTCAACACGACCGGTGGCTCGACTTCCTTCAGGCAACTCCAGAGATGCCCCGAGAACACTGTCCGAAGTCTAGAGGAACACCAACTTCAGCACAGCAACTCGAGGAATGCTCCGTGTACCCCAAATCGTCTCTAGATGAGAGCTGATTCCCTGGCTTAGGCTCAAGACGTATGCCAACTTTCCAGAAGCACTTCAGGATGAGGCTTCTCTCAGCAATAGGTATGTGGGAGGGACCCCGAGTTTGCTGCCTCAAGGGGAATATACAGCGAGAAGCCCTAACTTGAAAGGAGGCTGGATTTCCTTTCAGTGTCTTGAATACAGGCTCGTCTTTCATCTCACAACATGAAGGGATATCTGAATCCCCTGTGGAGACCTTAGAGAAAGCCCTAGGTCCCTGCCTCATTTTGACGGAAGGCCTCACATCCCGCTGACACCTCGAGAGGCACGCGGAGTTCATTGCTTCAAAAGGTGACGATGCCTGACTCCTCCTGAATACTCATAGGAATCCCAAAATCCCTGTGGCTACTGGAAAGGGTCCTTGGGTGCCCTGCCTCACCTCGAGAAGCGTCCCTTTTGCCCTACCAAGCCTCGAAGAGATTCCTGAGGTGTCCCTCGTTACTAGACAGGAGTCCTGACGTCACTGAGGAAACTCGTGTTTGGAAGGGCCATCCCCGCCGTAAGTCGAGAACATACCCCAGGTCCCCGCCGCAACTCGAGAAAAACCATGAGACTTCCCCCTAGAGGCGAGATGAGGCCCCATTCCCCTGCAGTGCATGCAGAGCTATTCCGTGATCCCATTCAAACAAGTCAGGAGCTTCGACTTGCTTAATGGATCTCGAGACAGTCCCCAAGAACACTGTCACCAGTCTAGACGGACCCTGAGGTCACCCCAGCAACGCAAAGCAGCTCTATGTGCCCCAAATCAACTCGAGATGAGGCCCGATTCCCCTGCATTGACTCCAGAGCCATTCCCCGTTCCCCATTCAACACGACCGGTGGCTCGACTTCCTTCAGGCATCTCCAGAGATGCCCCGAGAACACTGTCCCAAGTCTAGAGGAACACCAACTTCAGCACAGCAACTCGAGGAATGCTCCGTGTACCCCAAATCGTCTCGAGATGAGAGCTGATTCCCTGGCTTAGTCTCAATACGTAGGCCAACTTTCCAGAAGCACCTCAGGAGGAGGCTTCTCTCAGCAATAGGTATGTGGGAGGGACCCCGAGATCGCTGCCTCAAGTAGAGTATACTGCGAGAATCCCTAACTTGAAAGGAGGCCGGATTTCCTTGCAGTGGCTTGAATACAGGCTCGTCTTTCATCTCACAACATGAAGGGATGTCTGAATCCCCTGTGGAGACCTTAGAGAAAGCCCTAGGTCCCTGCCTCATTTTGACGGAAGGCCTCACATCCCGTTGACCCCTCGAGAGGCACGCGGAGTTCATTGCTTCAAAAGGTGACGATGCCTGACTCCTCTGGAATATTGATAGGAATCCCAAAATCCATATGGCTACTGGAAAGGTTCCTTGGGTGCCCTGTCTCACCTCGAGAAGTGTCCCTTTTGCCCTGCCAAGCCTCGAAGACATTCCTGAGGTGTCCCTCGTTACTAGACAAGCATCCTGACGTCACGGAAGAAACTCGTGTTTTGAAGGGCCATCCCCGCATTAAGTCAGGAACATACCCCAGGTCCCCGCCCCAAATCGAGAAAAGTCATGAGACTTCCCCCTAGAGTCGAGAAGAGGCCCCATTCCCCTGCAGTGCATGCAGAGCTATTCCGTGATCCCGTTCAAACAAGTCAGGAGCTTCGCTTGCTTAATGGATCTCGAGACAGTCCCCAAGAACACTGTCCAAGTCTAGACGGACCCTGAGGTCTCCCCAGTAACGCAAAGCAGCTCCATGTGCCCCAAATCAACTCGAGATGAGGCCCGATTCGCCTGCATTGACTCCAGGGCCATTCCCCGTTCCCCATTCAACACGACCGGTTGCTCGACTTCCTTCAGGCATCTCCAGAGATGCCCCGAGAACACTGTCCCAAGTCTAGAGGAATACCAACTTCAGCACAACAACTCGAGGAATGCTCCGTGTACCCCAAATCGTCTCGAGATGAGAGCCGATTCCCTGGCTTAGGCTCAAGACATATGCCAACTTTCCAGAAGCACCTCAGGAGGAGGCTTCTCTCAGCAATAGGTATGTGGGAGGGACCCCGAGTTCGCTGCCTCAAGGGGAATATACAGCGAGAAGCCCTAACTTGAAAGGAGGCCGGATTTCCTTGCAGTGGCTTGAATACAGGCTCGTCTTTCATCTCACAACATGAAGGGATGTCTGAATCCCCTGTGGAGACCTTAGAGAAAGCCCTAGGTCCCTGCCTCATTTTGACGGAAGGCCTCACATCCCGCTGACACCTCGAGAGGCACGCGGAGTTCATTGCTTCAAAAGGTGACGATGCCTGACTCCTCCTGAATACTCATAGGAATCCCAAAATCCCTGTGGCTACTGGAAAGGGTCCTTGGGTGCCCTGCCTCACCTCGAGAAGCGTCCCTTTTGCCCTGCCAAGCTTCGAAGAGATTCCTGAGGTGTCCCTCGTTACTAGACAGGAGTCCTGACGTCACTGAAGAAACTCGTGTTTGGAAGTGACATCCCCGCCGTAAGTCGAGAACATACCCCAGGTCCCCGCCGCAACTCGAGAAAAACCATGAGACTTCCTCCTAGAGGCGAGATGAGGCCCCATTCCCCTGCAGTGCATGCAGAGCTATTCCGTGATCCCATTCAAACAAGTCAGGAGCTTCGACTTGCTTAACGGATCTCGAGACAGTCCCCAAGAACACTGTCACCAGTCTAGACGGACCCTGAGGTCACCCCAGCAACGCAAAGCAGCTCCATGTGCCCCAAATCAACTCGAGATGAGGCCCGATTCCCCTGCATTGACTCCAGAGCCATTCCCCGTTCCCCACTCAACACGACCGGTTGCTCGACTTCCTTCAGGCATCTCCAGAGATGCCCCGAGAACACTGTCCCAAGTCTAGAGGAACACCAACTTCAGCACAGCAACTCGAGGAATGCTCCGTGTACCCCAAATCGTCTCGAGATGAGAGTTGATTCCCTGGCTTAGGCTCAAGACGTATGCCAACTTTCCAGAAGCACCTCAGGAGGAGGCTTCTCTCAGCAATAGGTATGTGGGAGGGACCCCGAGTTTGCTGCCTCAAGGGGAATATACAGCGAGAAGCCCTAACTTGAAAGGAGGCCGGATTTCCTAGCTGTGGCTTGAATACAGGCTCGTCTTTGATCTCACAACATGAAGGGATGTCTGAATCCCCTGTGGAGACCTTAGAGAAAGCCCTAGGTCCCTGCCTCATTTTGACGGAAGGCCTCACATCCCGCTGACACCTCGAGAGGCACGCGGAGTTCATTGCTTCAAAAGGTGACGATGCCTGACTCCTCTTGAATACTCATAGGAATCCCAAAATCTCTGTGGCTACTGGAAAGGGTCCTTGGGTGCCCTGCCTCACCTCGAGAAGCGTCCCTTTTGCCCTGCCAAGACTCGAAGAGATTCCTGAGGTGTCCCTCGTTACTAACAGGATTCCTGACGTCACTGAAGAAACTCGAGTTTGGAAGGGCCATCCCCGCCGTAAGTCGAGAACATAACCAAGGTCCCCGCCGCAACTCGAGAAAAACCATGAGACTTCCTCCTAGAGGCTAGATGAGGCCCCATTCCCCTGCAGTGCATGCAGAGCTATTCCTTGATCCCATTAAAACAAGTCAGGAGCTTCGACTTGCTTAACGGATCTCGAGACAGTCCGCAAGAACACTGTCACCAGTCTAGATGGACCCTGAGGTCACCCCAGCAACGCAAAGCAGCTCCATGTGCCCCAAATCAACTCGAGATGAGGCCCGATTCCCCTGCATTGACTCCAGAGCCATTCCCCGTTCCCCATTCAACACGACCGGTGGCTCGACTTCCTTCAGGCAACTCCAGAGATGCTCCGAGAACACTGTCCCAAGTCTAGAGGAACACCAACTTCAGCACAGCAACTCGAGGAATGCTCCGTGTACCCCAAATCGTCTCGAGATGAGAGCTGATTCCCTGGCTTAGGCTCAAGACGTATGCCAACTTTTCAGAAGCACCTCAGGAGGAGGCTTCTCTCAGCAATAGGTATGTGGGAGGGACACCGAGTTTGCTGCCTCAAGGGGAATATACAGCGAGAAGCCCTAACTTGAAAGGAGGCCGGATTTCCGTGAAGTGGCTTGAATACAGGCTCGTCTTTCATCTCACAACATGAAGGGATGTCTGAATCCCCTGTGGAGACCTTAGAGAAAGCCCTAGGTCCCTGCCTCTTTTTGACGGAAGGCCTCACATCCCGCTGACACCTCGAGAGGCATGCGGAGTTCATTGCTTCAAAAGGTGAAGACGCCTGACTCCTCCTGAATACTCATAGGAATCCCAAAATCCCTGTGGCTACTGGAAAGGGTCCTTGGGTGCCCTGCCTCACCTCGAGAAGCGTCCCTTTTGCCCTGCCAAGCCTCGGAGAGATTCCTGAGGTGTCCCTCGTTATTAGACAGGAGTCCTGACGTCACTGAAGAAACTCGTGTTTGGAAGGGCCATCCCCGCCGTAAGTCGAGAACATAACCCAGGTCCCCGCCGCAACTCGAGAAAAACCCTGAGACTTCTCCCTAGAGGCGAAATGAGGCCCCATTCCCCTGCAGTGCATGCAGAGCTATTCCGTGATCCCATTCAAACAAGTCAGGAGCTTCGACTTGCTTAACGGATCTCGAGACAGTCCCCAAGAACACTGTCACCAGTCTAGACTGACCCTGAGGTCACCCCAGCAACGCAAAGCAGCTCCATGTGCCCCAAATCAACTCGAGATGAGGCCCGATTCCCCTGCATTGACTCCAGAGCCATTCCCCATTCCCCATTCAACACGACCGGTGGCTCGACTTCCTTCAGGCATCTCCAGAGATGCCCCGAGAACACTGTCCCAAGTCTAGAGGAACACCAACTTAAGCACAGCAACTCGAGGAATGCTCCGTGTACCCCAAATCGTCTCGAGATGAGAGCCGATTCCCTGGCTTAGGCTCAAGACGTATGCCAACTTTCCAGAAGCACCTCAGGAGGAGGCTTCTCTCAGCAATAGGTATGTGGGAGGGACCCCGAGTTCGCTGCCTCAAGGGGAATATACAGCGAGAAGCCCTAACTTGAAAGGAGGCCGGATTTCCTTGCAGTGGCTTGAATACAAGCTCTTCTTTCATCTCACAACATGAAGGGATGTCTGAATCCCCTGTGGAGACCTTAGAGAAAGCCCTAGGTCCCTGCCTCATTTGACGGAAGGCCTCACATCCCGCTGACACCTCGAGAGGCACGCGGAGTTCATTGCTTCAAAAGGTGACGATGCCTGACTCCTCCTGAATACTCATAGGAATCCCAAAATCCCTGTGGCTACTGGAAAGGGTCCTTGGGTGCCCTGCCTCATCTCGAGAAGCGTCCCTTTTGCCCTGCCAAGCCTCGAAGAGATTCCTGAGGTGTCCCTCGTTACTAGACAGGAGTCCTGACGTCACTGAAGAAACTCGTGTTTGGAAGGGCCATCCCCGCCGTAAGTCGAGAACATAACCCAGGTCCCTGCCGCAACTCGAGAAAAACCATGAGACTTCCCCCTAGAGGCGAGATGAGGCCCCATTCCCCTGCAGTGCATGCAGAGCTATTCCTTGATCCCATTCAAACAAGTCAGGAGCTTCGACTTGCTTAACGGATCTCGAGACAGTCCCCAAGAACACTGTCACCAGTCTAGACGGACCCTGAGGTCACCCCAGCAACGCAAAGCAGCTCCATGTGCCCCAAATCAACTCGAGATGAGGCCCGATTCCCCTGCATTGACTCCAGAGCCATTCCCCATTCCCCATTCAACACGACCGGTGGCTCGACTTCCTTCAGGCAACTCCAGAGATGCTCCGAAAACACTGTCCCAAGTCTAGAGGAACACCAACTTCAGCACAGCAACTCGAGGAATGCTCCGTGTACCCCAAATCGTCTCGAGATGAGAGCTGATTCCCTGGCTTAGGCTCAAGACGTATGCCAACTTTCCAGAAGCACCTCAGGAGGAGGCTTCTCTCAGCAATAGATACGTGGGAGGGACCCCGAGATCGCTGCCTCAAGTGGAATATACAGCGAGAAGTCCTAACTTGAAAGGAGGCCGGATTTCCGTGCAGTGGCTTGAATACAGGCTCATCTTTGATCTCAAAACATGAAGGGGTGTCTGAATATACTGTGGAGACCTTAGAGAAAGCCCTAGGTCCCTGCCTCATTTTGACGGAAAGCCTCACATCCCGTTGACACGTCGAGAGGCACGCGGAGTTCATTGCTTCAAAAGGTGACGATGCCTGACTCCTCCTGAATACTCATAGGAATCCCAAAATCCCTGTGGCTACTGGAAAGGGTCCTTGGGTGCCCTGCCTCACCTCGAGAAGCGTCCCTTTTGCCCTGCCAAGCCTCGAAGCGATTCCTGAGGTGTCCCTCGTTACTAGACAGGAGTCCTGACGTCACTGAAGAAACTCGTGTTTGGAAGGGCCATCCCCGCCGTAAGTCGAGAACATACCCCAGGTCCCCGCCGCAACTCGAGAAAAACCATGAGACTTCCCCCTAGAGGCGAGATGAGGCCCCATTCCCCTGCAGTGCATGCAGAGCTATTCCGTGATCCCATTCAAACAAGTCAGGAGCTTCGACTTGCTTAATGGATCTCGAGACAGTCCCCAAGAACACTGTCACCAGTCTAGACGGACCCTGAGGTCACCCCAGCAACGCAAAGCAGCTCCATGTGCCCCAAATCAACTCGAGATGAGGCCCGATTCCCCTGCATTGACTCCAGAGCCATTCCCCGTTCCCCATTCAACACGAACGGTGGCTCGACTTCCTTCAGGCATCTCCAGAGATGCCCCGAGAACACTGTCCCAAGTCTAGAGGAACACCAACTTCAGCACAGCAACTCGAGGAATGCTCCATGTACCCCAAATCGTCTCGACATGAGAGCTGATTCCCTGGCTTAGGCTCAATACATAGGCCAACTTTCCAGAAGCACCTCAGGAGGAGGCTTCTCTCAGCAATAGGTATGTGGGAGGGACCCCGAGATCGCTGCCTCAAGTAGAGTATACTGCGAGAATCCCTAACTTGAAAGGAGGCCGGATTTCCTTGCAGTGCCTTGAATACAGGTTCGTCTTTCATCTCACAACATGAAGGGATGTCTGAATCCCCTGTGGAGACCTTAGAGAAAGCCCTATGTCCCTGCCTCATTTTGACGGAATGCCTCACATCCCGTTGACCCCTCGAGAGGAACGCGGAGTTCATTGCTTCAAAAGGTGACGATGCCTGACTCCTCAGGTATATTGATAGGAATCCCAAAATCCATATGGCTAATGGAAAGGTTCCTTGGGTGCCCTGTCTCACCTCGAGAAGTGTCCCTTTTGCCCTGCCAAGCCTCAAAGAGATTCCTGAGGTGTCCCTCGTTACTAGACAAGCATCCTGACGTCACGGAAGAAACTCGTGTTTTGAAGGGCCATCCCCCCCTTAAGTCGGGAACATACCCCAGGTCCCCGCCGCAACTCGAGAAAAACCATGAGACTTCCCCCTAGAGTCGAGAAGAGGCCCCATTCCCCTGCAGTGCATGCACAGCTATTCCGTGATCCCGTTCAAACAAGTCAGGAGCTTCGACTTGCTTAATCCATCTCGAGAGAGTCCCCAAGAACACTGTCACCAGTCTAGACGGACCCTGAGTACAGCCCAGCAATGCAAAGCAGCTCCATGTGCCCCAAATCAACACGAGATGAGGCCCGATTCCCCTGCATTGACTCCAGAGCCATTCCCCGTTTCCCATTCAACACGACCGGTGGCTCGACTTCCTTCAGGCAACACCAGAGATGCCCCGAGAACACTGTCCCAAGTCTAGAGGAACACCAACTTCAGCACAGCAACTCGAGGAATGCTCCGTGTACCCCAAATCGTCTCGAGATGAGAGCTGATTCCCTGGCTTAGGCTCAAGACGTATGCCAACTGTCCAGAAGCACCTCAGGAGGAGGCTTCTCTCAGAAATAGGTACGTGGGAGGGACCCCGAGATCGCTGCCTCAAGTGGAATATACAGCGAGAAGACCTAACTTGAAAGGAGGCCGGATTTCCTTGCAGTGGCTTGAATACAAGCTCGTCTTTGATCTCAAAACATGAAGGGGTTTCTGAATCCACTGTGGAGACCTTAGAGAAAGCCCTAGGTCCCTGCCTCATTTTGACGGAATGCCTCATATCCCGTTGACACCTCAAGAGGCACGCGGAGTTCATTGCTTCAAAAGGTGACGATGCCTGACTCCTCTTGAATACTGATAGGAATCCCAAAATCCCTGTGGCTACTGGAAAGGGTACTTGGGTGCCCTGCCTCATCTCGAGAAGCGTCCCTTTTGCCCTGCCAAGTCTCGGAGAGATTCCTGAGGTGTCCCTCGTTACTAGACAGGAGTCCTGACGTCACTGAAGAAACTCGTGTTTGGAAGGGCCATCCCCGCCGTAAGTCGAGAACATACCCCAGGTCCCCGCCGCAACTCGAGAAAAACCATGAGACTTCTCCCTAGAGGCGAGATGAGGCCCCATTCCCCTGCAGTGCATGCAGAGCTATTCCGTGATCCCATTCAAACAAGTCAGGAGCTTCGACTTGCTTAACGGATCTCGAGACAGTCCCCAAGAACACTGTCACCAGTCTAGACGGACCCTGAGGTCACCCCAGCAACGCAAAGCCGCTCCATGTGCCCCAAATCAACTCGAGATGAGGCCCGATTCCCCTGCATTGACTCAAGAGCCATTCCCATTCCCCATTCAACACAACCGGTGGCTCGACTTCCTTCAGGCATCTCCAGAGATGCCCCGAGAACACTGTCCCAAGTCTAGAGGAACACCAACTTCAGCACAGCAACTCGAGGAATGCTCCGTGTACCCCAAATCGTCTCGAGATGAGAGCTGATTCCCAGGCTTAGGCTCAAGCCTTATGCCAACTTTCCAGAAGCACCTCAGGAGGAGGCTTCTCTCAGCAATAGGTATGTGGGAGGGACCCCGAGTTTGCTGCCTCAAGGGGAATATACAGCGAGAAGCCCTAACTTGAAAGGAGGCCGGATTTCCTTGCAGTGGCTTGAATACAGGCTCGTCTTTCATCTCACAACATGAAGGGATGTCTGAATCCCCTGTGGAGACCTTAGAGAAAGCCCTAGGTCCCTGCCTCATTTTGACGGAAGGCCTCACATCACGCTGACACCTCGAGAGGCACGCGGAGTTCATTGCTTCAAAAGGTGACGGTGCCTGACTCCTCCTGAATACTCATAGGAATCCCAAAATCCCTGTGGCTACTGGAAAGGGTCCTTGGGTGCCCTGCCTCATCTCGAGAAGCGTCCCTTTTGCCCTGCCAAGCCTCGAAGAGATTCCTGAGGTGTCCCTCGTTACTAGACAGGAGTCCTGACGTCACTGAAGAAACTCGTGTTTGGAAGGGCCATCCCCGCCGTAAGTCGAGAACATACCCCAGGTCCCCGCCGCAACTCGAGAAAAACCATGAGACTTCTCCCTAGAGGCGAGATGAGGCCCCATTCCCCTGCAGTGCATGCAGAGCTATTCCGTGATCCCATTCAAACAAGTCAGGAGCTTCGACTTGCTTAACGGATCTCGAGACAGTCCCCAAGAACACTGTCACCAGTCTAGACGGACCCTGAGGTCACCCCAGCAACGCAAAGCAGCTCCATGTGCCCCAAATCAACTCGAGATGAGGCCCGATTCCCCTGCATTGACTCCAGAGCCATTCCCCATTCCCCATTCAACACGACCGGTGGCTCGACTTCCTTCAGGCATCTCCAGAGATGCCCCGAGAACACTGTCCCAAGTCTAGAGGAACACCAACTTCAGCACAGCAACTCGAGGAATGCTCCGTGTACCCCAAATCGTCTCGAGATGAGAGCCGATTCCCTGGCTTAGGCTCAAGACGTATGCCAACTTTCCAGAAGCACCTCAGGAGGAGGCTTCTCTCAGCAATAGGTATGTGGGAGGGACCCCGAGTTCGCTGCCTCAAGGGGAATATACAGCGAGAAGCCCTAACTTGAAAGGAGGCCGGATTTCCTTGCAGTGGCTTGAATACAGGCTCGTATTTCATCTCACAACATGAAGGGATGTCTGAATTCCCTGTGGAGACCTTAGAGAAAGCCCTAGGTCCCTGCCTCATTTTGACGGAAGGCCTCACATCCCGCTGACACTTCGAGAGGCACGCGGAGTTCATTGCTTCAAAACGTGACGATGCCTGACTCCTCCTGAATACTCATAGGAATCCCAAAATCCCTGTGGCTACTGGAAAGGGTCCTTGGGTGCCCTGTCTCATCTCGAGAAGCGTCCCTTTTACCCTGCCAAGCCTCGAAGAGATTCCTGAGGTGTTCCTCGTTACTAGACAGGAGTCCTGACGTCACTGAAGAAACTCGTGTTTGGAAGGGCCATCCCCGCCGTAAGTCGAGAACATAACCCAGGTCCCTGCCGCAACTCGAGAAAAACCATGAGACTTCCCCCTAGAGGCGAGATGAGGCCCCATTCCCCTGCAGTGCATGCAGAGCTATTCCTTGATCCCATTCAAACAAGTCAGGAGCTTCGACTTGCTTAACGGATCTCGAGACAGTCCCCAAGAACACTGTCACCAGTCTAGACGGACCCTGAGGTCACCCCAGCAACGCAAAGCAGCTCCATGTGCCCCAAATCAACTCGAGATGAGGCCCGATTCCCCTGCATTGACTCCAGAGCCATTCCCCGTTCCCCATTCAACACGAACGGTGGCTCGACTTCCTTCAGGCAACTCCAGAGATGCTCCGAAAACACTGTCCCAAGTCTAGAGGAAAACCAACTTCAGCACAGCAACTCGAGGAATGCTCCGTGTACCCCAAATCGTCTCGAGATGAGAGCTGATTCCCTGGCTTAGGCTCAAGACGTATGCCAACTTTCCAGAAGCACCTCAGGAGGAGGCTTCTCTCAGCAATAGATATGTGGGAGGGACCCCGAGATCGCTGCTTCAAGTGGAATATACAGCGAGAAGTCCTAACTTGAAAGGAGGCCGGATTTCCGTGCAGTGGCTTGAATACAGGCTCATCTTTGATCTCAAAACATGAGGGGTGTCTGAATATACTGTGGAGACCTTAGAGAAAGCCCTAGGTCCCTGCCTAATTTTGAACGGAATGCCTCACATCCCGTTGACACGTCGAGAGGCACGCGGATTTCATTGCTTCAAAAGGTGACGATGCCTGACTCCTCCTGAATACTCATAGGAATCCCAAAATCCCTGTGGCTACTGGAAAGGGTCCTTGGGTGCCCTGCCTCACCTCGAGAAGCGTCCCTTTTGCCCTGCCAAGCCTCGAAGAGATTCCTGAGGTGTCCCTCGTTACTAGACAGGAGTCCTGACGTCACTGAAGAAACTCGTGTTTGGAAGGGCCATCCCCGCCGTAAGTCGAGAACATACCCCAGGTCCCCGCCGCAACTCGAGAAAAACCATGAGACTTCCCCCTAGAGGCGAGATGAGGCCCCATTCCCCTGCAGTGCATGCAGAGCTATTCCGTGATCCCATTCAAACAAGTCAGGAGCTTCGACTTGCTTAACGGATCTCGAGACAGTCCCCAAGAACACTGTCACCAGACTAGACGGACCCTGAGGTCACCCCAGCAACGCAAAGCATCTCCATGTGCCCCAAATCAACTCGAGATGAAGCCCGATTCCCCTGCATTGACTCCAGAGCCATTCCCCGTTCCCCATTCAACACGACCGGTGGCTCGACTTCCTTCAGGCATCTCCAGAGATGCCCCGAGAACACTGTCCCATGTCTAGAGGAACACCAACTTCAGCACAGCAACTCGAGGAATGCTCCGTGTACCCCAAATCGTCTCGACATGAGAGCTGATTCCCTGGCTTAGGCTCAATACATAGGCCAACTTTCCAGAAGCACCTCAGGAGGAGGCTTCTCTCAGCAATAGGTATGTGGGAGGGACCCCGAGATCGCTGCCTCAAGTAGAGTATACTGCGCGAATCCCTAACTTGAAAGGAGGCCGGATTTCCTTGCAGTGCCTTGAATACAGGCTCGTCTTTCATCTCACAACATGAAGGGATGTCTGAATCCCCTGTGGAGACCTTAGAGAAAGCCCTATGTCCCTGCCTCATTTTGACGGAATGCCTCACATCCCGTTGACCCCTCGAGAGGCACGCGGAGTTCATTGCTTCAAAAGGTGACGATGCCTGACTCCTCTGGTATATTGATAGGAATCCCAAAATCCATATGGCTACTGGAAAAGTTCCTTGGGTGCCCTGTCTCACCTCGAGAAGTGTCCCTTTTGCCCTGCCAAGCCTCGAAGACATTCCTGAGGTGTCCGTCGTTACTAGACAAGCATCCTGACGTCACGGAAGAAACTCGTGTTTTGAAGGGCCATCCCCGCCTTAAGTCGGGAACATACCCCAGGTCCCCGCCGCAACTCGAGAAAAACCATGAGACTTCCCCCTAGAGTCGAGAAGAGGCCCCATTCCCCTGCAGTGCATGCAGAGCTATTCCGTGATCCCGTTCAAACAAGTCAGGAGCTTCGACTTGCTTGATCCATCTCGAGAGAGTCCCCAAGAACACTGTCACCAGTCTAGACGGACCCTGAGTTCACCCCAGCAATGCAAAGCAGCTCCATGTGCCCCAAATCAACACGAGATGAGGCCCGATTCCCCTGCATTGACTCCAGAGCCATTCCCCGTTTCCCATTCAACACGACCGGTGGCTCGACTTCCTTCAGGCAACACCAGAGATGGCCCGAGAACACTGTCCCAAGTCTAGAGGAACACCAACTTCAGCACAGCAACTCGAGGAATGCTCCGTGTACCCCAAATCGTCTCGAGATGAGAGCTGATTCCCTGGCTTAGGCTCAAGACGTATGCCAACTGTCCAGAAGCACCTCAGGAGGAGGCTTCTCTCAGAAATAGGTACGTGGGAGGGACCCCGAGATCGCTGCCTCAAGTGGAATATACAGCGAGAAGACCTAACTTGAAAGGAGGCCGGATTTCCTTGCAGTGGCTTGAATACAAGCTCGTCTTTGATCTCAAAACATGAAGGGGTGTCTGAATCCACTGTGGAGACCTTAGAGAAAGCCCTAGGTCCCTGCCTCATTTTGACGGAATGCCTCACATCCCGTTGACACGTCGAGAGGCACGCGGAGTTCATTGCTTCAAAAGGTGACGATGCCTGACTCCTCTTGAATACTGATAGGAAACCCAAAATCCCTGTGGCTACTGGAAAGGGTACTTGGCTGCCCTGCCTCACCTCGAGAAGCGTCCCTTTTGCCCTGCCAAGCCTCGGAGAGATTCCTGAGGTGTCCCTCGTTACTAGACAGGAGTCCTGACGTCACTGAAGAAACTCGTGTTTGGAAGGGCCATCCCCGCCGTAAGTCGAGAACATACGCCAGGTCCCCGCCGCAACTCGAGAAAAACCATGAGACTTCTCCCTAGAGGCGAGATGAGGCCACATTCCCCTGCAGTGCATGCAGAGCTATTCCGTGATCCCATTCAAACAAGTCAGGAGCTTCGACTTGCTTAACGGATCTCGAGACAGTCCCCAAGAACACTGTCACCAGTCTAGATGGACCCTGAGGTCACCCCAGCAACGCAAAGCAGCTCCATGTGCCCCAAATCAACTCGAGATGAGGCCCGATTCCCCTTCATTGACTCCAGAGCCATTCCCCATTCCCCATTCAACACGACCGGTGGCTCGACTTCCTTCAGGCATCTCCAGAGATGCCCCGAGAACACTGTCCCAAGTCTAGAGGAACACCAACTTCAGCACAGCAACTCGAGGAATGCTCCGTGTACCCCAAATCGTCTCGAGATGAGAGCTGATTCCCAGGCTTAGGCTCAGGACGTATGCCAACTTTCCAGAAGCATCTCAGGAGGAGGCTTCTTTCAGCAATAGGTATGTGGGAGGGACCCCGAGTTTGCTGCCTCAAGGGGAATATACAGCGAGAAGCCCTAACTTGAAAGGAGGCCGGATTTCCTTGCAGTGGCTTGAATACAGGCTCGTCTTTCATCTCACAACATGAAGGGATGTCTGAATCCCCTGTGGAGACCTTAGAGAAAGCCCTAGGTCCCTGCCTCATTTAGACGGAAGGCCTCACATCCCGTTGACACCTCGAGAGGCACGCGGAGTTCATTGCTTCAAAAGGTGACGATGCCTGACTCCTCCTGAATACTCATAGGAATCCCAAAATCCCTGTGGCTACTGGAAAGGGTCCTTGGGTGCCCTGCCTCACCTCGAGAAGCGTCCCTTTTGCCCTGCCATGCCTTGAGGAGATTCCTGAGGTGTCCCTCGTTACTAGACAGGAGTCATGACGTCACTGAAGAAACTCGTGTTTGGAAGGGCCATCCCCGCCGTAAGTCGAGAACATACCCCAGGTCCCCGCCGCAACTCGAGAAAAACCATGAGACTTCTCCCTAGAGGCGAGATGAGGCCCCATTCCCCTGCAGTGCATGCAGAGGTATTCCGTGATCCCATTCAAACAAGTCAGGAGCTTCGACTTGCTTAACGGATCTCGAGACAGTCCCCAAGAACACTGTCACCTTCTAGACGGACCCTGAGGTCACCCCAGCAACGCAAAGCAGCTGCATGTGCCCCAAATCAACTCGAGATGAGGCCCGATTCCCCTGCATTGACTCCAGAGCCATTCCCCTTTCCACATTCAACACGACCGGTGGCTCGACTTCCTTCAGGCATCTCCAGAGATGCCCCGAGAACACTGTCCCAAGTCTAGAGGAACACCAATTTCAGCACAGCAACTCGAGGAATGCTCCGTGTACGCCAAATCGTCTCGAGATGAGAGCTGATTCCCTGGCTTAGGCTCAAGACGTATGCCAACTTTCCAGAAGCACCTCAGGAGGAGGCTTCTCTCAGCAATAGGTACGTGGGAGGGACCCCGAGATCGCTGCCTCAAGTTGAATATACAGCGAGAAGTCCTAACTTGAAAGGAGGCCGGATTTCCGTGCAGTGGCTTGAATACAGGCTCATCTTTGATTTCAAAACATGAAGGGGTGTCTGAATATACTGTGGAGACCTTAGAGAAGGCCCTAGGTCCCTGCCTCATTTTGACGGAATGCCTCACATCCCGTTGACACCTCGAGAGGCACGCGGAGTTCATTGCTTCAAAAGGTGACGATGCCTGACTCCTCCTGAATACTCATAGGAATCCCAAAATCCCTGTGGCTACTGGAAAGGGTCCTTGGGTACCCTGCCGCACCTCGAGAAGCGTCCCTTTTGCCCTGCCAAGCCTCGAAGAGATTCCTGAGGTGTCCCTCGTTACTAGACAAGCATCCTGACGTCACGGAAGAAACTCGTGTTTTGAAGGGCCATCCCCGCCTTAAGTCGGGAACATACCCCAGGTCCCCGCCGCAACTCGAGAAAAACCATGAGACTTCCCCCTAGAGTCAAGAAGAGGCCCCATTCCCCTGCAGTGCATGCAGAGCTATTCCGTGATCCCGTTCAAACAAGTCAGGAGCTTCGACTTGCTTAATCCATCTCGAGAGAGTCCCCAAGAACACTGTCACCAGTCTAGACGGACCCTGAGTTCACCCCAGCAATGCAAAGCAGCTCCATGTGCCCCAAATCAACACGAGATGAGGCCCGATTCCCCTGCATTGACTCCAGAGCCATTCCCCGTTTCCCATTCAACACGACCGGTGGCTCGACTTCCTTCAGGCAACACCAGAGATGCCCCGAGAACACTGTCCCAAGTCTAGAGGAACACCAACTTCAGCACAGCAACTCGAGGAATGCTCCGTGTACCCCAAATCGTCTCGAGATGAGAGCTGATTCCCTGGCTTAGTCTCAAGACGTATGCCAACTGTCCAGAAGCACCTCAGAAGGAGGCTTCTCTCAGAAATAGGTACGTGGGAGGGACCCCGAGATCGCTGCCTCAATTGGAATATACAGCGAGAAGACCTAACTTGAAAGGAGGCCGGATTTCCTTGCAGTGGCTTGAATACAGGCTCGTCTTTGATCTCAAAACATGAAGGGGTGTCTGAATCCACTGTGGAGACCTTAGAGAAAGCCCTAGGTCCCTGCCTCATTTTGACGGAATGCCTCACATCCCGTTGACACCTCAAGAGGCACGCGGAGTTCATTGCTTCAAAAGGTGACGATGCCTGACTCCTCTTGAATACTGATAGGAATCCCAAAATCCCTGTGGCTACTGCAAAGGGTACTTGGGTGCCCTGCCTCACCTCGAGAAGCGTCCCTTTTGCCCTGCCAAGCCTCGGAGAGATTCCTGAGGTGTCCCTCGTTACTAGACAGGAGTCCTGACGTCACTGAAGAAACTCGTGTTTGGAAGGGCCATCCCCGCCGTAAGTCGAGAACATACCCCAGGTCCCCGCCGCAACTCGAGAAAAACCATGAGACTTCCCCCTAGAGGCGAGATGAGGCCCCATTCCCCTGCAGTGCATGCAGAGCTATTCCGTGATCCCATTCAAACAAGTCAGGAGCTTCGACTTGCTTAACGGATCTCGAGACAGTCCCCAAGAACACTGTCACCAGTCTAGACGGACCCTGAGGTCACCCCAGCAACGCAAAGCAGCTCCATGTGCCCCAAATCAACTCGAGATGAGCCCCGATTCCCCTGCATTGACTCCAGAGCCATTCCCCGTTCCCCATTCAACAAGACCGGTGGCTCGACTTCCTTCAGGCATCTCCAGAGATGCCCCGAGAACACTGTCCCAAGTCTAGAGGAACACCAACTTCAGCACAGCAACTCGAGGAATGCTCCGTGTACCTCAAATCGTCTCGAGATGAGAGCCGATTCCCTGGCTTAGGCTCAAGACATATGCCAACTTTCCAGAAGCACCTCAGGAGGAGGCTTCTCTCAGCAATAGGTATGTGGGAGGGACCCCGAGATCGCTGCCTCAAGTAGAGTATACTGCGAGAATCCCTAACTTGAAAGGAGGCCGGATTTCCTTGCAGTGGCTTGAAGACAGGCTCGTCTTTCATCTCACAACATGAAGGGATGTCTGAATCCCCTGTGGAGACCTTAGAGAAAGCCCTAGGTCCCTGCCTCATTTTGACGGAATGCCTCATATCGCGTTGACCACTCGAGAGGCACGCGGAGTTCATTGCTTCAAAAGGTGACGATGCCTGACTCCTCTGGAATATTGATAGGAATCCCAAAATCCATATGGCTATTGGAAAGGTTCCTTGGGTGCCCTGTCTCACCTCGAGAAGTGTCCCTTTTGCCCTGCCAAGCCTCGAAGACATTCCTGAGGTGTCCCTCGTTACTAGACAAGCATCCTGACGTCACGGAAGAAACTCGTGTTTGGAAGGGCCATCCCCGCCTTAAGTCGAGAACATACCCCAGGTCCCCGCCGCAACTCGAGAAAAACCATGAGACTTCCCCCTAGAGGCGAGATGAGGCCCCATTCCCCTGCAGTGCATGCAGAGCTATTCCGTGATCCCATTCAAACAAGTCAGGAGCTTCGACTTGCTTAACGGATCTCGAGACAGTCCCCAAGAACACTGTCACCAGTCTAGACGGACCCTGAGGTCACCCCAGCAACACAAAGCAGCTCCATGTCCCCCAAATGAACTCGAGATGAGGCCCGATTCCCCTGCATTGACTCCAGAGCCATTCCCCGTTCCCCATTCAACACGACCGGTGGCTCGACTTCCTTCAGGCATCTCCAGAGATGCCCCGAGAACACTGTCCCAAGTCTAGAGGAACACCAACTTCAGCACAGCAACTCGAGGAATGCTCCATGTACCCCAAATCGTCTCGAGATGAGAGCTGATTCCCTGGCTTAGGCTCAAGACGTATGCCAACTTTCCAGAAGCACCTCAGGAGGAGGCTTCTCTCAGCAATAGGTATGTGGGAGGGACCCCGAGTTTGCTGCCTCAAGGGGAATATACAGCGAGAAGCCCTAACTTGAAAGGAGGCCAGATTTCCAAGCTGTGGCTTGAATACAGGCTCGTCTTTGATCTCACAACATGAAGGGATGTCTGAATCCCCTGTGGAGACCTTAGAGAAAGCCCTAGGTCCCTGCCTCATTTTGTCGGAATGCCTCACATCCCGTTGACACCTCGAGAGGCAAGCGGAGTTTATTGCTTCAAAAGGTGAGGACGCCTGACTCATCTTGAATACTGATAGGAATCCCAAAATCCCTGTGGCTACTGGAAAGGGTCCTAGGGTGCCCTGCCTCACCGAGAGAAGCCTCTCTTTTGCCTCCCAAGCCTCGAAGTGATTTCTGTGGTGTCCCTCGTTACTAGACAGGAGTCCTGACGTCACTGAAGAAACTCGTGTTTTGAAGGGCCATCCCCGCCGTAAGTCGAGAACATACCCAGGTCCCCGCCGCAATTCGAGAAAAACCATGAGACTTCCCCCTAGAGGCGAGTTGAGGCCCCATTCCCCTGAAGTGCATGCAGAGCTATTCGGTGATGCCCATCAAACAAGTCAAGAGCTTCAACTTGCTTAATGGATCTCGAGACAGTCCCCAAGAACACTGTCAATAGTCTAGACGTACCCTGAGGTCACCCCAGCAACGCAAAGCAGCTCCATGTGCCCCAAATCAACTCGAGATGAGGCCCGATTCCCCTGCATTGACTCCAGAGCCATTCCCCGTTCCCCATTCAACACGACCGGTGGCTCGACTTCCTTCAGGCAACTCCAGAGATGCCCCGAGAACACTGTCCCAAGTCTAGAGGAACACCAACTTCAGCACAGCAACTCGAGGAATGCTCCGTGTACACCAAATCGTCTCGAGATGAGAGCTGATTCCCTGGCTTAGGCTCAAGACGTATGCCAACTTTCCAGAAGCACCTCAGGAGGAGGCTTCTCTCAGCAATATGTATGTGGGAGGGAGCCCGAGATCGCTGCCTCAAGTAGAGTATTCTTCGAGAATCCCTAACTTGAAAGGAGGCCGGATTTACTTGCAGTGCCTTGAATGCAGGCTCGTCTTTCATCTCACAACATGAAGGGATGTCTGAATCCCCTGTGGAGACCTTAGAGAAAGCCCTAGGTCCCTGCCTCCTTTTGACGGAATGCCTCACATCCCGTTGACACCTCGAGAGGCACGCGGAGTTATTTGCTTCAAAAGGTGACGATGCCTGACTCCTCTTGAATACTGATAGGAATCCCAAAATCCCTGTGGCTACTGGAAAGGGTACTTGGGTGCCCTGCCTCCCCTCGAGAAGCGTCCCTTTTGCCCTGCCAAGCCTCGAAGAGATTCCTGAGGTGTCCCTCGTTACTAGACAGGAGTTCTGACGTCACTGAAGAAACTCGTGTTTGGAAGGGCCATCCCCGCCTTAAGTCGAGAACATACCAAAGGACCCCGCCGCAACTCGAGAAAAACAATGAGACTTCCCCCTAGAGGCGAGATGAGGCCCCATTCCCCTGCAGTGCATGCAGAGCTATTCCGTGATCCTGTTCAAACAAGTCAGGAGCTTCGACTTGCTTAATGGATCTCGAGACAGTCCCCAAGAACACTGTCACCAGTCTAGACGGACCCTGAGGTCACCCCAGCAACGCAAAGCAGTTCCATGTTCCCCTAATCAACTCGAGATGAGGCCCGATTCCCCTGCATTGACCCCAGAGCCATTCCCCGTTTCTCATACAACACGACCGGTGGCTCGACTTCCTTCAGGCAACTCCAGAGATGCCCCGAGAACACTGTCCCCAGTCTAGAGGAACAGGAACTTCAGCACAGCAACTCGAGGAATGTTCCATGTACCCCAAATCGTCTCGAAATGAGAGCTGATTCCCTGGCTTAGGCTCAAGACGTATGCCAACTTTCCAGAATCACCTCAGGAGGAGGCTTCTCTCAGCAATAGGTATGTGGGAGGGACCCCGAGATCGCTGCCTCAAGTGGAATATACAGCGAGAAGCCCTAACTTGAAAGGAGGCCGGGTTTCCTTGCAGTGTCTTGAATACAGGTTCGTCTTTGATCTCAAAACATGAAGGGATGTCTGATTCCCCTGTGGAGACCTTAGAGAAAGCCCTAGGTCCCTGCCTCATTTTGACGGAAGGCCTCAGATCCCGCTGACACCTCAAGAGGCACGCAGAGTTCATTGCTTCAAAAGGTGACGATGCCTGACTCCTCTTGAATAATGATAGGAATCCCAAAATCACTGTGGCTACTGGAAAGGTTCCTTGGGTGCCCTGCCTGACCTTGAGAAGCATCCCTTTTGCCCTGCCAAGCCTCGAAGAGATTCCTGAGTTGTCCCTCGTTACTAGACAAGAGTCCTGACGTCACTGAAGAAACTCGTGTTTTGAAGGGACATCCCCGCCGTAAGTCGAGACCATACCCCAGGTCCCGCCACAACTCGAGAAAAACCATGAGCCTTCCTCCTAGAGGCGAGATGAGGCCCCATTCCCCTGCAGTGCATGCAGAGCTATTCCGTGATCCCACTCAAACAGTCAGGAGCTTCGACTTGCTTAATGGATCTCGAGACAGTCCCCAAGAACACTGTCACCAGTCTAGACGGACTCTGAGGTCACCCCAGCAAAGCAAGGCAGCTCCATGTGCCCCAAATCAACTCGAGATGAGGGCCGATTCCCCTGCATTGACTCCAGAGCCATTCCCCGTTCCCCATTCAACACGACCGGTGGCTCGACTTCCTTCAGGCAACTCCAGAGATGCCCCGAGAACACTGTACCAAATCTAGAGGAACACCAACTTGAGCACAGCAACTCGAGGAAAGCTCCGTGTACCCCAAATCGTCTCAAGATGAGAGCTGATTCCCTGGCTTAGGCTCAAGACGTATGCCAACTTTCCAAAAGCACCTCACGAGGAGGCTTCTCTCAGCAATATGTATGTGGGAGGGACCCCGAGAACGCTGCCTCATGTGCAATATATAGCGAGAAGCCCTAACTTGAAAGGAGGCCGGGTTTCCTTGCAGTGGCTTGAATACAGGCTCGTCTTTGATCTCAAACCATGAAGGGATGTCTGAATCCCCTGTGGAGACGTTAGAGAAAGCCCTAGGTCCCTGCCTCATTTTGACGGAATGCCTCACATCCCGTTGACACCTCGAGAGGCACGCGGAGTTCATTGCTTCAAAAGGTGACGATGCCTGACTCCTCTTGAATACTGATAGGAAACCCAAAACCCTGTGGCTACTAGAAAGGGTCCTTGGGTGCCCTGCCTCACCGCGAGAAGCCTCCCTTTTGCCTTCCCAAGCCTCCACGTGATTTCTGAGTTGTCCCTCGTTACTAGACAGGAGTCCTGACGTCACTGAAGAAACTCGTGTTTTGGAGGGCCATCCCCGCGTAAGTCGAGAACATACCCCAGGTCCCCGCCGCAACTCGAGAAAAACCATGAGACTTCACCCCTGAGGCGAAATGAGGCCCTATTTCCCCACAGTGCATGCAGAGCATTCCGTGATCCCATTCAAACAAGTCAGGAGCTTCGACTTGCTTAATGGATCTCGAGACAGTCCACAAGAACACTGTCACCAGTCTAGACAGACTCTGAGGTCACCCCTGCAACGCAAAGCAGCACCATGTGCCCCAAATCAACTCGAGATGAGGGCCGATTCCCCTGCATTGACTCCAGAGCCATTCGCCGTTCCCCATTCAACACGACCGGTGGCTCGACTTCCTTCAGGCAACTCCAGAGATGCCCCAAGAACACTGTCCCAAGGCTAGCGGAACACCAACTTCAGCACAGCAACTCGAGGAATGTTCCATGTACCCCAAATCGTCTCGAAATGAGAGCTGATTCCCTGGCTTAGGCTCAAGACGTATGCCAACTTTCCAGAATCACCTCAGGAGGAGGCTTCTCTCAGCAATAGGTATGTGGGAGGGACCCCGAGATCGCTGCCTCAAGTGGAATATACAGCGAGAAGCCCTAACTTGAAAGGAGGCCGGGTTTCCTTGCAGTGTCTTGAATACAGGCTCGTCTTTGATCTCAAAACATGAAGGGATGTCTGATTCCCCTGTGGAGACGTTAGAGAAAGCCCTAGGTCCCTGCCTCATTTTGACGGAAGGCCTCAGATCCCGCTGACACCTCGAGAGGCACGCGGAGTTCATTGCTTCAAAAGGTGACGATGCCTGACTCCTCTTGAATAATGATAGGAATCCCAAAATCACTGTGGCTACTGGAAAGGTTCCTTGGGTGCCCTGCCTGACCTTGAAAAGCATCCCTTTTGCCCTGCCAAGCCTCGAAGAGATTCCTGAGGTGTCCCTCGTTACTAGACAAGAGTCCTGACGTCACTGAAGAAACTCGTGTTTTGAAGGGACATCCCCGCCGTAAGTCGAGACCATACCCCAGGTCCCGCCACAACTCGAGAAAAACCATGAGACTTCCTCCTAGAGGCGAGATGAGGCCCCATTCCCCTGCAGTGCATGCAGAGCTATTCCGTGATCCCACTCAAACAGTCAGGAGCTTCGACTTGCTTAATGGATCTCGAGACAGTCCCCAAGAACACTGTCACCAGTCTAGACGGACTCTGAGGTCACCCCAGCAAAGCAAGGCAGCTCCATGTGCCCCAAATCAACTCGAGATGAGGGCCGATTCCCCTGCATTGACTCCAGAGCCATTTTCCGTTCCCCATTCAACACGACCGGTGGCTCGACTTCCTTCAGGCAACTCCAGAGATGCCCCGAGAACACTGTACCAAATCTAGAGGAACACCAACTTGAGCACAGCAACTCGAGGAAAGCTCCGTGTACCCCAAATCGTCTCGAGATGAGAGCTGATTCCCTGGCTTAGGCTCAAGACGTATGCCAACTTTTCAAAAGCACCTCACGAGGAGGCTTCTCTCAGCAATATGTATGTGGGAGGGACCCCGAGAACGCTGCCTCAAGTGCAATATATAGCGAGAAGCCCTAACTTGAAAGGAGGCCGGGTTTCCTTGCAGTGGCTTGAATACAGGCTCGTCTTTGATCTCAAACCATGAAGGGATGTCTGAATCCCCTGGGGAGACCTTAGAGAAAGCCCTAGGTCCCTGCCTCATTTTGACGGAATGCCTCACATCCCGTTGACACCTCGAGAGGCACGCGGAGTTCATTGCTTCAAAAGATGACAATGCCTGACTCCTCTTGAATACTGATAGGAAACCCCAAACCCTGTGGCTACTAGAAAGGGTCCTTGGGTGCCCTGCCTCACCGCGAGAAGCCTCCCTTTTGCCCTCCCAAGCCTCAAAGTGATTTCTGAGTTGTCCCTCGTTACTAGACAGGAGTCCTGACGTCACTGAAGAAACTCGTGTTTTGAAGGGCCATCCCCGCGTAAGTCGAGAATATACCCCAGGTGCCCGCCGCAACTCGAGAAAAACCATGAGACTTCCCCCTAGAGGCGAGATGAGGCCCCATTCCCCTGCAGTGCATGCAGAGATATTCGGTGATCCCCATCAAACAAGTCAGGAGCTTCAACTTGCTTAATGGATCTCGAGACAGTCCCCAAGAACACTGTCACCAGTCTAGACGGACCCTGAGGTCACCCCAGCAACGCAAGGCAGCTCCATGGGCCCCAAATCAACTCGAGATGAGGCCCGATTCCCCTGCATTGACTCCAGAGCCATTCCCCGTTCCCTATTCAACACGACCGGTGGCTCGACTTCCTTCAGGCAACTCCAGAGATGCCCCGAGAACACTGTCCCAAGGCTAGAGGAACACCAACTTCATCACAGCAACTCGAGGAATGCTCCGTGTACCCCAAATCGTCTCGAGATGAGAGCTGATTCCCTGGCTTAGGCTCAAGGCGTATGCCAACTTTCCAAAAGCACCTCAGGAGGAGGCTTCTCTCAGCAATAGATATGTGGGAGGGACCCCGAGTTCACTGCCTCAAGTGGAATATACAGCGAGAAGCCCTAACTTGAAAGGAGGCCGGATGTCCTTGCAGTGGCTTGAATACAGGCTCGTCTTTGATCTCAAAACATGAAGGGATGTCTGAATACCCTGTGGAGACCTTAGAGAAATCGCTAGGTCCCTGCCTCATTTTGACGGAATGCCTCACATCCCGTTGACACCTGGAGAGGCACGCGGAGTTCATTGCTTCAAAAGGTGACGATGCCTGACTCCTCTTGAATACTGATAGGAATCCCAAAATCCCTGTGGCTCCTGGAAAGTGTCCTTGGGTGCCCTGCCTCACCGCGAGAAGCCTCTCTTTTGCCTCCCAAGCCTCGAAGTGTTTTCTGAGGTGTCCCTCGTTACTAGACAGGAGTCCTGACGTCACTGAAGAAACTCGTGTTTTGAAGGGCCATCCCCGCCGTAAGTCGAGAACATACCCCAGGTCCCCGCCGCAACTGGATAAAAACCATGAGACTTCCCCCTAGAGGCGAGATGAGGCCCCATTCCCCTGCAGTGCATGCAGAGCTATTCCGTGATCCCGTTCAAACAAGTCAGGAGCTTCGACTTGCTTAATCCATCTCGAGAGAGTCCCCAAGAACACTGTCACCAGTCTAGACGGACCCTGAGGTCACCCCAGCAATGCAAAGCAGCTCCATGTGCCCCAAATCAACACGAGATGAGGCCCGATTCCCCTGCATTGACTCCAGAGCCATTCCCCGTTTCCCATTCAACACGACCGGTGGCTCGACTTCCTTCAGGCAACTCCAGAGATGCCCCGAGAACACTGTCCCAAGTCTAGAGGAACACCAACTTCAGCACAGCAACTCGAGGAATGCTCCGTGTACCCCAAATCGTCTCGAGATGAGAGCTGATTCCCTGGCTTAGGCTCAAGACGTATGCCAACTTTCCAGAAGCACCTCAGGAGGAGGCTTCTCTCAGAAATAGGTACGTGGGAGGGACCCCGAGATCGCTGCCTCAAGTGGAATATACAGCGAGAAGACCTAACTTGAAAGGAGGCCGGATTTCCTTGCAGTGGCTTGAATACAGGCTCGTCTTTCATCTCAAAACATTAAGGGGTGCCTGAATCCACTGTGGAGACCTTAGAGAAAGCCCTAGGTCCCTGCCTCATTTTGACGGAATGCCTCACATCCCGTTGACACCTCAAGAGGCACGCGGAGTTCATTGCTTCAAAAGGTGACGATGCCTGACTCCTCTTGAATACTGATAGGAATCCCAAAATCCCTGTGGCTACTGGAAATGGTACTTGGGTGCCCTGTCTCACCGCGAGAAGCGTCCCTTTTGCCCTGCCAAGCCTCGAAGAGATTCCTGAGGTGTCCCTCGTTACTAGACAGGAGTTCTGACGTCACTGAAGAAACTCGTGTTTGGAAGGGCCATCCCCGCCTTAAGTCGAGAACATACCCCAGGACCCCGCCGCAACTCGAGAAAAACCATGAGACTTCCCACTAGAGGCGAGATGAGGCCCCATTCCCCTGCAGTGCATGCAGAGCTATTACGTGATCCCGTTCAAACAAGTCAGGAGCTGCGACTTGCTTAATGGATCTCGAGACAGTCCCCAAGAACACTGTCACCAGTCTAGACGGAACCTGAGGTCACCCCAGCAACGCAAAGCAGCTCCATGTGCCCCAAATCAATGCGAGATGAGGCCCGATTCCCCTGCATTTACTCCAGAGCAATGCCCCGTTTCCCATTCAACACGACCGGTGGCTCGACTTCCTTCAGGCAACTCCAGAGATGCCCCGAGAACACTGTCCCAAGTCTAGAGGAACAGGAACTTCAGCACAGCAACTCGAGGAATGCTCCGAGTACCCCAAATCGTCTCGAGATGAGAGATGATTCCCTGGCTTAGGCTCAAGACGTATGCCAACTTTCCAGAAGCACCTCAGGAGGAGGCTTCTCTCAGCAATAGCTATGTGGGACGGACCCCGCGATCGCTGCCTCAAATGGAATATACAGCGAGAAGCCCTAACTTGAAAGGAGGCCGGATTTCCTTGCAGTGGCTTGATTACAGGCTCATCTTTGATCTCAAAACATGAAGGGATGTCTGATTCCCCTGTGGAGAACTTAGAGAAAGCCCTAGGTCCCTGCCTCATTTTGACGGAATGCCTCACATCCCGTTGACACCTAGAGAAGCACGCGGAGTTCATTGCTTCAAAAGGTGACGATGCCTGACTCCTCTTGAATACTGATAGGAATCCCAAAATACCTGTGGCTACTGGAAAGGTTCCTTGGGTGCCCTGCCTGACTTCGAGAAGCATCCCTTTTGCCCTGCCAAGCATCGAAGAGATTCCTGATGTGTCCCTCGTTACTAGACAGGAGTCCTGACGTCACTGAAGAAACTCGTGTTTTGAAGGGCTATCCTCGCCTTAAGTCGAGAACATACCCCAGGTCCCCGCCGCAACTCGAGAAAAACCATGAGACTTCCCCCTAGAGGCGAGATGAGGCCCCATTCCCCTGCAGTGCATGCAGAGGTATTCCGTGATCCCATTTAAACAAGTCAGGTGCTTCGACTTGCTTAACGGATCTCGAGACAGTCCCCAAGAACACTGTCACCAGTCTAGACGGACCCTGAGGTCACCCCAGCAACGCAAAGCAGCTCCATGTGCCCCAAATCAACCCGAGATGAGGCCCGATTCCCCTGCATTGACTCCAGAGCCATTCCCCGCTCCCCATTCAACACAACCGGTGGCTCGACTTCCTTCAGGCATCTCCAGAGATGCCCCGAGAACACTGTCCCAAGTCTAGAGGAACACCAACTTCAGCACAGCAACTCGAGGAATGCACCGTGTACCCCAAATCGTCTCGAGATGAGAGCTGATTCCCTGGCTTAGGCTCAAGACGTATGCCAACTTTCCAGAAGCACCTCAGGAGGAGGCTTCTCTCAGCAATAGGTATGTGGGAGGGACCCCAAGTTTGCTGCCTCAAGGGGAATATACAGCGAGAAGCCCTAACTTGAAAGGAGGCCGGATTTTGTAGCTGTGGCTTGAATACAGGCTCGTCTTTCATCTCACAACATGAAGGGATGTCTGAATCCCCTGTGGAGACCTTAGAGAAAGCCCTAGGTCCCTGCCTCATTTTGACGGAAGGCCTCACATCCCGCTGACACGTCGAGAGGCACGCGGACTTCATTGCTTCAAAAGGTGACGATGCCTGACTCCTCCTGAATACTCATAGGAATCCCAAAATCCCTGTGGCTACTGGAAAGGGTCCTTGGGTGCCCTGCCTCATCTCGAGAAGCGTCCCTTTTGCCCTGCCAAGCCTCGAAGAGGTTCCTGAGGTGTCCCTCGTTACTAGACAGGAGTCCTGACGTCACTGAAGAAACTCGTGTTTGGAAGGGCCATCCCCGCCGTAAGTCGAGAACATACCCCAGGTCCCTCCCGCAACTCGAAAAAAACCATGAGACTTCCCCCTAGAGGCGAGATGAGGCCCCATTCCCCTGCAGTGCATGCAGAGCTATTCCTTGATCCCATTCAAACAAGTCAGGAGCTTCGACTTGCTTAACGGATCTCGAGACAGTCCCCAAGAACACTGTCACCAGTCTAGACGGACCCTGAGGTCACCCCAGCAACGCAAAGCAGCTCCATGTGCCCCAAATCAACTCGAGATGAGGCCCGATTCCCCTGCATTGACTCCAGAGCCATTCCCCGTTCCCCATTCAACACGAACGGTGGCTCGACTTCCTTCAGGCAACTCCAGAGATGCTCCGAAAACACTGTCCCAAGTCTAGAGGAACACCAACTTCAGCACAGCAACTCGAGGAATGCTCCGTGTACCCCAAATCGTCTCGAGATGAGAGCTGATTCCCTGGCTTAGGCTCAAGACGTATGCCAACTTTCCAGAAGCATCTCAGGAGGAGGCTTCTCTCAGCAATAGGTACGTGGGAGGGACCCCGAGATCGCTGCCTCAAGTGGAATATACAGCGAGAAGTCCTAACTTGAAAGGAGGCCGGATTTCCGTGCAGTGGCTTGAATACAGGCTCATCTTTGATCTCAAAACATGAAGGGGTGTCTGAATCCACTGTGGAGACCTTAGAGAAAGACCTAGGTCCCTGCCTCATTTTGACGGAATGCCTCACATCCCGTTGACACGTCGAGAGGCACGCGGAGTTCATTGCTTCAAAAGGTGACGATGCCTGACTCCTCCTGAATACTCATAGGAATCCCAAAATCCCTGTGGCTACTGGAAAGGGTCCTTGGGTGCCCTGCCTCACCTCGAGAAGCGTCCCTTTTCCCCTGCCAAGCCTCGAAGAGATTCCTGAGTTGTCCCTCGTTACTAGACAGGAGTCCTGACGTCACTGAAGAAACTCGTGTTTGGAAGGGCCATCCCCGCCGTAAGTCGAGAACATACCCCAGGTCCCCGCCGCAACTCGAGAAAAACCATGAGACTTCCCCCTAGAGGCGAGATGAGGCCCCATTCCCCTGCAGTGCATGCAGAGCTATTCCGTGATCCCATTCAAACAAGTCAGGAGCTTCGATTTGCTTAACGGATCTCGAGACAGTCCCCAAGAACACTGTCACCAGTCTAGACGGACCCTGAGGTCACCCCAGCAACGCAAAGCAGCTCCATGTGCCCCAAATCAACTCGAGATGAGGCCCGATTCCCCTGCATTGACTCCAGAGCCATTCCCCGTTCCCCATTCAACACGACCGGTGGCTCGACTTCCTTCAGGCATCTCCAGAGATGCCCCGAGAACACTGTCCCAAGTCTAGAGGACCACCAACAGCACAGCAACTCGAGGAATGCTCCGTGTACCCCAAATCGTCTCGAGATGAGAGCTGATTCCCTGGCTTAGGCTCAAGACGTATGCCAACTTTCCAGAAGCACCTCAGGAGGAGGCTTCTCTCAGCAATAGGTATGTGGGAGGGACCCCGAGATCGCTGCCTCAAGTAGAGTATACTGCGAGAATCCCTAACTTGAAAGGAGGCCGGATTTCCTTGCAGTGGCTTGAATACAGGCTCGTCTTTCATCTCACAACATGAAGGGATGTCTGAATCCCCTGTGGAGACCTTAGAGAAAGCCCTAGTTCCCTGCCTCATTTTGACGGAATGCCTCACATCCCGTTGACCCCTCGAGAGGCACGCGGAGTTCATTGCTTCAAAAGGTGACGATGCCTGACTCCTCTGGAATATTGATAGGAATCCCAAAATCCATATGGCTACTGGAAAGGTTCCTTGGGTGCCCTGTCTCACCTCGAGAAGTGTCCCTTTTGCCCTGCCAAGCCTCGAAGACATTCCTGAGGTGTCCCTCGTTACTAGACAAGCATCCTGACGTCACGGAAGAAACTCGTGTTTTGAAGGGCCATCCCCGCCTTAAGTCGGGAACATACCCCAGGTCCCCGCCGCAACTCGAGAAAAACCATGAGACTTCCCCCTATAGTCGAGAAGAGGCCCCATTCCCCTGCAGTGCATGCAGAGCTATTCCGTGATCCCGTTCAAACAAGTCAGGAGCTTCGACTTGCTTAATCCATCTCGAGAGAGTCCCCAAGAACACTGTCACCAGTCTAGACGGACCCTGAGGTCACCCCAGCAATGCAAAGCAGCTCCATGTGCCCCAAATCAACTCGAGATGAGGCCCGATTCCCCTGCATTGATTCCAGAGCCATTACCCGATCCCCATTCAACATGACCGGTGGCTCGACTTCCTTCAGGCAACTCCAGAGATGCTCCGAAAACACTGTCCCAAGTCTAGAGGAACACCAACTTCAGCACAGCAACTCGAGGAATGCTCCGTGTACCCCAAATCGCCTCGAGATGTGAGCTGATTCCCTGGCTTAGGCTCAAGACGTAGGCCCACTTTCCAGAAGCACCTCAGGAGGAGGCTTCTCTCAGCAATAGGTATGTGGGAGGGACCCCGAGATCGCTGCCTCAAGTAGAGTATACTGCGAGAATCCCTAACTTGAAAGGAGGCCGGATTTCCTTGCAGTGCCTTGAATACAGGCTCGTCTTTCATCTCACAACATGAAGGGATGTCTGAATCCCCTGTGGAGACCTTAGAGAAAGCCCTAGGTCCCTGCCTCATTTTGACGGAATGCCTCACATCCCGTTGACCCCTCGAGAGGCACGCGGAGTTCATTGCTTCAAAAGGTGACGATGCCTGACTCCTCTGGAATATTGATAGGAATCCCAAAATCCATATGGCTACTGGAAAGGTTCCTTGGGTGCCCTGTCTCACCTCGAGAAGTGTCCCTTTTGCCCTGCCAAGCCTCGAAGACATTCCTGAGGTGTCCCTCGTTACTAGACAAGCATCCTGACGTCACGGAAGAAACTCGTGTTTTGAAGGGCCATCCCCGCCTTAAGTCGGGAACATACCCCAGGTCCCCTCCGCAACTCGAGAGAAACCATGAGACTTCCCCCTAGAGTCGAGAAGAGGCCCCATTCCCCTGCAGTGCATGCAGAGCTATTCCGTGATCCCGTTCAAACAAGTCAGGCGCTTCGACTTGCTTAATCCATCTCGAGAGAGTCCCCAAGAACACTGTCACCAGTCTAGATGGACCCTGAGGTCACCCCAGCAATGCAAAGCAGCTCCATGTGCCCCAAATCAACTCGAGATGAGGCCCGATTCCCCTGCATTGACTCCAGAGCCATTCCCCGTTTCCCATTCAACACGACCGGTGGCTCGACTTCCTTCAGGCAACTCCAGAGTTGCCCCGAGAACACTGTCCCAAGTCTAGAGGAACACCAACTTCAGCACAGCAACTCGAGGAATGCTCCGTGTACCCCAAATCGTCTCGAGATGAGAGCTGATTCCCTGGCTTAGGCTCAAGACGTATGCCAACTGTCCAGAAGCACCTCAGGAGGAGGCTTCTCTCAGAAATAGGTACGTGGGAGGGACCCCGAGATCGCTGCCTCAAGTGGAATATACAGCAAGAAGACCTAACTTGAAAGGAGGCCGGATTTCCTTGCAGTGGCTTGAATACAGGCTCGTCTTTGATCTCAAAACATGAAGGGATGTCTGAATCCCCTGTGGAGAACTTAGAGAAAGCGCTAGGTCCCTGCCTCATTTTGACGGAATGCCTCACATCCCGTTGACACCTCGAGAGGCACGCGGAGTTCATTGCTTCAAAAGGTGAAGATGCCTGACTCCTCTTGAATACTGATAGGAAACCCAAAACCCTGTGGCTGCTAGAAAGGGTCCTTGGGTGCCCTGCCTCACCGCGAGAAGCCTCCCTTTTGCCCTCCCAAGCCTCCAAGTGATTTCTGAGTTGTCCCTCGTTACTAGACAGGAGTCCTGACGTCACTGAAGAAACTCGTGTTTTGAAGGGCCATCCCCGCCGTAAGTCGAGAACATACCCCAGGTGCCCGCCGCAACTCGAGAAAAACCATGAGACTTCACCCCTGAGGCGAAATGAGGCCCCATTCCCCCACAGTGCATGCAGAGCTATTCCGTGATCCCATTCAAACAAGTCAGGAGCTTCGACTTGCTTAATGGATCTCGAGACAGTCCCCAAGAACACTGTCACCAGTCTAGACGGACCCTGAGGTCACCCCAGCAACGCAAAGCAGCTCCATGTGCCCCAAATCAACTCAAGATGAGGCCCGATTCCCCTGCATTGACTCCAGAGCCATTCCCCGTTCCCCATTCAACACGAACGGTGGCTCGACTTCCTTCAGGCATCTCCAGAGATGCCCCGAGAACACTGTCCCAAGTCTAGAGGAACACCAACTTCAGCACAGCAACTCGAGGAATGCTCCGTGTACCCCAAATCGTCTCGAGATGAGAGCCAATTCCCTGGCTTAGGCTCAAGACATATGCCAACTTTCCAGAAGCACCTCAGGAGGAGGCTTCTCTCAGCAATAGGTATGTGGGAGGGACCCCGAGATCGCTGCCTCAAGTAGAGTATACTGCGAGAATCCCTAACTTGAAAGGAGGTCGGATTTCCTTGTAGTGCCTTGAATACAGGCTCCTCTTTCATCTCACAACATGAAGGGATGTCTGAATCCCCTGTGGAGACCTTAGAGAAAGCCCTAGGTCCCTGCCTCATTTTGACGGAATGCCTCACATCCAGTTGACCATTCGAGAGGCACGCGGAGTTCATTGCTTCAAAAGGTGACGATGCCTGACTCTTCTGGAATATTGATAGGAATCCCAAAATCCATATGGCTACTGGAAAGGTTCCTTGGGTGCCCTGTCTCACCTCGAGAAGTGTCCCTTTTGCCCTGCCAAGCCTCGAAGACATTCCTGAGGTGTCCCTCGTTACTAGACAAGCATCCTGACGTCACGGAAGAAACTCGTGTTTTGAAGGGCCATCCCCGCCTTAAGTCGGGAACATACCCCAGGACCCCGCCGCAACTCGAGAAAAACCATGAGACTTCCCACTAGAGGCGAGATGAGGCCCCATTCCCCTGCAGTGCATGCAGAGCTATTCCGTGATTCCATTCAAACAAGTCAGGAGCTTCGACTTGCTTAATCCATCTCGAGAGAGTCCCCAAGAACACTGTCACCAGTCTAGACGGACCCTGAGGTCACCCCAGCAATGCAAAGCAGCTCCATGTGCCCCAAATCAACACGAGATGAGGCCCGATTCCCCTGCATTGACTCCAGAGCCATTCCCCGTTTCCCATTCAACACGACCGGTGGCTCGACTTCCTTCAGGCAACTGCAGAGATGCCCCGAGAACACTGTCCCAAGTCTAGAGGAACACCAACTTCAGCACAGCAACTCGAGGAATGCTCCGTGTACCCCAAATCGTCTCGAGATGAGAGCTCATTCCCTGGCTTAGGCTCAAGACGTATGCCAACTCTCCAGAAGCACCTCAGGAGGAGGCTTCTCTCAGAAATAGGTACGTGGGAGGGACCCCGAGATCGCTGCCTCAAGTGGAATATACAGCGAGAAGACCTAACTTGAAAGGAGGCCGGATTTCCTTGCAGTGGCTTGAATACAGGCTCGTCTTTCATCTCAAAACATGAAGGGGTGCCTGAATCCACTGTGGAGACCTTAGAGAAAGCCCTAGGTCCCTGCCTCATTTTGACGGAATGCCTCACATCCCGTTGACACCTCAAGAGGCACGCGGAGTTAATTGCTTCAAAAGGTGACGATGCCTGACTCCTCCTGAATACTCATAGGAATCCCAAAATCCCTGTGGCTACTGGAAAGGGTACTTGGGTGCCCTGTCTCACCGCGAGAAGCGTCCCTTTTGCCCTGCCAAGCCTCGAAGAGATTCCTCAGGTGTCCCTCGTTACTAGACAGGAGTCCTGACGTCACTGAAGAAACTCGTGTTTGGAAGGGCCATCCCCGCCGTAAGTCGAGAACATACCCCAGGTCCCCGCCGCAACTCGAGAAAAACCATGAGACTTCCCCCTAGAGGCGAGATGAGGCCCCATTCCCCTGCAGTGCATGCAGAGCTATTCCGTGATCCCATTCAAACAAGTCAGGAGCTTCGACTTGCTTAACGGATCTCGAGACAGTCCCCAAGAACACTGTCACCAGTCTAGACGGACCCTGAGGTCACCCCAGCAACGCAAAGCAGCTCCATGTGCCCCAAATCAACTCGAGATGAGGCCTGATTCCCCTGCATTGACTCCAGAGCCATTCCCCGTTCCCCATTCAACACGACCGGTGGCTCGACTTCCTTCAGGCATCTCCAGAGATGCCCCGAGAACACTGTCCCAAGTCTAGAGGAACACCAACTTCAGCACAGCAACTCGAGGAATGCTCCGTGTACCCCAAATCGTCTCGAGATGAGAGCTGATTCCCTGGCTTAGTCTCAAAACTTAGGCCAACCTTCAGAAGCACCTCAGGAGGAGGCTTCTCTCAGCAATAGGTATGTGGGAGGGACCCCGAGATCGCTGCCTCAAGTAGAGTATACTGCGAGAATCCCTAACTTGAAAGGAGGATGGATTTCCTTGCAGTGGCTTGAATACAGGCTCGTCTTTCATCTCACAACATGAAGGGATGTCTGAATCCCCTGTGGAGACCTTAGACAAAGCCCTAGGTCCCTGCCTCATTTTGACGGAAGGCCTCACATCCCGTTGACCCCTCGAGAGGCACGCGGAGTTCATTGCTTCAAAAGGTGACGATGCCTGACTCCTCTGGAATATTGATAGGAATCCCAAAATCCATATGGCTACTGGAAAGGTTCCTTGGGTGCCCTGTCTCACCTCGAGAAGTGTCCCTTTTGCCCTGCCAAGCCTCGAAGACATTCCTGAGGTGTCCCTCGTTACTAGACAAGCATCCTGACGTCACGGAAGAAACTCGTGCTTTGAAGGGCCATCCCCGCCTTAAGTCGGGAACATACCCCAGGTCCCCGCCCCAAATCGAGAAAAATCATGAGACTTCCCCCTAGAGGCTAGAAGAGGCCCCATTCCCCTGCAGTGCATGCAGAGCTATTCCGTGATCCCGTTCAAACAAGTCAGGAGCTTCGACTTGCTTAATCGATCTCGAGAGAGTCCCCAAGAACACTGTCACCAGTCTAGACGGAACCTGAGGTCACCCCAGCAATGCAAAGCAGCTCCATGTGCCCCAAATCAAATCGACATCAGCCCCGATACCCCTACATTGACTCCAGAGCCATTCCCCGTTCCCCATTCAACACGACCGGTGGCTCGACTTCCTTCAGGCAACTCCAGAGATGCCCCGAGAACACTGTCCGAAGTCTAGAGGAACACCAACTTCAGCACAGCAACTCGAGGAATGCTCCGTGTACCCCAAATCGTCTCTAGATGAGAGCTGATTCCCTGGCTTAGGCTCAAGACGAATGCCAACTTTCCAGAAGCACCTCAGGATGAGGCTTCTCTCAGCAATAGGTATGTGGGAGGGACCCCGAGTTTGCTGCCTCAAGGGGAATATACAGCGAGAAGCCCTAACTTGAAAGGAGGCTGGATTTCCTTTCAGTGGCTTGAATACAGGCTCGTCTTTCATCTCACAACATGAAGGGATGTCTGAATCCCCTGTGGAGACCTTAGAGAAAGCCCTTGGTCCCTGCCTCATTTTGACGGAAGGCCTCACATCCCGCTGACACCTCGAGAGGCACGTGGAGTTCATTGCTTCAAAAGGTGACGATGCCTGACTCCTCCTGAATACTCATAGGAATCCCAAAATCCCTGTGGCTACTGGAAAGGGTCCTTGGGTGCCCTGCCTCACCTCGAGAAGCGTCCCTTTTGCCCTACCAAGCCTCGAAGAGATTCCTGAGGTGTCCCTCGTTACTAGACAGGAGTCCTGACGTCACTGAGGAAACTCGTGTTTGGAAGGGCCATCCCCGCCGTAAGTCGAGAACATACCCCAGGTCCCCGCCGCAACTCGAGAAAAACCATGAGACTTCCCCCTAGAGGCGAGATGAGGCCCCATTCCCCTGCAGTGCATGCAGAGCTATTCCGTGATCCCATTCAAACAAGTCAGGAGCTTCGACTTGCTTAATGGATCTCGAGACAGTCCCCAAGAACACTGTCACCAGTCTAGACGGACCCTGAGGTCACCCCAGCAACGCAAAGCAGCTCCATGTGCCCCAAATCAACTCGAGATGAGGCCCGATTCCCCTGCATTGACTCCAGAGCCATTCCCCGTTAGCCGTTCAACACGACCGGTGGCTCGACTTCCTTCAGGCATCTCCAGAGATGCCCCGAGAACACTGTCCCAAGTCTAGAGGAACACCAACTTCAGCACAGCAACTCGAGGAATGCTCCGTGTACCCCAAATCGTCTCGAGATGAGAGCTGATTCCCTGGCTTAGTCTCAATACGTAGGCCAACTTTCCAGAAGCACCTCAGGAGGAGGCTTCTCTCAGCAATAGGTATGTGGGAGGGACCCCGAGATCGCTGCCTCAAGTAGAGTATACTGCGAGAATCCCTAACTTGAAAGGAGGCCGGATTTCCTTGCAGTGGCTTGAATACAGGCTCGTCTTTCATCTCACAACATGAAGGGATGTCTGAATCCCCTGTGGAGACCTTAGAGAAAGCCCTAGGTGCCTGCCTCATTTTGACGGAAGGCCTCACATCCCGTTGACCCCTCGAGAGGCACGCGGAGTTCATTGCTTCAAAAGGTGACGATGCCTGACTCCTCTGGAATATTGATAGGAATCCCAAAATCCATATGGCTACTGGAAAGGTTCCTTGGGTGCCCTGTCTCACCTCGAGAAGTGTCCCTTTTGCCCTGCCAAGCCTCGAAGACATTCCTGAGGTGTCCCTCGTTACTAGACAAGCATCCTGACGTCACGGAAGAAACTCGTGTTTTGAAGGGCCATCCCCGCCTTAAGTCAGGAACATACCCCAGGTCCCCGCCCCAAATCGAGAAAAGTCATGACACTTCCCCCTAGAGTCGAGAAGAGGCCCCATTCCCCTGCAGTGCATGCAGAGCTATTCCGTGATCCCGTTCAAACAAGTCAGGAGCTTCGACTTCCTTAATGGATCTCGAGACAGTCCCCAAGAACACTGTCCAAGTCTAGACGGACCCTGAGGTCTCCCCAGTAACGCAAAGCAGCTCCATGTGCCCCAAATCAACTCGAGATGAGGCCCGATTCGCCTGCATTGACTCCAGAGCCATTCCCCGTTCCCCATTCAACACGACCGGTTGCTCGACTTCCTTCAGGCATCTCCAGAGATGCCCCGAGAACACTGTCCCAAGTCTAGAGGAATACCAACTTCAGCACAGCAACTCGAGGAATGCTCCGTGTACCCCAAATCGTCTCGAGATGAGAGCCGATTCCCTGGCTGAGGCTCAAGACATATGCCAACTTTCCAGAAGCACCTCAGGAGGAGGCTTCTCTCAGCAATAGGTATGTGGGAGGGACCCCGAGTTCGCTGCCTCAAGGGGAATATACAGCGAGAAGCCCTAACTTGAAAGGAGGCCGGATTTCCTTGCAGTGGCTTGAATACAGGCTCGTCTTTCATCTCACAACATGAAGGGATGTCTGAATCCCCTGTGGAGACCTTAGAGAAAGCCCTAGGTCCCTGCCTCATTTTGACGGAAGGCCTCACATCCCGCTGACACCTCGAGAGGCACGCGGAGTTCATTGCTTCAAAAGGTGACGATGCCTGACTCCTCCTGAATACTCATAGGAATCCCAAAATCCCTGTGGCTACTGGAAAGGGTCCTTGGGTGCCCTGCCTCACCTCGAGAAGCGTCCCTTTTGCCCTGCCAAGCCTCGAAGAGATTCCTGAGGTGTCCCTCGTTACTAGACAGGAGTCCTGACGTCACTGAAGAAACTCGTGTTTGGAAGGGCCATCCCCGCCGTAAGTCGAGAACATACCCCAGGTCCCCGCCGCAACTCGAGAAAAACCATGAGACTTCCCCCTAGAGGCGAGATGAGGCCCCATTCCCCTGCAGTGCATGCAGAGCTATTCCGTGATCCCATTCAAACAAGTCAGGAGCTTCGACTTACTTAACGGATCTCGAGACAGTCCCCAAGAACACTGTCACCAGTCTAGACGGACCCTGAGGTCACCCCAGCAACGCAAAGCAGCTCCATGTGCCCCAAATCAACTCGAGATGAGGCCCGATTCCCCTGCATTGACTCCAGAGCCATTCCCCGTTCCCCATTCAACACGACCGGTGGCTCGACTTCCTTCAGGCATCTCCAGAGATGCCCCGAGAACACTGTCCCAAGTCTAGAGGAACACCAACTTCAGCACAGCAACTCGAGGAATGCTCCGTGTACCCCAAATCGTCTCGAGATGAGAGTTGATTCCCTGGCTTAGGCTCAAGACGTATGCCAACTTTCCAGAAGCACCTCAGGAGGAGGCTTCTCTCAGCAATAGGTATGTGGGAGGGACCCCGAGTTTGCTGCCTCAAGGGGAATATACAGCGAGAAGCCCTAACTTGAAAGGAGGCCGGATTTCCTAGCTGTGGCTTGAATACAGGCTCGTCTTTGATCTCACAACATGAAGGGATGTCTGAATCCCCTGTGGAGACCTTAGAGAAAGCCCTAGGTCCCTGCCTCATTTTGACGGAAGGCCTCACATCCCGCTGACACCTCGAGAGGCACGCGGAGTTCATTGCTTCAAAAGGTGACGATGCCTGACTCCTCTTGAATACTCATAGGAATCCCAAAATCCCTGTGGCTACTGGAAAGGGTCCTTGGGTGCCCTGCCTCACCTCGAGAAGCGTCCCTTTTGCCCTGCCAAGACTCGAAGAGATTCCTGAGGTGTCCCTCGTTACTAACAGGATTCCTGACGTCACTGAAGAAACTCGAGTTTGGAAGGGCCATCCCCGCCGTAAGTCGAGAACATAACCAAGGTCCCCGCCGCAACTCGAGAAAAACCATGAGACTTCCTCCTAGAGGCTAGATGAGGCCCCATTCCCCTGCAGTGCATGCAGAGCTATTCCTTGATCCCATTAAAACAAGTCAGGAGCTTCGACTTGCTTAACGGATCTCGAGACAGTCCGCAAGAACACTGTCACCAGTCTAGATGGACCCTGAGGTCACCCCAGCAACGCAAAGCAGCTCCATGTGCCCCAAATCAACTCGAGATGAGGCCCGATTCCCCTGCATTGACTCCAGAGCCATTCCCCGTTCCCCATTCAACACGACCGGTGGCTCGACTTCCTTCAGGCAACTCCAGAGATGCTCCGAGAACACTGTCCCAAGTCTAGAGGAACACCAACTTCAGCACAGCAACTCGAGGAATGCTCCGTGTACCCCAAATCGTCTCGAGATGAGAGCTGATTCCCTGGCTTAGGCTCAAGACGTATGCCAACTTTTCAGAAGCACCTCAGGAGGAGGCTTCTCTCAGCAATAGGTATGTGGGAGGGACCCCGAGTTCGCTGCCTCAAGGGGAATATACAGCGAGAAGCCCTAACTTGAAAGGAGGCCGGATTTCCTTGAAGTGGCTTGAATACAGGCTCGTCTTTCATCTCACAACATGAAGGGATGTCTGAATCCCCTGTGGAGACCTTAGAGAAAGCCCTAGGTCCCTGCCTCTTTTTGACGGAAGGCCTCACATCCCGCTGACACCTCGAGAGGCATGCGGAGTTCATTGCTTCAAAAGCTGAAGACGCCTGACTCCTCCTGAATACTCATAGGAATCCCAAAATCCCTGTGGCTACTGGAAAGGGTCCTTGGGTGCCCTGCCTCATCTCGAGAAGCGTCCCTTTTGCCCTGCCAAGCCTCGGAGAGATTCCTGAGGTGTCCCTCGTTATTAGACAGGAGTCCTGACGTCACTGAAGAAACTCGTGTTTGGAAGGGCCATCAACGCCGTAAGTCGAGAACATACCCCAGGTCCCCGCCGCAACTCGGGAAAAACCATGAGACTTCTCCCTAGAGGCGAGATGAGGCCCCATTCCCCTGCAGTGCATGCAGAGCTATTCCGTGATCCCATTCAAACAAGTCAGGAGCTTCGACTTGCTTAACGGATCTCGAGACAGTCCCCAAGAACACTGTCACCAGTCTAGACTGACCCTGAGGTCACCCCAGCAACGCAAAGCAGCTCCATGTGCCCCAAATCAACTCGAGATGAGGCCCGATTCCCCTGCATTGACTCCAGAGCCATTCCCCATTCCCCATTCAACACGACCGGTGGCTCGACTTCCTTCAGGCATCTCCAGAGATGCCCCGAGAACACTGTCCCAAGTCTAGAGGAACACCAACTTAAGCACAGCAACTCGAGGAATGCTCCGTGTACCCCAAATCGTCTCGAGATGAGAGCCGATTCCCTGGCTTAGGCTCAAGACGTATGCCAACTTTCCAGAAGCACCTAAGGAGGAGGCTTCTCTCAGCAATAGGTATGTGGGTGGGACCCCGAGTTCGCTGCCTCAAGGGGAATATACAGCGAGAAGCCCTAACTTGAAAGGACGCCGGATTTCCTTGCAGTGGCTTGAATACAGGATCGTATTTCATCTCACAACCTGAAGGGATGTCTGAATCCCCTGTGGAGACCTTAGAGAAAGCGCTAGGTCCCTGCCTCATTTTGACGGAAGGCCTCACATCCCGCTGACACCTCGAGAGGCACGCGGAGTTCATTGCTTCAAAAGGTGACGGTGCCTGACTCCTCCTGAATACTCATAGGAATCCCAAAATCCCTGTGGCTACTGGAAAGGGTCCTTGGGTGCCCTGCCTCATCTCGAGAAGCGTCCCTTTTGCCCTGCCAAGCCTCGAAGAGATTCCTGAGGTGTCCCTCGTTACTAGACAGGAGTCCTGACGTCACTGAAGAAACTCGTGTTTTGAAGGGCCACCCCCGCCGTAAGTCGAGAACATACCCCAGGTCCCCGCCGCAACTCGAGAAAAACCATGAGACTTCTCCCTAGAGGCGAGATGAGGCCCCATTCCCCTGCAGTGCATGCAGAGCTATTCCGTGATCCCATTCAAACAAGTCAGGAGCTTCGACTTGCTTAACGGATCTCGAGACAGTCCCCAAGAACACTGTCACCAGTCTAGACGGACCCTGAGGTCACCCCAGCAACGCAAAGCAGCTCCATGTGCCCCAAATCAACTCGAGATGAGGCCCGATTCCCCTGCATTGACTCCAGAGCCATTCCCCGTTCCCCATTCAACACGACCGGTGGCTCGACTTCCTTCAGGCAACTCCAGAGATACTCCGAAAACACTGTCCCAAGTCTAGAGGAACACCAACTTCAGCACAGCAACTCGAGGAATGCTCCGTGTACCCCAAATCGTCTCGAGATGAGAGCTGATTCCCTGGCTTAGGCTCAAGACGTATGCCAACTTTCCAGAAGCACCTCAGGAGGAGGCTTCTCTCAGCAATAGATACGTGGGAGGGACCCCGAGATCGCTGCCTCAAGTGGAATATACAGCGAGAAGTCCTAACTTGAAAGGAGGCCGAATTTCCGTGCAGTGGCTTGAATACAGGCTCATCTTTGATCTCAAAACATGAAGGGGTGTCTGAATATACTGTGGAGACCTTAGAGAAAGCCCTAGGTCCCTGCCTCATTTTGACGGAATGCCTCACATCCCGTTGACACGTCGAGAGGCACGCGGAGTTCATTGCTTCAAAAGGTGACGATGCCTGACTCCTCCTGAATACTCATAGGAAATCCAAAATCCCTGAGGCTACTGGAAAGGGTCCTTGGGTGCCCTGCCTCACCTCGAGAAGCGTCCCTTTTGCCCTGCCAAGCCTCGAAGAGATTCCTGAGGTGTCCCTCGTTACTAGACAGGAGTCCTGACGTCACTGAAGAAACTCGTGTTTGGAAGGGCCATCCCCGCCGTAAGTCGAGAACATACCCCAGGTCCCCGCCGCAACTCGAGAAAAACCATGAGACTTCCCCCTAGAGGCGAGATGAGGCCCCATTCCCCTGCAGTGCATGCAGAGCTATTCCGTGATCCCATTCAAACAAGTCAGGAGCTTCGACTTGCTTAATGGATCTCGAGACAGTCCCCAAGAACACTGTCACCAGTCTAGACGGACCCTGAGGTCACCCCAGCAACGCAAAGCAGCTCCATGTGCCCCAAATCAACTCGAGATGAGGCCCGATTCCCCTGCATTGACTCCAGAGCCATTCCCCGTTCCCCATTCAACACGACCGGTGGCTCGACTTCCTTCAGGCATCTCCAGAGATGCCCCGAGAACACTGTCCCAAGTCTAGAGGAACACCAACTTCAGCACAGCAACTCGAGGAATGCTCCGTGTACCCCAAATCGTCTCGACATGAGAGCTGATTCCCTGGCTTAGGCTCAATACATAGGCCAACTTTCCAGAAGCACCTCAGGAGGAGGCTTCTCTCAGCAATAGGTATGTGGGAGGGACCCCGAGATCGCTGCCTCAAGTAGAGTATACTGCGAGAATCCCTAACTTGAAAGGAGGCCGGATTTCCTTGCAGTGCCTTGAATACAGGCTCGTCTTTCATCTCACAACATGAAGGGATGTCTGAATCCCCTGTGGAGACCTTAGAGAAAGCCCTATGTCCCTGCCTCATTTTGACGGAATGCCTCACATCCCGTTGACCCCTCGAGAGGCACGCGGAGTTCATTGCTTCAAAAGGTGACGATTCCTGACTCCTCTGGTATATTGATAGGAATCCCAAAATCCATATGGCTACTGGAAAGGTTCCTTGGGTGCCCTGTCTCACCTCGAGAAGTGTCCCTTTTGCCCTGCCAAGCCTCAAAGACATTCCTGAGGTGTCCCTCGTTACTAGACAAGCATCCTGACGTCACGGAAGAAACTCGTGTTTTGAAGGGCCATCCCCGCCTTAAGTCGGGAACATACCCCAGGTCCCCGCCGCAACTCGAGAAAAACCATGAGACTTCCCCCTAGAGTCGAGAAGAGGCCCCATTACCCTGCAGTGCATGCAGAGCTATTCCGTGATCCCGTTCAAACAAGTCAGGAGCTTCGACTTGCTTAATCCATCTCGAGAGAGTCCCCAAGAACACTGTCACCAGTCTAGACGGACCCTGAGTACAGCCCAGCAATGCAAAGCAGCTCCATGTGCCCCAAATCAACACGAGATGAGGCCCGATTCCCCTGCATTGACTCCAGAGCCATTCCCCGTTTCCCATTCAACACGACCGGTGGCTCGACTTCCTTCAGGCAACACCAGAGATGCCCCGAGAACACTGTCCCAAGTCTAGAGGAACACCAACTTCAGCACAGCAACTCGAGGAATGCTCCTTGTACCCCAAATCGTCTCGAGATGAGAGCTGATTCCCTGGCTTAGGCTCAAGACGTATGCCAACTGTCCAGAAGCACCTCAGGAGGAGGCTTCTCTCAGAAATAGGTACGTGGGAGGGACCCCGAGATCGCTGCCTCAAGTGGAATATACAGCGAGAAGACCTAACTTGAAAGGAGGCCGGATTTCCTTGCAGTGGCTTGAATACAAGCTCGTCTTTGATCTCAAAACATGAAGGGGTGTCTGAATCCACTGTGGAGACCTTAGAGAAAGCCCTAGGTCCCTGCCTCATTTTGACGGAATGCCTCACATCCCGTTGACACCTCAAGAGGCACGCGGAGTTCATTGCTTCAAAAGGTGACGATGCCTGACTCCTCTTGAATACTGATAGGAATCCCAAAATCCCTGTGGCTACTGGAAAGGGTACTTGGGTGCCCTGCCTCACCTCGAGAAGCGTCCCTTTTGCCCTGCCAAGCCTCGAAGAGATTCCTGAGGTGTCCCTCGTTACTAGACAGGAGTCCTGACGTCACTGAAGAAACTCGTGTTTAGAAGGGCCATCCCCGCCGTAAGTCGAGAACATACCCCAGGTCCCCGCCGCAACTCGAGAAAAACCATGAGACTTCTCCCTAGAGGCGAGATGAGGCCCCATTCCCCTGCAGTGCATGCAGAGCTATTCCGTGATCCCATTCAAACAAGTCAGGAGCTTCGACTTGCTTAACGGATCTCGAGACAGTCCCCAAGAACACTGTCACCAGTCTAGACGGACCCTGAGGTCACCCCAGCAACGCAAAGCAGCTCCATGTGCCCCAAATCAACTCGAGATGAGGCCCGATTCCCCTGCATTGACTCCAGAGCCATTCCCCATTCCCCACTCAACACGACCGGTGGCTCGACTTCCTTCAGGCATCTCCAGAGGTGCCCCGAGAACACTGTCCCAAGTCTAGAGGAACACCAACTTCAGCACAGCAACTCGAGGAATGCTCCGTGTACCCCAAATCGTCTCGAGATGAGAGCTGATTCCCAGGCTTAGGCTCAAGACGTATGGCAACTTTCCAGAAGCACCTCAGGAGGAGGCTTCTCTCAGCAATAGGTATGTGGGAGGGACCCCGAGTTTGCTGCCTCAAGGGGAATATACAGCGAGAAGCCCTAACTTGAAAGGAGGCCGGATTTCCTTGCAGTGGCTTGAATACAGGCTCGTCTTTCATCTCACAACATGAAGGGATGTCTGAATCCCCTGTGGAGACCTTAGAGAAAGCCCTAGGTCCCTGCCTCATTTTGACGGAAGGCCTCACATCACGCTGACACCTCGAGAGGCACGCGGAGTACATTGCTTCAAAAGGTGACGGTACCTGACTCCTCCTGAATACTCATAGGAATCCCAAAATCCCTGTGGCTACTGGAAAGGGTCCTTGGGTGCCCTGCCTCATCTCGAGAAGCGTCCCTTTTGCCCTGCCAAGCCTCGAAGAGATTCCTGAGGTTTCCCTCGTTACTAGACAGGAGTCCTGACGTCACTGAAGAAACTCGTGTTTGGAAGGGCCATCCCCGCCGTAAGTCGAGAACATACCCCAGGTCCCCGCCGCAACTCGAGAAAAACCATGAGACTTCTCCCTAGAGGCGAGATGAGGCCCCATTCCCCTGCAGTGCATGCAGAGCTATTCCGTGATCCCATTCAAACAAGTCAGGAGCTTCGACTTGCTTAACGGATCTCGAGACAGTCCCCAAGAACACTGTCACCAGTCTAGACGGACCCTGAGGTCACCCCAGCAACGCAAAGCAGCTCCATGTGCCCCAAATCAACTCGAGATGAGGCCCGATTCCCCTGCATTGACTCCAGAGCCATTCCCCATTCCCCATTCAACACGACCGGTGGCTCGACTTCCTTCAGGCATCTCCAGAGATGCCCCGAGAACACTGTCCCAAGTCTAGAGGAACACCAACTTCAGCACAGCAACTCGAGGAATGCTCCGTGTACGCCAAATCGTCTCGAGATGAGAGCCGATTCCCTGGCTTAGGCTCAAGACGTATGCCAGCTTTCCAGAAGCACCTCAGGAGGAGGCTTCTCTCAGCAATAGGTATGTGGGAGGGACCCCGAGTTCGCTGCCTCAAGGGGAATATACAGCGAGAAGCCCTAACTTGAAAGGAGGCCGGATTTCCTTGCAGTGGCTTGAATACAGGCTCGTATTTCATCTCACAACATGAAGGGATGTCTGAATCCCCTGTGGAGACCTTAGAGAAAGCCCTAGGTCCCTGCCTCATTTTGACGGAAGGCCTCACATCCCGCTGACACCTCGAGAGGCACGCGGAGTTCATTGCTTCAAAAGGTGACGGTGCCTGACTCCTCCTGAATACTCATAGGAATCCCAAAATCCCTGTGGCTACTGGAAAGGGTCCTTGGGTGCCCTGCCTCATCTCGAGAAGCGTCCCTTTTACCCTGCCAAGCCTCGAAGAGATTCCTGAGGTGTTCCTCGTTACTAGACAGGAGTCCTGACGTCACTGAAGAAACTCGTGTTTGGAAGGGCCATCCCCGCCATAAGTCGTGAACATAACCCAGGTCCCTGCCGCAACTCGAGAAAAACCATGAGACTTCCCCCTAGAGGCGAGATGAGGCCCCATTCCCCTGCAGTGCATGCAGAGCTATTCCTTGATCCCATTCAAACAAGTCAGGAGCTTCGACTTGCTTAACGGATCTCGAGACAGTCCCCAAGAACACTGTCACCAGTCTAGACGGACCCTGAGGTCACCCCAGCAACGCAAAGCAGCTCCATGTGCCCCAAATCAACTCGAGATGAGGCCCGATTCCCCTGCATTGACTCCAGAGCCATTCCCCGTTCCCCATTCAACACGACCGGTGGCTCGACTTCCTTCAGGCAACTCCAGAGATGCTCCGAAAACACTGTCCCAAGTCTAGAGGAAAACCAACTTCAGCACAGCAACTCGAGGAATGCTCCGTGTACCCCAAATCGTCTCGAGATGAGAGCTGATTCCCTGGCTTAGGCTCAATACATAGGCCAACTTTCCAGAAGCACCTCAGGAGGAGGCTTCTCTCAGCAATAGATACGTGGGAGGGACCCCGAGATCGCTGCCTCAAGTTGAATATACAGCGAGAAGTCCTAACTTGAAAGGAGGCCGGATTTCCGTGCAGTGGCTTGAATACAGGCTCATCTTTGATCTCAAAACATGAAGGGGTGTCTGAATATACTGTGGAGACCTTAGAGAAGGCCCTAGGTCCCTGCCTCATTTTGACGGAATGCCTCACATCCCGTTGACACCTCGAGAGGCACGCGGAGTTCATTGCTTCAAAAGGTGACGATGCCTGACTCCTCCTGAATACTCATAGGAATCCCAAAATCCCTGTGGCTACTGGAAAGGGTCCTTGGGTGCCCTGCCTCACCTCGAGAAGCGTCCCTTTTGCCCTGCCAAGCCTCGAAGAGATTCCTGAGGTGTCCCTCGTTACTAGACAGGAGTCGTGACGTCACTGAAGAAACTCGTGTTTGGAAGGGCCATCCCCGCCGTAAGTCGAGAACATACCCCAGGTCCCCGCCGCAACTCGAGAAAAACCATGAGACTTCCCCCTATAGGCGAGATGAGGCCCCATTCCCCTGCAGTGCATGCAGAGCTATTCCGTGATCCCATTCAAACAAGTCAGGAGCTTCGACTTGCTTAACGGATCTCGAGACAGTCCCAAAGAACACTGTCACCAGTCTAGACGGACCCTGAGGTCACCCCAGCAACGCAAAGCAGCTCCATGTGCCCCAAATCAACTCGAGATGAGGCCTGATTCCCCTGCATTGACTCCAGAGCCATTCCCCGTTCCCCATTCAACACGACCGGTGGCTCGACTTCCTTCAGGCATCTCCAGAGATGCCCCGAGAACACTGTCCCAAGTCTAGAGGAACACCAACTTCAGCACAGCAACTCGAGGAATGCTCCGTGTACCCCAAATCGTCTCGACATGAGAGCTGATTCCCTGGCTTAGGCTCAAGACGTATGCCAACTTTCCAGAAGCACCTCAGGAGGAGGCTTCTCTCAGCAATAGGTATGTGGGAGGGACCCCGAGATCGCTGCCTCAAGTAGAGTATACTGCGAGAATCCCTAACTTGAAAGGAGGCCGGATTTCCTTGCAGTGCCTTGAATACAGGCTCGTCTTTCATCTCACAACATGAAGGGATGTCTGAATCCCCTGTGGAGACCTTAGAGAAAGCCCTATTTCCCTGCCTCATTTTGACGGAATGCCTCACATCCCGTTGACCCCTCGAGAGGCACGCGGAGTTCATTGCTTCAAAAGGTGAAGATGCCTGACTCCTCTGGTATATTGATAGGAATCCCAAAATCCATATGGCTACTGGAAAGGTTCCTTGGGTGCCCTGTCTCACCTCGAGAAGTGTCCCTTTTGCCCTGCCAAGCCTCGAAGACATTCCTGAGGTGTCCCTCGTTACTAGACAAGCATCCTGACGTCACGGAAGAAACTCGTGTTTTGAAGGGCCATCCCCGCCTTAAGTCGGGAACATACCCCAGGTCCCTGCCGCAACTCGAGAAAAACCATGAGACTTCCCCCTAGAGTCGAGAAGAGGCCCCATTCCCCTGCAGTGCATGCAGAGCTATTCCGTGATCCCGTTCAAACAAGTCAGGAGCTTCGACTTGCTTAATCCATCTCGAGAGAGTCCCCAAGAACACTGTCACCAGTCTAGACGGACCCTGAGGTCACCCCAGCAATGCAAAGCAGGTCCATGTGCCCCAAATCAACACGAGATGAGGCCCGATTCCCCTGCATTGACTCCAGAGCCATTCCCCGTTTCCCATTCAACACGACCGGTGGCTCGACTTCCTTCAGGCAACTGCAGAGATGCCCCGAGAACACTGTCCCAAGTCTAGAGGAACACCAACTTCAGCACAGCAGCTCGAGGAATGCTCCGTGTACCCCAAATCGTCTCGAGATGAGAGCTCATTCCCTGGCTTAGGCTCAAGACGTATGCCAACTGTCCAGAAGCACCTCAGGAGGAGGCTTCTCTCAGAAATAGGTACGTGGGAGGGACCCCGAGATCGCTGCCTCAAGTGGAATATACAGCGAGAAGACCTAACTTGAAAGGAGGCCGGATTTCCTTGCAGTGGCTTGAATACAGGCTCGTCTTTCATCTCAAAACATGAAGGGGTGCCTGAATCCACTGTGGAGACCTTAGAGAAAGCCCTAGGTCCTTGCCTCATTTTGACGGAATGCCTCACATCCCGTTGACACCTCAAGAGGCACGCGGAGTTCATTGCTTCAAAAGGTGACGATGCCTGACTCCTCTTGAATACTGATAGGAATCCCAAAATCCCTGTGGCTACTAGAAAGGGTACTTGGGTGACCTTTCTCACCGCGAGAAGCGTCCCTTTTGCCCTGCCAAGCCTCGAAGAGATTCCTCAGATGTCCCTCGTTACTAGACAGGAGTCCTGACGTCACTGAAGAAACTCGTGTTTGGAAGGGCCAACCCCGCCGTAAGTCGAGAATATACCCCAGGTCCCCGCCGCACCTCGAGAAAAACAATGAGACTTCCCCCTAGAGGCGAGATGAGGCCCCATTCCCCTGCAGTGCATGCAGAGCTATTCCGTGATCCCATTCAAACAAGTCAGGAGCTTCGACTTGCTTAACGGATCTCGAGACAGTCCCCAAGAACACTGTCACCAGTCTAGACGGACCCTGAGGTCACCCCAGCAACGCAAAGCAGCTCCATGTGCCCCAAATCAACTCGAGATGAGGCCCGATTCCCCTGCATTGACTCCAGAGCCATTCCCCGTTCCCCATTCAACACGACCGGTGGCTCGACTTCCTTCAGGCATCTCCAGAGATGCCCCGAGAACACTGTCCCAAGTCTAGAGGAACACCAACTTCAGCACAGCAACTCGAGGAATGCTCCGTGTACCTCAAATCGTCTCGAGATGAGAGCCGATTCCCTGGCTTAGGCTCAAGACATATGCCAACTTTCCAGAAGCACCTCAGGAGGAGGCTTCTCTCAGCAATAGGTATGTGGGAGGGACCCCGAGTTCGCTGCCTCAAGTAGAGTATACTGTGAGAATCCCTAACTTGAAAGGAGGCCGAATTTCCTTGCAGTGGCTTGAAGACAGGCTCGTCTTTCATCTCACAACATGAAGGGATGTCTGAATCCCCTGTGGAGACCTTAGAGAAAGCCCTAGGTCCCTGCCTCATTTTGACGGAATGCCTCATATCGCGTTGACCACTCGAGAGGCACGCGGAGTTCATTGCTTCAAAAGGTGACGATGCCTGACTCCTCTGGAATATTGATAGGAATCCCAAAATCCATATGGCTATTGGAAAGGTTCCTTGGGTGCCCTGTCTCACCTCGAGAAGTGTCCCTTTTGCCCTGCCAAGCCTCGAAGACATTCCTGAGGTGTCCCTCGTTACTAGACAAGCATCCTGACGTCACGGAAGAAACTCGTGTTTGGAAGGGCCATCCCCGCCTTAAGTCGAGAACATACACCAGGTCCCCGCCGCAACTCGAGAAAAACCATGAGACTTCCCCCTAGAGGCGAGATGAGGCCCCATTCCCCTGCAGTGCATGCAGAGCTATTCCGTGATCCCATTCAAACAAGTCAGGAGCTTCGACTTGCTTAACGGATCTCGAGACAGTCCCCAAGAACACTGTCACCAGTCTAGACGGACCCTGAGGTCACCCCAGCAACACAAAGCAGCTCCATGTCCCCCAAATGAACTCGAGATGAGGCCCGATTCCCCTGCATTGACTCCAGAGCCATTCCCCGTTCCCCATTCAACACGACCGGTGGCTCGACTTCCTTCAGGCATCTCCAGAGATGCCCCGAGAACACTGTCCCAAGTCTAGAGGAACACCAACTTCAGCACAGCAACTCGAGGAATGCTCCGTGTACCCCAAATCGTCTCGAGATGAGAGCTGATTCCCTGGCTTAGGCTCAAGACGTATGCCAACTTTCCAGAAGCACCTCAGGAGGAGGCTTCTCTCAGCAATAGGTATGTGGAGGGACCCCGAGTTTGCTGCCTCAAGGGGAATATACAGCGAGAAGCCCTAACTTGAAAGGAGGCCAGATTTCCAAGCTGTGGCTTGAATACAGGCTCGTCTTTGATCTCACAACATGAAGGGATGTCTGAATCCCCTGTGGAGACCTTAGAGAAAGCCCTAGGTCCATGCCTCATTTTGTCGGAATGCCTCACATCCCGTTGACACCTCGAGAGGCACGCGGATTTTATTGCTTCAAAAGGTGAGGACGCCTGACTCCTCTTGAATACTGATAGGAATCCCAAAATCCCTGTGGCTACTGGAAAGGGTCCTAGGGTGCCCTGCCTCACCGCGAGAAGCCCCTCTTTTGCCTCCCAAGCCTCGAAGTGATTTCTGTTGTGTCCCTCGTTACTAGACAGGAGTCCTGACGTCACTGAAGAAACTCGTGTTTTGAAGGGCCATCCCCGCCGTAAGTCGAGAACATACCCAGGTCCCCGCCGCAATTCGAGAAAAACCATGAGACTTCCCCCTAGAGGCGAGTTGAGGCCCCATTCCCCTGAAGTGCATGCAGAGCTATTCGGTGATGCCCATCAAACAAGTCAAGAGCTTCAACTTGCTTAATGGATCTCGAGACAGTCCCCAAGAACACTGTCAATAGTCTAGACGTACCCTGAGGTCACCCCAGCAATGCAAAGCAGCTCCATGTGCCCCAAATCAACTCGAGATGAGGCCCGATTCCCCTGCATTGACTCCAGAGCCATTCCCCGTTCCCCATTCAACACGACCGGTGGCTCGACTTCCTTCAGGCAACTCCAGAGATGCCCCGAGAACACTGTCCCAAGTCTAGAGGAACACCAACTTCAGCACAGCAACTCGAGGAATGCTCCGTGTACACCAAATCGTCTCGAGATGAGAGCTGATTCCCTGGCTTAGGCTCAAGACGTATGCCAACTTTCCAGAAGCACCTCAGGAGGAGGCTTCTCTCAGCAATATGTATGTGGGAGGGAGCCCGAGATCGCTGCCTCAAGTAGAGTATTCTTCGAGAATCCCTAACTTGAAAGGAGGCCGGATTTACTTGCAGTGCCTTGAATGCAGGCTCGTCTTTCATCTCACAACATGAAGAGATGTCTGAATCCCCTGTGGAGACCTTAGAGAAAGCCCTAGGTCCCTGCCTCCTTTTGACGGAAGGCCTCAGATCCCGCTGACACCTCAAGAGGCACGCAGAGTTCATTGCTTCAAAAGGTGACGATGCCTGACTCCTCTTGAATACTGATAGGAATCCCAAAATCACTGTGGCTACTGGAAAGGTTCCTTGGGTGCCCTGCCTGACCTTGAGAAGCATCCCTTTTGCCCTGCCAAGCCTCGAAGAGATTCCTGAGGTGTCCCTCGTTACTAGACAAGAGTCCTGACGTCACTGAAGAAACTCGTGTTTTGAAGGGACATCCCCGCCGTAAGTCGCGACCATACCCCAGGTCCCGCCACAACTCGAGAAAAACCATGAGCCTTCCTCCTAGAGCCGAGATGAGGCCCCATTCCCCTGCAGTGCATGCAGAGCTATTCCGTGATCCCACTCAAACAGTCAGGAGCTTCGACTTGCTTAATGGATCTCGAGACAGTCCCCAAGAAGACTGTCACCAGTCTAGACGGACTCTGAGGTCACCCCAGCAAAGCAAGGCAGCTCCATGTGCCCCAAATCAACTCGAGATGAGGCCCGATTCCCCTGCATTGACTCCAGAGCCATTCCCCGTTCCCCATTCAACACGACCGGTGGCTCGACTTCCTTCAGGCAACTCCAGAGATGCCCCGAGAACACTGTACCAAATCTAGAGGAACACCAACTTGAGCACAGCAACTCGAGGAAAGCTCCGTGTACCCCAAATCGTCTCGAGATGAGAGCTGATTCCCTGGCTTAGGCTCAAGACGTATGCCAACTTTTCAAAAGCACCTCACGAGGAGGCTTCTCTCAGCAATATGTATGTGGGAGGGACCCCGAGAACGCTGCCTCAAGTGCAATATATAGCGAGAAGCCCTAACTTGAAAGGAGGCCGGGTTTCCTTGCAGTGGCTTGAATACAGGCTCGTCTTTGATCTCAAACCATGAAGGGATGTCTGAATCCCCTGGGGAGACCTTAGAGAAAGCCCTAGGTCCCTGCCTCATTTTGACGGAATGCCTCACATCCCGTTGACACCTCGAGAGGCACGCGGAGTTCATTGCTTCAAAAGGTGACAATGCCTGACTCCTCTTGAATACTGATAGGAAACCCAAAACCCTGTGGCTACTAGAAAGGGTCCTTGGGTGCCCTGCCTCACCGCGAGAAGCCTCCCTTTTGCCCTCCCAAGCCTCAAAGTGATTTCTGAGTTGTCCCTCGTTACTAGACAGGAGTCCTGACGTCACTGAAGAAACTCGTGTTTTGAAGGGCCATCCCCGCGTAAGTCGAGAATATACCCCAGGTGCCCGCCGCAACTCGAGAAAAACCATGAGACTTCCCCCTAGAGGCGAGATGAGGCCCCATTCCCCTGCAGTGCATGCAGAGATATTCGGTGATCCCCATCAAACAAGTCAGGAGCTTCAACTTGCATAATGGATCTCGAGACAGTCCTCAAGAACACTGTCACCAGTCTAGACGGACCCTGAGGTCACCCCAGCAACGCAAGGCAGCTCCATGGGCCCCAAATCAACTCGAGATGAGGCCCGATTCCCCTGCATTGACTCCAGAGCCATTCCCCGTTCCCTATTCAACACGACCGGTGGCTCGACTTCCTTCAGGCAACTCCAGAGATGCCCCGAGAACACTGTCCCAAGGCTAGAGGAACACCAACTTCATCACAGCAACTCGAGAAATGCTCCGTGTACCCCAAATCGTCTCGAGATGAGAGCTGATTCCCTGGCTTAGGCTCAAGGCGTATGCCAACTTTCCAAAAGCACCTCAGGAGGAGGCTTCTCTCAGCAATAGATATGTGGGAGGGACCCCGAGTTCACTGCCTCAAGTGGAATATACAGCGAGAAGCCCTAACTTGAAAGGAGGCCGGATGTCCTTGCAGTGGCTTGAATACAGGCTCGTCTTTGATCTCAAAACATGAAGGGATGTCTCAATCCCCTGTGGAGACCTTAGAGAAAGCGCTAGGTCCCTGCCTCATTTTGACGGAATGCCTCACATCCCGTTGACACCTCGAGAGGCACGCGGAGTTCATTGCTTCAAAAGGTGACGATGCCTGACTCCTCTTGAATACTGATAGGAATCCCAAAATCCCTGTGGCTCCTGGAAAGTGTCCTTGGGTGCCCTGCCTCACCGCGAGAAGCCTCTCTTTTGCCTCCCAAGCCTCGAAGTGTTTTCTGAGGTGTCCCTCGTTACTAGACAGGAGTCCTGACGTCACTGAAGAAACTCGTGTTTTGAAGGGCCATCCCCGCCATAAGTCGAGAACATACCCCAGGTCCCCTCCGCAACTGGATAAAAACCATGAGACTTCCCCCTAGAGGCGAGATGAGGCCCCATTCCCCTGCAGTGCATGCAGAGCTATTCCGTGATCCCGTTCAAACAAGTCAGGAGCTTCGACTTGCTTAATCCATCTCGAGAGAGTACCCAAGAACACTGTCACCAGTCTAGACGGACCCTGAGGTCACCCCAGCAATGCAAAGCAGCTCCATGTGCCCCAAATCAACACGAGATGAGGCCCGATTCCCCTGCATTGACTCCAGAGCCATTCCCCGTTTCCCATTCAACACGACCGGTGGCTCGACTTCCTTCAGGCAACTCCAGAGATGCCCCGAGAACACTGTCCCAAGTCTAGAGGAACACCAACTTCAGCACAGCAACTCGAGGAATGCTCCGTGTACCCCAAATCGTCTCGAGATGAGAGCTGATTCCCTGGCTTAGGCTCAAGACGTATGCCAACTGTCCAGAAGCACCTCAGGAGGAGGCTTCTCTCAGAAATAGGTACGTGGGAGGGACCCCGAGATCGCTGCCTCAAGTGGAATATACAGCGAGAAGACCTAACTTGAAAGGAGGCCGGATTTCCTTGCAGTGGCTTGAATACAGGCTCGTATTTCATCTCAAAACATGAAGGGGTGCCTGAATCCACTGTGGAGACCTTAGAGAAAGCCCTAGGTCCCTGCCTCATTTTGACGGAATGCCTCACATCCCGTTGACACCTCAAGAGGCACGCGGAGTTCATTGCTTCAAAAGGTGACGATGCCTGACTCCTCTTGAATACTGATAGGAATCCCAAAATCCCTGTGGCTACTGGAAATGGTACTTGGGTGCCCTGTCTCACCGCGAGAAGCGTCCCTTTTGCCCTGCCAAGCCTCGAAGAGATTCCTGAGGTGTCCCTCGTTACTAGACAGGAGTTCTGACGTCACTGAAGAAACTCGTGTTTGGAAGGGCCATCCCCGCCTTAAGTCGAGAGCATACCAAAGGACCCCGCCGCAACTCGAGAAAAACCATGAGACTTCCCACTAGAGGCGAGATGAGGCCCCATTCCCCTGCAGTGCATGCAGAGCTATTACGTGATCCCGTTCAAACAAGTCAGGAGCTGCGACTTGCTTAATGGATCTCGAGACAGTCCCCAAGAACACTGTCACCAGTCTAGACGGACCCTGAGGTCACCCCAGCAACGCAAAGCAGCTCCATGTGCCCCAAATCAATGCGAGATGAGGCCCGATTCCCTTGCATTTACTCCAGAGCAATGCCCCGTTTCCCATTCAACACGACCGGTGGCTCGACTTCCTTCAGGCAACTCCAGAGATGCACCGAGAACACTGTCCCAAGTCTAGAGGAACAGGAACTTCAGCACAGCAACTCGAGGAATGCTCCGAGTACCCCAAATCGTCTCGAGATGAGAGATGATTCCCTGGCTTAGGCTCAAGACGTATGCCAACTTTCCAGAAGCACCTCAGGAGGAGGCTTCTCTCAGCAATAGGTATGTGGGACGGACCCCGCGATCGCTGCCTCAAATGGAATATACAGCGAGAAGCCCTAACTTGAAAGGAGGCCGGATTTCCTTGCAGTGGCTTGATTACAGGCTCATCTTTGATCTCAAAACATGAAGGGATGTCTGATTCCCCTGTGGAGAACTTAGAGAAAGCCCTAGGTCCCTGCCTCATTTTGACGGAATGCCTCACATCCCGTTGACACCTAGAGAAGCACGCGGAGTTCATTGCTTCAAAAGGTGACGATGCCTGACTCCTCTTGAATACTGATAGGAATCCCAAAATACCTGTGGCTACTGGAAAGGTTCCTTGGGTGCCCTCCCTGTCTTCGAGAAGCATCCCTTTTGCCCTGCCAAGCCTCGAAGAGATTCCTGATGTGTCCCTCGTTACTAGACAGGAGTCCTGACGTCACTGAAGAAACTCGTGTTTTGAAGGGCTATCCCCGCCTTAAGTCGAGAACATACCCCAGGTCCCCGCCGCAACTCGAGAAAAACCATGAGACTTCCCCCTAGAGGCGAGATGAGGCCCCATTCCCCTGCAGTGCATGCAGAGCTATTCCGTGATCCCATTTAAACAAGTCAGGAGCTTCGACTTGCTTAACGGATCTCGAGACAGTCCCCAAGAACACTGTCACCAGTCTAGACGGACCCTGAGGTCACCCCAGCAACGCAAAGCAGCTCCATGTGCCCCAAATCAACCCGAGATGAGGCCCGATTCCCCTGCATTGACTCCAGAGCCATTCCCCGCTCCCCATTCAACACGACCGGTGGCTCGACTTCCTTCAGGCATCTCCAGAGATGCCCCGAGAACACTGTCCCAAGTCTAGAGGAACACCAACTTCAGCACAGCAACTCGAGGAATGCTCTGTGTACCCCAAATCGTCTCTAGATGAGAGCTGATTCCCTGGCTTAGGCTCAAGACGTATGCCAACTTTCCAGAAGCACCTCAGGAGGAGGCTTCTCTCAGCAATAGGTATGTGGGAGGGACCCCAAGTTTGCTGCCTCAAGGGGAATATACAGCGAGAAGCCCTAACTTGAAAGGAGGCCGGATTTCCTTGAAGTGGCTTGAATACAGGCTCGTCTTTCATCTCACAACATGAAGGGATGTCTGAATCCCCTGTGGAGACCTTAGAGAAAGCCCTAGGTCCCTGCCTCTTTTTGATGGAAGGCCTCACATCCCGCTGACACCTCGAGAGGCATGCGGAGTTCATTGCTTCAAAAGGTGAAGACGCCTGACTCCTCCTGAATACTCATAGGAATCCCAAAATCCCTGTGGCTACTGGAAAGGGTCCTTGGGTGCCCTGCCTCACCTCGAGAAGCGTCCCTTTTGCCCTGCCAAGCCTCGGAGAGATTCCTGAGGTGTCCCTCGTTACTAGACAGGAGTCCTGACGTCACTGAAGAAACTCGTGTTTGGAAGGGCCATCCCCGCCGTAAGTCGAGAACATACCCCAGGTCCCCGCCGCAACTCGAGAAAAACCATGAGACTTCTCCCTAGAGGCGAGATGAGGCCCCATTCCCCTGCAGTGCATGCAGAGCTATTCCGTGATCCCATTCAAACAAGTCAGGAGCTTCGACTTGCTTAACGGATCTCGAGAGAGTCCCCAAGAACACTGTCACCAGTCTAGACGGACCCTGAGGTCACCCCAGCAACGCAAAGCAGCTCCATGTGCCCCAAATCAACTCGAGATGAGGCCCGATTCCCCTGCATTGAATCCAGAGCCATTCCCCATTCCCCATTCAACACGACCGGTGGCTCGACTTCCTTCAGGCATCTCCAGAGATGCCCCGAGAACACTGTCCCAAGTCTAGAGGAACACCAACTTAAGCACAGCAACTCGAGGAATGCTCCGTGTACCCCAAATCGTCTCGAGATGAGAGCCGATTCCCTGGCTTAGGCTCAAGACGTATGCCAACTTTCCAGAAGCACCTCAGGAGGAGGCTTCTCTCAGCAATAGGTATGTGGGAGGGACCCCGAGTTCGCTGCCTCAAGGGGAATATACAGCGAGAAGCCCTAACTTGAAAGGAGGCCGGATTTCCTTGCAGTGGCTTGAATACAGGCTCGTATTTCATCTCACAACATGAAGGGATGTCTGAATCCCCTGTGGAGACCTTAGAGAAAGCCCTAGGTCCCTGCCTCATTTTGACGGAAGGCCTCACATCCCGCTGACACCTCGAGAGGCACGCGGACTTCATTGCTTCAAAAGGTGACGATGCCTGACTCCTCCTGAATACTCATAGGAATCACAAAATCCCTGTGGCTACTGGAAAGGGTCCTTGGGTGCCCTGCCTCATCTCGAGAAGCGTCCCTTTTGCCCTGCCAAGCCTCGAAGAGATTCCTGAGGTGTCCCTCGTTACTAGACAGGAGTCCTGACGTCACTGAAGAAACTCGTGTTTGGAAGGGCCATCCCCGCCGTAAGTCGAGAACATACCCCAGGTCCCTCCCGCAACTCGAAAAAAACCATGAGACTTCCCCCTAGAGGCGAGATGAGGCCCCATTCCCCTGCAGTGCATGCAGAGCTATTCCGTGATCCCATTCAAACAAGTCAGGAGCTTCGACTTGCTTAACGGATCTCGAGACAGTCCCCAAGAACACTGTCACCAGTCTAGACGGACCCTGAGGTCACCCCAGCAACGCAAAGCAGCTCCATGTGCCCCAAATCAACTCGAGATGAGACCCGATTCCCCTGCATTGACTCCAGAGCCATTCCCCGTTCCCCATTCAACACGAACGGTGGCTCGACTTCCTTCAGGCAGCTCCAGAGATGCTCCGAAAACACTGTCCCAAGTCTAGAGGAACACCAACTTCAGCACAGCAACTCGAGGAATGCTCCGTGTACACCAAATCGTCTCGAGATGACAGCTGATTCCCTGGCTTAGGCTCAAGACGTATGCCAACTTTCCAGAAGCATCTCAGGAGGAGGCTTCTCTCAGCAATAGGTACGTGGGAGGGACCCCGAGATCGCTGCCTCAAGTGGAATATACAGCGAGAAGTCCTAACTTGAAAGGAGGCCGGATTTCCGTGCAGTGGCTTGAATACAGGCTCATCTTTGATCTCAAAACATGAAGGGGTGTCTGAATCCACTGTGGAGACCTTAGAGAAAGACCTAGGTCCCTGCCTCATTTTGACGGAATGCCTCACATCCCGTTGACACGTCGAGAGGCACGCGGAGTTCATTGCTTCAAAAGGTGACGATGCCTGACTCCTCCTGAATACTCGTAGGAATCCCAAAATCCCTGTGGCTACTGGAAAGGGTCCTTGGGTGCCCTGCCTCACCTCGAGAAGCGTCCCTTTTCCCCTGCCAAGCCTCGAAGAGATTCCTGAGTTGTCCCTCGTTACTAGACAGGAGTCCTGACGTCACTGAAGAAACTCGTGTTTGGAAGGGCCATCCCCGCCGTAAGTCGAGAACATACCCCAGGTCCCCGCCGCAACTCGAGAAAAACCATGAGACTTCCCTCTAGAGGCGAGATGAGGCCCCATTCCCCTGCAGTGCATGCAGAGCTATTCCGTGATCCCATTCAAACAAGTCAGGAGCTTCGACTTGCTTAACGGATCTCGAGACAGTCCCCAAGAACACTGTCACCAGTCTAGACGGACCCTGAGGTCACCCCAGCAACGCAAAGCAGCTCCATGTGCCCCAAATCAACTCGAGATGAGGCCCGATTCCCCTGCATTGACTCCAGAGCCATTCCCCGTTCCCCATTCAACACGACCGGTGGCTCGACTTCCTTCAGGCATCTCCAGAGATGCCCCGAGAACACTGTCCCAAGTCTAGAGGAACACCAACTTCAGCACAGCAACTCGAGGAATGCTCCGTGTACCCCAAATCGTCTCGAGATGAGAGCTGATTCCCTGGCTTAGGCTCAAGACATATGCCAACTTTCCAGAAGCACCTCAGGAGGAGGCTTCTCTCAGCAATAGGTATGTGGGAGGGACCCCGAGATCGCTGCCTCAAGTAGAGTATACTGCGAGAATCCCTAACTTGAAAGGAGGCCGGATTTCCTTGCAGTGCCTTGAATACAGGCTCGTCTTTCATCTCACAACATGAAGGGATGTCTGAATCCCCTGTGGAGACCTTAGAGAAAGCCCTATGTCCCTGCCTCATTTTGACGGAATGCCTCACATCCCGTTGACCCCTCGAGAGGCACGCGGAGTTCATTGCTTCAAAAGGTGACGATGCCTGACTCCTCTGGTATATTGATAGGAATCCCAAAATCCATATGGCTACTGGAAAGGTTCCTTGGGTGCCCTGTCTCACCTCGAGAAGTGTCCCTTTTGCCCTGCCAAGCGTCGAAGACATTCCTGAGGTGTCCCTCGTTACTAGAGAAGCATCCTGACGTCACGGAAGAAACTCGTGTTTTGAAGGGCCATCCCCGCCGTAAGTCGAGAACATACCCCAGGTCCCCGCCGCAACTCGAGAAAAACCATTAGACTTCTCCCTTGAGGCGAGATGAGGCCCCATTCCCCTGCACTGCATGCAGAGCTATTCCGTGATCCCATTCAAACAAGTCAGGAGCTTCGACTTGCTTATCGGATCTCGAGACAGTCCCCAAGAACACTGTCACCAGTCTAGACGGACCCTGAGGTCATCCCAGCAACGCAAAGCAGCTCCATGTGCCCCAAATCAACTCGAAATGAGGCCCGATTCCCCTGCATTGACTCCAGAGCCATTCCCCGTTCCCCATTCAACACGACAGGTGGCTCGACTTCCTTCAGGCATCTCCAGAGATGCCCCGAGAACACTGTCCCAAGTCTAGAGGAACACCAACTTCAGCACAGCAACTCGAGGAATGCTCCGTGTACCCCAAATCGTCTCGAGATGAGAGCTGATTCCCAGGCTTAGGCTCAAGACGTATGCCAACTTTCCAGAAGCACCTCAGGAGGAGGCTTCTCTCAGCAATAGGTATGTGGGAGGGACCCCGAGTTTGCTGCCTCAAGGGGAATATACAGCGAGAAGCCCAAACTTGAAAGGAGGCCGGATTTCCTTGCAGTGGCTTGAATACAGGCTCGTCTTTCATCTCACAACATGAAGGGATGTCTGAATCCCCTGTGGAGACCTTAGAGAAAGCCCTAGGTCCCTGCCTCATTTTGACGGAAGGCCTCACATCCCGCTGACACCTCGAGAGGCACGCGGAGTTCATTGCTTCAAAAGGTGACGATGCCTGACTCCTCCTGAATACTCATAGGAATCCCAAAATCCCTGTGGCTACTGGAAAGGGTCCTTGGGTGCCCTGCCTCATCTCGAGAAGCGTCCCTTTTGCCCTACCAAGCCTCGAAGAGATTCCTGAGGTGTCCCTCGTTACTAGACAGGAGTCCTGACGTCACTGAAGAAACTCGTGTTTGGAAGGGCCATCCCCGCCGTAAGTCGAGAACATACCCCAGGTCCCCGCTGCAACTCGAGAAAAACCATGAGACTTCCCCCTAGAGGCGAGATGAGGCCCCATTCCCCTGCAGTGCATGCAGAGCTATTCCGTGATCCCATTCAAACAAGTCAGGAGCTTCGACTTGCTTAACGGATCTCGAGACAGTCCCCAAGAACACTGTCACCAGTCTAGACGGACCCTGAGGTCACCCCAGCACCGCAAAGCAGCTCCATGTGCCCCAAATCAACTCGATATGAGGCCCGATTCCCCTGCATTGACTCCAGAGCCATTCCCCGTTCCCCATTCAACACGAACGGTGGCTCGACTTTCTTCAGGCATCTCCAGAGATGCCCCGAGAACACTGTCCCAAGTCTAGAGGAACACAAACTTCAGCACAGCAACTCGAAGAATGCTCCGTGTACCCCAAATCGTCGCGAGATGAGAGCCGATTCCCTGGCTTAGGCTCAAGACATATGCCAACTTTCCAGAAGCACCTCAGGAGGAGGCTTCTCTCAGCAATAGGTATGTGGGAGGGACCCCGAGATCGTTGCCTCAAGTAGAGTATACTGCGAGAATCCCTAACTTGAAAGGAGGCCGGATTTCCTTGCAGTGCCTTGAATACAGGCTCGTCTTTCATCTCACAACATGAAGGGATGTCTGAATCCCCTGTGGAGAACTTAGAGAAAGCCCTAGGTCCCTGCCTCATTTTGATGGAATGCCTCACATCCCGTTGACCCCTCGAGAGGCACGCGGAGTTCATTTCTTCAAAAGGTGACGATGCCTGACTCCTCTGGAATATTGATAGGAATCCCAAAATCCATATGGCTACTGGAAAGGTTCCTTGGGTGCCCTGTCTCACCTCGAGAAGTGTCCCTTTTACCCTGCCAAGCCTCGAAGACATTCCTGAGGTGTCCCTCGTTACTAGACAAGCATCCTGACGTCACGGAAGAAACTCGTGTTTTGAAGGGCCATCCCCGCCTTAAGTCGGGAACATACCCCAGGTCCCCGCCGCAACTCGAGAAAAACCATGAGACTTCCCCCTAGAGTCGAGAAGAGGCCCCATTCCCCTGCAGTGCATGCAGAGCTATTCCGTGATCCCGTTTAAACAAGTCAGGAGCTTCGACTTGCTTAATCCATCTCGAGAGAGTCCCCAAGAACACTGTCACCAGTCTAGACGGACCCTGAGGTCACCCCAGCAAAGCAAAGCAGCTCCATGTGCCCCAAATCAACTCGAGATGAGGCCCGATTCCCCTGCATTGACTCCAGAGCCTTTCCCCGTTCCCCATTCAACACGACAGGTGGCTCGATTTCCTTCAGGCATCTCCAGAGATGCCCCGAGAACACTGTCCCAAGTCTAGAGGAACACCAACTTCAGCACAGCAACTCGAGGAATGCTCCGTGTACCCCAAATCGTCTCGAGATGAGAGGTGATTCCCAGGCTTAGGCTCAAGACATATGCCAACTTTCCAGAAGCACCTCAGGAGGAGGCTTCTCTCAGCAATAGGTATGTGGGAGGGACCCCGAGTTTGCTGCCTCAAGGGGAATATTCAGCGAGAAACCCTAACTTGAAAGGAGGCCGGATTTCCTTGCAGTGGCTTGAATACCGGCTCGTCTTTCATCTCACAACATGAAGGGATGTCTGAATCCCCTGTGGAGACCTTAGAGAAAGCCCTAGGTCCCTGCCTCATTTTTACGGAAGGCCTCACATCCCGCTGACACCTCGAGAGGCACGCGGAGTTCATTGCTTCAAAAGGTGACGATGCCTGACTCCTCCTGAATACTCATAGGAATCCCAAAATCCCTGTGGCTACTGGAAAGGGTCCTTTGGTGCCCTGCCCCATCTCGAGAAGCGTCCCTTTTGCCCTTCCAAGCCTCGAAGAGATTCCTGAGGTGTCCCTCGTTACTACACAGGAGTCCTGACGTCACTGAAGAAACTCGTGTTTGGAAGGGCCATCCCCGCCGTAAGTCGAGAACATACCCCAGGTCCCCGCCGCAACTCGAGGAAAACCATGAGACTTCCCCCTAGACGCGAGATGAGGCCCCATTCCCCTGCAGTGCATGCAGAGCTATTCCGTGATCCCATTCAAACAAGTCAGGAGCTTCGACTTGCTTAACGGATCTCGAGACAGTCCCCAAGAACACTGTCACCAGTCTAGACGGACCCTGAGGTCACCCCAGCAATGCAAAGCAGCTCCATGTGCCCCAAATCAACTCGAGATGAGGCCCGATTCCCCTGCATTGACTCCAGAGCCATTCCCCGTTCCCCATTCAACACGACCGGTGGCTCGACTTCCTTCAGGCATCTCCAGAGATGCCCCGAGAACACTGTCCCAAGTCTAGAGGAACACCAACTTCAGCACAGCAACTCGAGGAATGCTCCGTGTACCCCAAATCGTCTCGAGATGAGAGCCGATTCCCTGGCTTAGGCTCAAGACGTATGCCAACTTTCCAGAAGCACCTCAGGAGGAGGCTTCTCTCAGCAATAGATACGTGGGAGGGACCCCGAGATCGCTGCCTCAAGCGGAATATACAGCGAGAAGTCCTAACTTGAAAGGAGGCCGGATTTCCGTGCAGTGGCTTGAATACAGGCTCATCTTTGATCTCAAAACATGAAGGGGTGTCTCAATCCACTGTGGAGACCTTAGAGAAAGCCCTAGGTCCCTGCCTCATTTTGACGGAATGCCTCACATCCCGTTGACACGTCGAGAGGCACGCGGAGTTCATTGCTTCAAAAGGTGACGATGCCTGACTCCTCCTGAATACTCATAGGAATCCCAAAATCCCTGTGGCTACTGGAAAGGGTCCTTGGGTGCCCTGCCTCACCTCGAGAAGCGTCCCTTTTGCCCTGCCAAGCCTCGAAGAGATTCCTGAGTTGTCCCTCGTTACTAGACAGGAGTCCTGACGTCACTGAAGAAACTCGTGTTTGGAAGGGCCATCCCCGCCGTAAGTCGAGAACATACCCCAGGTCCCCGCCGCAACTCGAGAAAAACCATGAGACTTCCCCCTAGAGGCGAGATGAGGCCCCATTCCCCGGCAGTGCATGCAGAGCTATTCCGTGATCCCATTGAAACAAGTCAGGAGCTTCGACTTGCTTAACGGATCTCGAGACAGTCCCCAAGAACACTGTCACCAGTCTAGACGGACCCTGAGGTCACCCCAGCAACGCAAAGCAGCTCCATGTGCCCCAAATCAACTCGAGATGAGGCCTGATTCCCCTGCATTGACTCAAGAGCCATTCCCCGTTCCCCATTCAACACGACCGGTGGCTCGACTTCCTTCAGGCATCTCCAGAGATGCCCCGAGAACACTGTCCCAAGTCTAGAGGAACACCAACTTCAGCACAGCAACTCGAGGAATGCTCCGTGTACCCCAAATCGTCTCGAGATGAGAGCTGATTCCCTGGCTTAGGCTCAAGACGTATGCCAACTTTCCAGAAGCACCTCAGGAGGAGGCTTCTCTCAGCAATAGGTATGTGGGAGGGACCCCGAGATCGCTGCCTCAAGTAGAGTATACTGCGAGAATCCCTAACTTGAAAGGAGGCCGGATTTCCTTGCAGTGGCTTGAATACAGGCTCGTCTTTCATCTCACAACATGAAGGGATGTCTGAATCCCCTGTGGAGACCTTAGAGAAAGCCCTAGGTCCCTGCCTCATTTTGACGGAATGCCTCACATCCCGTTGACCCCTCGAGAGGCACGCGGAGTTCATTGCTTCAAAAGGTGACGATGCCTGACTCCTCTGGAATATTGATAGGAATCCCAAAATCCATATGGCTACTGGAAAGGTTCCTTGGGTGCCCTGTCTCACCTCGAGAAGTGTCCCTTTTGCCCTGCCAAGCCTCGAAGACATTCCTGAGGTGTCCCTCGTTACTAGACAAGCATCCTGACGTCACGGAAGAAACTCGTGTTTTGAAGGGCCATCCCCGCCTTAAGTCGGGAACATACCCCAGGTCCCCGCCGCAACTCGAGAAAAACCATGAGACTTCCCCCTATAATCGAGAAGAGGCCCCATTCCCCTGCAGTGCATGCAGAGCTATTCCGTGATCCCGTTCAAACAAGTCAGGAGCTTCGACTTGCTTAATCCATCTCGAGACAGTCCCCAAGAACACTGTCACCAGTCTAGACGGACCCTGAGGTCACCCCAGCAACGCAAAGCAGCTCCATGTGCCCCAAATCAACCCGAGATGAGGCCCGATTCCCCTGCATTGACTCCAGAGCCATTCCCCGTTTCCCATTCAACACGACCGGTGGCTCGACTTCCTTCAGGCAACTCCAGAGATGCCCCGAGAACTCTGTCCCAAGTCTAGAGGAACAGGAACTTCAGCACAGCAACTCGAGGAATGCTCCGAGTACCCCAAATCGTCTCGAGATGAGAGATGATTCCCTGGTTTAGGCTCAAGACGTATGCCAACTTTCCAGAAGCACCTCAGGAGGAGGCTTCTCTCAGCAATAGGTATGTGGGACGGACCCCGCGATCGCTGACTCAAGTGGAATATACAGCGAGAAGCCCTAACTTGAACGGAGGCCCGATTTCCTTGCAGTGGCTTGATTACAGGCTCGTCTTTGATCTCAAAACATGAAGGGGTGTCTGATTCCCCTGTGGAGAACTTAGAGAAAGCCCTAGGTCCCTGCCTCATTTTGACGGAATGCCTCACATCCCGTTGACACCTAGAGAGGCACGCGGAGTTCATTGCTTCAAAAGGTGACGATGCCTGACTCCTCTTGAATACTGATAGGAATCCCAAAATACCTGTGGCTACTGGAAAGGTTCCTTGGGTGCCCTGCCTGACTTCGAGAAGCATCCCTTTTGCCCTGCCAAGCCTCGAAGAGATTCCTGATGTGTCCCTCGTTACTAGACAGGAGTCCTGACGTCACTGAAGAAACTCGTGTTTTGAAGGGCCATCCCCGCCTTAAGTCGAGAACATACCCCAGGTCCCCGCCGCAACTCGAGAAAAACCATGAGACTTCCCCCTAGAGGCGAGATGAGGCCCCATTCCCCTGCAGTGCATGCAGAGGTATTCCGTGATCCCATTCAAACAAGTCAGGAGCTTCGACTTGCTTAACGGATCTCGAGACAGTCCCCAAGAACACTGTCCCCAGTCTAGACGGACCCTGAGGTCACCCCAGCAACGCAAAGCAGCTCCATGTGCCCCAAATCAACCCGAGATGAGGCCCGATTCCCCTGCATTGACTCCAAAGCCATTCCCCGTTCCCCATTCAACACGACCGGTGGCTCGACTTCCTTCAGGCATCTCCAGAGATGCCCCGAGAACACTGTCCCAAGTCTAGAGGAACACCAACTTCAGCACAGCAACTCGAGGAATGCTCCATGTACCCCAAATCGTCTCGAGATGAGAGCTGATTCCCTGGCTTAGGCTCAAGACGTATGCCAACTTTCCAGAAGCACCTCAGGAGGAGGCTTCTCTCAGCAATAGGTATGTGGGAGGGACCCCGAGTTTGCTGCCTCAAGGGGAATATACAGCGAGAAGCCCTAACTTGAAAGGAGGCCGGATTTCCTAGCTGTGGCTTGAATACAGGCTCGTCTTTCATCTCACAACATGAAGGGATGTCTGAATCCCCTGTGGAGACCTTAGAGAAAGCCATAGGTCCCTGCCTCATTTTGACGGAAGGCCTCACATCCCGTTGACACCTCGAGAGGCACGCGGAGTTCATTGCTTCAAAAGGTGAGGACGCCTGACTCCTCTTGAATACTGATAGGAATCCCAAAATCCCTGTGGCTACTGGAAAGGGTCCTAGGGTGCCCTGCCTCACAGCGAGAAGCCTCTCTTTTGCCTCCCAAGCCTCGAAGTGATTTCTGTGGTGTCCCTCGTTACTAGACAGGAGTCCTGACGTCACTGAAGAAACTCGTGTTTTGAAGGGCCATCCCCGCCGTAAGTCGAGAACATACCCAGGTCCCCGCCGCAATTCGAGAAAAACCATGAGACTTCCCCCTAGAGGCGAGTTGAGGCCCCATTACCCTGAAGTGCATGCAGAGCTATTCGGTGATGCCCATCAAACAAGTCAAGAGCTTCAACTTACTTAATGGATCTCGAGACAGTCCCCAAGAACACTGTCACCAGTCTAGACGGACCCTGAGGTCACCCCAGCAACGCAAAGCAGCTCCATGTGCCCCAAATCAACTCGAGATGAGGCCCGATTCCCCTGCATTGACTCCAGAGCCATTCCCCGTTCCCCATTCAACACGACCGGTGGCTCGACTTCCTTCAGGCAACTCCAGAGATGCCCCGAGAACACTGTCCCAAGTCTAGAGGAACACCAACTTCAGCACAGCAACTCGAGGAATGCTCCGTGTACACCAAATCGTCTCGAGATGAGAGCTGATTCCCTGGCTTAGGCTCAAGACGTATGCCAACTTTCCAGAAGCACCTCAGGAGGAGGCTTCTCTCAGCAATATGTATGTGGGAGGGAGCCCGAGATCGCTGCCTCAAGTAGAGTATTCTTCGAGAATCCCTAACTTGAAAGGAGGCCAGATTTACTTGCAGTGCCTTGAATGCAGGCTCGTCTTTCATCTCACAACATGAAGGGATGTCTGAATCCCTTGTGGAGACCTTAGAGAAAGCCCTAGGTCCCTGCCTCATTTTGACGGAATGCCTCACATCCCGTTGACACCTCGAGAGGCATGCGGAGTTATTTGCTTCAAAAGGTGACGACGCCTGACTCCTCTTGAATATTAATAGGAATCCCAAAATCCATGTGGCTCCTGGAAAGGTTCCTTGGGTGCCCTGCCTCACCTCGAGAAGTGTCCCTTTTGCCCTGCCATGCCTCGAGGAGATTCCTGAGGTGTCCCTCATTACTAGACAGGAGTCCTGACGTCACTGAAGAAACTCGTGTTTGGAAGGGCCATCCCCGCCGTAAGTCGAGAACATACCCCAGGTACCCGCTGCAACTCGAGAAAAACCATGAGACTTCCCCCTAGAGGCGAGATGAGGCCCCATTCCCCTGCAGTGCATGGAGAGCTATTCAGTGATCCCATTCAAACAAGTCAGGAGCTTCGACTTGCTTAACGGATCTCGAAACAGTCCTCAAGAACACTGTCACCAGTCTAGACGGACCCTGAGGTCACCCCAGCAATGCAAAGCAGGTCCATGTGCCCCAAATCAACACGAGATGAGGCCCGATTCCCCTGCATTGACTCCAGAGCCATTCCCCGTTCCCCATTCAACACGACCGGTGGCTCGACTTCCTTCAGCCAACTCCGGAGATGCCCCGAGAACACTGTCCCAAGTCTAGAGGAACACCAACTTCAGCACAGCAACTGGATGAATGCTCCGTGTACCCCAAATCGTCCCGAGATGAGAGCTGATTCCCGGGCTTAGGCTCAAGACGTATGCCAACTGTCCAGAAGCACCTCAGGAGGAGGCTTCTCTCAGAAATAGGTACGTGGGAGGGACCCCGAGATCGCTGCCTCAAGTGGAATATACAGCGAGAAGACCTAACTTGAAAGGAGGCCGGATTTCCTTGCAGTGGCTTGAATACAGGCTCGTCTTTGATCTCAAAACATGAAGGGGTGCCTGAATCCACTGTGGAGACCTTAGAGAAAGCCCCAGGTCCCTGCCTCATTTTGACGGAATGCCTCACATCCCGTTGACACCTCAAGAGGCACGCGGAGTTCATTGCTTCAAAAGGTGATGATGCCTGACTCCTCTTGAATACTGATAGGAATCCCAAAATCCCTGTGGCTACTGGAAAGGGTCCTTGGGTGCCCTGCCTCACCTCGAGAAGCGTCCCTTTTGCCCTGCCAAGACTCGAAGAGATTCCTGAGGTGTCCCTCATTACTAAACAGGAGTCCTGACGTCACTGAAGAAACTCGTGTTTGGAAGGGCCATCCCCGCCGTAAGTCAAGAACATAACCCAGGTCCCCGCCGCAACTCGAGAAAAACCATGAGACTTCCTCCTAGATGCTAGATGAGGCCCCATTCCCCTGCAGTGCATGCAGAGCTATTCCTTGATCCCATTCAAACAAGTCAGGAGCTTCGACTTGCTTAACGGATCTCGAGACAGTCCCCAAGAACACTGTCACCAGTCTAGACGGACCCTGAGGTCACCCCAGCAACGCAAAGCAGCTCCATGTGCCCCAAATCAACTCGAGATGAGGCCCGATTCCCCTGCATTGACTCCAGAGCCATTCCCCGTTCCCCATTCAACAAGACTGGTGGCTCGACTTCTTTCAGGCAACTCCAGAGATGCTCCGAAAACACTGTCCCAAGTCTAGAGGAACACCAACTTCAGCACAGCAACTCGAGGAATGCTCCGTGTACCCCAAATCGTCTCGAGATGAGAGCTGATTCCCTGGCTTAGGCTCAAGACGTATGCCAACTTTCCAGAAGCACCTCAGGAGGAGGCTTCTCTCAGCAATAGGTATGTGGGAGGGACCCCGAGTTTGCTGCCTCAAGGGGAATATACAGCGAGAAGCCCTAACTTGAAAGGAGGCCGGATTTCCTTGCAGTGGCTTGAATACAGGCTCGTCTTTCATGTCACAACATGAAGGGATGTCTGAATCCCCTGTGGAGACGTTAGAGAAAGCCCTAGGTCCCTGCCTCATTTTGACGGAAGGCCTCACATCCCGCTGACACCTCGAGAGGCACGCGGAGTTCATTGCTTCAAAAGGTGACGATGCCTGACTCCTCCTGAATACTCATAGGAATCCCAAAATCCCTGTGGCTACTGGAAAGGGTCCTTGGGTGCCCTGCCTCACCTCGAGAAGCGTCCCTTTTTCCCTGCCAAGCCTCGAAGAGATTCCTGAGGTGTCCCTCGTTACTAGACAGGAGTCCTGACGTCACAGAAGAAACTCGTGTTTGGAAGGGCCATCCCCGCCGTAAGTCGAGAACATACCCCAGGTCCCCGCCGCAACTCGAGAAAAACCATGAGACTTCCCCCTAGAGGCGAGATGAGGCCCCATTCCCCTGCAGTGCATGCAGAGCTATTCCGTGATCCCATTCAAACAAGTCAGGAGCTTCGACTTGCTTAACGGATCTCGAGACAGTCCCCAAGAACACTGTCACCAGTCTAGACGGACCCTGAGGTCACCCCAGCAACGCAAAGCAGCTCCATGTGCCCCAAATCAACTCGAGATGAGGCCTGATTCCCCTGCATTGACTCAAGAGCCATTCCCCGTTCCCCATTCAACACGACCGGTGGCTCGACTTCCTTCAGGCATCTCCAGAGATGCCCCGAGAACACTGTCCCAAGTCTAGAGGAACACCAACTTCAGCACAGCAACTCGAGGAATGCTCCGTGTACCCCAAATCGTCTCGAGATGAGAGCTGATTCCCTGGCTTAGGCTCAAGACGTATGCCAACTTTCCAGAAGCACCTCAGGAGGAGGCTTCTCTCAGCAATAGGTATGTGGGAGGGACCCCGAGATCGCTGCCTCAAGTAGAGTATACTGCGAGAATCCCTAACTTGAAAGGAGGCCGGATTTCCTTGCAGTGGCTTGAATACAGGCTCGTCTTTCATCTCACAACATGAAGGGATGTCTGAATCCCCTGTGGAGACCTTAGAGAAAGCCCTAGGTCCCTGCCTCATTTTGACGGAATGCCTCACATCCCGTTGACCCCTCGAGAGGCACGCGGAGTTCATTGCTTCAAAAGGTGACGATGCCTGACTCCTCTGGAATATTGATAGGAATCCCAAAATCCATATGGCTACTGGAAAGGTTCCTTGGGTGCCCTGTCTCACCTCGAGAAGTGTCCCTTTTGCCCTGCCAAGCCTCGAAGACATTCCTGAGGTGTCCCTCGTTACTAGACAAGCATCCTGACGTCACGGAAGAAACTCGTGTTTTGAAGGGCCATCCCCGCCTTAAGTCGGGAACATACCCCAGGTCCCCGCCGCAACTCGAGAAAAACCATGAGACTTCCCCCTATAATCGAGAAGAGGCCCCATTCCCCTGCAGTGCATGCAGAGCTATTCCGTGATCCCGTTCAAACAAGTCAGGAGCTTCGACTTGCTTAATCCATCTCGAGACAGTCCCCAAGAACACTGTCACCAGTCTAGACGGACCCTGAGGTCACCCCAGCAACGCAAAGCAGCTCCATGTGCCCCAAATCAACCCGAGATGAGGCCCGATTCCCCTGCATTGACTCCAGAGCCATTCCCCGTTTCCCATTCAACACGACCGGTGGCTCGACTTCCTTCAGGCAACTCCAGAGATGCCCCGAGAACTCTGTCCCAAGTCTAGAGGAACAGGAACTTCAGCACAGCAACTCGAGGAATGCTCCGAGTACCCCAAATCGTCTCGAGATGAGAGATGATTCCCTGGCTTAGGCTCAAGACGTATGCCAACTTTCCAGAAGCACCTCAGGAGGAGGCTTCTCTCAGCAATAGGTATGTGGGACGGACCCCGCGATCGCTGCCTCAAGTGGAATATACAGCGAGAAGCCCTAACTTGAAAGGAGGCCCGATTTCCTTGCAGTGGCTTGATTACAGGCTCGTCTTTGATCTCAAAACATGAAGGGGTGTCTGATTCCCCTGTGGAGAACTTAGAGAAAGCCCTAGGTCCCTGCCTCATTTTGACGGAATGCCTCACATCCCGTTGACACCTAGAGAGACACGCGGAGTTCATTGCTTCAAAAGGTGACGATGCCTGACTCCTCTTGAATACTGATAGGAATCCCAAAATACCTGTGGCTACTGGAAAGGTTCCTTGGGTGCCCTGCCTGACTTCGAGAAGCATCCCTTTTGCCCTGCCAAGCCTCGAAGAGATTCCTGATGTGTCCCTCGTTACTAGACAGGAGTCCTGACGTCACTGAAGAAACTCGTGTTTTGAAGGGCCATCCCCGCCTTAAGTCGAGAACATACCCCAGGTCCCCGCCGCAACTCGAGAAAAACCATGAGACTTCCCCCTAGAGGCGAGATGAGGCCCCATTCCCCTGCAGTGCATGCAGAGGTATTCCGTGATCCCATTCAAACAAGTCAGGAGCTTCGACTTGCTTAACGGATCTCGAGACAGTCCCCAAGAACACTGTCACCAGTCTAGACGGACCCTGAGGTCACCCCAGCAACGCAAAGCAGCTCCATGTGCCCCAAATCAACCCGAGATGAGGCCCGATTCCCCTGCATTGACTCCAAAGCCATTCCCCGTTCCCCATTCAACACGACCGGTGGCTCGACTTCCTTCAGGCATCTCCAGAGATGCCTCGAGAACACTGTCCCAAGTCTAGAGGAACACCAACTTCAGCACAGCAACTCGAGGAATGCTCCATGTACCCCAAATCGTCTCGAGATGAGAGCTGATTCCCTGGCTTAGGCTCAAGACGTATGCCAACTTTCCAGAAGCACCTCAGGAGGAGGCTTCTCTCAGCAATAGGTATGTGGGAGGGACCCCGAGTTTGCTGCCTCAAGGGGAATATACAGCGAGAAGCCCTAACTTGAAAGGAGGCCGGATTTCCTAGCTGTGGCTTGAATACAGGCTCGTCTTTCATCTCACAACATGAAGGGATGTCTGAATCCCCTGTGGAGACCTTAGAGAAAGCCCTAGGTCCCTGCCTCATTTTGACGGAAGGCCTCACATCCCGTTGACACCTCGAGAGGCACGCGGAGTTCATTGCTTCAAAAGGTGAGGACGCCTGACTCCTCTTGAATACTGATAGGAATCCCAAAATCCCTGTGGCTACTGGAAAGGGTCCTAGGGTGCCCTGCCTCACCGCGAGAAGCCTCTCTTTTGCCTCCCAAGCCTCGAAGTGATTTCTGTGGTGTCCCTCGTTACTAGACAGGAGTCCTGACGTCACTGAAGAAACTCGTGTTTTGAAGGGCCATCCCCGCCGTAAGTCGAGAACATACCCAGGTCCCCGCCGCAATTCGAGAAAAACCATGAGACTTCCCCCTAGAGGCGAGTTGAGGCCCCATTACCCTGAAGTGCATGCAGAGCTATTCGGTGATGCCCATCAAACAAGTCAAGAGCTTCAACTTACTTAATGGATCTCGAGACAGTCCCCAAGAACACTGTCACCAGTCTAGACGGACCCTTAGGTCACCCCAGCAATGCAAAGCAGCTCCATGTGCCCCAAATCAACTCGAGATGAGGCCCGATTCCCCTGCATTGACTCCAGAGCCATTCCCCGTTCCCCATTCAACACGACCGGTGGCTCGACTTCCTTCAGGCAACTCCAGAGATGCCCCGAGAACACTGTCCCAAGTCTAGAGGAACACCAACTTCAGCACAGCAACTCGAGGAATGCTCCGTGTACACCAAATCGTCTCGAGATGAGAGCTGATTCCCTGGCTTAGGCTCAAGACGTATGCCAACTTTCCAGAAGCACCTCAGGAGGAGGCTTCTCTCAGCAATATGTATGTGGGAGGGAGCCCGAGATCGCTGCCTCAAGTAGAGTATTCTTCGAGAATCCCTAACTTGAAAGGAGGCCAGATTTACTTGCAGTGCCTTGAATGCAGGCTCGTCTTTCATCTCACAACATGAAGGGATGTCTGAATCCCTTGTGGAGACCTTAGAGAAAGCCCTAGGTCCCTGCCTCATTTTGACGGAATGCCTCACATCCCGTTGACACCTCGAGAGGCACGCGGAGTTATTTGCTTCAAAAGGTGACGACGCCTGACTCCTCTTGAATATTGATAGGAATCCCAAAATCCATGTGGCTCCTGGAAAGGTTCCTTGGGTGCCCTGCCTCACCTCGAGAAGTGTCCCTTTTGCCCTGCCATGCCTCGAGGAGATTCCTGAGGTGTCCCTCATTACTAGACAGGAGTCCTGACGTCACTGAAGAAACTCGTATTTGGAAGGGCCATCCCCGCCGTAAGTCGAGAACATACCCCAGGTACCCGCTGCAACTCGAGAAAAACCATGAGACTTCCCCCTAGAGGCAAGATGAGGCCCCATTCCCCTGCAGTGCATGGAGAGCTATTCAGTGATCCCATTCAAACAAGTCAGGAGCTTCGACTTGCTTAACGGATCTCGAAACAGTCCCCAAGAACACTGTCACCACTCTAGACGGACCCTGAGGTCACCCCAGCAACGCAAAGCAGCTCCATGTGCCCCAAATCAACTAGAGATGAGGCCCGATTCACCTGCATTGACTCCAGAGCCATTCCCCGTTCCACATTCAACAAGACAGGTGGCTCGACTTCCTTCAGGCAACTCCAGAGATGCCCCGAGAACACTGTCACAAGTCTAGAGGAACACCAACTTCAGCACATCAACTCGAGGAATGCTCCATGTACCCCAAATCGTCTCGAGATGAGAGCTGATTCCCTGGCTTAGGCTCAAGACGTATGCCAACTTTCCAGAAGCACCTCAGGAGGAGGCTTCTCTCAGCAATAGGTATGTGGGAGGGACCCCGAGTTTGCTGCCTCAAGGGGAATATACAGCGAGAAGCCCTAACTTGAAAGGAGGCCGGATTTCCTTGCAGTGGCTTGAATACAGGCTCGTCTTTCATCTCACAACATGAAGGGATGTCTGAATCCCCTGTGGAGACCTTAGAGAAAGCCCTATGTCCCTGCCTCATTTTGACGGAAGGCCTCACATCCCGCTGACACCTCGAGAGGCACGCGGAGTTCATTGCTTCAAAAGGTGACGATGCCTGACTCCTCCTGAATACTCATAGGAATCCCAAAATCCCTGTGGCTACTGGAAAGGGTCCTTGGGTGCCCTGCCTCACCTCGAGAAGCGTCCCTTTTGCCCTGCCAAGCCTCGAAGAGATTCCTGAGGTGTCCCTCGTTACTAGACAGGAGTCCTGACGTCACTGAAGAAACTCGTGTTTGGAAGGGCCATCCCCGCCGTAAGTCGAGAACATACCCCAGGTCCCTCCCGCAACTCGAAAAAAACCATGAGACTTCCCCCTAGAGGCGAGATGAGGCCCCATTCCCCTGCAGTGCATGCAGAGCTATTCCTTGATCCCATTCAAACAAGTCAGGAGCTTCGACTTGCTTAACGGATCTCGAGAGAGTCCCCAAGAACACTGTCACCAGTCTAGACGGACCCTGAGGTCACCCCAGCAACGCAAAGCAGCTCCATGTGCCCCAAATCAACTCGAGATGAGGCCCGATTCCCCTGCATTGACTCCAGAGCCATTCCCCGTTCCCCATTCAACACGACCGGTGGCTCGACTTCCTTCAGGCAACTCCAGAGATGCTCCGAAAACACTGTCCCAAGTCTAGAGGAACACCAACTTCAGCACAGCAACTCGAGGAATACTCCGTGTACCCCAAATCGTCTCGAGATGAGAGCTGATTCCCTGGCTTAGGCTCAAGACGTATGCCAACTTTCCAGAAGCATCTCAGGAGGAGGCTTCTCTCAGCAATAGATACGTGGGAGGGACCCCGAGATCGCTGCCTCAAGTGGAATATACAGCGAGAAGTCCTAACTTGAAAGGAGGCCGGATTTCCGTGCAGTGGCTTGAATACAGGCTCATCTTTGATCTCAAAACATGAAGGGGTGTCTGAATCCACTGTGGAGACCTTAGAGAAAGACCTAGGTCCCTGCCTCATTTTGACGGAATGCCTCACATCCCGTTGACACGTCGAGAGGCACGCGGAGTTCATTGCTTCAAAAGGTGACGATGCCTGACTCTTCTGGTATATTGATAGGAATCCCAAAATCCATATGGCTACTGGAAAGGTTCCTTGGGTGCCCTGTCTCACCTCGAGAAGTGTCCCTTTTTCCCTGCCAAGTCTCGAAGACATTCCTGAGGTGTCCCTCGTTACTAGACAAGCATCCTGACGTCACGGAAGAAACTCGTGTTTTGAAGGGCCATCCCCGCCGTAAGTCGAGAACATACCCCAGGTCTCCGCCGCAACTCGAGGAAAACCATTAGACTTCTCCCTTGAGGCGAGATGAGGCCCCATTCCCCTGCACTGCATGCAGAGCTATTCCGTGATCCCATTCAAACAAGTCAGGAGCTTCGACTTGCTTAACGGATCTCGAGACAGTCCCCAAGAACACTGTCACCAGTCTAGACGGACCCTGAGGTCACCCCAGCAACGCAAAGCAGCTCCATGTGCCCCAAATCAACTCGAGATGAGGCCCGATTCCCCTGCATTGACTCCAGAGCCATTCCCCGTTCCACATTCAACACGACAGGTGGCTCGACTTCCTTCAGGCATCTCCAGAGATGCCCCGAGAACACTGTCCCAAGTCTAGAGGAACACCAACTTCAGCACAGCAACTCGAGGAATGCTCCGTGTACCCCAAATCGTCTCGAGATGAGAGCTGATTCCCAGGCTTAGGCTCAAGACGTATGCCAACTTTCCAGAAGCACCTCAGGAGGAGGCTTCTCTCAGCAATAGGTATGTGGGAGGGACCCCGAGTTTGCTGCCTCAAGGGGAATATACAGCAAGAAGCACTAACTTGAAAGGAGGCCGGATTTCCTTGCAGTGGCTTGAATACAGGCTCGTCTTTCATGTCACAACATGAAGGGATGTCTGAATCCCCTGTGGAGACGTTAGAGAAAGCCCTAGGTCCCTGCCTCATTTTGACGGAAGGCCTCACATCCCGCTGACACCTCGAGAGGCACGCGGAGTTCATTGCTTCAAAAGGTGACGATGCCTGACTCCTCCTGAATACTCATAGGAATCCCAAAATCCCTGTGGCTACTGGAAAGGGTCCTTGGGTGCCCTGCCTCACCTCGAGAAGCGTCCCTTTTGCCCTGCCAAGCCTCGAAGAGATTCCTGAGGTGTCCCTCGTTACTAGACAGGAGTCCTGACGTCACTGAAGAAACTCGTGTTTGGAAGGGCCATCCCCGCCGTAAGTCGAGAACATACCCCAGGTCCCCGCCGCAACTCGAGAAAAACCATGAGACTTCCCCCTAGAGGCGAGATGAGGCCCCATTCCCCTGCAGTGCATGCAGAGCTATTCCGTGATCCCATTCAAACAAGTCAGGAGCTTCGACTTGCTTAACGGATCTCGAGACAGTCCCCAAGAACACTGTCACCAGTCTAGACGGACCCTGAGGTCACCCCAGCAACGCAAAGCAGCTCCATGTGCCCCAAATCAACTCGAGATGAGGCCTGATTCCCCTGCATTGACTCAAGAGCCATTCCCCGTTCCCCATTCAACATGACCAGTGGCTCGACTTCCTTCAGGCATCTCCAGAGATGCCCCGAGAACACTGTCCCAAGTCTAGAGGAACACCAACTTCAGCACAGCAACTCGAGGAATGCTCCGTGTACCCCAAATCGTCTCGAGATGAGAGCTGATTCCCTGGCTTAGGCTCAAGACGTATGCCAACTTTCCAGAAGCACCTCAGGAGGAGGCTTCTCTCAGCAATAGGTATGTGGGAGGGACCCCGAGATCGCTGCCTCAAGTAGAGTATACTGCGAGAATCCCTAACTTGAAAGGAGGCCGGATTTCCTTGCAGTGCCTTGAATACAGGCTCGTCTTTCATCTCACAACATGAAGGGATGTCTGAATCCCCTGTGGAGACCTTAGAGAAAGCCCTAGGTCCCTGCCTCATTTTGTCGGAATGCCTCACATCCCGTTGACCCCTCGAGAGGCACGCGGGGTTCATTGCTTCAAAAGGTGACGATGCCTGACTCCTCTGGAATATTGATAGGAATCCCAAAATCCATATGGCTACTGGAAAGGTTCTTTGGGTGCCCTGTCTCACCTCGAAAAGTGTCCCTTTTGCCCTGCCAAGCCTCGAAGACATTCCTGAGGTGTCCCTCGTTACTAGACAAGCATCCTGACGTCACGGAAGAAACTCGTGTTTTGAAGGGCCATCCCCGCCTTAAGTCGGGAACATACCCCAGGTCCCCGCCGCAACTCGAGAAAAACCATGAGACTTCCCCCTATAATCGAGAAGAGGCCCCATTCCCCTGCAGTGCATGCAGAGCTATTCCGTGATCCCGTTCAAACAAGTCAGGAGCTTCGACTTGCTTAATCCATCTCGAGAGAGTCCCCAAGAACACTGTCACCAGTCTAGACGGACCCTGAGGTCACCCCAGCAATGCAAAGCAGCACCATGTGCCCCAAATCAACTCGAGATGAGGCCCGATTCCCCTGCATTGATTCCAGAGCCATTACCCGATCCCCATTCAACACGACCGGTGGCTCGACTTCCTTCAGGCAACTCCAGAGATGCTCCGAAAACACTGTCCCAAGTCTAGAGGAACACCAACTTCAGCACAGCAACACGAGGAATGCTCCGTGTACCCCAAATCGCCTCGAGATGTGAGCTTATTCCCTGGCTTAGGCTCAAGACGTATGCCAACTTTCCAGAAGCACCTCAGGAGGAGGCTTCTCTCAGCAATAGGTACGTGGGAGGGACCCCGCGATCGCTGCCTCAAGTGGAATATACAGCGAGAAGTCCTAACTTGAAAGGAGGCCGGATTTCCGTGCAGTGGCTTCAATACAGGCTCATCTTTGATTTCAAAACATGAAGGGGTGTCTGAATCCACTGTGGAGACCTTAGAGAAAGCCCTAGGTCCCTGCCTCATTTTGACGGAATGCCTCACATCCCGTTGACACGTCGAGAGGCACGCGGAGTTCATTGCTTCAAAAGGTGACGATGCCTGACTCCTCCTGAATACTCATAGGAATCCCAAAATCCCTGTGGCTACTGGAAAGGGTCCTTGGGTGCTCTGCCTCACCTCGAGAAGCGTCCCTTTTGCCCTGCCAAGCCTCGAAGAGATTCCTGAGGTGTCCCTCGTTACTAGACAGGAGTCCTGACGTCACTGAAGAAACTCGTGTTTGGAAGGGCCATCCCCGCCGTAAGTCGAGAACATACCCCAGGTCCCGGCCGCAACTCGAGAAAAACCATGAGACTTCCCCCTAGAGTCGAGAAGGGGCCCCATTCCCCTGCAGTGCATGCAGAGCTATTCCGTGATCCCATTCAAACAAGTCAGGAGCTTCGACTTGCTTAACGGATCTCGAGACAGTCACCAAGAACACTGTCACCAGTCTAGATGGACCCTGAGGTCACCCCAGCAACGCAAACCAGCTCCATGTGCCCCAAATCAACTCGAGATGAGGCCCGATTCCCCTGCATTGACTCCAGAGCCATTCCCCGTTCCCCATTCAACATGACCGGTGGCTCGACTTCCTTCAGGCATCTCCAGAGATGCTCCGAGAACACTGTCCCAAGTCTAGAGGAACACCAACTTCAGCACAGCAACTCGAGGAATGCTCCGTGTACCCCAAATCGTATCGAGATGAGAGCTGATTCCCTGGCTTAGGCTCAATACGTAGGCCCACTTTCCAGAAGCACCTCAGGAGGAGGCTTCTCTCAGCAATAGGTATGTGGGAGGGACCCCGAGATCGCTGCCTCAAGTAGAGTATACTGCGAGAATCCCTAACTTGAAAGGAGGCCGGATTTCCTTGCAGTGCCTTGAATACAGGCTCGTCTTTCATCTCACAACATGAAGGGATGTCTGAATCCCCTGTGGAGACCTTAGAGAAAGCCCTAGGTCCCTGCCTCATTTTGACGGAATGCCTCACATCCCGTTGACCCCTCGAGAGGCACGCGGAGTTCATTGCTTCAAAAGGTGACGATGCCTGACTCCTCTGGAATATTGATAGGAATCCCAAAATCCATATGGCTACTGGAAAGGTTCCTTGGGTGCCCTGTCTCACCTCGAGAAGTGTCCCTTTTGCCCTGCCAAGCCTCGAAGACATTCCTGAGGTGTCCCTCGTTACTAGACAAGCATCCTGACGTCACGGAAGAAACTCGTGTTTTGAAGGGCCATCCCCGCCTTAAGTCGGGAACATACCCCAGGTCCCCTACGCAATTCGAGAAAAACCATGAGACTTCCCCTAGAGTCGAGAAGAGGCCCCATTCCCCTGCAGTGCATGCAGAGCTATTCCGTGATCCCGTTCAAACAAGTCAGGAGCTTCGACTTGCTTAATCCATCTCGAGAGAGTCCCCAAGAACACTGTCACCAGTCTAGACGGACCCTGAGGTCACCCCAGCAATGCAAAGCAGCTCCATGTGCCCCAAATCAACACGAGATGAGGCCCGATTCCCCTGCATTGACTCCAGAGCCATTCCCCATTTCCCATTCAACACGACCGGTGGCTCGACTTCCTTCAGGCAACTCCAGAGATGCCCCGAGAACAGTGTCCCAAGTCTAGAGGAACACCAACTTCAGCACAGCAACTCGAGGAATGCTCCGTGTACCCCAAATCGTCTCGAGATGAGAGCTGATTCCCTGGCTTAGGCTCAAGACGTATGCCAACTGTCCAGAAGCACCTCAGGAGGAGGCTTCTCTCAGAAATAGGTACGTGGGAGGGACCCCGAGATCGCTGCCTCAAGTGGAATATACAGCGAGAAGACCTAACTTGAAAGGAGGCCGGATTTCCTTGCAGTGGCTTGAATACAGGCTCTTCTTTGATCTCAAAACATGAAGGGATGTCTGAATCCCCTGTGGAGACCTTAGAGAAAGCGCTAGGTCCCTGCCTCATTTTGACGGAATGCCTCACATCCCGTTGACACCTCGAGAGGCACGCGGAGTTCATTGCTTCAAAAGGTGAAGATGCCTGACTCCTCTTGAATACTGATAGGAAACCCAAAACCCTATGGCTGCTAGAAAGGGTCCTTGGGTGCCCTGCCTCACCGCGAGAAGCCTCCCTTTTGCCCTCCCAAGCCTCCAAGTGATTTCTGAGTTGTCCCTCGTTACTAGACAGGAGTCCTGACGTCACTGAAGAAACTCGTGTTTTGAAGGGCCATCCCCGCCGTAAGTCGAGAACATACCCCAGGTCCCCGCCGCAACTCGAGTAAAACCATGAGACTTCACCCCTGAGGCGAAATGAGGCCCCATTCCCCCACAGTGCATGCAGAGCTATTCCGTGATCCCATTCAAACAAGTCAGGAGCTTCGACTTGCTTAATGGATCTCGAGACAGTCCCCAAGAACACTGTCACCAGTCTAGACAGACTCTGAGGTCACCCCTGCAACGCAAAGCAGCACCATGTGCCCCAAATCAACTCGAGATGAGGGCCGATTCCCCTGCATTGACTCCAGAGCCATTCCCCGTTCCCCATTCAACACGACCGGTGGCTCGACTTCCTTCAGGCAACTCCAGAGATGCCCCAAGAACACTGTCCCAAGGCTAGCGGAACACCAACTTCAGCACAGCAACTCGAGGAATGTTCCATGTACCCCAAATCGTCTCGAAATGAGAGCTGATTCCCTGGCTTAGGCTCAAGACGTATGCCAACTTTCCAGAATCACCTCAGGAGGAGGCTTCTCTCAGCAATAGGTATGTGGGAGGGACCCCGAGGTCGCTGCCTCAAGTGGAATATACAGCGAGAAGCCCTAACTTGAAAGGAGGCCGGGTTTCCTTGCAGTGTCTTGAATACAGGCTCGTCTTTGATCTCAAAACATGAAGGGATGTCTGATTCCCCTGTGGAGACCTTAGAGAAAGCCCTAGGTCCCTGCCTCATTTTGACGGAAGGCCTCAGATCCCGCTGACACCTCAAGAGGCACGCGGAGTTCATTGCTTCCAAAGGTGACGATGCCTGACTCCTCTTGAATAATGATAGGAATCCCAAAATCACTGTGGCTACTGGAAAGGTTCCTTGGGTGCCCTGCCTGACCTTGAGAAGCATGCCTTTTGCCCTGGCAAGCCTCGAAGAGATTCCTGAGTTGTCCCTCGTTACTAGACAAGAGTCCTGACGTCACTGAAGAAACTCGTGTTTTGAAGGGACATCCCCGCCGTAAGTCGAGACCATACCCCAGGTCCCGCCACAACTCGAGAAAAACCATGAGACCTCCTCCTAGAGGCGAGATGAGGCCCCATTCCCCTGCAGTGCATGCAGAGCTATTCCGTGATCCCACTCAAACAGTCAGGAGCTTCGACTTGCTTAATGGATCTCGAGACAGTCCCCAAGAACACTGTCACCAGTCTAGACGGACTCTGAGGTCACCCCAGCAAAGCAAGGCAGCTCCATGTGCCCCAAATCAACTCGAGATGAGGGCCGATTCCCTTGCATTGACTCCAGAGCCATTCCCCGTTCCCCATTCAACACGAACGGTGGCTCGACTTCCTTCAGGCAACTCCAGAGATGCCCCGAGAACACTGTACCAAATCTAGAGGAACACCAACTTGAGCACAGCAACTCGAGGAAAGCTCCGTGTACCCCAAATCGTCTCGAGATGAGAGCTGATTCCCTGGCTTAGGCTCAAGACGTATGCCAACTTTCCAAAAGCACCTCACGAGGAGGCTTCTCTCAGCAATATGTATGTGGGAGGGACCCCGAGAAGGCTGCCTCATGTGCAATATATAGCGAGAAGCCCTAACTTGAAAGGAGGCCGAGTTTCCTTGCATTGGCTTGAATACAGGCTCGTCTTTTATCTCAAACCATGAAGGGATGTCTGAATCCCCTGTGGAGACCTTAGAGAAAGCCCTAGGTCCCTGCCTCATTTTGACGGAATGCCTCACATCCTGTTGACAACTCGAGAGGCACGCGGAGTTCATTGCTTCAAAAGGTGACGATGCCTGACTCCTCTTGAATACTGATAGGAAACCCAAAACCCTGTGGCTACTAGAAAGGGTCCTTGGGTGCCCTGCCTCACCGCGAGAGCCTCCCTTTTGCCCTCCCAAGCCTCCAAGTGATTTCTGAGTTGTCCCTCGTTACTAGACAGGAGTCCTGACGTCACTGAAGAAACTCGTGTTTTGAAGGGCCATCCCCGCCGTAAGTCGAGAACATACCCCAGGTCCCCGCCGCAACTCGAGAAAAACCATGAGACTTCACCCCTGAGGCGAAATGAGGCCCCATTCCCCCACAGTGCATGCAAAGCTATTCCGTGATCCCATTCAAACAAGTCAGGAGCTTCGACTTCCTTAATGGATCTCGAGACAGTCCCCAGGAACACTGTCACCAGTCTAGACAGACTCTGAGGTCACCCCTGCAACGCAAAGCAGCACCATGTGCCCCAAATCAACTCAAGATGAGGGCCGATTCCCCTGCATTGACTCCAGAGCCATTCCCCGTTCCCCATTCAACACGACCGGTGGCTCGACTTCCTTCAGGCAACTCCAGAGATGCCCCAAGAACACTGTCCCAAGGCTAGCGGAACACCAACTTCAGCACAGCAACTCGAGGAATGTTCCATGTACCCCAAATCGTCTCGAAATGAGAGCTGATTCCCTGGCTTAGGCTCAAGACGTATGCCAACTTTCCAGAATCACCTCAGGAGGAGGCTTCTCTCAGCAATAGGTATGTGGGAGGGACCCCGAGATCGCTGCCTCAAGTGGAATATACAGCGAGAAGCCCTAACTTGAAAGGAGGCCGGGTTTCCTTGCAGTGTCTTGAATACAGGCTCGTCTTTGATCTCAAAACATGAAGGGATGTCTGATTCCCCTGTGGAGACCTTAGAGAAAGCCCTAGGTCCCTGCCTCATTTTGACGGAAGGCCTCAGATCCCGCTGACACCTCAAGAGGCACGCAGAGTTCATTGCTTCCAAAGGTGACGATGCCTGACTCCTCTTGAATAATGATAGGAATCCCAAAATCACTGTGGCTACTGGAAAGGTTCCTTGGGTGCCCTGCCTGACCTTGAGAAGCATCCCTTTTGCCCTGCCAAGCCTCGAAGAGATTCCTGAGGTGTCCCTCGTTACTAGACAAGAGTCCTGACGTCACTGAAGAAACTCGTGTTTTGAAGGGACATCCCCGCCGTAAGTCGAGACCATACCCCAGGTCCCGCCACAACTCGAGAAAAACCATGAGACCTCCTCCTAGAGGCGAGATGAGGCCCCATTCCCCTGCAGTGCATGCAGAGCTATTCCGTGATCCCACTCAAACAGTCAGGAGCTTCGACTTGCTTAATGGATCTCGAGACAATCACCAAGAACACTGTCACCAGTCTAGACGGACTCTGAGGTCACCCCAGCAAAGCAAGGCAGCTCCATGTGCCCCAAATCAACTCGAGATGAGGGCCGATTCCCTTGCATTGACTCCAGAGCCATTCCCCGTTCCCCATTCAACACGACCGGTGGCTCGACTTCCTTCAGGCAACTCCAGAGATGCCCCGAGAACACTGTACCAAATCTAGAGGAACACCAACTTGAGCACAGCAACTCGAGGAAAGCTCCGTGTACCCCAAATCGTCTCGAGATGAGAGCTGATTCCCTGGCTTAGGCTCAAGACGTATGCCAACTTTCCAAAAGCACCTCACGAGGAGGCTTCTCTCAGCAATATGTATGTGGGAGGGACCCCGAGAACGCTGCCTCATGTGCAATATATAGCGAGAAGCCCTAACTTGAAAGGAGGCCGGGTTTCCTTGCAGTGGCTTGAATACAGGCTCGTCTTTGATCTCAAACCATGAAGGGATGTCTGAATCCCCTGTGGAGACCTTAGAGAAAGCCCTAGGTCCCTGCCTCATTTTGACGGAATGCCTCACATCCCGTTGACAACTCGAGAGGCACGCGGAGTTCATTGCTTCAAAAGGTGACGATGCCTGACTCCTCTTGAATACTGATAGGAAACCCAAAACCCTGTGGCTTCTAGAAAGGGTCCTTGGGTGCCCTGCCTCACCGCGAGAAGCCTCCCTTTTGCAATCCCAAGCCTCCAAGTGATTTCTGAGTTGTCCCTCGTTACTAGACAGGAGTCCTGACGTCACTGAAGAAACTCGTGTTTTGAAGGGCCATCCCCGCCGTAAGTCGAGAACATACCCCAGGTCCCCGCCGCAACTCGAGAAAAACCATGAGACTTCACCCCTGAGGCGAAATGAGGCCCCATTCCCCCACAGTGCATGCAGAGCTATTCCGTGATCCCATTCAAACAAGTCAGGAGCTTCGACTTGCTTAATGGATCTCGAGACAGTCCCCAAGAACACTGTCACCAGTCTAGACAGACTCTGAGGTCACCCCTGCAACGCAAAGCAGCACCATGTGCCCCAAATCAACTCGAGATGAGGGCCGATTCCCCTGCATTGACTCCAGAGCCATTCCCCGTTCCCCATTCAACACGACCGGTGGCTCGACTTCCTTCAGGCAACTCCAGAGATGCCCCAAGAACACTGTCCCAAGGCTAGCGGAACACCAACTTGAGCACAGCAACTCGAGGAATGTTCCATGTACCCCAAATCGTCTCTAAATGAGAGCTGATTCCCTGGCTTAGGCTCAAGACGTATGCCAACTTTCCAGAATCACCTCAGGAGGAGGCTTCTCTCAGCAATAGGTATGTGGGAGGGACCCCGAGAACGCTGCCTCAAGTGCAATATATAGCGAGAAGCCCTAACTTGAAAGGAGGCCGGGTTTCCTTGCAGTGGCTTGAATACAGGCTCGTCTTTGATCTCAAACCATGAAGGGATGTCTGAATCCCCTGGGGAGACCTTAGAGAAAGCCCTAGGTCCCTGCCTCATTTTGACGGAATTCCTCACATCCCGTTGACACCTCGAAAGGCACGCGGAGTTCATTGCTTCAAAACGTGACGATGCCTGACTCCTCTTGAATACTGATAGGAAACCCAAAACCCTGTGGCTACTAGAAAGGGTCCTTGGGTGCCCTGCCTCACTGCGAGAAGCCTCCCTTTTGCCCTCCCAAGCCTCAAAGTGATTTCTGGGCTGTCCCTCGTTACTAGACAGGAGTCCTGATGTCACTGAAGAAACTCGTGTTTTGAAGGGCCATCCCCGCGTAAGTCGAGAACATACCCCAGGTGCCCGCGGCAACTCGAGAAAAACCATGAGACTTCCCCCTAGAGGCGAGATGAGGCCCCATTCCCCTGCAGTGCATGCAGAGATATTCGGTGATCCCCATCAAACAAGTCAGGAGCTTCAACTTGCTTAATGGATCTCGAGACAGTCCCCAAGAACACTGTCACCAGTCTAGACGGACCCTGAGGTCACCCCAGCAACAAAAGGCAGCTCCATGGGCCCCAAATCAACTCGAGATGAGGCCCGATTCCCCTGCATTGACTCCAGAGCCATTCCCCGTTCCCTATTCAACACGACCGGTGGCTCGACTTCCTTCAGGCAACTCCAGAGATGCCCGAGAACACTGTCCCAAGGCTAGAGAAACACCAACTTCATCACAGCAACTCGAGGAATGCTCCGTGTACCCCAAATCGTCTCGAGATGAGAGCTGATTCCCTGGCTTAGGCTCAAGGCGTATGCCAACTTTCCAAAAGCACCTCAGGAGGAGGCTTCTCTCAGCAATAGGTATGTGGGAGGGCCCCGAGTTCTCTGCCTCAAGTGGAATATACAGCGAGAAGCCCTAACTTGAAAGGAGGCCGGATTTCCTTGCAGTGGCTTGAATACAGGCTCGTCTTTGATCTCAAAACATGAAGGGATGTCTGAATCCCCTGTGGAGACCTTAGAGAAAGCGCTAGGTCCCTGCCTCATTTTGACGGAATGCCTCACATCCCGTTGACCCCTCGAGAGGCACGCGGAGTTCATTGCTTCAAAAGGTGACGATGCCTGACTCCTCTTGAATACTGATAGGAATCCCAAAATCCCTGTGGCTCCTGGAAAGTGTCCTTGGGTGCCCTACCTCACCGCGAGAAGCCTCTCTTTTGCCTCCCAAGCCTCGAAGTGATTTCTGAGGTGTCCCTCGTTACTAGACAGGAGTCCTGACGTCACTGAAGAAACTCGTGTTTTGAAGGGCCATCCCCGCCTTAAGTCGAGAACATACCCCAGGTCCCCGCCGCAACTGGAGAAAAACCATGAGACTTCCCCCTAGAGGCGAGATGAGGCCCCATTCCCCTGCAGTGCATGCAGAGCTATTCCGTGATCCCATTCAAACAAGTCAGGAGCTTCGACTTGCTTAATCCATCTCGAGAGAGTCCCCAAGAACACTGTCACCAGTCTAGACGGACCCTGAGGTCACCCCAGCAACGCAAAGCAGCTCCATGTGCCCCAAATCAACACGAGATGAGGCCCGATTCCCCTGCATTGACTCCAGAGCCATTCCCCGTTCCCCATTCAACACGACCGGTGGCTCGACTTCCTTCAGGCATCTCCAGAGATGCCCCGAGAACACTGTCCCAAGTCTAGAGGAACACCAACTTCAGCACAGCAACTCGAGGAATGCTCTGTGTACCCCAAATCGTCTCGAGATGAGAGCCGATTCCCTGGCTTAGGCTCAAGACATATGCCAACTTTCCAGAAGCACCTCAGGATGAGGCTTCTCTCAGCAATAGGTATGTGGGAGGGACCCCGAGATCGCTGCCTCAAGTAGAGTATACTGCGAGAATCCCTAACTTGAAAGGAGGCCGGATTTCCTTGCAGTGGCTTGAATACAGGCTCGTCTTTCATCTCACAACATGAAGGGATGTCGAATCCCCTGTGGAGACCTTAGAGAAAGCCCTAGGTCCCTGCCTCATTTTGACGGAATGCCTCACATCCCGTTGACCCCTCGAGAGGCACGCGGAGTTCATTGCTTCAAAAGGTGAAGATGCCTGACTCCTCTGGAATATTGATAGGAATCCCAAAATCCATATGGCTACTGGAAAGGTTCCTTGGGTGCCCTGTCTCACCTCGAGAAGTGTCCCTTTTGCCCTGCCAAGTCTCGAAGACATTCCTGAGGTGTCCCTCGTTACTAGACAAGCATCCTGACGTCACGGAAGAAACTCGTGTTTTGAAGGGCCATCCCCGCCTTAAGTCGGGAACATACCCCAGGTCCCCGCCGCAACTCGAGAAAAACCATGAGACTTCCCCCTAGAGTCGAGAAGAGGCCCCATTCCCCTGCAGTGCATGCAGAGCTATTCCGTGATCCCGTTCAAACAAGTCAGGAGCTTCGACTTGCTTAATCCATCTCGAGAGAGTCCCCAAGAACACTGTCACCAGTCTAGACGGACCCTGAGGTCACCCCAGCAATCCAAAGCAGCTCCATGTGCCCCAAATCAACACGAGATGAGGCCCGATTCCCCTGCATTGACTCCAGAGCCATTCCCTGTTTCCCATTCAACACGACCGGTGGCTCGACTTCCTTCAGGCAACTCCAGAGATGCCCCGAGAACACTGTCCCAAGTCTAGAGGAACACCAACTTCAGCACAGCAACTCGAGGAATGCTCCGTGTACCCCAAATCGTCTCGAGATGAGAGCTGATTCCCTGGCTTAGGCTCAAGACGTATGCCAACTGTCCAGAAGCACCTCAGGAGGAGGCTTCTCTCAGAAATAGGTACGTGGGAGGGACCCCGAGATCGCTGCCTCAAGTGGAATATACAGCGAGAAGACCTAACTTGAAAGGAGGCCGGATTTCCTTGCAGTGGCTTGAATACAGGCTCGTCTTTGATCTCAAAACATGAAGGGGTGCCTGAATTCACTGTGGAGACCTTAGAGAAAGCCCTAGGTCCCTGCCTCATTTTGACGGAATGCCTCACATCCCGTTGACACCTCAAGAGGCACGCGGAGTTCATTGCTTCAAAAGGTGACGATGCCTGACTCCTCTTGAATACTGATAGGAATCCCAAAATCCCTGTGGCTACTGGAAAGGGTACTTGGGTGCCCTGTCTCACCGCGAGAAGCGTCCCTTTTGCCCTGCCAAGACTCGAAGAGATTCCTGAGGTGTCCCTCGTTACTAGACAGGAGTTCTGACGTCACTGAAGAAACTCGTGTTTGGAAGGGCCATCCCCGCCTTAAGTCGAGAACATACCCCAGGACCCCGCCGCAACTCGAGAAAAACCATGAGACTTCCCACTAGAGGCGAGATGAGGCCCCATTCCCCTGCAGTGCATGCAGAGCTATTACGTGATCCCGTTCAAACAAGTCAGGAGCTGCGACTTGCTTAATGTATCTCGAGACAGTCCCCAAGAACACAGTCACCAGTCTAGACGGACCCTGAGGTCACCCCAGCAATGCAAAGCAGCTCCATGTGCCCCAAATCAACGCGAGATGAGGCCCGATTCCCCTGCATTGACTCCAGAGCAATGCCCCGTTTCCCATTCAACACGACCGTGGCTCGACTTCCTTCAGGCAACTCCAGAGATGCCCCGAGAACACTGTCCCAAGTCTAGAGGAACACCAACTTCAGCACAGCAACTCGAGGAATGCTCCATGTACCCCAAATCGTCTCGAGATGAGAGCTGATTCCCTGGCTTAGGCTCAAGACGTATGCCAACTTTCCAGAAGCACCTCAGGAGGAGGCTTCTCTCAGCAATAGGTATGTGGGAGGGACCCCGAGTTTGCTGCCTCAAGGGGAATATACAGCGAGAAGCCCTAACTTGAAAGGAGGCCGGATTTCCTAGCTGTGGCTTGAATACAGGCTCGTCTTTCATCTCACAACATGAAGGGATGTCTGAATCCCCTGTGGAGACCTTAGAGAAAGCCCTAGGTCCCTGCCTCATTTTGACGGAATGCCTCACATCCCGTTGACCCCTCGAGAGGCACGCGGAGTTCATTGCTTCAAAAGGTGAGGAAGCCTGACTACTCTTGGATACTGATAGGAATCCCAAAATCCCTGTGGCTACTGGAAAGGGTCCTAGGGTGCCCTGCCTCACCGCGAGAAGCCTCTCTTTTGCCTCCCAAGCCTCGAAGTGATTTCTGTGGTGTCCCTCGTTACTAGACAGGAGTCCTGACGTCACTGAAGAAACTCATGTTTTGAAGGGCCATCCCCGCCGTAAGTCGAGAACATACCCAGGTCCCCGTCGCAATTCGAGAAAAACCATGAGACTTCCCCCTAGAGGCGAGTTGAGGCCCCATTCCACTGAAGTGCATGCAGAGCTATTCGGTGATGCCCATCAAACAAGTCAAGAGCTTCAACTTGCTTAATGGATCTCGAGACAGTCCCCAAGAACACTGTCACCAGTCTAGACGGACCCTGAGGTCACCCCAGCAACGCAAAGCAGCTCCATGTGCCCCAAATCAACTCGAGATGAGGCCCGATTCCCCTGCATTGACTCCAGAGCCATTCCCCGTTCCCCATTCAACACGACCGGTGGCTCGACTTCCTTCAGGCAACTCCAGAGATGCTCCGAAAACACTGTCCCAAGTCTAGAGGAACACCAACTTCAGCACAGCAACTCGAGGAATGCTCCGTGTACCCCAAATCGTCTCGAGATGAGAGCTGATTCCCTGGCTTAGGCTCAAGACGTATGCCAACTTTCCAGAAGCATCTCAGGAGGAGGCTTCTCTCAGCAATAGATACGTGGGAGGGACCCCGAGATCGCTGCCTCAAGTGGAATATACAGCGAGAAGTCCTAACTTGAAAGGAGGCCGGATTTCCGTGCAGTGGCTTGAATACAGGCTCATCTTTGATCTCAAAACATGAAGGGGTATCTGAATCCACTGTGGAGACCTTAGAGAAAGACCTAGGTCCCTGCCTCATTTTGACGGAATGCCTCACATCCCGTTGACACGTCGAGAGGCACGCGGAGTTCATTGCTTCAAAAGGTGACGATGCCTGACTCCTCCTGAATACTCATAGGAATCCCAAAATCCCTGTGGCTACTGGAAAGGGTCCTTGGGTGCCCTGGCTCACCTCGAGAAGCGTCCCTTTTGCCCTGCCAAGCCTCGAAGAGATTCCTGAGTTGTCCCTCGTTACTAGACAGGAGTCCTGACGTCACTGAAGAAACTCGTGTTTGGAAGGGCCATCCCCGCCGTAAGTCGAGAACATACCCCAGGTCCCCGCCGCAACTCGAGAAAAACCATGAGACTTCCCCCTAGAGGCGAGATGAGGCCCCATTCCCCTGCAGTGCATGCAGAGCTATTCCGTGATCCCATTCAAACAAGTCAGGAGCTTCGACTTGCTTAACGGATCTCGAGACAGTCCCCAAGAACACTGTCAGCAGTCTAGACGGACCCTGAGGTCACCCCAGCAACGCAAAGCAGCTCCATGTGCCCCAAATCAACTCGAGATGAGGCCCGATTCCCCTGCATTGACTCCAGAGCCATTCCCCGTTCCCCATTCAACACGACCGGTGGCTCGACTTCCTTCAGGCATCTCCAGAGATGCCCCGAGAACACTGTCCCAAGTCTAGAGGAACACCAACTTCAGCACAGCAACTCGAGGAATGCTCCGTGTACCCCAAATCGTCTCGAGATGAGAGCTGATTCCCTGGCTTAGGCTCAAGACGTATGCCAACTTTCCAGAAGCACCTCAGGAGGAGGCTTCTCTCAGCAATAGGTATGTGGGAGGGACCCCGAGATCGCTGCCTCAAGTAGAGTATACTCCGAGAATCCCTAACTTGAAAGGAGGCCGGATTTCCTTGCAGTGCCTTGAATACAGGCTCGTCTTTCATCTCACAACATGAAGGGATGTCTGAATCCCCTGTGGAGACCTTAGAGAAAGCCCTATGTCCCTGCCTCATTTTGACGGAATGCCTCACATCCCGTTGACCCCTCGAGAGGCACGCGGAGTTCATTGCTTCAAAAGGTGACGATGCCTGACTCCTCTGGTATATTGATAGGAATCCCAAAATCCATATGGCTACTGGAAAGGTTCCTTGGGTGCCCTGTCTCACCTCGAGAAGTGTCCCTTTTGCCCTGCCAAGCCTCGAAGACATTCCTGAGGTGTCCCTCGTTACTAGACAAGCATCCTGACGTCACGGAAGAAACTCGTGTTTTGAAGGGCCATCCCCGCCTTAAGTCGGGAACATACCGCAGGTCCCCGCCGCAACTCGAGAAAAACCATGAGACTTCCCCCTAGAGTCGAGAAGAGGCCCCATTCCCCTGCAGTGCATGCAGAGCTATTCTGTGATCCCGTTCAAACAAGTCAGGAGCTTCGACTTGCTTAATCCATCTCGAGAGAGTACCCAAGAACACTGTCACCAGTCTAGACGGACCCTGAGGTCACCCCAGCAATGCAAAGCAGCTCCATGTGCCCCAAATCAACACGAGATGAGGCCCGATTCCCCTGCATTGACTCCAGAGCCATTTCCCGTTCCCCATTCAACACGACAGGTGGCTCGACTTCTTCAGGCATCTCCAGAGATGCCCCGAGAACACTGTCCCAAGTCTAGAGGAAACCAACTTCAGCACAGCAACTCGAGGAATGCTCCGTGTACCCCAAATCGTCTCGAGATGAGAGCTGATTCCCTGGCTTAGGCTCAAGACGTATGCCAACTTTCCAGAAGCACCTCAGGAGGAGGCTTCTCTCAGCAATAGGTATGTGGGAGGGACCCCGAGTTTGCTGCCTCAAGGGGAATATACAGCGAGAAGCCCTAACTTGAAAGGAGGCCGGATTTCCTTGCAGTGGCTTGAATACAGGCTCGTCTTTCATGTCACAACATGAAGGGATGTCTGAATCCCCTGTGGAGACCTTAGAGAAAGCCCTAGGTCCCTGCCTCTTTTTGACGGAAGGCCTCACATCCCGTTGACACGTCGAGAGGCACGCGGAGTTCATTGCTTCAAAAGGTGACGATGCCTGACTCCTCCTGAATACTCATAGGAATCCCAAAATCCCTGTGGCTACTGGAAAGGGTCCTTGGGTGCCCTGCCTCACCTCGAGAAGCGTCCCTTTTGCCCTGCCAAGCCTCGAAGAGATTCCTGAGTTGTCCCTCGTTACTAGACAGGAGTCCTGACGTCACTGAAGAAACTCGTGTTTGGAAGGGCCATCCCCGCCGTAAGTCGAGAACATACCCCAGGTCCCCGCCGCAACTCGAGAAAAACCATGAGACTTCCCCCTAGAGGCGAGATGAGGCCCCATTCCCCTGCAGTGCATGCAGAGCTATTCCGTGATCCCATTGAAACAAGTCAGGAGCTTCGACTTGCTTAACGGATCTCGAGACAGTCCCCAAGAACACTGTCACCAGTCTAGACGGACCCTGAGGTCACCCCAGCAACGCAAAGCAGCTCCATGTGCCCCAAATCAACTCGAGATGAGGCCTGATTCCCCTGCATTGACTCAAGAGCCATTCCCCGTTCCCCATTCAACACGACCGGTGGCTCGACTTCCTTCAGGCATCTCCAGAGATGCCCCGAGAACACTGTCCCAAGTCTAGAGGAACACCAACTTCAGCACAGCAACTCGAGGAATGCTCCGTGTACCCCAAATCGTCTCGAGATTAGAGCTGATTCCCTGGCTTAGTCTCAATACGTAGGCCAACTTTCCAGAAGCACCTCAGGAGGAGGCTTCTCTCAGCAATAGGTATGTGGGAGGGACCCCGAGATCGCTGCCTCAAGTAGAGTATACTGCGAGAATCCCTAACTTGAAAGGAGGCCGGATTTCCTTGCAGTGGCTTGAATACAGGCTCGTCTTTCATCTCACAACATGAAGGGATGTCTGAATCCCCTGTGGAGACCTTAGAGAAAGCCCTAGGTCCCTGCCTCATTTTGACGGAATGCCTCACATCCCGTTGACCCCTCGAGAGGCACGCGGAGTTCATTGCTTCAAAAGGTGACGATGCCTGACTCCTCTGGAATATTGATAGGAATCCCAAAATCCATATGGCTACTGGAAAGGTTCCTTGGGTGCCCTGTCTCACCTCGAGAAGTGTCCCTTTTGCCCTGCCAAGCCTCGAAGACATTCCTGAGGTGTCCCTCGTTACTAGACAAGCATCCTGACGTCACGGAAGAAACTCGTGTTTTGAAGGGCCATCCCCGCCTTAAGTCGGGAACATACCCGAGGTCCCCGCCGCAACTCGAGAAAAACCATGAGACTTCCCCCTATAATCGAGAAGAGGCCCCATTCCCCTGCAGTGCATGCAGAGCTATTCCGTGATCCCGTTCAAACAAGTCAGGAGCTTCGACTTGCTTAATCCATCTCGAGACAGTCCCCAAGAACACTGTCACCAGTCTAGACGGACCCTGAGGTCACCCCAGCAACGCAAAGCAGCTCCATGTGCCCCAAATCAACCCGAGATGAGGCCCGATTCCCCTGCATTGACTCCAGAGCCATTCCCCGTTTCCCATTCAACACGACCGGTGGCTCGACTTCCTTCAGGCAACTCCAGAGATGCAACGAGAACTCTGTCCCAAGTCTAGAGGAACAGGAACTTCAGCACAGCAACTCGAGGAATGCTCCGAGTACCCCAAATCGTCTCGAGATGAGAGATGATTCCCTGGCTTAGGCTCAAGACGTATGCCAACTTTCCAGAAGCACCTCAGGAGGAGGCTTCTCTCAGCAATAGGTATGTGGGACGGACCCCGCGATCGCTGCCTCAAGTGGAATATACAGCGAGAAGCCCTAACTTGAAAGGAGGCCCGATTTCCTTGCAGTGGCTTGATTACAGGCTCGTCTTTGATCTCAAAACATGAAGGGGTGTCTGATTCCCCTGTGGAGAACTTAGAGAAAGCCCTAGGTCCCTGCCTCATTTTGACGGAATGCCTCACATCCCGTTGACACCTAGAGAGGCACGCGGAGTTCATTGCTTCAAAAGGTGACGATGCCTGACTCCTCTTGAATACTGATAGGAATCCCAAAATACCTGTGGCTACTGGAAAGGTTCCTTGGGTGCACTGCCTGACTTCGAGAAGCATCCCTTTTGCCCTGCCAAGCCTCGAAGAGATTCCTGATGTGTCCCTCGTTACTAGACAGGAGTCCTGACGTCACTGAAGAAACTCGTGTTTTGAAGGGCCATCCCCGCCTTAAGTCGAGAACATACCCCAGGTCCCCGCCGCAACTCGAGAAAAACCATGAGACTTCCCCCTAGAGGCGAGATGAGGCCCCATTCCCCTGCAGTGCATGCAGAGGTATTCCGTGATCCCATTCAAACAAGTCAGGAGCTTTGACTTGCTTAACGGATCTCGAGACAGTCCCCAAGAACACTGTCACCAGTCTAGACGGACCCTGAGGTCACCCCAGCAACGCAAAGCAGATCCATGTGCCCCAAATCAACCCAAGATGAGGCCCGATTCCCCTGCATTGACTCCAAAGCCATTCCCCGTTCCCCATTCAACACGACCGGTGGCTCGACTTCCTTCAGGCATCTCCAGAGATGCCTCGAGAACACTGTCCCAAGTCTAGAGGAACACCAACTTCAGCACAGCAACTCGAGGAATGCTCCATGTACCCCAAATCGTCTCGAGATGAGAGCTGATTCCCTGGCTTAGGCTCAAGACGTATGCCAACTTTCCAGAAGCACCTGAGGAGGAGGCTTCTCTCAGCAATAGGTATGTGGGAGGGACCCCGAGTTTGCTGCCTCAAGGGGAATATACAGCGAGAAGCCCTAACTTGAAAGGAGGCCGGATTTCCTTGCAGTGGCTTGAATACAGGCTCGTCTTTCATCTCACAACATGAAGGGATGTCTGAATCCCCTGTGGAGACCTTAGAGAAAGCCCTAGGTCCCTGCCTCATTTTGACGGAATGCCTCACATCCCGTTGACACCTAGAGAGGCACGCGGAGTTCATTGCTTCAAAAGGTGACGATGCCTGACTCCTCTTGAATACTGATAGGAATCCCAAAATACCTGTGGCTACTGGAAAGGTTCCTTGGGTGCACTGCCTGACTTCGAGAAGCATCCCTTTTGCCCTGCCAAGCCTCGAAGAGATTCCTGATGTGTCCCTCGTTACTAGACAGGAGTCCTGACGTCACTGAAGAAACTCGTGTTTTGAAGGGCCATCCCCGCCTTAAGTCGAGAACATACCCCAGGTCCCCGCCGCAACTCGAGAAAAACCATGAGACTTCCCCCTAGAGGCGAGATGAGGCCCCATTCCCCTGCAGTGCATGCAGAGGTATTCCGTGATCCCATTCAAACAAGTCAGGAGCTTCGACTTGCTTAACGGATCTCGAGACAGTCCCCAAGAACACTGTCACCAGTCTAGACGGACCCTGAGGTCACCCCAGCAACGCAAAGCAGATCCATGTGCCCCAAATCAACCCAAGATGAGGCCCGATTCCCCTGCATTGACTCCAAAGCCATTCCCCGTTCCCCATTCAACACGACCGGTGGCTCGACTTCCTTCAGGCATCTCCAGAGATGCCTCGAGAACACTGTCCCAAGTCTAGAGGAACACCAACTTCAGCACAGCAACTCGAGGAATGCTCCATGTACCCCAAATCGTCTCGAGATGAGAGCTGATTCCCTGGCTTAGGCTCAAGACGTATGCCAACTTTCCAGAAGCACCTCAGGAGGAGGCTTCTCTCAGCAATAGGTATGTGGGAGGGACCCTGAGTTTGCTGCCTCAAGGGGAATATACAGCGAGAAGCCCTAACTTGAAAGGAGGCCGGATTTCCTAGCTGTGGCTTGAATACAGGCTCGTCTTTGATCTCACAACATGAAGGGATGTCTGAATCCCCTGTGGAGACCGTAGAGAAAGCCCTAGGTCCCTGCCTCATTTTGACGGAAGGCCTCACATCCCGTTGACACCTCGAGAGGCACGCGGAGTTCATTGCTTCAAAAGGTGAGGACGCCTGACTCCTCTTGAATACTGATAGGAATCCCAAAATCCCTGTGGCTACTGGAAAGGGTCCTAGGGTGCCCTGCCTCACCGCGAGAAGCCTCTCTTTTGCCTCCCAAGCCTCGAAGTGATTTCTGTGGTGTCCCTCGTTACTAGACAGGAGTCCTGACGTCACTGAAGAAACTCGTGTTTTGAAGGGCCATCCCCGCCGTAAGTCGAGAACATACCCAGGTCCCCGCCGCAATTCGAGAAAAACCATGAGACTTCCCCCTAGAGGCGAGTTGAGGCCCCATTACCCTGAAGTGCATGCAGAGCTATTCGGTGATGCCCATCAAACAAGTCAAGAGCTTCAACTTACTTAATGGATCTCGAGACAGTCCCCAAGAACACTGTCACCAGTCTAGACGGACCCTGAGGTCACCCCAGCAACGCAAAGCAGCTCCATGTGCCCCAAATCAACACGAGATGAGGCCCGATTCCCCTGCATTGACTCCAGAGCCATTCCCCGTTCCCCATTCAACACGACCGGTGGCTCGACTTCCTTCAGGCATCTCCAGAGATGCCCCGAGAACACTGTCCCAAGTCTAGAGGAACACCAACTTCAGCACAGCAACTCGAGGAATGCTCTGTGTACCCCAAATCGTCTCGAGATGAGAGCCGATTCCCTGGCTTAGGCTCAAGACATATGCCAACTTTCCAGAAGCACCTCAGGATGAGGCTTCTCTCAGCAATAGGTATGTGGGAGGGACCCCGAGATCGCTGCCTCAAGTAGAGTATACTGCGAGAATCCCTAACTTGAAAGGAGGCCGGATTTCCTTGCAGTGGCTTGAATACAGGCTCGTCTTTCATCTCACAACATGAAGGGATGTCGAATCCCCTGTGGAGACCTTAGAGAAAGCCCTAGGTCCCTGCCTCATTTTGACGGAATGCCTCACATCCCGTTGACCCCTCGAGAGGCACGCGGAGTTCATTGCTTCAAAAGGTGACGATGCCTGACTCCTCTGGAATATTGATAGGAATCCCAAAATCCATATGGCTACTGGAAAGGTTCCTTGGGTGCCCTCTCTCACCTCGAGAAGTGTCCCTTTTGCCCTGCCAAGTCTCGAAGACATTCCTGAGGTGTCCCTCGTTACTAGACAAGCATCCTGACGTCACGGAAGAAACTCGTGTTTTGAAGGGCCATCCCCGCCTTAAGTCGGGAACATACCCCAGGTCCCCGCCGCAACTCGAGAAAAACCATGAGACTTCCCCCTAGAGTCGAGAAGAGGCCCCATTCCCCTGCAGTGCATGCAGAGCTATTCCGTGATCCCGTTCAAACAAGTCAGGAGCTTCGACTTGCTTAATCCATCTCGAGAGAGTCCCCAAGAACACTGTCACCAGTCTAGACGGACCCTGAGGTCACCCCAGCAATCCAAAGCAGCTCCATGTGCCCCAAATCAACACGAGATGAGGCCCGATTCCCCTGCATTGACTCCAGAGCCATTCCCTGTTTCCCATTCAACACGACCGGTGGCTCGACTTCCTTCAGGCAACTCCAGAGATGCCCCGAGAACACTGTCCCAAGTCTAGAGGAACACCAACTTCAGCACAGCAACTCGAGGAATGCTCCGTGTACCCCAAATCGTCTCGAGATGAGAGCTGATTCCCTGGCTTAGGCTCAAGACGTATGCCAACTGTCCAGAAGCACCTCAGGAGGAGGCTTCTCTCAGAAATAGGTACGTGGGAGGGACCCCGAGATCGCTGCCTCAAGTGGAATATACAGCGAGAAGACCTAACTTGAAAGGAGGCCGGATTTCCTTGCAGTGGCTTGAATACAGGCTCGTCTTTGATCTCAAAACATGAAGGGGTGCCTGAATTCACTGTGGAGACCTTAGAGAAAGCCCTAGGTCCCTGCCTCATTTTGACAGAATGCCTCACATCCCGTTGACACCTCAAGAGGCACGCGGAGTTCATTGCTTCAAAAGGTGACGATGCCTGACTCCTCTTGAATACTGATAGGAATCCCAAAATCCCTGTGGCTACTGGAAAGGGTACTTGGGTGCCCTGTCTCACCGCGAGAAGCGTCCCTTTTGCCCTGCCAAGACTCGAAGAGATTCCTGAGGTGTCCCTCGTTACTAGACAGGAGTTCTGACGTCACTGAAGAAACTCGTGTTTGGAAGGGCCATCCCCGCCTTAAGTCGAGAACATACCCCAGGACCCCGCCGCAACTCGAGAAAAACCATGAGACTTCCCACTAGAGGCGAGATGAGGCCCCATTCCCCTGCAGTGCATGCAGAGCTATTACGTGATCCCGTTCAAACAAGTCAGGAGCTGCGACTTGCTTAATGGATCTCGAGACAGTCCCCAAGAACACAGTCACCAGTCTAGACGGACCCTGAGGTCACCCCAGCAATGCAAAGCAGCTCCATGTGCCCCAAATCAACGCGAGATGAGGCCCGATTCCCCTGCATTGACTCCAGAGCAATGCCCCGTTTCCCATTCAACACGACCGTGGCTCGACTTCCTTCAGGCAACTCCAGAGATGCCCCGAGAACACTGTCCCAAGTCTAGAGGAACACCAACTTCAGCACAGCAACTCGAGGAATGCTCCATGTACCCCAAATCGTCTCGAGATGAGAGCTGATTCCCTGGCTTAGGCTCAAGACGTATGCCAACTTTCCAGAAGCACCTCAGGAGGAGGCTTCTCTCAGCAATAGGTATGTGGGAGGGACCCCGAGTTTGCTGCCTCAAGGGGAATATACAGCGAGAAGCCCTAACTTGAAAGGAGGCCGGATTTCCTAGCTGTGGCTTGAATACAGGCTCGTCTTTCATCTCACAACATGAAGGGATGTCTGAATCCCCTGTGGAGACCTTAGAGAAAGCCCTAGGTCCCTGCCTCATTTTGACGGAATGCCTCACATCCCGTTGACCCCTCGAGAGGCACGCGGAGTTCATTGCTTCAAAAGGTGAGGAAGCCTGACTACTCTTGAATACTGATAGGAATCCCAAAATCCCTGTGGCTACTGGAAAGGGTCCTAGGGTGCCCTGCCTCACCGCGAGAAGCCTCTCTTTTGCCTCCCAAGCCTCGAAGTGATTTCTGTGGTGTCCCTCGTTACTAGACAGGAGTCCTGACGTCACTGAAGAAACTCATGTTTTGAAGGGCCATCCCCGCCGTAAGTCGAGAACATACCCAGGTCCCCGTCGCAATTCGAGAAAAACCATGAGACTTCCCCCTAGAGGCGAGTTGAGGCCCCATTCCACTGAAGTGCATGCAGAGCTATTCGGTGATGCCCATCAAACAAGTCAAGAGCTTCAACTTGCTTAATGGATCTCGAGACAGTCCCCAAGAACACTGTCACCAGTCTAGACGGACCCTGAGGTCACCCCAGCAACGCAAAGCAGCTCCATGTGCCCCAAATCAACTCGAGATGAGGCCCGATTCCCCTGCATTGACTCCAGAGCCATTCCCCGTTCCCCATTCAACACGACCGGTGGCTCGACTTCCTTCAGGCAACTCCAGAGATGCTCCGAAAACACTGTCCCAAGTCTAGAGGAACACCAACTTCAGCACAGCAACTCGAGGAATGCTCCGTGTACCCCAAATCGTCTCGAGATGAGAGCTGATTCCCTGGCTTAGGCTCAAGACGTATGCCAACTTTCCAGAAGCATCTCAGGAGGAGGCTTCTCTCAGCAATAGATACGTGGGAGGGACCCCGAGATCGCTGCCTCAAGTGGAATATACAGCGAGAAGTCCTAACTTGAAAGGAGGCCGGATTTCCGTGCAGTGGCTTGAATACAGGCTCATCTTTGATCTCAAAACATGAAGGGGTGTCTGAATCCACTGTGGAGACCTTAGAGAAAGACCTAGGTCCCTGCCTCATTTTGACGGAATGCCTCACATCCCGTTGACACGTCGAGAGGCACGCGGAGTTCATTGCTTCAAAAGGTGACGATGCCTGACTCCTCCTGAATACTCATAGGAATCCCAAAATCCCTGTGGCTACTGGAAAGGGTCCTTGGGTGCCCTGCCTCACCTCGAGAAGCGTCCCTTTTGCCCTGCCAAGCCTCGAAGAGATTCCTGAGTTGTCCCTCGTTACTAGACAGGAGTCCTGACGTCACTGAAGAAACTCGTGTTTGGAAGGGCCATCCCCGCCGTAAGTCGAGAACATACGCCAGGTCCCCGCCGCAACTCGAGAAAAACCATGAGACTTCCCCCTAGAGGCGAGATGAGGCCCCATTCCCCTGCAGTGCATGCAGAGCTATTCCGTGATCCCATTCAAACAAGTCAGGAGCTTCGACTTGCTTAACGGATCTCGAGACAGTCCCCAAGAACACTGTCAGCAGTCTAGACGGACCCTGAGGTCACCCCAGCAACGCAAAGCAGCTCCATGTGCCCCAAATCAACTCGAGATGAGGCCCGATTCCCCTGCATTGACTCCAGAGCCATTCCCCGTTCCCCATTCAACACGACCGGTGGCTCGACTTCCTTCAGGCATCTCCAGAGATGCCCCGAGAACACTGTCCCAAGTCTAGAGGAACACCAACTTCAGCACAGCAACTCGAGGAATGCTCCGTGTACCCCAAATCGTCTCGAGATGAGAGCTGATTCCCTGGCTTAGGCTCAAGACGTATGCCAACTTTCCAGAAGCACCTCAGGAGGAGGCTTCTCTCAGCAATAGGTATGTGGGAGGGACCCCGAGATCGCTGCCTCAAGTAGAGTATACTGCGAGAATCCCTAACTTGAAAGGAGGCCGGATTTCCTTGCAGTGCCTTGAATACAGGCTCGTCTTTCATCTCACAACATGAAGGGATGTCTGAATCCCCTGTGGAGACCTTAGAGAAAGCCCTATGTCCCTGCCTCATTTTGACGGAATGCCTCACATCCCGTTGACCCCTCGAGAGGCACGCGGAGTTCATTGCTTCAAAAGGTGACGATGCCTGACTCTTCTGGTATATTGATAGGAATCCCAAAATCCATATGGCTACTGGAAAGGTTCCTTGGGTGCCCTGTCTCACCTCGAGAAGTGTCCCTTTTGCCCTGCCAAGTCTCGAAGACATTCCTGAGGTGTCCCTCGTTACTAGACAAGCATCCTGACGTCACGGAAGAAACTCGTGTTTTGAAGGGCCATCCCCGCCGTAAGTCGAGAACATACCCCAGGTCCCCGCCGCAACTCGAGAAAAACCATTAGACTTCTCCCTTGAGGCGAGATGAGGCCCCATTCCCCTGCACTGCATGCAGAGCTATTCCGTGATCCCATTCAAACAAGTCAGGAGCTTCGACTTGCTTAACGGATCTCGAGACAGTCCCCAAGAACACTGTCACCAGTCTAGACGGACCCTGAGGTCACCCCAGCAACGCAAAGCAGCTCCATGTGCCCCAAATCAACTCGAGATGAGGCCCGATTCCCCTGCATTGACTCCAGAGCCATTCCCCGTTCCCCATTCAACACGACCGGTGGCTCGACTTCCTTCAGGCATCTCCAGAGATGCCCCGAGAACACTGTCCCAAGTCTAGAGGAACACCAACTTCAGCACAGCAACTCGAGGAATGCTCCGTGTACCCCAAATCGTCTCGAGATGAGAGCTGATTCCCAGGCTTAGGCTCAAGACGTATGCCAACTTTCCAGAAGCACCTCAGGAGGAGGCTTCTCTCAGCAATAGGTATGTGGGAGGGACCCCGAGTTTGCTGCCTCAAGGGGAATATACAGCGAGAAGCCCTAACTTGAAAGGAGGCCGGATTTCCTTGCAGTGGCTTGAATACAGGCTCGTCTTTCATGTCACAACATGAAGGGATGTCTGAATCCCCTGTGGAGACGTTAGAGAAAGCCCTAGGTCCCTGCCTCATTTTGACGGAAGGCCTCACATCCCGCTGACACCTCGAGAGGCACGCGGAGTTCATTGCTTCAAAAGGTGACGATGCCTGACTCCTCCTGAATACTCATAGGAATCCCAAAATCCCTGTGGCTACTGGAAAGGGTCCTTGGGTGCCCTGCCTCACCTCGAGAAGCGTCCCTTTTGCCCTGCCAAGCCTCGAAGAGATTCCTGAGGTGTCCCTCGTTACTAGACAGGAGTCCTGACGTCACTGAAGAAACTCGTGTTTGGAAGGGCCATCCCCGCCGTAAGTCGAGAACATACCCCAGGTCCCCGCCGCAACTCGAGAAAAACCATGAGACTTCCCCCTAGAGGCGAGATGAGGCCCCATTCCCCTGCAGTGCATGCAGAGCTATTCCGTGATCCCATTCAAACAAGTCAGGAGCTTCGACTTGCTTAACGGATCTCGAGACAGTCCCCAAGAACACTGTCACCAGTCTAGACGGACCCTGAGGTCACCCCAGCAACGCAAAGCAGCTCCATGTGCCCCAAATCAACTCGAGATGAGGCCTGATTCCCCTGCATTGACTCAAGAGCCATTCCCCGTTCCCCATTCAACATGACCGGTGGCTCGACTTCCTTCAGGCATCTCCAGAGATGCCCCGAGAACACTGTCCCAAGTCTAGAGGAACACCAACTTCAGCACAGCAACTCGAGGAATGCTCCGTGTACCCCAAATCGTCTCGAGATGAGAGCTGATTCCCTGGCTTAGGCTCAAGACGTATGCCAACTTTCCAGAAGCACCTCAGGAGGAGGCTTCTCTCAGCAATAGGTATGTGGGAGGGACCCCGAGATCGCTGCCTCAAGTAGAGTATACTGCGAGAATCCCTAACTTGAAAGGAGGCCGGATTTCCTTGCAGTGGCTTGAATACAGGCTCGTCTTTCATCTCACAACATGAAGGGATGTCTGAATCCCCTGTGGAGACCTTAGAGAAAGCCCTAGGTCCCTGCCTCATTTTGACGGAATGCCTCACATCCCGTTGACCCCTCGAGAGGCACGCGGAGTTCATTGCTTCAAAAGGTGACGATGCCTGACTCCTCTGGAATATTGATAGGAATCCCAAAATCCATATGGCTACTGGAAAGGTTCCTTGGGTGCCCTGTCTCACCTCGAAAAGTGTCCCTTTTGCCCTGCCAAGCCTCGAAGACATTCCTGAGGTGTCCCTCGTTACTAGACAAGCATCCTGACGTCACGGAAGAAACTCGTGTTTTGAAGGGCCATCCCCGCCTTAAGTCGGGAACATACCCCAGGTCCCCGCCGCAACTCGAGAAAAACCATGAGACTTCCCCCTATAATCGAGAAGAGGCCCCATTCCCCTGCAGTGCATGCAGAGCTATTCCGTGATCCCGTTCAAACAAGTCAGGAGCTTCGACTTGCTTAATCAATCTCGAGAGAGTCCCCAAGAACACTGTCACCAGTCTAGACGGACCCTGAGTTCACCCCAGCAATGCAAAGCAGCTCCATGTGCCCCAAATCAACTCGAGATGAGGCCCGATTCCCCTGCATTGATTCCAGAGCCATTACCCGATCCCCATTCAACACGACCGGTGGCTCGACTTCCTTCAGGCAACTCCAGAGATGCTCCGAAAACACTGTCCCAAGTCTAGAGGAACACCAACTTCAGCACAGCAACACGAGGAATGCTCCGTGTACCCCAAATCGCCTCGAGATGTGAGCTTATTCCCTGGCTTAGGCTCAAGACGTATGCCAACTTTCCAGAAGCACCTCAGGAGGAGGCTTCTCTCAGCAATAGATACGTGGGAGGGACCCCGAGATCGCTGCCTCAAGTGGAATATACAGCGAGAAGTCCTAACTTGAAAGGAGGCCGGATTTCCGTGCAGTGGCTTGAATACAGGCTCATCTTTGATTTCAAAACATGAAGGGGTGTCTGAATCCACTGTGGAGACCTTAGAGAAAGCCCTAGGTCCCTGCCTCATTTTGACGGAATGCCTCACATCCCGTTGACACGTCGAGAGGCACGCGGAGTTCATTGCTTCAAAAGGTGACGATGCCTGACTCCTCCTGAATACTCATAGGAATCCCAAAATCCCTGTGGCTACTGGAAAGGGTCCTTGGGTGCCCTGCCTCACCTCGAGAAGCGTCCCTTTTGCCCTGCCAAGCCTCGAAGAGATTCCTGAGGTGTCCCTCGTTACTAGACAGGAGTCCTGACGTCACTGAAGAAACTCGTGTTTGGAAGGGCCATCCCCGCCGTAAGTCGAGAACATACCCCAGGTCCCCGCCGCAACTCGAGAAAAACCATGAGACTTCCCCGTAGAGTCGAGAAGGGGCCCCATTCCCCTGCAGTGCATGCAGAGCTATTCCGTGATCCCATTCAAACAAGTCAGGAGCTTCGACTTGCTTAACGGATCTCGAGACAGTCCCCAAGAACACTGTCACCAGTCTAGATGGACCCTGAGGTCACCCCAGCAACGCAAAGCAGCTCCATGTGCCCCAAATCAACTCGAGATGAGGCCCGATTCCCCTGCATTGACTCCAGAGCCATTCCCCGTTCCCCATTCAACATGACCGGTGGCTCGACTTCCTTCAGGCATCTCCAGAGATGCCCCGAGAACACTGTCCCAAGTCTAGAGGAACACCAACTTCAGCACAGCAACTCGAGGAATGCTCCGTGTACCCCAAATCGTATCGAGATGAGAGCTGATTCCCTGGCTTAGGCTCAATACGTAGGCCCACTTTCCAGAAGCACCTCAGGAGGAGGCTTCTCTCAGCAATAGGTATGTGGGAGGGACCCCGAGATCGCTGCCTCAAGTAGAGTTTACTGCGAGAATCCCTAACTTGAAAGGAGGCCGGATTTCCTTGCAGTGCCTTGAATACAGGCTCGTCTTTCATCTCACAACATGAAGGGATGTCTGAATCCCCTGTGGAGACCTTAGAGAAAGCCCTAGGTCCCTGCCTCATTTTGACGGAATGCCTCACATCCCGTTGACCCCTCGAGAGGCACGCGGAGTTCATTGCTTCAAAAGGTGACGATGCCTGACTCCTCTGGAATATTGATAGTAATCCCAAAATCCATATGGCTGCTGGAAAGGTTCCTTGGGTGCCCTGTCTCACCTCGAGAAGTGTCCCTTTTGCCCTGCCAAGCCTCGAAGACATTCCTGAGGTGTCCCTCGTTACTAGACAAGCATCCTGACGTCACGGAAGAAACTCGTGTTTTGAAGGGCCATCCCCGCCTTAAGTCGGGAACATACCCCAGGTCCCCTCCGCAATTCGAGAAAAACCATGAGACTTCCCCTAGAGTCGAGAAGAGGCCCCATTCCCCTGCAGTGCATGCAGAGCTATTCCGTGATCCCGTTCAAACAAGTCAGGAGCTTCGACTTGCTTAATCCATCTCGAGAGAGTCCCCAAGAACACTGTCACCAGTCTAGACGGACCCTGAGGTCACCCCAGCAATGCAAAGCAGCTCCATGTGCCCCAAATCAACACGAGATGAGGCCCGATTCCCCTGCATTGACTCCAGAGCCATTCCCCGTTTCCCATTCAACACGACCGGTGGCTCGACTTCCTTCAGGCAACTCCAGAGATGCCCCGAGAACAGTGTCCCAAGTCTAGAGGAACACCAACTTCAGCACAGCAACTCGAGGAATGCTCCGTGTACCCCAAATCGTCTCGAGATGAGAGCTGATTCCCTGGCTTAGGCTCAAGACGTATGCCAACTGTCCAGAAGCACCTCAGGAGGAGGCTTCTCTCAGAAATAGGTACGTGGGAGGGACCCCGAGATCGCTGCCTCAAGTGGAATATACAGCGAGAAGACCTAACTTGAAAGGAGGCCGGATTTCCTTGCAGTGGCTTGAATACAGGCTCTTCTTTGATCTCAAAACATGAAGGGATGTCTGAATCCCCTGTGGAGACCTTAGAGAAAGCGCTAGGTCCCTGCCTCATTTTGACGGAATGCCTCACATCCCGTTGACACCTCGAGAGGCACGCGGAGTTCATTGCTTCAAAAGGTGAAGATGCCTGACTCCTCTTGAATACTGATAGGAAACCCAAAACCCTGTGGCTGCTAGAAAGGGTCCTTGGGTGCCCTGCCTCACCGCGAGAAGCCTCCCTTTTGCCCTCCCAAGCCTCCAAGTGATTTCTGAGTTGTCCCTCGTTACTAGACAGGAGTCCTGACGTCACTGAAGAAACTCGTGTTTTGAAGGGCCATTCCCGCCGTAAGTCGAGAACATACCCCAGGTCCCCGCCGCAACTCGAGTAAAACCATGAGACTTCACCCCTGAGGCGAAATGAGGCCCCATTCCCCCACAGTGCATGCAGAGCTATTCCGTGATCCCATTCAAACAAGTCAGGAGCTTCGACTTGCTTAATGGATCTCGAGACAGTCCCCAAGAACACTGTCAATAGTCTAGACGTACCCTGAGGTCACCCCAGCAACGCAAAGCAGCTCCATGTGCCCCAAATCAACTCGAGATGAGGCCCGATTCCCCTGCATTGACTCCAGAGCCATTCCCCGTTCCCCATTCAACACGACCGGTGGCTCGACTTCCTTCAGGCAACTCCAGAGATGCCCCGAGAACACTGTCCCAAGTCTAGAGGAACACCAACTTCAGCACAGCAACTCGAGGAATGCTCCGTGTACACCAAATCGTCTCAAGATGAGAGCTGATTCCCTGGCTTAGGCTCAAGACGTATGCCAACTTTCCAGAAGCACCTCAGGAGGAGGCTTCTCTCAGCAATATGTATGTGGGAGGGAGCCCGAGATCGCTGCCTCAAGTAGAGTATTCTTCGAGAATCCCTAACTTGAAAGGAGGCCGGATTTACTTGCAGTGCCTTGAATGCAGGCTCGTCTTTCATCTCACAACATGAAGGGATGTCTGAATCCCCTGTGGAGACCTTAGAGAAAGCCCTAGGTCCCTGCCTCATTTTGACAGAATGCCTCACATCCCGTTGACACCTCGAGAGGCACGCGGAGTTATTTGCTTCAAAAGGTGACGACGCCTGACTCCTCTTGAATATTGATAGGAATCCCAAAATCCATGTGGCTCCTGGAAAGGTTCCTTGGGTGCCCTGCCTGACTTCGAGAAGCATCCCTTTTGCCCTGCCAAGCCTCGAAGACATTCCTGAGGTGTCCCTCGTTACTAGACAGGAGTCCAGACGTCACTGAACAAACTCGTGTTTTGAAGGGCCATCCCCGCCGTAAGTCGAGAACATACCCCAAGTTCCCGCCACAACTCAAGAAAAACCATGAGACTTCCCCCTAGAGGGGAGATGAGGCCCCATTCCCCTGCAGTGCATGCAGAGCTATTCCGTGATCTCGTTCAAACAAGTCAGGAGCTTCGACTTGCTTAATGGATCTTGAGACAGTCCCCAAGAACACTGTCACCAGTCTAGACGGTGAGAGCAGCCCTCATCTCCATGTGCGGGAACGTTGGACATGAGAGGAGGTACTCTGTCTGGGCAGTAGTGGGTTGCTGGGCACATGGTGACCAGGGCGTGATGTCACAATCACACCTGAGGATGGGCTGGCAGTGGGGAAGCAGGATCCCTGAAGTGCTCTGTTCTGTGCCAGTGTGGACCCAAGGCTGGCCTGTGGTCAGGGGTCTGCGTCCTCGGTGGAGCTCTGTGCAGAGAGTGGTGGGCGTGTGTCAGGACGGGACATGTCTGTAGTTCCGAGAAGCAGCACAGGCAGCTGACTGGAGCCCTGAGACTTTCTGCCCGGCTGCCAGGCACTGTGTACACAGGTCTTCTCACATGAGTGCAGGCAGGAAAGTGATCCCACCCAGCATGGTCCCACCCTTTTCCTGCCGGTCGCAAGAGGTGGCCACCTCCGCTCTGTTCTCTGTTGTGGTCCCAGGGCCTAGCTCAGGTGCTTGGCCATCCCTCTCTGAAATTCTGCACTTGGAAAGTGATGTATTGTGTCATAGTCAAGACAGCGATTTCCACTAGGCAGCAGCCCCCAAACATTGAGACTTGCAGAATTTGGTTTACTCTCATAGCAAACTGTGAAGGTTTCAACTGAGTGTTGGCCTCTTTGGCAGACAGTCTCATGGAGCCCTGCAGGGCTCCTGCTATTACTCACTGGGCCACCAGAGGGCAGTGTGTACCCGCTTATGGCAAACACTGCAGGGAGATCCAACTAGTCAATCCTAAAGGAAATCAATCCTGACTATTCATTGGAAGGATGGATGCTGAAGTGGAAGCTCCAATACTTTGGCCACCTGATGCGAGGTACCAACTTATTGGAAAAGACCTTGATGCTAGGGAAGACTGAAGGCGGGAGGAGAATGGGACAACACAGGATGAGATGGCTGGATGGCAGCCCTGACTCACTGGACATGAGTTTGCAGAGCATCCGGAAGTTGGTGATGGACAGGGAACCCTGCTGTGCTGCAATCCATGGGGTTGCAAAGAGTCAGACATGACTGAGCCACTGACCTGACTGACTGCCCCATTCAAAAGAGTCCTTTTGAAGTTAAACTTCCTCAGAACATGTTTGATAAACTTAGGACAATTTCTTTAAAATATATGGACATGCTTTTCACCTCCAGTTTCATTTGGAAACTAGTGAAAAGCCATTACAAGTAACACATGGAAGGTGAGCCACTGTTTGAAGGTTGTCCCTTGTGACACATATGTGTGCTCAGTCGCTCAGTCAAGTCCAACTCTTTGTGATCCCATGGACTACAGACCAGCCTACTCTGTCCATGTGATCTTCCTGGCAAGAATACTGGAGTAGGTTTCCATTTCCTACTCCAGAGGCATCTTCTCAACCCAGGGACAGTACTCGTGTCTCATGTGATTCCTGCATTGGCAGGTGGGTTCTTTACCACTGCACCAGCTGGATATGGATGGGTAAAATTCTGTGCCAGCCCCTTTGTTTCTTCTTCTCTCCCCCTCATCCATCTATAGGTAACTATCTCTC